CGAATATCTCCGCATGGCTCGCTTGCTCCTCCATGCCCTCCTTGGCTCTCTTCACCATTTTTCTTCGTATCATCTGTGCAAACATATCGAAAACCGATAAATCTTCAGAACTCGACTACCTACTCGCAATTTACAGATTCTACCTGCCTCTTGAGGACTGAAAGACTCCTCGTGTGCATTGGCGACTGCGGAAGAACACCGTTGGATGGAGGAAGCCCGAGCAATCCACAGATCAAAGTCTGAAAGAATAACACAATCATAAGCGCCAAAAACATAGATCGGTGACCGAAGAGCAAGCATGATTACCATGAATCCGAGCAGCAGAAGATCATAATGGTAAGCAGATGGATTCTGCAGGTTGAATTCCTTCTGCTGTGCCATCTGAGAAGCTACACTGTGATCGAAAAAGTAAAGCCCGGCGATCATCATCGCCGGAATAAAAGCAGCGAAAACATAACCTGCTGGAACCTTACCCATGTCCTGAATTATCAACACACAATATTGAAACACCTTTCCATTTCTTCACCATTGTCGATTCGACATTTTTTTTCAATTAGATTGTACCTTGATCACTGTCCAGTGATACAACGACTCTGCTTCCCAAGGAAGGGGGCAGACGAGGCGTCGCGGAACACCCGAAGGAACCTCGTGTGGCATACAATAGGACAGTGCTGTCCACACAACAACCAGCAAGGGAACTCCATAGTCGGCAATGAAACTTCTCATCCAGCCTGAGCAAATCCAGCAAAGATGATGATCATATAGCTAAGTTTCGAATTCGCGAAATTCACCAAAGAAATCGCGGATACCTGATCCGTATCGCCATGATCTGGCCTGCTGGATCTTGAGGGCAGTGATAAGCAAGCCGAGTGAGAATATAACCGAAAGCAGGCCGTTAACGTAGCTCCATTGAAATTGGTTTTCTTCCTCCTCCAACACATTGGCATCATGTGGTGCACTGAATTCACTAATCACACCCTGCAATTTGAGGTTCAATAATTATAACAAAAAAACCATTGTTACAAAGCAAAAAGAAGTTTTATACCTTGATGGCCTCTTGAAGAAAAAGAACTGTGATCAGCATGCCGAAAAGCTCCCCTGAAACTCTAGTGAATCGACTGATGATGGTGCAAGCATTGAATGCTGCAAGAAGAAACAACAGCAATGCAGTCCAGATGCAAACCCTGTTCGATTGTCAAACACTGAAAGAACTAAGAATATATGCTTCAAATTCAATATCCAAACTCCTATAGAATTCGAACTTTTCGCCTCACTCACCACCCGGCCCAAGCTAAACACAGCTGCGCGCCGATACTCTTTTTCGCAAAACTATACAAGTAGTTGTACATTATAATGGTAGGCTCGGCAACCCCCAAAATCAATAAAGGCTGTCCGCCGAAAATGGCCTGGATGATACCGCAAATGGCTGTCGAAGCAAGAGTTTCCGGAGTGCTTAGCATTCCATCTGTTTGTTGCATAAACAAAACATGCATTGAGAAGACAAAAGGATCATTATCAACAACAGCTAGATATTTTTAGAAATTAATGAATGGACCTGTTTCTCGGCTCAATTGCTCCCCAAAGGCAATCACGGGGAGGGCAGAGGCGAAGAAAATGTAAGCAGTTGGAGCCAGGATCCTTTTCAACAAAAATCAAATCGAGTTGCTGCTTAATTGAAAGATGAAACCTAAACATGGCGACGATGAAGAGAGGACGACATAAATAACACACCTTGCCCCGGTGCTACAAGTGTCGATCCAATCCTTCTTGTAGCATGCAATCCTTCCTTTGAAATCGTTTACGACTCCCTTGAACGGAGTCCGCAGTTGCTCCATTTCGCTTCCTGCAATTTGCCATAATCCATGAAAACATGTCCGCCTTGATAAAATACAGAATACACAATCGATTCGATTCAAAACGAAAACCTACATCATCCCCAAAAATTCAGCAAAAAAAAAAAAAAGAACGTACAATGGCGGCGAGAGTCTCACAAAAATCAAACGGAAAATGAGAAACACCAATACAGGAAGAGAATAGAAATCAGTATTACAGCGAAACGAGATTCTTTCGTTTTCCGGCAGGCGATCCCCGCCGGTGAAAATCTGAATCGATCTGAGAAGAGGAAGCGAATGAAAACACAGACAAAGAAACTGTGTTCTCTCCTCTTTCGTTTCCTCCGTCTTTATCTAAGCGGTAATTTTGTATCACCACACCACCAACAATGGCAGACAATGGGAACTATGCTGCAGCGACGGCGACGACGAGAGAATAGTAGTGATCGAGGGCACGGCGGAGGAGGGGAGGACGGAGGAAGCAGCCACAGGGACGGGCCACGACTGTATAAATATATATATATATATATGTCCTTTTTAAAAATTAATTATTAATACATTTTGAGATAAGTTGTTAAAAACTTTAATAATAATAGTTTATTTTTATGGGAGGTTTTTGAATGGAAATTACGTTATAACTATAAATAAATATTGAATAATCTATAAGGATTTTCTATTTGTTGATATATAAGAGGCGATCTCAATGTAATTATGAGCGTATTTGGTTGTTGGTTGAAATTTTTAGAGATAAAGATGTTGTTTTGTTAAAATTAATTTTATATTAAAAAATATATAATTTATTTATTTCAAAAAATGATATGAATATAAGTTTATAGGTAAATCATATCTTAAAAAATATGAAAAATGTGTGATTTTTTATTTATTTATTTGTATTATATAAATTTTATTCTCTATAAAATAACATTCGTGCATATATTTTTATTGTCATATAATTTTTAAAATATTTAAATATATATTTTATTTTTTTAATAATATATATTAAATTTATTTTAAAATAATTATATAAAAAAATAGTACCATAATTTACTATTATTAATTAATTAAATATCATTACTTTAAAAATATAAATATGTGGATTGTTCTTTATTTACTATTTTATGAATGAGATAATATATTTTTATTAAAAAGAAATATGATGAATACTTTTGATTTTGCATGAAAATACAAATCAGACACACCATTGGTAATTGTAAATAATATCATTAAGATTTTATTTATTTTGATTTTTACAACATTGGTAATTGTAAATAACATCATTAAGATTTTATTTTATTTTTTTCACTTCCTTTACGAGTATTCTATAAAATGCACTATTTTCAGCATCTAATCTACTATTTAAAAAATAAATACCAAATAAAAGATAATTTCTTATGAATGTTTTAATATTTATTGTTTTTAATGGAATGATTATTGTTTGTATGTAAAGTAGGTACATTTATATTGATAGTTATAAACTTATAATATTGCATTTTAAAATATTTTAAAATAATAATCCAAGAATAGTTATGTCTTCTTTTGCACTTTATTTTTGTCTTGTAATTTAGCTTGTTTACTAAACAAAAAAAAAAAGTATTTTTTATTAATATATTGTATCGTAATTTATATTAACATGTGTTATCGAATGTCGGATACATGTTATTTTTTTTTATAAATATGTGTTGATTAAGCCAGATCAACAACAAAATTCACGGGTACATAAAATACAATTGAATTTGTTATTTTTATATTTAACGTAATAAAACAAATTACCTATTTTTTTACAATAAAATATATTACTTATATTTTTATATAAAACATTTAAAAATTAACAATAAAACTAATTCGCTAAAACAGTATTACAAATTCTCAAAAACATATTTGTAATTTTTAATAATTAACATAAAAAAACCACAAATTTTAAAACATTGAACATAACCATAAATGTTTATTTGTTAGATATAAAGCTTAAAAAGATTTAATAATAATATCTATTTATATGGGAGCAAAATTAATTCATTGAATTTGACCAAAATTTAAACAAATTATTCTTTTGAGTTCATAATAAAAAAAAATTCAAATCAAACTTTAAAAAAAAAAATCCCACATAAAATAATGACCTTTAGAACTGCCAAATATAATTATGCTATCTATATTAATAATCATATTCAACATGATGAACGTCTTTGTTTGGATTTGAAAAATAAAAGTTTTGAATAAAATAATAATATAATATGATATAAACAAGTATTAATGATATATTTTGAATGAAAAATTTAAATTTAATTTAATATAAAAAACTAAGTATTTGATTTAATTTTTTTATTTTTTATTTTTTTAAAACAATGAATAATAAATGTTTGTTAAAATTCTTCTAAGAAACACACAATTAATGGATGCATGGTAGTTCATAGTCCATAAAAAAGTATTAGAATAGATATTTTGTGGATATTTTCATAGCCATTCAACTTACCTATCTATATGTAAGTATGTAACATATTTATGTTAACCTGTAATGTAGAGTATGAAAAATGAACCAAATATGTAACATATTTATGTTAACCTGTAATGTAGAGTATGAAAAATGAAATAAAAATTAAATGCAACCGTAGTATTATTACATTTTATACGACACAATGTATATAGTAAAAAATATATTTATTTTGATATATTATATGGTTATATATATATATTACTGTACATTTATATTTTTCAAATTAAAATATATGTCTATAAAATATTATATTAAGTTATTATTTGAATACAAATACAAATACAAATCATGTTATAGTATAATCCAAACCAAAACCCCACGAACCTACTGATAAAAATTAAGGAAAATAGTCTTGTTAGTAAAATATACCATTTCCTTTTTAAAGCTATCATATTCTAATACCTTTTCACAATAAAAATATAAAAGCTAAAAAGTTAGCCTACGAAAAACAGAAATTTCTAACATACAGTGAATTATGTAACAAACATTTCATATATTTATATTTAATACACTATAAATTTAAATTCAATGACTAGGTCACATAATGTGAACTCCATCCAGTAGAGACACACGATAATCTTTCTTAAATATAAATACTTCTGTACCTACCTGTACCTGTACTAACAGCTGACTTCTTCTTCACGGCTCTTAGTAAACTGTTACAAGCCCACGTCAGATGTCACATGGTAGTCGTTAATTATGATTGCAATATATACATTATGTAATAAATAATCATTAAAGTCCATGCTCATCAGAGATAATTTGTTCAACCAAACTATTACCTTTTTTTCCTAAAAATATCTGCATGAGGGTGGGGTGGATGCTTGCAAGTAATGACCTAATTCAAACATATTCCAAAAGTGTGTTCCCAACAACATGCGTGTAATTCCAAAAAATTAAACGAATAAAGAAATCATACTTTGTGTTTCTAACCGTGCAATAAAATTTAACATCACTTGAAACATAGTTCTCAAATCAATCAACTTCTCTAAAACAAGTTAGAACAGTGGAGCTGTGAGTGAAAGAAAGTGAATGCACAAAAACACACAAGAGAGGCATTGAATGAACAGTTCACTATTGGGAGTTTACATATATATATAGCTTATATATCAAAAAGGGTTGTCAGAATGTAGTACAACGAAAGATGTTGCTAGCGATCGATGTACCTGGGCTAAGAGAGCCAACAGCACTTCATGTGACACTTTTGTTGTGTAAGAATTTGTTCCATGGTACAACAGATGCAAGGAGAATCAGTGCATCAAGAGAAGGGCATCTCGTTTCCGACCAAGCAGATTCAATGCAGTAGCGGCAATGTGGTTCCTAGTGAGCCCAGCAAAGGCAAGTTGATCTTGGGGCAATGCACCCTCTATGTAATTCTCCGGCAGAGTTATGGGGCGCCACTGGAAAATGAAATCAAGCAAGCCATAGTGTCAACGGTGTAAATCTTTAATTTTTATTTATTATATTAAGTGTCTGTTTGGAATGTGAAGAAAAGGGACATGATTCTCTCCCATGTATCCATGTCTGATAATGGATAAGAATAGGGATCTATTGTGACTCTCCTATTCTGACTACCATTGTCATCCTTGTATGGACGAGCAATCGAAACATATAATATTAGTAATATGCAACTCTCATCTCCTTTATGTTATGCAATCCTAACAACATCAAGTGAAGTGTCCCTTCCATCCCTTCAGTAAACATATCCACAAAAATAAATTCTGAAATAATTATCTATAATGAGGATAAAGGAAGAGAGTTACCTTAATTCCAGCATCAAGCAGCCCATCAAGAGAAATGAATTGCGCAACATGTGCCCCGAACCCTCCAATAGATCCTTCCTCAACTGTAATCAGGTATTTGTGATTCTTGCATAAAATTCTCACCAACTTAATATCAAGTGGTTTGCAAAATCTTGCATCAGCCACTGTAATATCAATACCCAACTTTGAAAGAAGGGAATGTGCTCTAAGACAATTTTGTACCATGGAACCATATCCTAATAGAGCAATATCTTGACCCTCTACAAGTAGCTTCCCTTGACCAACCTGTCACATAGTTGATTATGAAAAATCTCCGGATGCATAGCACAGAGGGGTCTTATAACAGACTAATCAAAAATCATAAAAATTTGGCACAACTGAAAAGGTCATAGGGCGATGATAAGCCTTTTAATGAAGTCATAACATTACAGAAGTTATAAACTATGACTACACTAATGTAACTTTTCTCACAAGTGTATACAGTTTGAAGTTACAAAGAACAGCTTCTTGTAAAAGGGAATATAGAGACCAAACTCTTTATTGATCAACGTATGGGTGCTATTATTTAGTGTATGGAAGAAGAAAAGCTGAATTCACATAAGTTTCTTCGATTAGAATAATGATCTAGCCCGCATACACAATATATAGCGTGTACATTGCAGTGGGATGCAATATTACCTCGATTGGTTTGGGGTCTGCAACATATGCCTTAAGGCTGAGCATAACAGTGGCACCCCTAGGATAGCGGAAGCACACTGGACGGTCATTGATGTGGACAGCAGTAGCCACCATTCGGGCAAGCTCAGTTTCGTCAGACGGAGCCATCACAATCATGTTCGGCAAACATGACATATATGTTATATCAAATGGTCCAGAATGTGTTGCACCGGCAGAGCCTGCCAATCCCGCACTTGTAATTGCAAAACGTACTGGAATCTTCTGCCTATCCACATCATGAACCACCTAACAAAGTTGGACGGTCATAATAATGCATCAGGCAACTTAGCTAAATTTATCTTGTGTATATATGTGGTTATAACTCAAATAGTGTCAGTTGATCACTTTCATATTTACGGCGCCAACAAGTTCATACAGGTCAAGTTTCAGTAGTTACACCACCAAAATATCAATTCATAGCACGCCATTTGGTTCTAGTCGTTGTTAAATGAAGTTGCAACTTAAAGAACTCATGATCTGCTATCATATCTTAGACGTGTGTATGTGGAGATAGAGAGAGATGATTGGACAATTTGCTTCTAGTCGTTGTAAAATGAAGTTGCAACTTAAAGAGCTCATGATCTGCTATCATATCCTAGACAGCGGACCCTTCCTTTGTGTGTGAATGTGGGGATAGAGAGAGATGATTGGACAAAACCTGATCATATGCCCTCTGGAGGAATGCTGATGGGATAATACAGAAAGGCTTTAATCCCCCGCATGAAAGACCAGCTGAGAATGTAACGGCATGCTGCTCAGCCATGCCAACAGGGAAAAATCTGTCTTTCAACTTGTCTTTCAACAATCCAAATGATGGTTCCATTCCCATTCCAGCGTGTACCACTACAATATCTTCATCTCTCTTTGACTCTGCAACCAAAGACTCTACCAAGAGGTCGCTGTACGTTTGAGGTCTAGGATTTGATGGCGATGGTTCAGTACCAGAGGAGCCTGTGAGATAGCACCAACTAAGAAATGCACAAAAGGATGGATAAAACTTCCACAGCTTATAATTCTGTACATCAAATAATGTCATTCATTTTGTCGCAATTGTTCACAATGAATAGTCAAGCAATTAAGATGTTCATAAGGACAAAAGTCCTCCAAACATCCTCAAACATTGCTTCTGCATCATTTTCACTTACTAATAATCATAAAAACGCATTGCTTTCAGACCTTTACCGCCAATCTAATCTCTACAAAACTTGTAAAAAGATAAACTCGATAGCCAAACTAATGTAATCAATCAGAATAAGAACCAAGTCTTTTTGCAAAGAAGGTAAAATTTTGCTTCATGAGTGTATCTAGTGCTGAAGATTATAATGGCAAGTGCACTCAGCATCCTTGATTTTTTATAACTTTAGTTACATGAAAAAATGCCTCCAAAATTTCAGTTAGACTAGTTTCACATTTAATCATGATGCAATAGTATAAAGGTTTAATTGTAGCACAAGAAGCTTACAGATGCACACAACACATAAATACGAGAGCATTTCATCCTTTTCTACTATAAAATCACATCAAGATTCTAGCACATATCATGATAGTAAGGTAATAAAGGCAATGGTCAGACATGCACGAACCTTCAGGTTCTTCATCTTTAATTATACTCATCTGGTTATTTTCTATTCCATAACCATCTTTTGTTATGACATGGATCAGAACAGGACCCATTGAGTTTAGTGATGCTACTTCTCGCAAAACACAAGCAAGATCTTCAATGTTATGACCATCAACTGGGCCAATGTAGTACAACCCTAGCTCCTCAAATAAAGTTGATCCTGGAGGACCTAGCATACCACGTGCATACTCATCAATTTTTGCAGCCCACTCATACATCCCACTACCAATTTTTTTGGTAAGAGCCTGAAACAAATTAGAATCATCATCACTGTTTTAGCAACCAAAATGCCTGACATACAGGAGAAAGGGCAGGAAGAACATCCTCCCATTAAACCAAATTACGAAAGACAGAAGGGCATTATTACCTTAGCGAGTTCTCTTAGTTTCCTGAAAAATTTACTTGACTGCAGCTTGCTCAGATAGCTAGACACAACATTAATTGATGCTTTAGGGAATTGCTCATGCATTGGGTGCGGGTGTAAAGATTGTTGACTGTCATTTAATATTACAACCATATTTGAATCAATGTAGCCAGCATTGTTCATGGCCTCATAAACTTGGCCTGCCATGATTGTTTCGTTACTAATCACTGCAACTATGCGCTCTCGTTTTCTTTTAATGTCCCGAGCAACAGCCATTCCTGATGAAAAAGGAAGTTACAAAGCATTCATACCCCAGGAGTAATCTATGAAAGATAGGAACACAATAAAATCTAATAAAATTGGAGGGGTGCAAGTCATTGGTCAGATGAAGCTGTAAGATGTAGGCAATAGATTACACAATACCAAGTCCAGAAGATATGCTGCTACAACCATGCCCTGCTGCAAAAGGATCAAATTCACTACGACAACTATAATTGGATAGATCTTCCGGCTTTCTAGCTTTATGAAAATGGGGCCTCCTTCCAGTGAGAAGTTTATGAGGATAAGTCTGTTTGAATAAATAGAATAGCTTAAATGTAAGTGTTTGTGGTAAAAGACTAACATTTTACCACAAATAGTCACAATGAGACTCCACCATCAAAAGGTAAATAAAATTTGTATTCAACAAATTAGCATTTTTGTGCAGAGGTGCACTTACTTGTTCTTCCACATCCCACAGTATCTTGTCCAGTGGGGAATGAAAAACATGATGGATAGCAACCGTCAGTTCCACTACTGATAGACTGGGTTTATAGGATTTTTGGGTTTCTGACATAGTGAATAGTAATTCTGATCGAATGTCATCCGCTAGCTGTCTTAATTCCTACATGGAATATTTTCTATTAGAAGCATTATAACCACTTGAACATCAGAATCCTGATAGTAAAAGTAGACAAAAAGTTACCCAAGCTGCCAAACCTTTGAAGTTAAATTTTTTAAATGCATGGGATTTTTAACCATATCAAGCATGGGAGTTGGCGCTTTCTCATTCATGTAACCCTCAACATTTGACGAACAAAGAATGCTGCCAACATGATCCTGCAATAATAAAAGCTAGAATTCACAACTACTTACAAGTGTCTGTGCATTTAGATATAACAAAGGCTCTTATTTTCTTGATTCTAAATAGCTGAAGAAATGACTTCAATATAGAAATGAAGAAATACACATGACATAAATAGTGAGTGACAACTTCTATGTATGTCATTGAACAAATTGGCATTCACTGCTTAAGTCCAGAAGCTATCACAATAGAATTTTCGTACACAAATATGCACTTGAGAAAAAGATGTAGAGCGATTCCATGATTTGAACAAAATAAATTCAACTACTAGGTGAGCCATATCTGCACTTGTAAAGATTAATATATTCTCAGAAAGGGCGATTGTACTCTTTGAACTCCTAGCTATGTAAATGTTTATCTCAAAACATCATCACATGCACATGTCATTACTGTCGGATCTCATCGCTTAATTTGGAATAACTTAAGCTAACAGAGTCAAGAGGTACCATAAAAGGGAAAAAACGAAGTACCAAATTTTAATATCAGCAATAAACACCTATCAAATTCTCGAGAGAAATTCAATCCGTTCTCAGGTTACTGCTACTCAAACAAAAACAAAATAAGTGATTCCTCGCTGACCACTACCGGTTTGGAGGTAGAAGCGGAGGCTAAAGTTGGGTGTAAATTGAGCCTTCCGAATTCCACGTTGGAAGGGAAAGTACATCTCGAGTATTCACTAGCTGAGGTCACGAGCCTCGAGTTTCCACGGAATTGAGCATTAATCGCAAACCGATTCTGGCAGCAAGCATTAGCCATTGAACAGCACCAAGCAAACGCACAAACGAGCTGGCAATTAACTCGATCAGCTCAAGAGATTCCGCTGCAAGTCTCCGACTGCACCGGCAAGTTTCTCGAGCTGAGAATCCTGCACATTGATAGAAACACACAGAACTTGATCAGGATTTGCCTTTTAAATATTATAAATAAATAACGAAAAAACACAGAGACAAAAACACGTGATGTGGAGCATCTGTGGCGGCGTTCAGTTGAAGTCTTTGGCGATTGGCGAAGGAGGCTAGGAGCAGTCAATAATGGGCCGGTAATGGGCTTTCGCCTTTTTGCCATTAAATGGGCTCTTAATGGGCTTTCGTTCTACCTCAGTGAATGGGCCTTTTTAGAAAGAGAATATAACAAATGATAAATCAGATTAGTACGAGTATTTAATTAATTAAACACAAAGAAACAGAAAGCCCATACGTCACGTCTACCTTGATAATCCAACGTCACAACATCCAATAATATTTTTAATTGAGATTTGAATAGCCAATTTTTTAAATATTTATATTATATGATATAAATAAATGTTGATATTTTAAATATAAAATTAATTTTTAATATAAAATAAAAAAATAAATATTTAATTTAATATTTTTAAGAAATAAAAAATTAATAAATAGTAAAAATATATAAAAATGTTTGAAACAAACACACCATATAATGTATAAATATATATATATATATATAATCAATCAATTAATTAGAGACGTGGAAATTTTGGATTGGTCTTCCTTGGAAGCATTAAGAATGTGAGCAGTATATTTTACTTGCTCCAATAGCATTACCATTTTATTTTTAATTTTTTAATGGTTGGTTAATTTATAGGCTCAAATTCAAGTTTAGCTTATTTTTAACTGACTGTTAATGTATTATTTTAGGATGTTAAAGCTCGAATCGCTACTGCCATGGCTCCTCCTCCTCCTCCTCCTCGCCGGGCGAATCGAATTCGGCGGCGCCGACATCGGCACGGCCAGCCAGTACGTTCCACCGTACGCACGTGAGTGAATTTCGATTATTGATCAATCATATATTTATTCGACCGACAGGGAAATAAAAACCCTAATTCGGTTAATTCGGCGGCCGGACGTTAATTTGTCCTGCAGCGACGGCGTGTTTCGGGAGCGACTACTGGCGGTTCCCGACGAGCAACCTGTTCGCGGCGGCAGGGGAGGGGATATGGGAGAATGGAGCGGCGTGCGGGCGGAAGTACGTGGTGCGGTGCATCAGCGGACCGGCGGCGCAGAGCTGCGTGGAGGGGATGACTATACCTATCACGATCGTGGATCGTGCACAGACCTCCGTGTCCCGGCCCTCCAGGTCCGGGACCACCCTAGTATTATCGAATACCGCTTTCCAAACAATTGCCAACCCTACGGTTCCTTACTTGAACGTCGAATTTCAACAGTAACTCTCTCTCTCTCTCTCTCTCTAACTGATATTTACTCATATGCTTACTACAATTAATTAAAGCAACATGATGTATTTTCATGTAAGGTCTTTAAGAAATATTATATTCTATAATATAAATACAACTATTTTCATATATATTTGCAGGATTTAATTTGAAGACATTGGAGAAGGAAGGCAATGAGTGAAGCATATTGTTGTATAAAACCCTAAATGTGTAAGGAAAAAAAATAATATATATATATATACATATAGTAATAAGATTGGCACGTGTATTTTGTGTATTGTGTTGTGGATAATGATTATAAATATTCAAATTATTTTGTTTAATAACGAGTCAAACAACAAGCAACCATTCCAACATTATTCATAATAAAAACAATTAAATGGGAATTAATTACTCGATACTTTTCTTGAGGCCCAAATATATAATAATGGGCCTTTGGGTCCAGCCCAATTTCGGAAATTACCCACAAAAGTCTACGGAGTTATGAATCCCAACCAAACAGCTCCATATCACGCAGAGAGAGAGAGAGAGAGAGAGAGAGAGAGAGAGAGAGAGAGAAATCCTCGATTATCTTCGACTCTTCGTCTTCTCGTTCGTCTTCGACCTGCGAATTATCGGACAGATTTTTTTAGATCTATCGAGAAGGATAGAATGTCGGGAAAAGGTGCGAAGGGATTGTTGACGGGGAAAACTCCGGCGTCGAAGGACAAGGATAAAGACAAGAAGAAACCTATCTCACGCTCTTCTCGTGCTGGACTTCAGGTTTGTTCGTTTTCCTCTTTTGAAAAGTTTTGATTAGCTCTTTTGTTTTCCCTCCTTCTCTGTTGTTTATGCTGATTTGATTTCCTCCCTGAGGGCTTGCCTAGCTAATTTGTTTTTTGATAATTGCGTGCGAGATGATCTTTCTAATTTTTATGGGCTGAGAAGTGTTGATATGTTTATTTTAAGTATTTCTCGTGGGCTTTTGAGTATTTTGTTAGGGGATGGTTTTGGGGAGCTTCAAGCACTCTTTTCGTTCTCTTTTTGTATTGTTCTTTTTTTTTATTTAATACAGATAATCTCGATTTTATTTTTTCTAGTAATGAAGTTTGGTGGTATCTTGCACTGTGCTTTGGTGTGGCCGATCGTGTGTATTGAGTTAATTTTCAGATTTTTGGTTTGTGTTTGGATTTGTAGTGTTGTGAATTAGGGGCAGTTTCAAGGCTGTCTAAATCATTTGAAGAAAACAAGGATAATGATATCATGAAGTGTGAAAATAATAAAAGAATGATGGGTTACAATGTAAATTGGTTCTGAATTGGGGATTTGATGAAGGCAGATTTGAAGGGATTAGAATTGCAGATTGAAAAACAAACATTAACTAAGTGGATTTTTTATGGCATTGCTTTCATGACACAAATTGTGTTTTCTTGAAGTGTTATTGTAAACTTGTCCCCTTTCCTATTCACACTTCACTTGCCAAGATATCAAATAATTAAACTTTATTTTGTTTTAAGATCATCACAACCGAAACATGTCTTCGTCTCTTGTCCTTGTAGTTCCCTGTCGGACGTATCCATCGCCTCCTTAAAGAGCGAGTCACTGCTCACGGCAGAGTGGGAGCGACTGCTGCTGTTTATTCCGCAGCCATTTTGGAGTACCTAACTGCAGAAGTGTTGGAGTTAGCCGGGAATGCCAGCAAGGATTTGAAGGTGAAGCGTATTACACCCCGGCATCTGCAGCTGGCTATACGTGGTGACGAGGAGCTCGATACCCTCATCAAGGGAACCATAGCCGGCGGTGGTGTCATCCCGCATATACACAAGTCCCTCATCAACAAATCCTCCAAGGAATAAACTAAGACATTTTCTTTGATCGATCATGTGTTTAAAAATCTCGGTGGGGCTGTAGGTTTTAGGCTTAGGCTGTTTGTTTTGAGATGCTATTCTATCTGTCACCATGTTCTGAATCAAAGCTTTTGACTGAATTCCGGGTTTAGCAGTTCAGGAGACGATCTTCTTCGTGTGTTTGCTGTCTCTCCATTTATGTGAAACTTTGAGAAAATTCTATGCTTCTGTTAATGACATATTGGTTTATGTGTTTGATCACAAAAACTTTGCATTGGTAATTCTGCATTTGGGTGAGGAACACATAGTGTGTTCGGTTGGAAGATTTTGTAAAAATCTTACTATTCATCCCATTTTTTTCCCCCAAAAATATCAAATCAAACACCTATTTTTCATTTTTTATATTATATTAAAAATCAATTTTACATTCAAAACATCATATCAACGCCTATTTATATCACATCATACAACTATTCAAATTCAAAATTTTTACTATTCAAATTCCAACTCAAAATCCAAACCCCCAAACAAACACACTCTATAGTGTAAGAATGGCTGAATTATAGGCTATATGGCCCTGTTGATAAATAGCGTCAAAAATTTAAAATATCAACAAGCCAAAAACATTGGTTCGACTCGTCATGAGTGGGAACTTTAAAGTGAAGACAGATTGATAAGTTAGAATCTTGCACAATAAAATCACTAACAAGTGCCTGGACGGATTCAATGGAAGCCATCACCATCATCATCAACAAACTCAAAATCACAAGCCTAGGCTACCCTAGCCAGCCATGGTTTGGATCCCCAAGTCGACCCGGATCATCAGCGAATGGTGCTACCATGCTAGATGAACAGAAGACGACGCTTAGTGCAAAATCAATAGAAGGGATGGAAAATCAACAGCGATATTCAAACAATTATTCCCACCAGCAGGGTAACCAGATTTAAATCGATAGGACCCTTGGAACCGGCACAGGGAACTGGTCGATTTCGTCCATCCAAGGATTCTTCTCCTTTTCTGGATTTATTGTCCTGAGTGCCTTCCAGACTGCACTGTTGCATTTGAAGCCAGAACCAAAGGCAATCTGCCACATCCTGTCACCCCTCTTGATCCTTCCTTTGGCTTCTGAATATGCCAATTCATACCAAAGGGAGCTGCTGGAGGTGTTGCCGAATCGATACAGAGTCATCCTTGAAGGCTCCATGTGCCATTCAGAAAGCTGGAGGTTTTTCTCCAGTTCATCCAGGACAGCCCTTCCACCGGCATGAATGCAAAAATGCTCAAAGGCTAGTTTAAAATCAGGGATGTATGGCTTAAGCTTCATCTTCAACAGCTTTTTCCCTACCAGTGTGGCCATGAAAAGCAGCTGTTCAGACATGGGCAGCACCAGAGGACCCAAAGTTGTGATATTTGTTTTCAAAGCGTCGCCGGCCACCCCCATCAAATCCTTAGACAAGGATATTCCGACTTTCCCATTAGAATCCTCCATTTGTGTGACGCAGGAGAAGCACTTATCATCCGAACCTTTATGTGTTCTGACTGTATGGACCAGACGGTATTTGGATCTCCAGTAGTCGGATCTTTTGTTCGAAAGCAAGACAGCAGCACCCCCCATCCGGAAGAGACAGTTTGAAACAAGCATAGATCTCTCATTTCCAAAATACCAATTCAGTGTAATATTCTCCATGCTGATTACCAAAGCATATGTATTGGGATGGACCTGTAGGAGATCTTTCGCAAGATCGACAGATATTAGACCAGCACTACAACCCATCCCACCAAGATTGTAACTGATTATGTTCCCCCTTAGCTTGTAATGGTTGATGATCATAGCAGATAAAGAAGGCGTCGGATTGAAAAGACTGCAATTCACAATCAAAATCCCAATGTCCTTTGCCTTGAGAGAAGTTTTGGCAAGAAGCTCATCTATTGCACCAAACATAACTGTCTCGGCTTCTTTCCTAGCTTCTGCCATACATGGATTTGGAGGAATCTGCATCACAGCCTCAGGAAGATAAGTCGACTCCCCAAGTCCAGACCTCTCAAGAATTTTCTTCTGGAACTCGATATTCTCAGGTGAGAAAGAACCAGTCAATGACGACCTCTCAATGAAAACCTGCCTACTGCACTTCCTCTCATCATCAGGCTTATAGCACGAGAAATTCACAAGGTACACGGGTCTAGGACGTGTGAGGAAATAGACAGTGGACAAAAATACCAATAGAGTAGAACAAACTATCACAGATATGAGATTGAACCTAAGATGCTCCCACAGCAAATAGAGGTCTTGGAGAGAAAATGTGGACAATTGAGCTGCAACCACCACCACCAGAGGAGATAAAAATAGGTACATCCCATGGGTAATCAGGTAATGGTATCCAAGCTTCACATACTTCAACTTCACCGATTGTTTGAAATCAGGAAGTTTTTGTGAAGAAGATGGCTGATTCAAGGTTGATTTATGTTCACTCATTTTCAGTTTTCCTCCTTTAATCCTGGAAAGATCACTGAATCAGAAATTGGATACTAACAATTTCTAGATTGTTTATGTACACACACGAAGCGGAATAACAAATTCAAACCCTAATTGTTGAAGCTATTCCTGGATCTAATAGCCTTAAAGGAATATATTCCCCCAAAAAACAGTTCAAATAATTAAGGAAGGTACATATTCCAACAGTAGCACAAATAATTATTCATTCCCAATTAAATGATGGATTGAAAACTAAAGTCTCTCAGACATAATAGACACGCACCTTCTGCAATCTCTTCAAATAATCGTGGAATGCAGCCGACACAAACCTCAGAAATTCCCTGCAAAATCCAAACCAACAAACATAACTGATCAAATTAATAACGAACTGCAACGCTGAACTATTATCTCCTTTTCCTAGAATCTGATTAATATTGCAAAGACAGGCAGAAGGCTTACACAACAGATTATAAATCTGCTAACCTCTTATCATTTACGCAGCAGAATTCTCCGGCGAGATCAGTGGTGGAACGCCGAGAGAAGTAAAGAGGGTATAAAGAACCTTCATGAAATGCAGCGCGTGGCGGCTGATTTAAATGCAGCCTGTCCAGGCAATGAGTTGTACGCGTATGCATATATACATATAATAATTATTATTATTATTGTAATGATAATACTTTACTTAATTTTTTATTTATTTAATATTCTGTACACACTTTCTAGAAGATGTAACAATGCTTCCCTTATACGTGCTTTTTTTCCATTTTCAAAATTTGAAATGTCACAAAAGAGACTGTAGCATAACATTTCTGGATATATTTATTGTCCACATAAATTTAGCATGTGTTAGTTTTTATTTTTGATGCAATAAAATATTGTATTTAAAACTCTAAACAAAAATCTAGGAAATAATTCAAATAATTAAATTTTTTTCTTTTTTAAAATTGGTTCATTTCCTCCATTTCTAAAACCTAGTTTCGTTTACATATATGGTGTGTTTGTTTTGGGGGAATGGATTAAATTTACACTATTCATTCAATTTTTTTCTCCCAAAAATATCAAATCAAACACCTATTTTTTATTTTTTATATTATACTAAAAATCAATTTTACATTCAAAACATCACATCAACACTTATTTATATCAGGTCATACAATTATTCAAATTAAAAAATTTTACTATTCAAATCCCAGCAAACATAATATATTTTAAAATCTCTGCTTATTAATTTATTTACTTTCTTAAACAAAATATATAACAAACACTCAATAAGTTAGATAAATTTTTCAATGGATTCTAATAGAATGTTTTTAATGTCACATTTTCCAAGAACACAATCCTAAATTGAATTCATGTACATATAGTGCATGTACGATTGTAAGGCAAGGCATGTGAATTATGGAGAATAGGATCCATCTATTTATTATTTCCATTTAATGTTTAAAAAATATAGCCTCCATTTATGACTAAGCTACTTTGGATGCATTCTTGTAAAATTTAATCTAGTTTACATGAATTGCTTGTTTTAAATTTCAAATATATATTTTCTTTTTACTATTTTATCTCGTTTTTAATAAAAAACACACTATTTCATTTTCTTAAACATTAAATACAAATACTACTAAAATCAAAATTTTAAAATGAAAATACTGAAAATAAAAAGCAAACCCTTGTTTTAATGTTTTTTTGTACATAATAGAAATAAAACTAAAGAAAAAAAAAAAAAAAAAAACATAGTCATAATTGGTTTATTCTCCATAAATAGAATTAAAATTTTGAGACGATAAGAGAGACGGCTGCAGCCATCTATAGATAAATAGAAAGGATATAGAAATTTCTGGGAAGCATCTGCCAGCTCAGCTGCCTGGCCGACTCAGTCAAACGTGACGGCTAGGCCTAGCATAGGCCGGGCCGGGCCGGGCCGGGCTGTATATTTGAAAGTGTTACAGACAAGATTGTCTGAGCAATAAACACATGATTAGAGGAAGAAACACCACTCGACCAATGAAATAAAGAAAATTGTGAGTGTGTGTTTCTTGTTAACCTGATGCACGAAACTGCACAAGATTTGATTATGGGATGGCTTTCTCAGAGGACATGGGCGTGGACATGGACATGTCGTTTGTGAAAGCCAATTCTGCTACCAATGCGATGTGATCACTCCCCCATTTCTGAAATGGACAAAACAAGAAAGAGGGAACCCCAACCATTATGAATGAATTGATGGGAGTTTCATCATTAAATATATCTATATATATGTCATCTAAATCTTAGGATATAAAGACTACTGTTAAGAAAAGGACTCTCGGTTGAGAGTTTTGTTTAGATTGTTAGCTGACTAATTTTGTTCGATGATTTGCATACATACATACCTTGGTCGGAAATCCCCGTGTTTGCTGCATAACCTCCTTCGGAATTGGAGCTAAAACCTTTTTCGTTTGTAAACCTTCAGAGCACCTGCACAGCAAGAAACATGATGAACTTCAGCCCACCTCAATAGTTTTCAAGATGAAATTGAGTATGACCAGATAAATGGATCGATTCTGAGGGGACCTCTATAAGTGAAATAATAGTCACAACATTGGGCAATTACATTAATTAAATCATTTACATAATACAAAGCATGATGATTCAGCTGAAGAAAGGCACATGCATTGATTGGATTTCCAAAGTCAAAACATAATAGTTAAGTTGTACTAAAAATCTGTAACTTGGGAGATCTTTTGCTGTCATTTGAGAATGAACAACAATATCTTTGAACATATAAACCAGAATGAAGAATCTAAAAAGTAGAGATTCAGCCATTTGCAAGGACATGATGGTTGTGAAACCTGTTAGAGAGTAATGAATGGCATCATAATCAGTTAGTCTTTGAGTGCAATGATCTAGTTGAATATTGGAAGTTAGGATCAAGGATTTAAAATGTACTTCTGGGATTCCTCAAAAAGTAAAGCTCTATGCTTGTTCTTCCCTAAATCAATCGAGCAAAAAAAGCAACTTATCAACATTAAACAATTATAGTAAAATATCCAGCAGCTATTGCTTCAATAACACACAAGGAATGAATCCATAAGATAGAATATTGAAAAATGCTCCATGACTTACCAAATGTAATCAACTGTCCCTGCAAATCGTCTGTGATAGCTAGTCATGAGAGGTTCACCACTGGAATCTCTTGATCCTGAAGGACTCTGCAAATGGCCAAAAAGTCACATCCCAACAACTACTCACTTTCAGTTCATGTAGTGTCATAAAAAGTTTGCATGCCTATTGCCTAGGTTCTCAAGGCGTACCTCAACTTCTGCATATGTACTGCTCAATTTTAAAGGGTGTTCCATGACCTTGCAATCTGAACTACCTGTTGCGGTTTGTATTTCTGCTGGAGTCCAAGATGAGTGTACATCTGTTGCATTAACTATAATCTCATCTTCAACATAAAGGGGGTCATGGAGATTTGGATGAATGTTAGAGTGCAACTTTTGGTTGGAAGAACTGAAACCTAAATCATCTGAAAAGAGGCTTTCGCCATAATGTAATTCAGATAAAAATGTCTCAGAATCTTCATGCGGCTCATCCCTAGAACAATCATCTGGTTTACTAAGCGACAGTAGCTCAAATTTCTCATCCAATGCAAAATCAGCACTTACAGAATCGTACAAAGAAAATCCAATGGATGGCCTATCACGACTATCTATTGCTGCTGAGGCGGTTCCCTTGTGTTCTGAAAAAGCAACATCAAGAGAATGAGGAGGCAGCTTTTCATAAGTTTCCTCAACTTTTGGTGTATCTGAATTATTGGTCCCTGTAAACTCTGATGTTCTAGCAAAATCACTTGAATGATCATCTGGCAAAGATGAAATTTCAATCTTGTTATCTGGGGATTGTAACTGTGATTCATAACATTCTCCAACTCCAGTTGCCTTAGTGTCTATAGATGAAGAATCCAAATCTCCACCTGAAACTCCAATGGAAGGTTTGGCATCATTTTGAACACTAGTATACCTTCCATGCAAGCTTTCAGGAGGGCCATGCTTTGATATGTTTTCACTTGCAAAACTATCTGTTGTATAATGATTTGCCAAATCATTAGCACTCCTACCTTCACATTCTTTGCCAATTGAAGACTCAGAGGTTTTATCAACTGCTGAAATTACAGATTTGGAATTGTTTGCCACAGAATCTGTAGAACTACAAAGACCAGCTATCTTCTGTGCATCCACAGGAAAACCTACTTGCTCTGGTTTGTCACCATTTACTTGAGAAGTTGACATAGAATTAACTGAAGCTTCTTTCCTGCATTGTGAATTAAGTACCCTAGCTCAAATGTCAACAAACAAGACTCCCAGACTTGAGCAGATATTCAACCAGAAGACACACCTGTAATCTGGATAAGGAGGAAAGGATGGGTGTAATTGGGCTGTTTCTTGCCCAGAGACCTTATTTCGAGGTAGCTCTGACAAATCTAGCTGCAGTAAGACAATAAAGAAGTATAAGAGCCTGAAGGATGCATCCATTCTGACATTCAAAAGAAAGGGAAGAACAAAACACAAATGCATTAAAGGATTGAGAAGATTGCACCTTTTGTTCTTTGATAAAGTTGTACATGGGACTCTGTTAGAACATTGATGTACATTGACATCAGAGAAAGTTACAGGTTACAACAGATGAAAATTTAGCAAAACAATAGAATCAGGTAATATTTGTGATGTTCAAAATAGAGAAAAACCTTTGGGGTGCAGTTAAAATCCCCACAAATAACTACAGGAGCATGATCCCAGCGTTTAGATATAGCATGTGCTCTCTCCAGTAGCAATCTAATCTGAACAAAGTGAAGCCCAAGAAATATGTAAATATTTACAAGCATTTGGCTCATAACCTTTCATTATAAGAGAAATATCTTGACCCTAGTGACCGTGAGATATAAGAGGTCAATCAGGACAACATGTACAAAACATCATACCTGCCCAAGCTTAACATCTCCTCTCTTAGGATTGAAAAGCACATGGATGTTGCAGACAACAACTCTGTTAGAGCATTCTGTGCTGAAATGCAAAAATTGACCATCTTTAGTGGAACTTACAAATTTTAGAGAGAAATAAATCCACTCATACCAATCTCTCTTAATGTTCATTTTACGTAAAAGGACTTAACTAGACAACAAAGAATATGTGCAGGCGGAGTTCAAGGATTCCTTGAGGTAAACCATCCATGTGCTTCTATTCAAACTATCTACTCTTACTGTGCAGAGAACCATCTTCATTGTACACATCATATTCAGTTGCCATAAAATTTCTAAAGGTCAAGAAATACAATGCATTTATCAACTCACATAATTCTTAATTCGAAAGTAAATTGAAATTTCTGTATTTGGACTTGAAGCAAAGGGCCATATATAATAGTTTAATCCTTGCTTAAGAAGGCAATGGACATCATACGCTACAGCATAATGAAATTGAGTTTAAATGGATGACTGTGAAAATCAACTCTCTATAAATCTACATGGAGACATAATGTCATCTGGACAAACATAGATCAGTTAACCATAACACCTGTTATTTGTCTTCTCTTGAAACCACAAATCTTAGTTTTCTTCTTCTTTTTTCACTATTCCGGTTCATACATGCACAGACACGCTCCAAGGGATTACCATTAACATAAAAGGCTAAAGGAAGAAATGATTCTTGCCTTGTTGATAGAGTAGATGCCGCATCACTCTTCTTCAATTCACTCCGAGACTATTGAAAAAAATAATAAAAACATTAATTTGTCGAATCACATACACAATAATATGTGATAGTTTCTGTAAGTCTACTCAAAGTGTGCTATAAGAACTAATATACCTCAAAAACACAAATCTGGGCAACATTATCTCGAAGACCAAACCTATTATATTCTATTGATTCTTCATGCAACAACTTGAATCTGTAACACAACTCAAGCACATTTAACTCATTTCGTTATAACTTGAAACAAACGGTTTATTGATGGAGTCAACAGCAGGAAATTGATGAGACTACGCATACTGACATTATCAAGTAGAGCCTGATACAATATATAAAATGAAAATAAAATAACACCATCAAATCAAAACCTCACGCTATTTTACAAGCTTAGTCTTTAGTCTTAAAAAGACCAAAACTTACTGTTTCCAAGAATTCATACTTTTATCCCATAATAGCACGCAAGTTAAAAGTGTACCTTGAAGCACGCCAAAAGATAGCACAGCCGTCAACAGGATCACCAGTTCGCATCTAAAACCACAAGACATGTGGTAAGCACACATATTTCATCGAATGGGATGAAGTAGATTCCACATGATAGTTTGAAAGCAACTAAGAGTTTTCCAAGTAACCTTCCAAATGCCATCGTATCCATGGGTATTAAGTTCTGCCTTTAAGTCTTGGAACCGATCAACCTCCTGGTTTTAGGAAAAAAAAAATACATATCACTGGGAAGCAAAGTTTCATTATTATACTGCTTTTAGGAAACTCCTGTATAAGAAGAGTTCCAAATATAATCTAGCAAAGGCGATCAAGCTGGTAACCTGGAAACACAAAATATCAGCTGACCACAATCCCAGCTCAAAACATAAACTTCTCTTGCGCCAATTCCATTCCATGATGTTACGAGGAATATGAAAGTACAGTTTGTGCCAATGATCGTTGACCAAGTAATCAGCTAGTATGTTATACGAGAGAACAGTGAACAGTTCTGCACAGAATTGCAAAGGTGCAAAATTAACCCTAAGAAAAGAAGAAGAAAAAAAACATAATAGAGGCCAAACAGACAAAAGACTAAATGGTCTATTAATTGGGTGGAAATAACAAAATGCAAACCAGACTTCCTCAAGGAAATATCATTTAAAGCTTATGCATTTATGAAAATATCTACATAGATTTAGGGACTACATGCTATTTCTCAACTTCCACAGTCATTTATAACATAAACCATATAAATGGATGAAAAAGCCTGCTGAAAATTTTTTCTTAACTTGATAGCTGTGGATGATCTTCAGAAAATCTACGATGCCAATTCTAGAAAATTCTTTAGACCCTGAAGTATCTTATTTAGCAAATCAATCAACAAGATACAAATTTTATTTGAGCAGTCATTTCGAAGACAAGAGATTATCAATCTTAACCACAACCCATTTTCTTTTCTCATGCCTCAATGTCTAATCTCAGTATCATTTTGACCAAATTACATACTGTTAACTTAAACTTTGCCAACATATCATTTCTTTGCAGTAGGTCCAGTGACATATGGCAATGATGCAAAGAGAAACATGCATATTATTTTACACACTGAAGTGACCTTCAGATCAGTTACAGTGGCATGTAAAATCACTATTAAGGACATTCTGATGACAAAATAGAACAAATAAACATTTTCCACGGATTAGATTTGTTAACAATCAGTAAAGATATAACATTTGACCAACCAACATTACATAAAATTTTTGTAAGGCATTGCTCAACTCGATTCAAAAAATGACAAGCCTGGGTCTAGGAAAGGAAGAGAAATTGAAGGAAGAAAGTAGCATGTACTTGCTATAGCACTTATTGACGTTCTGTGCCATCCAAAAGAAATAAACAAATACACCAGAAATTAGCAGGGCCTGAAGAATTACCACAATTAGGAGGCGGCACGGTTTTAGCGTACTCCCAGTGACGATAGTCTGGAGGCTTCGATGGTCTAGGCCTAAACTGTGGCCGCATTTGCTGTGGTCTAAATTGCTGAGAATTGCCAAAAGCGGGTCCCGCCTGCTGTGGGTGCCTGTAAGGCCGTTGTCCGGGAAACTGCTGCGAGTAAGGAGGGCCATGCCGGTGAGGCAGCGTGTCGGATACATAAAAGTTATGACCCGTTCCATAGCGAGGAGGCGGAGGGACAGCATTGTAACTGGGTCGAAAACCACGGTTGGTAGTTCGAACTGCTTGGAAATGAGAATCCCCAGACACGAATTCACCGCTCGTTGAATTCAATGGTTTGTCGGAGAAGCCTCTGCTGTGCTGCGGACGCCGTCCTCTCAACTGCAATAAAGAAGCATGTTAACTTTGTGCTCTCGTAACTACAATCCGATCCTTAAATCCGGATTATGAGTGATGTATAGAATTGAAATCAAGAAAGAATGTCTTTTTCTAATGAAAGGTTGGATGCTTCGATTATTCGATATCAAAAACCACACATAAACCGAGGGCACAGGTAATCCCAGTTGCCGCATGTCTGATTAGCTGTGTGCCTAGAGAGAGAGAGATGAAGACATTACACAAGGTCTAGAAGACATAACGGTCGAGGTGACGGTGTCACCAGTGGCGGCAACGGCGAGGGATCGGAGGGAAGCGGGGCGGCGGTTCATCGGGTTGCGCAACCAGCTTCCGAAATCATGGATTCCAAATTGGACCGAAAAAAAAAATAAAAATTATAAATCAGAAGTTAAAAAGCGTGTTTAAAAAAAAAAAAAAACCCTTAAAAAGCGTTTCTTGCAATATTAATTCTAAATTTTAGAAACGCGACTTTACTGTTAGTTGCTGACACGAAACGTCACCACTACTTTTTCCTGGTTCTTCCCCGCCATCGTTGGTCTCATCCGGCCACTCGAAAACGAGGTGAGCTCGGTGACGGAGGAAACGATGTCGTTTACTGCATCTCCGCTATCTGCACAGTTTCTTCCCACAAAACCTGCGTCCCAACGCTTTCGTGCGTGCGCCTCCGATGTACCGGATTTCTTCTCCGCCGACTGGTATCTCGCAGTTTTTTTTTTTTTTTTTTTTTGTTCCTGCAAAATTCAAATCCGTTCGAATTATAATAACAAACAACTGATTATGCACCTCAAAGGTTTGATAATAAGTTTCTGCTCTTGGTTATTCTCCTAGAAAGGTGTAGAAGTTGATTTCCGTTCAGAGGCTCTCTGCATTTTTTAGAGCTCATATTGCCCTGGTGTTTTGTTCAGAATTGGAAACTTTTTGAAATTTAGCACTAATTAGTTATGTAAGAAACTCAATATGCTTCAAAGCTGAAGATTTTTGGCTCGTTACCTCCTATATACATCGAATCCGCACAGTACATTTCCATTTACGAAGTAGTGAGAATCGTGAATATTTGGGGAATTCAACCTGTCTGGCTTGAATTGGAAACTCTGTAAATTTGGCGCTGCATCATCTACAATGACAAGATCATACTTTTCTGCAACATTCATTATTCTAAACTAGGTTTCCATGTCCATTTTGCAGGCTTGAGGCCCGAAGGAAGAGGCCTTTTGGTCCAAGATTGAGTGTAACTTTCATATCAACGATATCCTTATATACTGCAGCTTATTTTATTTCTATAAAGCAGTGATTTTTTTTTGCTTTTCCTACTGTAGTTCAGTGCAGAGGAAGCTGTGAGATACCAGCTCGATGCATTGATGTTTAACGACCTGCCTCAGCCCGATTACGGCATTGAAGTCATGTACAGGGTAGGCAATCTACAGTCTTCTCCAATGCAATGCATTTCAGTTACTGTTTTTCATCGACACCTCTTCATCTTACAGTTTGCCGGATTCGATCCCTTTGAAAGATCCACCTATTTTGGTCCCTTCTTCGACTTAGGCCAGGTCAGTGCTGAGTAGGTAGATAACTGAATCTTCTGTGAATCTTGTTACTGCTGATCTGATATTCGCATCCAAAAATTACTCTTGTGTTCCAATGTTACTGCAATTCCTTATCAGTTTCGTACGGCAGTTTGAAAGATTTAGGCGGATCTTCCACCATTCAAGCTACCGCGTCTTGCTTGGTCACCGGGAACGAAAGATTCTAAGTGGTCTAAAAGTGAAAGAGGTTAGCCAATTCCATCTTCACATCTCATCAGCCTATGGCATTTACACATTGTTCATCGAATAACCAATAACCGGGAGGCCTATCCGAGACAGAATTGCTACAAACAGCGAGTGTGGGTTAGAGGATCCCGACCAGAAGAAGAAGAAGTATTTCAGTTCACAATGGTTCAGGTTTGTCCATTTCTTCTCACTCTCTCTTACTGATTAAATGTACATTCTGGTAACTCTAATAAGTTTCCTGGTTTCAGAGAGTAGGTGGGTCTTGGGATGGTTATTGGCTGACGGAATCCCTGCTTCACGACGGAGATTCCTTCTCCGGCGGTGTGGCATACTGAACTTTTATTAGATTTTCAGCTATACAATGTAACTACAGCACCACTTGTATATTATTACCAAATCATACATACATGCCATTAAATGAACGCACGATATTAATTTCACAAACTATTAACTTGAGAAACCGAGCAATTAACCAAATGCATACTCACTCCGTCCATTACTTTTGGCGCAGTGTTTAAGAAATAATAATATTTTAATTACAGGTAGTTAAAATAGTGTAATGACATTTTTGCTCTTATTTTTTGTGTAAAAGTAATGATGTAATGTAAAAAAAAAAATTAGAGTATTTAATGAAATGTTAACGTTGTAATTGGACGTCCCAAACTAGAAATATGTAAACATTGTAAGTGGACGGGGAAGTACATTTTATGATAATTTGTTTATATACTTCTAAAGTTTAATTCAATTTAATTTTTTTTTAATTACTAAAATCAGATGGATACTCTACTTTCATAACTACTATTCGAAGTAAATATTAAATAATAATAATAATAATTACTCTTTCTATCCCTCTTAAAGTCTACAGTATATTATGAAATTAGATAAAATATAAAATAAAAATAATTATTATATAATAAAATAAATATGATTATTTATAAAAATTATGATTAATGATTGAATAACAACTTTGACTATTTCCACTACGAGAAATGGATAACAGATTTATTAAGACTAACTGTATATATTCATCTATAAATCTATTGAAATAGTCCAATAGACCTCAGTGCCCCCGGCAAGGGGGACTTCATCGGCCGGGGCCACTCCGTGCCCCCGGACTCAGGTAAGGGAAACTTCGGCCTTTTTTTACTATGATTAATAAAATTATAAATTTTAAATTTTAAAATAGGATTAAAATATATAATTATATTTAAAAAATTATATAAAAATATAAAATGTGGACATTTATGTGTGGGAGCGGATGAAGTAATTTTTTTTGTTGAATTAATCGAATATATTGGCTTAAAGAATAAATTGCGAGTGTGCATTGAAAGCTTTGATAGCTGATGCTACGGCTCACGCAGCCATTTTTATGGTAAGAGACTATGATGCAATCATATCACATTTCAACTGTACGTGTATATTTATGAGCTTTAACAATTTTGATTCGTACATTCATAATGATATACCAAAGGCGTTTTAAACAGACTATGCGCTCATTTTCAATAATAATACTCCCTCCGTCACAATCAAGATGCAACGTTTATTTTTTACATGAATTTTTAGGTAGGCAGTATTAAAGTATTAAGCATGATAATTTAGAAATTAGGTGATGTGATACAGAGAAATATATATTTTATTTTTTTATTGGGATAATGTGAGGAAATAAATTGTGGAAATAGAGATTAGATATAATTAATTATTTCTTATTTTGAAAATGTTGCAAAGTGTTTGGGACTTGGATGGAGGCAGCAGTAATTAATTTTGAGTCTGCTTATATTATTTTTATTTATTGTTTTATTTGAAGCAGATATACTGTAGCTTATCCAAAGTCAAAGTGGGTTAAGAGATGAGAGAATTACCGAGGAAGGCGAAGGCAGTGGTGGTGGGAGGAAGCATCGCCGGATTATCCTGCGCACACGCGCTGATTGCCGCCGGGTGGGAAGTGGTGGTGCTGGAGAAAACAGGTGCGCCTCGAGCAGGTTGCGCTACCGGTGCAGGACTCGGACTCGATCCTTTGGCTCAGAAAATTCTCAGATCATGGCTCAAACAACCAGGCATCCTCGAGCTTAACACTGTGCCGCTCACGATCGATCAAGTAATTGAACCAAATTTCTCATGAACTTCACTACTTATTCAATCACCTGCGTTGTCGTTGAATTGTTGATCCTGTATAAACATTTCGCGAAAACATTGCCAATAATCTTTGTTTACACACTAACAGCTTATTGTGACTTGAAAATTTTAATGAGAGGACGGACCTGTTTCTTACCTGACATGTTGTGTTAATTGTAGAATGAAGCAACAGATGGAAACAAGAACCGTGTGCTCACAAGGGATGAGAACTTGAATTTTCGAGCAGCACACTGGTCTGATCTGCATAGCCTTCTCCACGAGGCATTACCAGCACAAACTGTTTGCTGGGGACAAATGTTCCTCACCTTTTGCATCTCCGAAGACAGAACTCATGTCGAAGTAAAGAGCAAAGCTGTCCAAACTGGTGATATAACCAACATTGTTGGTGATTTGTTGGTAGCAGCTGATGGTTGTCTTTCTCCAATTCGCCAGAGCTTCTTACCCGACTTTAAACTGAGGTTTGTGAATCGAGCCAATGCTTCTTTGATCTTTGGCACATGTACGAACCTGGGATTCTGGTTCAAGTAAGACACATTTTGTTAGATATTCAGGCTATTGTGCATGGAGAGGAGTACTTGATTTCTCAGACGAAGAAAATTCGGATACCATTCTAGCACTTAAGAAGCCTTACCCTGATCTTGGGAAATGCTTATATTTTACCTTGGGACAAGGAACACATACTGTCCTGTATGAGCTCTTAAATAAGAGGATAAACTGGCTTTGGTATGTTAATCAACCAGAGCCAGAGTTGAAGGTATATCCTAAATCTCGATTTTATATTTCAGAATAATGACTTGAATGAACTCTCAACTTTGTGTTTTCGGGATTAAATCAGGGAAGCTCAGTAACCATAACAGTGAGTGATGATATGGTTGAGAAAATGCATGAAGCAGCGGAGAAGAATTGGGTACCTGAATTGGTTAAAGTGATGCGCGAGACAGAACAACCATTCTTGAATGTCATATATGATGGGGAGCCTCTAGATAGAATTGTTTGGGACAACGTGGCATTGATTGGAGATGCAGCTCATCCAACGACTCCTCATGGTTTAAGAAGTACAAACATGTCAATACTGGATGCTGCAGTTCTGGGAAAATGTCTAGAGAAATGGGGAGTTGAGAATCTGAATTCTGCTCTCCAAGAATATCAATCCATCCGTCTGCCTATTGCCAGGGAGCAGGTCTTATATTCACGAAGACTCGGGCGCATCAAACAAGGTTTAGACCTTCCGGATCGCAAGGTCTTCGTTCCTGTAACAGCAAGGGAAGAAGACTGTGAAGAACTGCAGCAGAAAGCTATGCCTTCCCTAAACGAGATTCCTTCTATTCTGGGTAACATAATATAGTTGGAGCATTGACAAGCTATTATTATTCATTGGAATCCTAGTTACATTATTCTAGCTTCTGAAGTGATGGGTGTTGATATTATTTAGATTTGAAGAATCTTTATATGGTATCAAGAGTCTACTTTTCTGTTGAAGTGATACAATCTATTAACTCACGTCTTTCTCCGGGTACATCCTGAGGATTTTCTTTCAAATTTGAGATCCATTACCACAGTTATCGCATTCATAATTCCTAATTTGGAAAATACTTGCCACCAAATATCATTATCATCATAAACAGTGCATATTAGTCACCAGCAGTTAAAGTTTGGTCAATACTGTCGGTCAACACAGTCAACAATTTCATTACCGGCGACTTTGGTAGTATGCGCAAGTACATTCAGTGGTCAATTGTTAGAAATTTTTTTGCAAATATTTTCGGCCGGCTTTCAGTTTTGATTAAGGCTTTTGGTTTGGTATTACCCGTCTGTATATTAGGATTTAATTCCTTAAGGTTTAGTGCCACCACAACGATAGAGACTCGTTGTCACCGCCGCTGCGACAGAGGATCGTGGCTATTAAAAATTATAATTTGATATTGATGTTCAATTATGAAGTCCGTCTATATTCAATCACCTCATATTTCTTTTGCCAAACTCAAGTTGGCTTCTACATCACCAATTTTTTCTATTTCTTTTGCCAAACTCAAGTTGGCTTCTACATTAACAATTTCTAGATTTGAAATGCGCTCTGTTGACGAGAGTAGCATGTAGTTATGTTAATGATCTACTCCAAGTTAATTGGTTTTTGTTAAAAAAACCTCATGTTTGATTCTATGCACTAAATTCCATATCACTTAATAACAAACTATAGTTGGCATAGTTCATGATAGTTGGCATATCACTAAATTCAATACAATAATTCATGTTGCTATCAGTTGTGCTAGCAAACAAAATATTGAAAGCCAATGAAACTTAAAGGTACCTATTGTCAGAAGAAATCAATCTTGCAGTTCTATATCATCTGTGCTCTTCAATAATTGTTTGTTGCAGTTGCAGAGAGATGAAGAACTCAAGGAGGAAGGCGAAGGCAGTGATCGTGGGCGGCAGCATAGCCGGGGTTTCTTGTGCACATGCCCTGATAGCAGCAGGGTGGGATGTGGTGGTTCTGGAGAAGACCTCCACTCCACCGGAAGGTTGCGCCACCGGCGCAGGACTTGGGCTGGATTCTGTATCAGAGAAGCTCATCCAGCCATGGATTACACAACCTGAACTTCTCCAGGTTTTATCCTTGCCCATGACAATCGAGCATGTAGGTGAACTTTCTGCACTCTGAAACTTATAAATGTTTCTTCCGCATCAAACAGTTTGAAGATAAGCAGTTTAGTTAAATTTGATTTTGTAATTGTTGCATAGTTCACAGACATGGTTTTCTGGTTACAGGAACAAGCTACTGATGCAGACAAGAAGATTACCTGGACGCTGACAAGAGATGATAACTTCAATTACAAAGCAATGCACTGGGCAGATCTTCACAGAATTCTGTACCACTCTTTATCACCAGAAGTTGTTCTTTGGGGCCATTTGTTTGTCTCCTTCTCCATTTCTGATGACAAAAGATCGGTGAAGGTGCAAGCAAAAGTTCTCCAAACTGATGAAACCATCGAGATAGTCGGGGACTTGCTTGTTTCAGCAGACGGTTGCCACTCTGCAATACGGAAAACTTTTCTTCCAGACCATAAACTGAGGTTCGTCGACAAGACTAACAGCAATTCCTCATGTTCCTATGCTCAAACAAGATTTTAGGATCTTAAACTTCTTCCCTGATAGAAAGATGTGACCTTTTTTTGTAGATATTCAGGTTATTGTGCATGGAGAGGGGTTCTTGATTATTCAGATAACCCACAGTCCGAAACTGTAGTGGCACTCAAGAAGGCATACCCTGATCTTGGAAAAACTAATTATTTCGACATAGGTTCAGACGGGCATGCTATCCTCTACGAGCTAATTAACAAAAGAATAAACTGGATCTGGTATCGCAACCAAACAGAGCCAGACTTTAAGGTATAAACTCGATCATGTTCTATTCTTTCATTGCAAAAAGAAGCTGATAACAAGAGATATTAATTGCATTTTTCGTGACCAACCCCAGGGAAACTCTGTTACCACAAAAGTTAGCAAGGACATGATCGAAAAAATGCTAACAGCAGCCGAGAAAGTGTGGATACCTGAATTCGTGAAAGTGATGCGGGAGACAAAAGAGCCATTCCTGAATGCAATATATGACAGTGATCCATTAGAGCAATTGTATTGGGACAATGTGGTGTTGATCGGAGATGCAGCTCACCCTATTAGTCCTCACGGCGGTAGGAGCACAAACATGTCGATACTCGACGCAGCAGTGTTGGGGAAATGCCTGGAGAAATGGGGTGTTGAGAAGCTGAGTTCAGCCCTGCAAGAATATCAGTCGATCAGGGTGGTGGTTGCTAGAGAACAGGTCCTGTTCTCGCGGAGAATGGGTAGGATAAAACAGCGTTTACCTCTGCCTGACCGCGAGCTGTTTGATCCAGTGACAGCAGACCAGAAGGAATGTGAAGCCCTGCGCCTTAGGAACATACCTTATTTCTGTGATGTTCCATCCATATTGATTTAATAGGTAATACAAATACAGCCCATATAAAACAAGATTACTGATAATATTAATCTAAATATAAATTTACTAAATTTAAAATTGAAAATTAAATATTCATAAGTTTGTAGGCTTGGTATGACTTGTTCTGACTAATTTGTAGAGTAACAGTTGGATTTTAGCTCAATAAAAAAAATAAAAATAATAATAATAATAATAAATTTAATATCATGGTAATTGATTGTGACACATGAGAATAAATTTTTAATAAATTGAATGTGTAATAAGTGGTAAATTTGGTAGAGAGAAATAGTAGTAACATTATTTTTTTACTTATTCATTATTTTTATAAAATTTTTAATAAATTTTCATAATATTTTATTCTAACATAGTAAATAGGAGTATTGCTTATGTTAATATATGACGTACAGTACATCTACTACGACAGACAGCACTCAAAAGCAGTTCAAATAACTCCTCTACCTTCACTACCTTCCTGGAATTCCATGCGAGTGTGTGACGATGATTGGATTGAACGTGCTTTTTGCTTCTGTCTTCTATTTGAATCTCGTGTGTACAAATTTAAACAAACGGTGTTCGTTATCATCTGTTTTGATGTGATGGATTAGTCTGGATTTTTAGAGAGAAAAAGCTTGATGAACATAACAATGGCTAACCTGGATGGAGACCCGCGCTGCGTGCACGCGGAGGCGATAAAAAATGGCGTTGTTCCTACACCCCAAACCAGGGCGTTCTTCAACAACCTCATCACCCGCTACGCCAGATTCGATGCCGCAGATTCAGCCTTTGCACTCTTCCGCACCATTCCCTGTCCTAACGTCGTCACGTGGACCTCCATCATCTCTGCATTCGCCGATTCTCCGCAGGCCGCCATTAACCTCTTCCTCTCCATGCTGCGGTCGCCCAGGCGGAGTCTGCCCAACGCGCGTACTTTCTCCACTTTGCTCAGGACATGTGCTTCGTTGCCGGATAATCGCTTCGCTCCACAGCTGCAATCTCTCTCCTTGAAGCTATCTGCGCTCGAGAGTCCTTTCGTAGGGTCAGCTTTCGTCTCTTTATATAGTAAAATTGGGGATTTGGATTCTGCGCGTAAGGTGTTCGACGAAATGTCCGAACCCGACGGAGTTTGTTTTGCTGCGATGATCAACGGTTTAGCTCAAAACAACAGGCCAATCGAAGCTCTTCAGTGCTTCAGTGATATGAGAAGGCACAATTCGCCTTCAACATCTCAGAGCTTATCTGGAGCATTGTGCGCAGCTTCTGGAACTGCCATGCTCGAGCAATGCAGGATCTTCCATGGCCATGCTGTAGTTACAGGTCTATATTCGAACATTTATGTTGCGACAGCATTGATCGACGGGTATGGCAAGTGTGGGATTATTGAGGAGGCAAGAAAAGTGTTCGACGAATGGAAACTGGAGCTTCAAATAGCAGGATGGAATGCATTAATGGCAGGGTATGCAATACAGGGGAGCACTGAAAGTGTTATTAATCTCTTCAATGCGATGGAGCATCGAGGGATTGCACCGGACGAGTATACATTCTTGGCAGTTTTGACGGCGTTCCAAAGTACTAATATGGTAGCTGAGATTGAAAGATGGCTCGATAGGATGAAAATGAAATACGGACTAGAACCGAGCATCGAGCACTACACATGTTTGGTTGGCGCGATGGGGAGAGCCGGGAGATTAGAGGAGGCCGAGAGAGTAGCTTTGGCAATGCCATACGAGCCTGATGTAGCTTTTTGGCGCGTGCTGTTGTCGAGTTGCGCAATTAACAAGAACACAGACAAGGCTTGGAAGATGGCTGAGAAACTGTTGGAAATCAACCCCCAAGACGACTCGACTTATGTGATACTATCGAACATGTTTGCCAGCGCTGCAATGTGGGATGAGGTCAAGAAAGTTTGGAAAGTTATGAGGGATAGGGGAGTGAAGAAAGAGATCGGAAAAAGTTGGATCGAGGTGCTAGGCGTCGTCCATGTGTTCTTCGCGGGAGATAGAAGGCACGCCAGAATGGATGAGATTTACGCGAAGCTAAAAGAGATGATGATGGAGATCAAGAAGATGGGCTATGCGCCGAATGTGAGCGAAATATGGCATGAAGTGGAGGAGAAGGAGAAGCACGAGTTGCTTTTGTATCATAGCGAGAAACTGGCAGTTGCATTCGGATTGTTGCGTGGGGTGACGCCGCTGGGGAAGCCCCTGAGAATTATAAAGAATCTGAGAATATGTAAAGATTGTCACGACACATTCAAGTATATTAGCATTGTAGCCGCAAGAGAGATTGTCGTGAGGGATGTTCAGAGGTACCATAGGTTCTCGAATGGCTCATGCAGCTGTTGCGACTCGTGGTAGCAGAAATGATCGAAACATTCGAGCTTGTTTGCCCGAAAAATAAATTACCTGTAGAGCAAACACCACAAAAAGAAGGGATGGAGGAGTAAAAGAAAAAGAACAAGAAACAACAAGTCACCCCGCATATGTTACAGTTACAAATAGTGGCCTCTCACCAAAGCAGAAATGAAATAAATAAGTCTCAAAACTTAAAAATTAAAATAGGAAAACAAGAACCTTTCATTCATGGTCATCTGTCATTTTGATTCTTGATTCTCTGCTATTCATTCACTCATTCATCCAATTTATCTAAGAAGCATCGCAGTTCCTTCAACCCTTCAGCAGAAATGCTTCGGTGCACTCTCCCCCGAGGTACCGTCAAGTTGGGGGGCGGTTGGGGTAGGAAACACACGACAACGGCTGACAAGTTGTCCCCGCTGTTGCGCTTCAATGCCTCGCCGACAAGTTCCTTGCTGCACATTGCTGGATCATTATGCTCTTGAAGCCTTCTACGGGCGAAATCCACAGCATTCTGGCTCATAAACACGTCCCATAGACCATCACACCCTATGATTAGGAACTCGTCTTCTTCCGTTAGTCTTGTGCTCATCAGTTCAGGCTCTGCAGTTAGAGGCCCGCCATCCCGGCATTTCAATCCTTCCATGTGCCAGTCTCCCAGAGCACGAGCCACATTGAGTTGCCCGTTGAGATAGCCATCATCCACGTAACCTCCAGAAGCTTCTATCCGCCTTTTTTCTTTCAATAAAATGGGTTTGTGATCTCTGGACATCTCGATTGCTTTACCGCGGCGACAGAGCACTGCTCTGCAGTCCCCAGCATTGGCCACTATCAGAGAGCTGCATAAAATGAATATAAAGCAAGAAAATTCCGTTCAAATAATTAGTATTCTGGAACATGAAACATCATCTAAGTAAGGTTTTTGTCACGAATAATAGAACACCAACCTTCCAATTATCACAGCCGCCAAAGCGGTGGTTCCAGAAGCAAGATCTGCATCCAAGGAGCAGGCTTCTGCAAAAGCAGTATCCGTCTGTAAAAATGCTGTAGACATTACTCTTTCAATCTCATCAGGAAAGCCTTCATCTTCAACAATAAATCTTGGTAAGTGATTACAAGCAAAATCAGCAGCATGCTTTCCTCCATGTCCATCAAAAATCTGGCAGGATTTATATGAAACCAAATAAGAACAATCCTTACAGCATATATTTTTACATGAAAAAAAAAATAAAATGTCTTCTTCAATAAATAAGCAGACAGCCTAATAAGTAGTTATTTAAAGCTTCCTAAATAGGAAATGAATTCACAAGAAACAAAATTGACAAGAATTAAGTAAACTTCAGTGAAACAATCATATAAGTAAAGCTTACCACACCACCTACATGCTCTGCAATTCAGATGTTTGTTGATAAAAGTTCATCTTAATAGTGAACAATCATATAGCAATATATTGGGACTAGAGGGCTTAAAATATCCAAGTGGTGGGTTCAGTCATAGTACATGGGAAAAGACTTACTGCATAGAATGCACAACTATCATTTCTAATGTTTGAGCCATAATCACGCATCAAATTGTCAACACAAACATAAGCATCCTCCATGCGGGATCTAGAACCGATGTCTGCCCAAGCACCTGAACGCAGCAGGGGAATATATTTGGATTTGGCACCACTAGAATGTCCGTTCAAATTTGTTTCAATTGAGACTTCTGAGACTTCCACCTGCTAAAGCTCTAGTCAAAAATCAATTCTGCCACGTGATGATAGAAAATAGCGTAGCACAGCCACAGAACACAATATATTAACCAAGAAAAAAGCCATATGTGGAAATGCAAAATAATGAGTTTCTTTAGACTTAAATTCTCCATTTAACTAATGTGTCTTTCTTACCCCTTTCCATATCCACTCACCAGTCTCAACCAATTAAGATACCAAGACTAAAGAGAGACAGAAAACAAAACTACCATAACTTAAAAGCCTTGTAATACACTAGTATGATCATGAATAACAGTTTCCATTATTGTGCCACCTGATATACAAACAATGTGATTGCCAAAACATACCCCCAATAAGACTTCATGCTGACAAAATAATGATCCACAATAATCATCAATATATAACAAGGATCTAGCACATGAAGTTTGGATTTTCATTTACCCACTCCTAAAACCATATAGCTTCTAAAAGATCTTATCTGATCTACAGGACACCTATCTTATAAGAATCAAGAAATTCCAATTTGGATAGAACCTATATATAACAGTAAATGAAAACCCTTCAACCCCAACATCTTCACAAAAATATGATGAATCCAAGTAGGAATAATCCCATAAGAGATGCATTAGACAAACTTAAACCCAATAGAACACCTGAATAATCAACAACTGATATAGAAAAAAATTTTAGTGTAGTGAATGTGTGTACATATATCATCACATCTATAAAAATAATGGCAGCTAGAATAAAACAACAAAATCCGACCATCTCCGATTGATATACTCTTAGGTAATGATAAACAGGTGCATAAATTAAAAACCTTTCCCCCAAAAACGTATATATCATAGGTCAAAACGAGAAACGACAGATACAAACATGGAAAGATTAGAGAGAAAATAACTAGGATACAGTGAATTTCAACTAGAATTACAAAAGAGAGGTCCGAACATGAGGAGGCTTATTAAACGAGGGAGATGTGGCCTCTGAATTCAAAAACAGCCGGCAGACACTTCGGCCGCCTGCGGAACTGGGAATCGGCGGCAGCCCGACGCCAGAGGAGAATTTCTCTCCGCCACCATCCACATTACCGACAGTTACCCTAGTTTCCTCCATGATAACTCCGAATCATCACTTCTCCAACTCAAATTCGAACTGAAAATAAGAACAAAAAGGAGCAGAACACGCAAATTGACTCCAAATTCTTCGGCCTTTCCCTAATTTTAGAAACTAGGGTTTCAGATTGGGGCTAGGGTTTTATATAAGGAGAGAAATAAATCAAGAATCGATGCGACTACAAGGAATAGATCGGAGAGAGAGAGAGAGAGGCGAAACGATGAAACTTTTGTTTCGATGATTTCTGCCGCTGCGTGTTTGAGCCTATTTATATATTCCAGAAGCATGACGTGTACATACTAAATACGACGTCGTTGCGCTGACCTTTCGTGATTGACGTGTCTTCTTTTAACGTCACTTTGCATGCAGATATTTTCCATCGCGTTACGTCGATTATTTTATTTCTATTTTTCGAATTTTTCAATTCGGCCCCTCTTCTTTGAGCAAATATACGAACCTCCTCTTTATAGTTTTTGAAAGTTGTATAATGTTGTGAGAGATTGAAAATATTAAAAAAAAAAATAATACTCCCTCCGTCTCGTCTTATGTTGCTACACTGTAGATACGGTATTTTATGAAGGGTATAATTAATAGATAATTAAAAATATATTAGTGAAAATAATTATCCTATAATATAACTAAGTATAAATTAAAATTAAAATAACTGATTATTTTAATAAAATTAAAAAAAATAAATTAAAAATTTTAAAATGAGATTAAAGTGTATAATCATTTTTCAAAAAATAAATGTGACATAGAATATGGGACGAACAGAGACGACAACGTGGACATGATATGTGGACCGAAGGACTAATATTGTATGTCTAGTAATTTTTTGTTGTACTTGACGGAGTAGAGTTAATATTATATTGCAATAATGACCACGTTTATTTCACTTTGTTTTAATACAATAGAGTGGCTGTCGAAATTTTCAAAGTCAAAGGACCTAATCGTAGATCTAGTTAATAATTCATGTCGGTGACATTTTATTCATTAGGACACAGACCATCTGCCCCTTAAAGTCCAATTTAATTTTCTTAATTGACGTAATAAAATTTTCTTAAAAAATAAAAATATTGGGCCAAACTCCAAATATTTGGGCCGAATTGTACGGCCCAGCTTTGTAATAATATTGTGGACCCTAGAAAATTGGAGTAAAAGGAAAAAATTATAATTAAATTGGAGGGGAGTAAAATAATTTGGCAATTGTTGATATATCTTGTACTTTGTAAAAAATAAAAAAATAAAAAGTGCTATCTTTAGATATTAATAAAGAAAAAATAGGAAGAGAAATTGATTTGTAGAGCTTTTGGGAAGCATGTCTTTCTACCAAAATTTTAATGCTAAAGATGGGTCCCTACTAACTTGTATTTCTATTTTTTCACCTCAATTAATAGCGATTGTCAGTAATTATGTTCAGTATTGTCATATTCTTTAGTACTACACGTGTCAGCGCAGGAGGCCTGGCAGAAATAAAGGGCCCCACTGGTGGTATAGATTTGTCACATTTGTATCAGAATTTTGTATTTTGCCACAAGCATATACGACAACCCTGGGCCTGGACTACATTGTGCATCCATTCTTTCTAATCAAATAAATAAATAAATAAATACTCTTTTTTAAGGCATAAGTAATTATTTATCAATAGTTATATAAGTTCAACAATATCAAGAATAAATATATTATGTAGCATAATATTGATCAGCGTGAATCTGGTACTAATTTATATCAGAGCCGTTGGATGGACAAGCGATGACCATCCGACGGCTGAGAGACGAAGCTCCGATTCGAGTCATCACACGACGTTCGAAAAATAAGTGGGCTTTTTATAGGCCAGCAACGAAGGTTTCCCGAACAAGTAAGCAGATGGAAAGACAGGTAACTGACACGTGTCCTCGTGTGCTTCAACCACCTGGCAATGGTCATCATATTCATTATTTTTAATTTTAAGATACGGCTTCTTTTATCGGGTAAATTTAAATTACATTAACAATTATGATATTTCTGTACTCATCTGCATATATGCATGCACCATCAGCTGTTACCTATTTATTTAAATCGCATTGCCAGATTCTCTTAATTTAATTAATCAATTAATTCGTTACAGAGAACAAACACGACACAAGTGATAATGAATGTTATTATTAAAGCTGTTTCTGGCCGTTTTATGTCGTTTGACCCATGTGCTTTTACTTGACTAATACACGTAGACTTTTGTACAAAGCAAGTACAAAGTAAGCATTTTTTTTTTTTTTTTTGTCTTATATTTATCCAAAGTCAAAGCCAAATTATATTGTGGCGACTACCCATAATTAAATTAAAACTGCATTACGAATTATCAATTTAAAATAAATAGAATAATAAAATGAAATCGGTCCAATCCAATTATCATACTCGAGAAGCCAGCAGAGGCGCGTGCGAGCGCGTGCGGTAGCCGCGAGTGTGCCGTGAACTAACCCTCACTGCTCTGCCGTTCAGCTTCGGCAGTATTTATAGGCTACGCAGGAGGAGAAAGGGCGAAAAAAAATTCACAAGAACACACAAACATACAGTCATCAAAGCAAAGCAATTCTGAGCTAAGAGAAGAAGGTACCTTGAGAGAGAGAGAGAGAGAGAGATACATACATACATAGAAAACACACATAACATCGATCTATACACTTTTCCTTAACTTTCACGTCTCCATTACAATTTACACCCCTCCCTGTCTTGATTTTCTTCGAGTTCAGTTCAGTTCAAATCTCGAAAATGGGGTTTTGCAAGGAAGACGAAGATAGAAACGGGTTAAATTACCAGATTGTCCCCGGCCCCATCATCGTTGGCGCCGGCCCGTCAGGGCTGGCAGTGGCGGCGTGCCTGCAGCAAAACGGCGTCGCTTCGCTGATCCTTGAAAGAAGCGACTGCATAGCCCCGCTGTGGCAGCGGAGAACCTACGACGTGCTCAAACTTCATCTCCCCAAGCACCTCTGCGAGCTGCCATTGATGAATTTCCCCGACCATTTCCCAAAATACCCCTCCAGGTATCAGTTCATTTCTTACATCGAGTCTTACGCCAACCACTTCTCAATCAAGCCCAAATTCAAGCAATCCGTTCTTAGAGCTGAATTCGATCGAATCAGCGGGTTTTGGAGCGTGCAAACTCACGATTTTCAGTACTTTTCGAGATGGCTAATTGTCGCCACAGGTGAAAATGCCGAGCCCGTTATACCTGAAATTCCAGGGATTGAGAAATTTCGGGGGCCCGTTCTGCACGCCAGTGGGTATAAATCGGGCTCGGAGTTTACAAAGCAGAGAGTTCTGGTCGTCGGATGTGGAAATTCCGGCATGGAAGTTAGTCTTGACCTCTGCAGGCACAATGCAAGTCCTTACATGGTCGTCAGAAACTCTGTAAGTACAATTTGATTAATTATTATCCTAATTAATTAATTCAGGGTTTATTTTATTTATATATATATATTCTTGCTACTTTTCAGGTTCATATTCTGCCGAGGGAAATTATGGGGGTTTCGACGTATTCTATAACTACGGCACTCCTGAAATGGCTGCCATTAAAGCTGGTGGACAAGTTCCTTCTCATGGTGGCTAATCTGACATTAGGCAATACTGACAAATTAGGGCTCCGGCGGCCCAAAACGGGGCCGATTGAACTCAAAACAGCCACCGGAAAAACACCGGTGCTCGACATCGGAGCTTTCTCGCAGATTAAAGCTGGAAACATTAAGGTATAAAAATGGAACCCTAGCTCACAGTCACACAGTCTACAATTGTATTATCCATCGCATGCATGTAATAAATATCTTTCAGCTGATTAATTACCATTGACGCAGGTGGTTGAAGGTGTGAAGGAGATTACAGAAACTGGAGCCAAATTCGTGGATGGACAGGAGAAAGAATTCGACTCTATCATTCTGGCAACGGGCTACAAGAGCAATGTTCCGACATGGCTCAAGGTAATTCTTACCTCTTACATACAAGTATTCTCAGAGACGGGCGGGGGCCGGGAGCCGGAGTCCTGGACGATCTCGGCCTTACACACAAATTTATACACATCGCATTCGGCCTTACATATATATATATATATATATATAATACAGTCTACGAAACAAAACAAAAGAAAACGTTTTCTTACACTGACACAGCAAAGAGAAGATCTGATGGCATTTGTTTGGATCATTCTCTTCCCTTCCCCAGTGTCAAAATACAAATTTGTCTCCACTCTCACGATGTGTTCCTTTCACAAAATATTTTGGTTTTTGCGTGACACTGCACTGCATTTCGCATACTTATCAATAAACTGTTCAATTCTGATGTTTTCATTGAATTCTTGACCCAGAATCCTTACCCAAATTAAATTAAATTATTATTAATTCATTACACGCAGGGATCTGATTTGTTTGCAGAGGATGGAATGCCCAAGGCCAATTACTCCAACAGTAGTTGCAAGGGAGAGAGTGGACTTTACGCTGTGGGATTCTCCAGAAGAGGTCTCCTCGGTGTTTCATCTGACGCCGTCCAGATCGCCACGCAAATCGCTAATCAATGGCGGAGAATTAACCAGAGAAATCAAGCTAAAGAAACTAGTATTATACTGTGACTGCTTAGAGTAATAATATACTAGTTATTATATATATTAGTTAATTATTCATAAATAAGAAAATCTAATCTTCAGTTTTGTATTGTATGGGTCTCTCTTTGTTGCTCTTCCAGTTAATTTAGAGCAGTAGTAATTACTAGACATTAGTTATTTTAGTTTGGAGTACGAATTCAGACGCAAAAAGGAGAGAATCTATGGAAATTGCTTTTTTTCTGAGTAAAATGATTGCTGCCCTACGATTACATCATCATCAGTCATCACCAGGCCACAAGGATTCCCCAATCCCAAAAATCTTTTGCTTATATTTTTCACTCTTGCTTTTAATTTTGAGATGGACTTTTTGGGCTGTTCGTACTACAATTGAAAATATATATATATATATATGTAAGAAAAATTTATTTAGTTTGATTTTGTAGATTTAGTAATAAGATTAAGATGGCGAGCTAGTGTGAATGTAGCACCTAGTGTGGAAGATATTCCTTGTCCGAACGTATCTTTGTCAGACTGTGAATTAAGATCGATGATGACGTTTATATTTTGGCACATTCTTTTGGTAAATCTCAGCCGTTCAATGCATCTCATTAACATTATTATTTCAGTCATATTTTTATGAATCACTAAAAGTTCTTAAATATTTTGAAATTAAAACAATCTACTTCCTTGTGAAATATAAATCCAACTTTCATTTTAAGAAAAATAGATATTTAATATTTATTTTCAATTAATTAATTAAATAAAAAGCCAAAAAATATATGGAGCTGGAGGGGGGTGGCGTGGGGGGGGAGTACGTACGTAGGGGATGTACGAAGCATGCAGATGCAGTGGCAGTAAGGTGGTACGTGGTGGTGTGTGTGAGTGTGAGGGTGAGTGTGAGTGTGAGGGTGTCACGCTGATGATATATTTATTATTGAGACAATGATGGGCCTCTGACACTTCTTTCTGTACGTTCCACCCATCATTCTCACCTCTTCTATTACTTCCATTTACATCTATATCTACATACATACATTTCCCTTCATTTATTTTATACTAGTATAATATTTGAAATTAAAAAATAAAATAAATTGAATTTACTCCAATAGTTTAGTTTAAGAACAGATGAATCGAAGGTGCAATAAAAAATGCAATACTGAGTTTAATTCAAACCGCAAATAAAGAAGTGAATTGGTGTCTGCATAATTAATTAAAATTAATTAATTAATTAATGTGAAATTGAATAATTTTGGTAGTGTCAGAGGCAATTCTCAGCCACGCTAGCTAGCTAGCTACGTAGCTAACTTGCGTCATTCCTCCTACAACTCACTCATATGTACGTATTTATGTACGCATATGTATTAGGGGTCTGACATTATATATATACTGCACGTCTGACCATGCCTGACCTGCCCTGACCTGACCTTCCCTGCCCTGACCAGACCGCCATTTCGTGTGACGTTAGTAGTGATACCGTCCCTCGCCTCGCCCCTTCTCCATATCCGTCTGTTTATTCAACAATTTTTTTTAGAATTTTTTAGTGGTACGATGATATCAGAAAATACAATTCATTAATTTAATTTTTTTTTCGTTTCATAACAAATTATTTATTTTTTTATTTTAGTTTATTTCATAATAAAGTATTTATTTAATTTTTTAGCCTAACATTACAAATACCCTTACAACTTACAATATATTACACAAATATCATTACCTTTATATTACACCATATAAATAAGGTTATTTTAGTCATTTATACTTTATGTCTACTACATTCAAATATAATATTAATATTTTTAAAATTACTTGCAAAAAATAAATAAATACATAATTACGAGACAGAGGGACTACTACTCCCCCCGTCTGCCTTGCTCTCTTTACTGTATGCATCTAAATTTTAGTAGATTTATAATTAGTAAATAATTAAAAATATATTACTAAAAGTGATTAACTTATAATAAATATAATTATACATTAAATGAAATTAAACTGTATATTTTTTTAAAAAATAATAATAAAATAAGTGGAATATACGAAAATAAAAAGATGTACAAGATAAATGAGAGAGAAAGAATATATAATATAGTTTTCGATTTATTTATTTCAACTATAAGTAATTTTTATCATTTATTTACTTGTATTTAAACAATATTTATTTTTTAATATATATAGTAAAAATAATCAACTATTAATACCAATATAAATTTAATTTCTATATAAATTATAAATATATCATTATATATATAAAGCATGTTAAAATTAAACTATCAAAATTATTTTATACTAGTATATTTTTATTGATTAATAATATTTTATTATTTTTTAATTTATTATAAAATTTAATATAATATACTTGAGAAATTATTTTATTTTATGGACATATTTTAGATAAAATACTCTATTTGTCAGGAATAAAATATATGTTATCGTACATACAAAAACTTATAAAGATTATAATTAGTAAGTAATTAAAAAATATATTAGTAAAAATAATTATGATATAAAATAAATAATTATGTATTATAAGAACTAAATAATTTATTTAAAATTAAAAAACTTATAGATAAAGAAATTTTAAATACAATTAAAAAGTATAATTATTTTTCAAAAAATTAAAAAAACGAAGCAAAAAATTAATTCGTCTCGGAACCCTTTTAAATCCCGAATCATTTTTTTCAAAGCTTTTTTACTTAATTCTGGTAGTGATATTTGTATTATATGATGTTTTGCAAATTTAAAAAAAATTGCATTCTTTTGAAAAAGGTAAAATCCAATTTCAACTTTACAAAAAAATATGCCCATTGCGTTGAAAAATTGATTATTTGTAAATGAATATTCACTACAAGAAAATATCAATTTTGTAACGACGTTTTTTCATTCCTAAATCTAATTTTTTTCGTTTCTAAATCTAATTTTTCTGTTACTAATGCTATTAGAGACGGAATTTGGGATAAAATTACGTTAGCTATGTGAACCTTAGGAACAGAATTTCGTTGCAAATATATTATTTTTTTTTGTAATGATTGTATATATATATATATTTATATATATCGTGTTAAAGTAAACAAACCCCTCGTGTTTAATAAGTTTAAGTATGCATAATAAATCTTTAACAATAATGAATTTATTCGAGATAATAATTTAAATTAAATTGAAAAAATATATATATATTTGATATAAAAAACTAGATACTACAAGATCCAACTTCAGTTGAATGTGGATGATTTGTTCTTTATGCTTAAAAGGAATGCGTAAAAAATGACCTTTTTATTGGCCTTTGAAAAGTAAATGAGGTTTAATTACTTCCATAAACAGACACATACTCTTCTTACATATAGTAATTAATATACTAATACTAATTTCCATGTTGGTTGTCGTCATGTCAGCCATATTAGAATGTATAATAATTAAATTAATTAATTTAGGATAATGACCCATCAGGAAAATGCTTGGATTCTGTTCAGACACCAATCCATATTCAATAACTACTTAATTAATTCACAATCCATTTCATCAACCCACAACCCTACAACTATATATATATATATATATATTATATGTAGATCAGTAGTAGCATGCATGCATGCAGTAGGAGGCAGGTAGGGCACGACAATTGACAAGTAGAGATCATTTTGCATGCATGCATGCATGCATTCCTCAGATTATTACGACAAATCGTTATTCTACCTGCCGACTTCATATACCACTGAATTTTCTCTTTTGTCTTTCTTCTTAAATTTTCTTCCTTTGGGATCTGTACATATACTTACAAGCAGCAGAAATTCCCTCCTCGTCATGTGTGTTGTTAATTCAATTCATATAAATATAAATATATTATTATTATTATTATTATTATTATGAATATGCGTCGATGATATTTATGTGTCATTCATAATCTTGGGTCCACTGTCCTAACCTCTGTTCATATATTCAGTGCAATGTAGCTTTTCATACTGAATAATATTATGTTTATGTTTAATATGTAGCCAGCCATTTGTAACGCAGACAACTCAACTTCGCATGTAAAAATGGTCAAAGTCAAAGTCAGGGTTGGGAGGACCAAAATTCACTGTGGGTCCTACTTCTGTATTAATGGGCTTTAATTGGATTGGACCGTCATAAATAAGCCCAAATAAATTTGGGCCTGTTTTTAATTGTTTTGTAATCATAACGGCCTACCGGAAAAGTCAATTGATTGAAGAGATAACTTCCGCGGGACGCGATGACATCAGTGGTCTTACCTAATTTTAATAATTATTTAAATTACTGTAGAATTGTAAATGACGTGGCAAGGGGTTTTATAGTTGATCCTTTGGAGATATGGGTATAATCGTCATTTCATAATCAATTGTAATTACCTAACTATGTCTAGGGATTTATACAGAAATATCGATTTATTGTACTGTATCGTACCGAAAATTTCGGCACGATATCAGTATGAATTTTCGAAAATTCGGTATTTTGATATAATACCGATATTATTTTCATTAAATAATTTAATTATTAATATAAATAATAATTTTTATTTTTTTTTAAGATCATAACAAAAAATAAGTAAACTATTAAAAATTTATTGATTTTTTTATAATATTTTTGTGCAATATTTATTAATTATTTTAAAATTTAAAATTATATTTTATGTATAATTGTATATACCAGTATTTATACAAATCAAAATTTTTCAGTATAAGCTGTATATACCGTACTTTATATACATGTACTGTACCAAAAGTTTCAGTGTACCAAAATTTTCGATATACTGAAATTCGATATATTGAAAATTTCGATAGGATATCGGTATATATTTTCGTCGTATAAAAAAATTCGATACAATATCGGTATCTCGATCGTTATTTTCAGTACGATACGGTACGATACGGTACAGTACGCCATCAATAACTGTGTCTGTTTGTCTGTGGTGGAATTTGTGCTGATCCTCCTTGAAGGCTAAGAATGTAAATTTGCACATGGCGGGGAAGCTGTGGCAAGCTCCGAAAAATTGAAGGACTTGGGCGTAAATACGCGGAAATTCGAGCCTCCACATTGAACAGGTTATCCCTAAATCGAAAGTGGAATGACGATTTTGTACCTGTTTTATGGAACTGTTCTGGGTATTTTAGGAATTCTACGTCTTGGCTCCCTCCTACAATGGCTGTTCACTCGAAATTCGACTGTCCAGAAGCGATTTGGAAGTAAATTTCTTCCAGGGAGAAGCACTGGTAAGATTTCTCCAGCGACAAAGGCTTAATTCTTGAGCTAATTAGAAGAAGAGCTTAACGAAGCAAGTTTATCTGCAAAGCAAGTAGTTTCTGGTACTTATTTCAAATAGCTTATGTTCTTTATGTTTCGTTTTACCTTCTGTTTCATGTGGTTTTCGGAGATATTCATTGTCTTCGTTTTCAATATTGTTTGCAAACGCAAAAACTTAAGGGGATTTGCTTCTTGGTTGCAGTACGTGTTCATTGCATTTCCAAAGTTGGTTACTTTAGATTTCTACGGCTATTGAACAAAATTGTTAGGGTGTATTAACTGTTGACTGTGGGTTTCATAACATATTTTGATTTTCATGATGTTACTGATTACACAGAGCAAACACTTTTAATTTGTTTATTATTTTTAATTACCACCTTTTATGTCTCTGTCTCTCTGAATAAGCTAATGCGAATCAGAGATAAGGGGAGCGGAAATATTGGGAAAGATTGTATCTTAGGGATCCAACATTTGTATCCTCCGCCATTGGACTGCTAACATGTCTCAAACCAACTGGGAAGCTGATAAAATGTAAGCTCTTCTATCTATCTTCCAATCCTCATGTAATATTTCCTCTTTGTTTTTTTTTTGGCATGGTGTATGTCTTAAAATTTTGTCATCTGTTTGTCGGACATACTTCTTTTAAGTTGCTTTTGAGTTATTGTAGTTTTTAATCCATTTTTGAAGACGTATTGTTAGTAGTATAGATTCCTTTTTTATTAAATTACACCCATTGTTATTCTTATATGTGAACATCTTTTTTTAGGTTGGATGTGTATATTCATGATTACTTTGTTAAAAGAGACTTGAAGGCCACTGCACAGGCTTTCCAAGCTGAAGGAAAAGTATCGTCTGATCCTGTAGGTGTGTATGCATAAATCTACACTGAAAAGTCAATCACGGTCCTCTCTGAAGTTCTGTTCACTGCTATATTCGAGTTTAATTCTGTGGATGCATGTTTCAGCTATTGATGCTCCCGGTGGTTTTCTCTTTGAGTGGTGGTCTGTGTTTTGGGATATATTTATAGCCAGGACGAATGAAAAGCACTCTGAAGTTGCTGCATCTTATATTGAGGTTGGATAAGAATTCAATTATAGGCCCTATTCACTTCCTTGTGCTGTCACTAATCACGGGTATCTTAGTGTCTTAATTGCAATATTGCATATGACAGTTTTGGATCCCTAGATGTAACCTTGATCATATTTAAATACTTGGATTTTATATAAATATTTTGTTCCATATAAATATAATACATATCTTTTCCAATTTAATGCTCTGTCTTTTCTGATGTTATGTCTTGTCATGTGGCTGATGTATATTGATGCAATATGATGTGGCATGCAAGATAATACTAGCCTGCCCATTGTCTAATGCTGTTGTGCTGTTTAAACCTTATTTGGTTTCTTAAATCAGACGCAATTGATGAAGGCAAGGGAGCAGCAGCAGCAACAGCAGCCACATCAGTCACAACATCCACAGCAGCAGCAGCAACTTCAAATGCAGCAACTTCTATTGCAGAGGCAGGCTCAGCAGCAGCAGCAGCAACAACAACAACAACAGCAGCAGCAGCCACAGCAGCAGCAGCAGCAGCAACAACAGCCACACCAACAACAGCCACACCATCAGGCACATCAACAACAGCAGCATCAGTCACATCAACAGCCGCAACGGCGTGATGGTGGCCATCTTCTGAATGATACTTTGAATGGGGCTGTTGCAAATGATCCTTTGATACGACAGAATCCTGGCACTGCAAATGCATTGGCGACAAAAATGTATGAAGAGAAATTAAAGCTTCCTGTTCAGAGGGATTCTTTGGATGATGCTGCTATGAAGGTACTGTCTAGATGTAATGTTGAGGAAGATTTACTTTTTTTGGGTTATTCATTACATTATTTATTTTCAGCAAAGATTTGGTGATAATGCGGGCCAGCATATGGATCAAAATCATGCATCAATCTTGAAATCTGCTGCAGCAGCTGGCCAGCCATCTGGGTATGTTTATGATGATGTCCTTTTGATTTAATATATTACTTTTACTGTGTTAAACTGTTTGTTGTGTGAACTTATTGTGATATCTATGAATGCATCTTCTTGTTTGTTCATGGATGATGTATAGTATAAATTTAGTTCTATCATTGAGGCTGTCCTTGTGTCCGGGGAGCATCTCTGAGTTTTCACTCCAGTTCTCTACTGTCTTTGTTTGACTTAGGAAGATATTCTTGGTTTGCAAGGCTCTATTTATTTTTATTTTTTATTTTTTTAAAGGAAAAACAAGGTTATGCAGGTTTATTGAAAGAAGATAACTTTACCTTTTGTCCTACCTTTTTACTAGCTGTAAAAACTTTCAGGCAAGGGTTGCATGGCACTTCTGGTGGAATGTCTCCCCAATTTCAAGCTCGAAATCAACAATTTCCTGGTTCTACACCAGTCAGTATTCACGTTCTTTGTTTCTTTGGATAAAATTACTAGTTTTGTGCACTTATGAGTTCTACTATAATTCTATATATGCGCATGTATATGAACAGAACATCAAAACTGAAACAAATCCTATCATGAATCCTAGAGCCACAGGCCCTGAAGGATCACTAATTGGAATTCCTGGTATACTTCCATCAACTTTCAGACTTCGAGCTCTCTTTGTAGTTAGTCTCATAGATTCACAAATTCTTATGATTAAGAAATTGAATTAATTCATTGTCAATAGAAGGGTCTAATCTGATCACAATAAGGTAGGAAGATTGACGCACGGGTCTTTCCATTATTGATATTCCTTGTATAATGTATATGTCCTCGTTAATGTCATTCTGTGTTTTAGGTTCGAATCAAGGTGGAAACAATTTGACACTGAAGGGATGGCCTCTTACAGTAAGTTCTGTGATTGCTCTGTATAATATTTGATTGAAACACTACTTCGGTGTACTTGTCATTTGTGAGATTAGAGATTAATTACACCATCTTGTTAAAATATGAATAAGAAAGCCTTTTCCAGGTAAATTGCAATACAGACGTGCCTGAAGAAATGGAAAGGCCGAAAGGAAATTTTACTTTTGCCTTTATGATTGTTCATTTTTGTTGCAATCAGATTTTGATATCTTGCATAGTAGTTTGGTTTGCAACAGCATAATGGCTGTCTGCTTTCATTGATAACTTGAGGTTATTGCTTCTCTCATGGATATATTCCTTTTAAATTGCACATGTATCCAGTCTAGCTTCTAATGCTTACTGAGGTGACACATATCAGTGGATGAGTAAACGGCTATGTTTTTTGGGTGTTGAATCATATCCAGAACTATTGGTTTACTGGGTCTTCTGGGACTTAGATTTTGTAGTACTCTGGCAACAATTGCTTCTTTATTCTTTTTCCTTAGAAAATTTCAAATCCTAATTTTTTTAGTTTCTAGATAGGGATGTAAAATGATTTTTCTTTGTTTGCAGCTTCGTTTCATGCACTAGTGCATAATTCTTTCCACAGTTAGGATCTTTTGTTTCATGTGCCACATGTCTTGTTTCATGCACTAGTGCATAATTCTTTCCACAGTTAGGATCTTTTGTTTCATGTGCCACATGTCTTGTTTCATGCACTAGTGCATAATTTTTTCGACAGTTAGGATCTTCTGTTTCATGTGCCACATGTCTTGTCTCGTAGGGTATTGATCAGCTTCGGTCTGGGCTACTTCAGACAAAGTCATTCATGCAAGGTCCTCAGCCTTTTCATCAACTACAGATGTTGTCACCTCAGCATCAGCAGCAGATTATGCTTGCACAGCAGAGTTTGTCATCCCCATCTGCTAGTGATATAGAGAACAGAAGATTGAGAATGCTTTTTAACAATCGGAGTTTATCCATGGGGAAAGACGGGATATCTAATGCAGTTGGTGATGTAGTTGGTAGTATGGGATCCCCTTTGCAAGCTGGTTGTGCAGTTTTGCCGCGTGCAGAACAGGAGATGCTAATGAAGGTGCATTGTGTTCTTTAGTCTTTTTTTCTTTCAGCATCTACCTTCTCTCCTAGAAGTTTTTAGTTGAGTTACCTGAAGTGTGCTGTGAACATCAACATAAATAAATGTGGTTGCTAATCAATCATGTAATCGATCATGATGATTCTATTTTTTGTGTAGTTGAAAATGGCACAACTGCAACAGCAGCAGCAACAACAAAATAATATTCAATCCCAGCAGCAACAGCTTCAGCAGCATACAGTCTCTGGTCAGCAGCCTCAGAGTTCAAGTCACACTCTTCAGCAAGATAAAATCATGGGAGCTGGTAGCGTCACTGGTGATGGCAGCATTTCAAATTCCTTTCGAGGAAATGATCAGGTCTATCCTTTTCCATCTTGTTGAAGTTTACTATTCCCCAATGTAGCTGCAACTGTATTACTTTGTTCAATGGCACATATCTCTTCCTGTTCAGATGATGTTTTATATTAAAGACATGGGCAATTGTTAAAAGTTTTTTCATGCTTGTTAAGGCTTCAAAAAATCAGGCTGGGAGAAAGAGAAAGCAGCCTGTATCTTCTTCGGGCCCCGCCAACAGCTCTGGAACTGCAAATACCGCTGGCCCATCTCCAAGTTCGGCTCCATCAACACCCTCAACTCACACCCCTGGAGATGTGATGTCGATGCCTGCTATGCCGCACAACAGCAGTTCCTCCAAGCCTTCAATTCTATGTGGAGCTGAAAATACTGGTACTTTGACATCACCATCAAATCAATTGGTAAGAACAATCATCGCTTTGTCTTTGAACAAGTTTCTGTTCAAACCTTAAGCTTTTCATTCATATGAACGCTTTCAGTGGGATGATAAAGAGCTTGTGTCTGCTGATATGGATCGTTTTGTGGATGATGTGGAAGATAATGTGGAGTCTTTCCTGTTGCATGATGATACTGATCCTCGAGATGCAGCTGGTCGCTCTATGGATGCTAACAAAGGTATATCAAATTTATGTCCTTTTACTTGAGCCCATTTCCAGAAGTATAATTAAAACATATCTAAATAACTTTGTACGGATTGTTTAATGTGAACAGCAATACCCTTTCTATATATATACATATATTCTCTTTGTAATATGCTATGGTTAGGATATCTTTAAAGGAATTAAATTCTCTCTTCCTAAATATCAACATCAGTAAATTCTAGTCATGAAATTCATCAGGGTTTACATTTATGGAAGTAAGTGCTGTTCGCGCGAGCCCCAGTAAAGTTGACTGTTGCCACTTCTCATCGGATGGGAAGCTGCTTGCTAGTGGTGGTCATGACAAAAAAGTAAGGGTGTGTTTGGTTTGTAGGAGCATTGAGGAAGACTTTTCGAAATGAGGAAAACAATTAGCTTTTTCATTAATTTTTCTCACTTCTCATTATCTCAATACCTTTAATTTGCAGATCTAAGGAGTTCATGTAACTGTTAAATTATGATGCAGGCAGTTTTGTGGTACACTGATACTTTGAAGCCAAAGATTACGCTTGAGGAACACTCAGCTCTTATTACAGATGTTCGCTTTAGTCCAAGCTTGGCTCGTCTTGCCACATCATCTTTTGACAAGACTGTCAGAGTTTTTGAGGCAGACACTGTTAGTTGATCTTTTACATGATTTCTCACTCCCCCATCCCCACCCTCTTTTCATTTAATCTTTATTTTCAAAGATACCCTTACCATCAACTCATTACTGCAGCCTGGTTACTCGCTTCGAACCTTCACCGGGCATTCTGCTAGTGTAAAGTCATTGGACTTTCATCCCAACAAAGATGATCTCATCTGTTCCTGTGATAGTGATGGTGAGATACGATACTGGAGTATCAACAACGGAAACTGTGCTAGAGTTTTCAAGGTATGAAAATTATAAAAACAAAATTCCCCATGATACTTGCATCTTCTTTCATCTTCATATGGCAATTCCCTGTTGGATCAGGGAGGCACTGCCCAAGTCAGGTTTCAACCCCGTCTTGGAAGATATCTTGCAGCTGCAGCCGAAAATGTTGTGACAATACTGGATGCAGAGACGCAGGCTCTTCGACATTCATTGAAGGTTTATTCTTTTCCCTGCTGCTCACTCAAAAACTCAAAACTACGGACAACTGGTTGCCTATTTTAATCAGCAATATCATCATCGTACGTGTTTGTCTCAGCATAATGGTTCTTGTCGTAATGTTTGTCTATAGGGTCACATAAAACCAATTATTTCTATCTGCTGGGACCCCTCCGGAGAGCTTTTGGCATCTGTTAGCAATGATTCAGTGAAAGTTTGGACATTGAGATCTGGAAGTGAAGGGACCTGTTTACATGAGCTCAGTTGCAACGGCAACGACTTCCACTCTTGTGTTTTCCACCCTACATGTTCATGGCTACTGGTTATCGGTTGCTACGAGGCAAGTTTACCATTCCTTGATTTTAAATTTGTTAAAAATTTACATCAAAGCCCAAAGAACTGGCTAGATCTGATCAGTTCTGTTATGTAATGTGATATTTGTGTTTGCAGACATTGGAGCTCTGGAACATGAATGAAGACAAGAGGGTGTCACTCAATGCACACGAAGGCTTGATTTCATCAGTGGCCGCATCACCGGCAGCAGGGTTGGTTGCTTCAGCGAGTCACGACAAAATTGTGAAACTATGGAAATGATTCCAAGGTTTTAATGCCTTGTTTTCATACTACATGCTGTTTATGGATTATGATAACCCTGCTTCTGCTATGTTTTGATCAATCTCCTGGGGAACTCAGAAAGGGTTTAGGCATCTGAGAATTATGTAATGTGGTCATAACTGTATTTATCTGTTGGAATTAAGACTTGTTATATTTGCCTAGGTGGTAGATTTGGTTCTGCACAAACACAGGTTATGTTATGGTAAATTTTCATCTAATAGTGTGGAAGTAACAGAGGGAAAAGCAATCAATATTCAGCTAAAAGTTTCAGTGAAGTTACAAAGCTAGAATGCAGTTCATGAAGCCGTACATTATCAACAAAAGATAAATATGCGAAGCCAAATTGCATAAAGATTAGTTGGACTGGTTCCAGAAAAATAGCACCAAAACAAATGTATAAAAGGTTGAAATCAGAAGCAAAATTGTCAGGATGCTTCGGGACACAACAGGGCACAGAAAAAGGCTTATCGCCTTCTCATTCCACGGCCACGGCCGCGAAAAGCACCCCCACCCCGACCTCGACCACCCATGGCACTTGCAGCAGCATCACCTTGAGCACTCTCCGACTGTATGTGGCAGAAGATTTACATCGTTTAATGTAGAATGCATTTGATGAAGAAAGGTACAAGTTTGTGTGTGCTAATTAATAGAGGTCTCTCAAGTACCTTGGGGTTCTTCACGGTCTCGTCAACACTCAAAATGAGGCAAGCGGCCTCTGTGGCTGCATTTATGGCGTTGATCTGCAGAACAGCAAGAAATTTGGAAAACATTAGTCGACTACCAAGTAATCATCGAGCAACTTGGAAGTATTTGAAATACCTTAACAACTGCTGGCTCCCATACAAAGTTGGCAAAGGAATCGGCAATTCCACCAGTGTTGATGTCTACACCATACGGGGCACCTTCGCCTTTGTTTAATCATAGTATGGTTAATAGAAAGGTATGTTTATTAAAACTTGGAAAAAAAAAAATATTAGAGGCAACTCAACCTACCAGATGGAAGTGCATGCTTCTGTCTCAGTTTGTTCAAAACATCAGTTGCATCGAAACCAGCATTGTCGCACAGTTGTCGGGGGATTATCTGCAAAAATGATGAAATGAATGAGATATAGCAATCATATTAACAATGCGACGGGAAAAGCGAATATACATGCATCTAACAAAATAAAAGTCGATTACTTTACCATGATCAGAGGAGCAAATAGCACATATATACAAAAATAAAATAAAAAATAGAATGAGATTTTCACTTGCTACTGATTTTACAGAATAATCAACAACCTAAGACAGCCATTTGCTTAACCAGTTGTCAAAAAGCATCAAACAATAAAACATTTGTCAGAAATCTAGCATAGGCTTCCCACATGTATCACAACCTTAGACATTCAGAAGATATTGCATAATCAGTCTGCTTTAGTTTATCACATTGTAGCATTAATATAGATATATTGTGACATTCTAGTCGTATAAAAAGTGCATGCTATGGTGAAAAAGATGGACCAGCGGACTCTACCTCAAGGGCTTTCGCATAAGAGTTTATGAAGAGCTGAGACTTGCCAGCAATGGTCCGAGCATGATGCCTTAGATATCGGCTTATCTCCATCTGCAGACAGACGAAGAGTTTCGAACAATCAAAAAAGTAAAATTAAGCACTGTCGCATGGACAACATTCTAGAATTCTTACATCTATAGCACCACCACCAGCAACAACAGTTGAGTTTTTCAGAGCCCTTCTAACAATCATGATTGCATCGTGTAAACTTCTCTCAGCCTCCTCAATAAACTGAAATCATCAAAGACTATAATTAGAGCAAACTTCTAGTTTGTGGATGATAACTACCACAGTTGGCACAAACCTGGTCTGCCCCACCACGAAGAACAATTGTAGCCGTCCGCCCAGATGGGCATCCACTGAATATATTAAATCTCTCGTTACCAACTTGTTTCTCCTCAAACAGCTCACAAGATCCAAGAACCTTTCAAACAGAAAATTCCGGGGTAAACTGAGAAATCCACCAAGTGTAGTAAATAAAACTACCAAAATTTCCAAGCCATTATTTTGGATTTAGTGAGACAAGCAAAGGTAACAACTTCATCAATGACGTTGTTGACAGTTGTCTGCACAGTTCCGCCTGTAGCAGCTGCAACCCGATGCAAATCTTCTTCAGTAACACGACCAGCACAGAATATATCACGATCCGCAAAATACTGCAACCAATTAAATGAAGTAAATTATCCATTCAGTGAATATGGAAGACATTGTTTGGTCTCAGTTAGTCGCCACAATCAATGTATCTCTGACACACATTGCTTCTAAAACTGAACATAATGCCTCATGATCCTTTGATGAATAAATCTACATAGCTTGGCTGCTACTTTAGCAGGTATTTCAAGCAGCAACTTGATTTATAATAACCTACTGTAGAAAAAAAAAATGATAACCATAACCTGTGTAGCAAGATCACCAATAGCAAGCCTTGACAGAACAACTTTAGCTCCACTCTGAACACATTTATCCAACTTGTCATATATGATATTCCATTCAGCATCTACAATTGACTGGTACTGCAACGGATCTGATAGTCTGACACACATCATTTTGCAAGGATTGTGTAAGATTCTATAACTATGGCAGACCTTTGCAGGAAAACAACACATGAAAATATAGAAAACATCCAACCTTATTTCAGCATTTTCTTTCTCTGATTTCAGCTCCAATTCTATGTTCAGCAATAGGATTTTGGGACTTAGAAATTTCTTTGGTTGTTGCTCGAAACCAGCATACGAGAAAGTTTTTTTGAAAGCCACACCATTTACAAGAAAAGAATCTCTCATGGTACCTCCAGGAACCTACAAAGGGTAAATTGCTAAATTAGTAAATATATGACATCAAACCTGCATCCAAGATTGGAAAAGATGAAGATATATATTCACAGAACTTAACATACCTTCTTGATCCCAATCATGTTTAATCTATCATCATTACCAATGGCGAGGACAGCATCAACAACCATAGTTGCAAAGAATTCCTTTTCACCACCAATGAGCTTTGAAGATAGTGTTGTAGCTGCACATTTTGCCAGTAAAGTTTTCTTTTCATCCAAGCTCTTTCCCTCGATACTAATTGCTAATTCTTTAATCTTCTCAATAGCCTATCAAATCAGTAAAAGCCACATGTATGAGTAGGAGATCAATGTCAAAAGTCAAACCAATGTTATTGTAATATTTCTCTACCAAATAAGATGCTGTTCTGTAACTCCGGATAAGATTTTGAGAATGAACTCCATCTTCGATAAAAGGTTTTGCTTCCTTCAGAAATTCTCCTGCCAGCAGAACCACTGTAGTGGTCCCGTCACCAACCTGAAGAGCAAAACAGAAATTTAGAGCAGCTCCATGCAGAGTTAAGAGGAAATACTCAATCTCATGCAGCTTGTTTACAAATAGCTCAAAAAATAAGCCAGGTAAAATATTAAAGAACTAACATATTCTCTTCCCTAGACACACAAATACTGCAATTGAATAATCGGAACTAATCCACTAATCACCACAAAAGAATCAACTCAGGAAATAACTCAAAAAGACCAGAACTCAAAGCTGACAGCATATCTTAACAGTTCTATCATTGTAGAAGCTTCCATTGAATAATTAACAGGATGGGAAAATAAAATCTAACATTTATACTAGTATGGCACTTGGAAAAACTACTATAAAAAGCTGTGCAATTAATTCATTCAAAAGAAAGCATGAAACCACAACTAGACATGGCATGTGCTTCAAATTCGTAAGTTATAATTTCAATCAATTAAGTTATATAAGTAGTTCAGATAACAAAGGGGCACCAAGCAAAAAAACAATCACAGGTTCAAATTTTTAGTAATACCTCAGAATCCTGGGACTTGGCAATATCAACAAGGATCTTGGCAGCTGGATGGACAATATCAAGAAGCTTCATTATGGTGGCACCATCATTAGAAATGGTAGTATTCCCCTTCTCATCATGGATTAACTTGTCCATGCCCCTTGGACCAAGAGTGGTTCGCACAACATCAGCCACAGCCATGCACGCATTTATGTTGCTTACTAATTGTGGTCTCCCTTGGGATGTATCAGTCCCTTCCTTGAGCAATATGATTTGGGGTTGCTGATATTGGGTCATCAGTTCACATATTAGAGTTACAGCATTAAGAAACCAAAAGGGTAAAGAAAAATTGGGGGTAAGATCAATCTCCACAAAAGATGAAATAAGTATAGAAATTTCTTCTAAATCTTTCAAAACAAGTTTCATCAAAATATTTCTAACAATGAGGCTGATAGAATCTAAATACTAACATTTTCAATTTCAACAGCCTAGAAGTTATAAATTGAGAGTGATAGAATACTAATCCAATGCGAGCAGACATTACTTTGGATAGAGATACCCAGTTGAAGTTCTAAATAAAATCAAATTACAGAATTTCAGTAACATTTATCACAGCGTCAATTACAACTGAAAAAGATTACTTCTAATCTTATCATCCAGATCTCTGATACTATGGCAGCTTAACTCGGTTCCACGGAAGAAGAATTTTCATTTTTTTCTGGTCAGATTAACCAACTTTCTAGAAGTTTATCTTGCCCAGATCTCCAAAGAAATGAACTTTGCCCTAAATAGTGTTTCCTCAGCTTCAAAACTCACATCATATAATCGCATTTATAAAAACAATATTTGAATAACATAAACATAATGAACGATTGGAAAACCAAGGAGACACAGCGCATTTTAAACGATGAAACAACACGAAATGACACTATGAAACAAACTCAAACAGCAACAATAAATAGCATAATATAGATCGCGAGATTACAAGCATGGCCGCCATTGCTAGAAGCAAGTTCCTGCGATGACAAGGGGGAGCGAGCCGAGAAGTGAAGCACAGTGCAGACGAGAGTGGAACCAATAAGTACTCTAGGGTTTTAGTAGTTTATCAAATTATTAGCGTTGTGAAGTTTCTAGGGCGTGTTCGACAAATTAGCACAGTAAGAAAATAAAACAATAATAATAATAAAATACATATGACGTAATTAATATATAGTAGTGGGCCTGGTGGCCCAAAATGACACGCTACCGCTCCAATCAGCCCAATGGTTTCATTACGAGGATTATATTGGGCCTTTGGCGACCCAATAGGTAGCCTTATTTTAATTAGGCCTAAGTCAGCCCGAACAATATATATATATAGAGGAGAGGAGACAGAGGATCGACTTCACAGTTCAAAGCTATGCTCGATGGCTCTTTTCAGGTCCAGAACATTGTGAACACGGGATCCTGCAATTCCTGGTTTGTGCAATTTTCATTGTTTGTTTTCCGGCTGCATTATCGGTACCTAGTGCTCAATCTATCAGAGAATCGATGTTTTTCCTGCATTTGTTCAATGTGTGGTCGTTAATCGTTATGTGCAGCTTGCACAGATGCACTGTTAAATGAGTGAACTTCCTGTATTTCATCACTAGTAGATTTATCTAATCGAGGAACTTGTATTGTGCTTCGTTGACTGTAGAGGGGATGTGCGCTTTTTTCACGCGGACTTAGGTGCTGCTGCATTTATTTCTCTGTGTGGTCGAATTTTCAGGTGCGGATGATTCTGAAGAGCTTCTTCAGGAAATACGAGAAGTGGAATCCAGTGCATCCAACCTATGGAGCCTTTTGGGGCATCGGAGTAGGCGTTGGTTGCGGTGTTGGATGGGGGCCTGGCTTTGGCCCTGATGTAATTGGTTATGTTGGTGCTGGATGTGGCGCTGGATTTAACGTTGGTGTCACCCTGCTTGGTGTTGGTATCGGCCTTCCAGCCAATTATCTTTTGACATTTCCACGAAGTGGTATGTATGCTATGTAACTGTTCCTCCTACTGAGAAATTTTTTTGCAGTTAAGGCTTATTAAGATTAGTTTTTACAGCTTCCATAATTAAAGGAGTTTAATTGCAGCATTCTTGGATGTTTTTGCTAGCTTTAATGGCCACAAGGAGCAATGAAACTGAAGTTGCCCGAGCCAGAAGTCTACTAGGAAACAGAAGCAGCAGTGTCGGGGATGGTTGGGGTTCCATCCTAGATATACCAAAAAGTCCATTTGAATCGTTTCCAGGCTTCAAGATTGGGAACTCAAACAACTTGCTTGATGCGAATACAATGCTGGCTTCCAGTTCTAAACATATTGTTAGTTGTCTGCAAAGCTTTCGTCGGCGCTTGTTACCTTCAGATAAAGGTATGCCCAAATAGTGTTAAATCTGCTTGTACTGTTTCTTGTTTGATTCTCCCAAGTGAAACAAAATGAAATATCTTCTTCTTTCCTGTCTCAAGTGTGATTGAAGTGGCACAAATCAAGTTTCTTTCATTCTTCTCATACACTTGATGTTAAAAATGTTCTAGCATAAATACAGGAAATAGAAAATCAAAATAAGGTGGGGATTTTAAGTATCTGGTTATCAATGCTCAATACTAACCAGAAATGGTATCTGGTGCAGTCTACCTTTGGTTTCTTAAGTTCAAAGACAATAACATATATTCAATAAGATGCTAGCCTAACTATATGTATGTGTAAACAACTTTCTTTTCGATCAAAAGATTAAAATCCTAAAAAAGACTTGTAGAATTGTGAGATCCGAAAAATTCAATCAAACCCATAACTCAGAGCACAGTACACTTATTCAAGAAGCTAAATTCAAGATCTCATCTGTTATTACAACATACTGAGTTCACTGACCAGAATTCCAGGTTCCGAAAGCAGAAAAATTTAACTCAAGCCAGCTTACTTCTTACAACGGGCAAGCAAGCGGCGCCACAACTCTTTATTACACCAACACGAACACAATCTTCTTCAAGCATCTACATGCCCAAAATCCAAAAAAAAAATAATAATAAATTAGAGTAAGTATTAAATTAAGAAATTTAATCATACGAAGTTTGATTCATAGCACGTCTTGTCTAAGACTTACCCTTGGGCGAGTAAGCGCTCCTCGAAGAAAAATCAGAAGACGCCACCCTTGGGATTGAAATTGACAGCTGTGTCGAGGAGAACACGTTCTTGCTGGACCCATCGTCATTGTCAAGAGTGGGCCATGGTTCTTTGGTCGTAGGCCACTCGCTAAAGAAAGGGTGCACCGGGTGCGAATCTTGCTTAATTCCGCCCCCCTCCAAGAAGCAGTGGTGGTGGTGCTTTGATGCAGTGCCGCTAATAGGCTCGAAAGCAAGGGGAACATTTTGTTGAGACGGGTCCATAAGCTGCGAATCAGGTTTCTGTCTCGGCATGTTGCTCAAGGAGACGTGAGGCTGCGCAAATCGCCACATGCTGCTACCAGCACTTGAGCCCAAACCGAGGTTTCCGACACTTGAAGAAGGCTCGGGAGAGAAGCTAATATCACCAACATCAGAAGTTAGTCCATGGGATCTATCTACGATTGCTTACTCAGAAAATAAAACTAAATTTTTACTGTATGTACACAAACAATGCCAAATATAGGAAACGTACAGAAACATGGATGAAGTCAATCAAATATAACGAAAAACATAATTATGACTGTTAAATCTCCATCAGCGTCGTCGTGGCACCCAAAGCACCAAAATATATAACTCCTACAGCTTTCGAAAAAAACAATCATTCACTAGGGTAACCAAGAGCAATTTTATGTTTGGCAAGATCTCCCGTTTATAAAAATTTAAAACTAGCTCATAATATTTACCTAGCATGTTTAATAGCAAAACATATACGACAAAAATCAACACACGTGGCTAAAAGAAGCTACCATACTAATAGACTATGGTTAAATAGACAGTTATTCATCAACAATAACTTTTTCAAAAAACATCACCGTAAATACATTTTTCCTCGCACGGATCAAATACTCCACTTTTTACTATTCATAAGATTTTTCAAAACTTTTATCTAAAACGGAGCCTATGATTTGCCAATGCAGATAAATAATTATCTCATGCAATTAATGACAAAATACCGTTGGACAATCAGCTTCGCTGTAACAAAAGGGTACCTGAATTCTTTGCTACAGATTGCATACGAGTTCGGTTCCATCTGCAGCTTTGTTGCATTGCTCGCGTAGGGCGATCCGTCTGAACTAACAACAGAATACAACGGCATGTTTTGATAGCCAGAGGCGCTCCCACTACCTTGGAGGTTTCCAATGTTGACACTACTGCACCCACTAGATACATGCGATGTTGCAGACGACAGGGACTGTGTATTCGACTGGGATTCCACAGGCTTTCTTGAACGGTTGCGACCACGGTGCATGTGCCGCTCGCAATATTTGGAGTCTGGATGTGCATCTTTGGAGCACCTCCACTTCTTTCCATCAGTCCTCCGGCATCTCCCTGGCTCCGGATCAAATTTCTTTCCGTAATACGAACAGTAACCCACTGAATGATGCACAGAAAATACTTCAATTTACAAGAAAATTCATTCCTAGACATCAGAAATTTGAATATACAACACACTTAGATTCGCGCGAATAAATTTCATTGGCATTTGCATATGTTATACCAAAATCAAAGCAACTTATAATGTACACATCAATGATAAGACGACAAGATGATTTACGCGAAGGATGATGGAAGAACCGCGCAGAAAGTGCGTCGAAGCTTCGCCGGATGGGCATAATGAGGTCCGGCGGGACCGGCAAGCCAGCCACCAGATACTTGTATATCATGGCTTGATGCTCCAGCTCCTGCCATTGCACTGCTGTGAATGGAGGCCTAATATACTCTCCATACCCCACCTCCCCCCCTCCTCCAATCCCCACCCCTACCGCCACCGATGTTGATGCAGTCCCACTCATCTTCTTCCCAGCTCCAAACCCTAATTTAAGTATCCTACTACAGTGCAAATCCACCCTAATTTAAGTATTAAGCACTCCTCCTTTCACTTCCCAATGAATCTGCATTCAAAATCACCATAGCTAAGCAAACATTAAACAATCTTCACCATAAGCAGAATATGCAAAGAAACTACTTTGTAAATGCGGCTGTTTCTTTCTTCATCTATAATACTTTCTTTAAATAGAGATATTGTTCAAGATGCAAATTTTCTCACTTCCCATAAAAAGCAGCTCCAACACCAGTAAACAGAAAGGAAAAATAAGCTCCCAGGTTACAGCACATGGATGTTAAGTTCTTGCTGCAAAAAGTTGCAGTCAGAAAAAATATATAAAAAATGATAGCAATAAGTGTAATAATCCATAAAAATACACAGAACACGGAGGCACACTTGCAGAGCATGTGAAATACAAGGACGGATGCGTATTCACCTACAGGAGGGCAGATCTAGGGTTTGGCCAAACATGGAAGGTAGAGAGACATCGCATAAAAGAGAGAAGAGGGAAGGAATAAAAACTGGTGAAGGGAAAATTGGAAAGTTCAGATTTTTAAAAGATTAAAATTTTCCCTTTCAAGTACACCGATGAATAAACAGTGTGACATTTCTGGAACCAGAAGAAACGAGTGGTGATTGATTACTTACAAGTGCAGATATGATGGAGGCATTCTCTTCTCTTGTCCATGGGGGGAAAGTCTTGGGGTTGGTTGGGTGAGGGGGAGGGGGGCTTTTATGCCTACTGAATTCTAATGGGGGGTGGGGGGATTATGCTGGTTTTAGGTTGTGCCGAGATTAGAGGGGGCAGGGTTGAGCGGTGCGGGGCAACATGGGATTGGGTAGGGTGGGGTGGGGTGTAAACATTATGGGTTTGTGGGTGTAGTGGGTGGTCCAGTGATGTTACACCTCATGTGATTGTATGATGACCACAGTATGCAACCTTTGTCCTGAAGTTTATTTTTCTTGAGATTCCAAGTGGGGAAGAAAAATCCAACCCATACTTTGTTTGGGTCAAGAAACAATGGAAAAGGGTCTCAAAATCTTGGCCAGATCAGATGGGAAAGAAGGGAAAAAAAGGTCAGACAAAGCTCAAGCAACAATGTTAATTTTGAATCAAGCGACTTCCTTTTTTCCCTTTTCTTTAATTTCTTGTATCAATTCTGCAACAAACAAGAAAAGCCAATGCTGCTTATCAGAACAGCATAGAACACAGCAGTTAATGGATCTTTTTCTTAAAAATGATGGGACGACAAGTTCACTCACAAAACCGAAAATCCCATTTCTAGTATGCCCTGCTTGACATGATATTATATCAATGTGTGTTCTCCTTTACAATTATGTGCAAAACCAGAAACTAAAATGTAACATGTGCTGACCATAGAGTGGGTCCCTTTGTGCATCTCTGCAGCTGCAGACTACCAAATTTTATTTTTAGGTAGATGCCAAGGTCAATGTTCTGTTCATCATCGAGTGCTGATTGAAAAGTTCTTTTCTTTGATCCAACATCTGGGCTTTGAGTTTATGGGCTCCAATTGCAATGTTTCTTTTTAAATCCAAAATAAATTTGCGATGACCTGCGTTGGGCCCATCAATAGTTCTTGAAAATCTTTGCAGATTTGTTCGTTTAATTAATCAATGCAGAAATGTAAACTAAAAACTAAGCATTCTTGGTATGATTTTCAAGAATCTGAAATTTCTGATTGCTATGATTTTATATGGGATAACAAATGTAAATATTTCTTCACCTGCAGCTTAAATAAATGAGTTTTTTCTGATCAACATAAATTTTTATAACTTCTTTGTGATACATAATATTTTTCACCTACTAATGACTAATTACATTTGTAGCTAAACCGATGTTCAAAGCTAGCATTTTTTTTATTAGGCTAAATTGCACAATATACACCCCTGGTTTTATGAAATTGAACTAAATCTGTGTACGTTTAAAACTCCTTCCTGGTTTCATAAACTTTGCATCTAACCCCAAATATCAACGCTCAAACTGCGAATAAATTTTAAAATATCAATTTCTAAACCCCTAAACTTACAAATATATTTATTTTTTTTTATATTTATCCTATAAAAAAATAGTAAATATACTCAAAAATATTTATTTTTTTCAAATTTTAAGAGTTTATTTTTATTTTTTAGGCTAAATATATGAAAAAAATAAATATATTTGTAATTTGAAGGATTTTGAAATTAAAATTCTAAAATTTATTTGCAATTTGAGCGTATTTAGACATTTTTACAACAATTTTATGAAATTACATGTAAATTTTGTGCAATTTAATTTAATTATTATTATTAATCGTTTACTGGGATCTTCAGAAATGAAGCTGAAATTAGTTTTGTGACCTAATAATTGATTTCCAGAGTGTCGACGCTGACATATCATTGAGGGAAGCCTGATGTCCTCCAGAATTCACTGGTCAGTAAAGAATGGAAAGAAAAGTCAGCCATAATCATCATCATCATTACCATTATTATAATTGATAAATATGTTCTTACTCCAATAATTTTATTATTTTGATCTTTTATTGAAGAATAAGACCATAAAGATTTAGGACCGTTTGGATTAAGTTAAAAAAGAAGCAAAAAACAGAAGTAATAGCAGAAGTCAAAACAGCTCAATTTTATGTTTGAATAAATCATCATAAAAGCAAATTTTCCTAAAAAAACTGTTTATACGATATATATAGTTGAAATGCTTTTAAACTGTTAAAATTATTTAAAAGGACATTCGGTTAATATAATAGTATTTTTCTATAACACTTTTATAATTTAATTTAAATTTTATAAATTATATTTAAAGAATTTAAATTAAAATATAAAAATTGTACTTTTAAATTTTGATTATTTATATTTTAAAATCTTAATTTAAGGATAATATATCGATTAAACATAAAATTACAATATAATATTAAATAATTTTTATTTTATAATTTATTTTAAAATTTTATAAATTATATTTAGTAATTTAAGTATAACTAATTATTATTATTATAAATTTTATAAATTATTATTATTATTATTATTAAGGATAAAACAATAATTTTAAATGAAAAATGTTTCTGTTTATTTCAGAAGTTACCCCTAAAGTTATCCCTAATGTGCTTCTGAAAAAAGTACTTTTTAGCTTCAAAAGCTGCTTCTGCTTTTGGACAGAAGTCAATGCAAACTGCAAACTGCTTTTTTTTTTTTTTTAAAATAGAAGCTAAAAGCTAATGCCAAAAGTCAATCCAAACGGAGCCTTAGACAATAGTGTGCTTTTAGATGGCATTTTTCTTCCTTTAAATGTTTTCCTTTGTTTTTTTACCAACATCATCAAAATTCACAGACAATGAAACAAAGGCTGAATCTGGTAGTGTGGAGATGAATTTGGATTATGAGTTCAAATTCCAATGGCTCTAAATCTTGTGTGCTATACCTGATTCGCTTAGTGTAATTTGCATTGTCAAATTTAATTTGCAAGCTATTAAATTCGATCGGATTTATATTTAAAAAAAAAAAAGTTGAAGCAATTTTTTTAGTGTGAATGACGATTATTTCAAGTAATTTATTTAGTTATGAAACTGATTCTTAACATTGAAAATATATAATTGTATTATAAATAAGTACTTTTTTGATATTTTCTCTATATTTTTATATAATAATTAATATTCAAATATCAATATAAAAAAAAATAAAAATAAAAATAAATAAATAGCATTAACTTTGGTGTCTGATATTCATTTATGCGAAAAATTTTAATTGTCAAATTAATCCGAGATCTAAATATAATCATAAAGTGATTACAAGGATAAAATCAGTTATCTTATGATTATTATTATCCATGATTTGGTGCATTGACCCAAGCTGGTGGTCTACTGTTGGTTGTGTCCATCATTGGACGCTAAGTCAGTGCTGGACAGCTTTTTTCGACTAACACTTATGCCGACTGCCCGCCCCCCCTGCCCTGCCGCTCTCACTCTCACTCTCACTTCTCATATATATATATAATAATTATATATATATATCCCTGTTCTTGTTCATCAAATAGAGTATAAACCCCCGCCTTTTGATTCTCCCTGTTTCCCTCTCACTCTGTAATCAGCCATGAGTCTTTTCGGCCTTGGCAGGTAAATCCATTCATTTCTACTTCTGCGATTAAGACATCATCGATTTCGATTCTATTGCTCTCTGCTTGTTTTTCGTTAGATCTGTTGTTTTACGGATTGAGGACCTTCTTCGATTTTACTTTCGTTAACTACTATTATTTTTCATCTGGTTTTTATCTGTGATTTTTGCGATAAGATTAAGATTTGGATGTCTGTAGTAGAGAGAATCTAGGCTTCAATTGTGTCGAATTTCCTCTCGTAGTTTCGACAATACGACTTGCTATACACTACTTTATGGTTTTACAGTATGTGGATCAGATATAAATTCAAGCTGCAAATGCAATCCTCTAATGGATAATCGGTTTTGAATTTTTCCATAAAATTTATCAAGGGCATATGTTTTTCTTTCAACTGTGCTGTCGGAATTTCTCCTCGATGATCTTTATTAAGATCAAGCCATGATATCATGGCCATGAATTTCTTACAACAGCCACCTTAATTTGCTGTTTTTTCAATCAGGAATCAGAGAACATTCCGTCCGAAGAAAAGTGCTCCATCTGGCAGTAAAGTAGGCATACTTCTTTGCTAATGATCATAACATTTGTCTCTCCAATAATTAGAATTTTTTTTTTTTTTTTTTTTTTTATAATTTCTTCGATGAATGCAGGGAGCACAGCTAAGGAAGCACATCGATTCTACTTTAGGCAGTGGGAACTTACGAGAAGCTGTAAGATTACCTCCTGGCGAGGATATTAATGAATGGCTTGCTGTCAACAGTACCCTCTCTCTCTCACTCCATCTCTATCTCTCTCTAGATATCAAGACATTCTTAATAAGAGAGCGTTCTGTTTTTTTTACCCTACCCTGTCTTTGCCATTGCAGCTGTGGATTTCTTCAACCAGGTGAATCTCCTCTACGGCACCCTCACCGAGTTCTGTACGTCCGAGAATTGCTCGACAATGTCGGCCGGACCTAAGTCTGTCATCGTATTATTACGGCCATTCTTGTACTAATTAACCTCCATAGGTGTTTTTTTCAATCAATAAATGAATGTTTTCATTTTGCAGGTATGAGTACCGATGGGCCGATGGCGTTAACATCAAGAAACCTATCGAAGTCTCGGCTCCTAAGTACGTCGAATATCTGATGGACTGGATCGAAACTCAGTTGGACGACGAGTCCTTATTTCCTCAAAAACTTGGTAATGACATACATTGCCCTCGACAATCCATGTCCTACTCGTAGTATTAATTGAAGCACATTTTACTTGACTTTTATATATGTAGGCACGCCGTTCCCTCCTAATTTCAAAGACGTCGTGAAGACAATATTTAAGCGCTTATTTCGCGTATACGCGCACATATATCACTCCCATTTTCAGAAGATTGTTAGCCTAAAAGAAGAGGCACATCTAAACACTTGCTTCAAGCATTTCATTCTGTTCACTTGTGTAAGTCCAGCTCTATTTACATAGATATTTTTTGAAATTTTAAATTTTATTTATCAATATTTTTTTTTTTTAAAAAAAAAAATATCACATCAAATAGTGTTTATACTACAGGAATTTAATCTAATTGACAAGAAGGAACTTGCTCCACTCCAAGAACTCATTGAATCCATTGTCCCTGCTGCCTACTGAACTTATTGCAAAAGAGTCTTCTTACTATTGTAAGAAATTAGCTGCTGACTATCTTCTTTGTATGACATGTCTTGTTCGGACAAAGTTTGTGTAAATTTAAATATTCCCACCCAAATCTGTGTGTATGTTTATTTATATATATATATATATATATATAAATATATGTGTGTGTTCCATGCACGTGTGAGGATTTATAGAAACCAAGAATCTGCACAGCTGGTGTATCATGTAAGATGTATCTACTAGTGGAATAATTATAAAATATAAGATCATGTATTGATTATTATGATAATTAAAATTATTTTTAATTGTTGAGAGGTAACAGGTGGACCTTCTACGTGTCCAAAATTAGGGTTTGCATGGGCATACGTGCTGGCGGTGAAAGCGAGAACAGTGAAGGTAGGAAAATACAGCTGGAACTTAGCCGCTGGAACTTAGCCAATCAGCTACACTTGATTTTGTTGATAATGTTTAGTCATTTTTTACTCTCCATTTTGTGCCGATTAATTTTTTTTTTTTTTATTACACGACGATTTTATTTTATTTTTATTTTTATTTTTTATTTTTCTAATTTACGGGATATAAATAATGGTAATTATTTCTGCTAATCCTTAGATTAATATTATGCAGATTATACATTTGAATATTTGAGTTTGACTGATTGGATTTTGAATTATGTGCTCGAATACACATATATATTGTATGCATAGTTAAAAGTAAATAAACAATTTTGAATTGGACCGTATTTTATTTTACTTTATGTGCTTTCTAAGTTTCAAAAAAATCCCAACAAATGAATCCAAACGTAGCCTTAAAAAACAGCAACACATCTTTTATTAAACTAATTAATTTAAGCATGACTAATCCTTGGTATTTATTCTAGAATAAACTAATGGTTATTGATTAATTTAATTTATTTTTATAGTGCTTAATTTTCAGTGTATTTATGTAACGTCAAGACAGAGATACCTTGAGGTGTGTTGTGGACACATACATCTGCAATTACAACTGCAAATTCACTCCTGCAATTTCGATTTTAACAAAATTTGCAACACTATAAATGAAAATTTTGATGCATAAATAAATAATTAAATTAATTTTATATTCTTAAAGTGAAATTAAATTTGAAAATTTTATAGGAAAAAAAGGACGTGCATGTTTAAAAAATCTGGGCTTGGAATTTCACATGTTGGGGCAATCATTGCTCTTCTGCATCTAAACAAAGCCAGATTCATTGTGTGGTCCATTTTTGCCTTGGGAATCATATATTTGTATATATATTGCAATTAATCCATCGAAATAAAATGCGTGACATGAGATGAGTTCGGAGCATTTAATTCCGAACTAAATATTTTTTAATATTGTGAAATTGTTGGCATCTTCTGTCCCGATACACATTTAATTTATTTAATTTTATTTTTTTTTATAGAAAATTGCATTACTAGTATACATAAGTAACATAACATTATTATTATTATTATATTATAGTCATAATAAAGATTGTTAAATATAATAAGTGGATTTAGTTCATTCTGCCTTTGATTTCCTCTACTTAACTTTTACGGTTTGAAAAAATAAAAGGAGGGCCTACAAAAAGCGACAAAAAACCGCACCCCGAAGACCCATCGACAGTCGGGTGGAGCCTAGGTCCGTGGAGTAGTGAGAAAATGTGGATCTCTACGGACACGTGGACCCCTATCGACAGTAGGGATGGAGCTGGTGTTGTGGTCCAGGACCTTTTTGTAAATTTGATTTCTTTTGGTAATCCCAAAACGTTAATTACGTATTTGGGGTTTATTTTTCTTCGGCTTTCTTCATTTTTTCAAACTATGGCAGAAGTTGCCGGCGTTTTCTACTGCGCTAAATATAATACGCGCAGTTCGGTCGCCTGAAAATTTAGATAGTTCTCTGACTCTATAATAAATTCTCTCTCTGTCTCTCTCTATAATAAGTGTGGATTTGATCGATGAACTCCTTCACGCCTCAGTTGTGCATTCAAGTCAACATTGATTTACGGATTGGCGAGTAAATTTGTTGGAGTGGTGAATTGTGAGGATACGGACGCGGTCGTCATCAATGCATCTTTAAACTCGTTTTCGGTCTGTGTGTTGCGCCAGGTATGTGCTGGTATTTATTTTTATGATTCTCGACATGGACTGGCTTTTACAGTTTTCACTGGTTAGGTGGAAATTCTCGCGCTTTATTAGTTTGTCTGCGGAGCGGTCTCTCTCGTTTTGCCGTTTACTCTGTTTTCAGTTTTCGGTTTTTTTCAGGATTTTCGTGGAAGCGTATCGCCGGTGATTGAATCCATCGCGGGTCGAGTTTGGAGGGGGATTGAGGTCAATGCTGTGTAGATGTGAAATTGAGTTCATTTTGAAATGGTATTGAAAATTTGAGACTCTTCCTGTCAGTGATTTGAGATCTGTGCATTCTCCACTTTTCTTCTGAAGTGATTGATTGGTCTTGCGGGGGTGTAGGCTTGTTGAATTCAGGAACTGAGTTTCCGGATATTCCGGTAATTGTAATTTTATCACCCCTTGAAAATTGAAGGAGCGGTGCTTGGTGATTGAAAAAGAAATTAGACTGATTGAGGGGATCTCAAGGAAAGTTGGTGTTTATTTGGGCGGGGATGTCAAATTCCAAGGTAGTGTATGAAGGATGGATGGTCAGGTATGGACGCAGGAAGATTGGAAGATCTTTCATTCACATGCGTTATTTCGTGCTTGAGTCCAGATTGTTGGCCTATTACAAGAAGAAACCCCAGGACAATGTGGTAAATGCTTAAAACTTTCATCTTTGTTCTTTCAGATTAAGCTAAAGGTTGCTAGTTCTCTGGGATGAATTAATCCCTTTGGTAGCATGAACCATATGTGAAGACAGTATGTAGAACTCTCTGTTAAGTTTGACTCAAATGCTAAGGATTCTTAGTAAGAGTTTCTTTTCAGAAATTATCACTCTGCATTAGTTCTTGAAAATCTGTTGTGGATAGGAGTCTTAGTCTAATATTTTTTTTTATTTGTGTTGCTCCTTATGTTACAAGGTGCCCCTCAAGACTCTTCTCATAGATGGTAACTGCAGGGTGGAAGATCGAGGATTGAAGACACATCATGGACACGTGAGCTACACTTGACATTGCTATCTTACATTACTTTCTCCAAACATGAATATGGCTTTTCGATTTGGTTGAACAATTTGTGACATTGCAATTACTATTTTATTCGGAATTTAGATGGAACAAATTTATAATTGTAAAACTCTCTGCATATTTGTTTAAATATTTGGGTGTTAATTTCTCCTTGGTGAGGTATCCAACATCCTTCCGATCTAGCAGTGTGTTTCTTTTTTCTCGACATCAGTAATTTAGAGTTTTATATTACTAGCCTGAATTTTCTTGATAAACTGAAGTAGATTTCATCATATGGGCACATTCATGATTATTCTGATATTTTGAGCATCTTTGAATGATGGAAACAAGTCCCTTGTTGTTTCTGTTTCTCACACATATATTTCATTATTTTAACAGATGGTTTATGTTCTGTCTGTTTACAACAAGAAGGAGAAGTACAATCGAATGACGGTGTGTTAGTAGCATTACTTTGTATTCCCAGATGTTTGCATTTGCACAGTTCTTTTACTGGCTCATGGAAAGAGATTGTTTTAACTTCCTAGTTCCAGATGGCAGCTTTCAACATTCAGGAAGCACTCATTTGGAAAGAAAAAATCGAATCTGTGATTGACCAGGTATCTTATCTTGTTATCATCTCCTTCCAGACACTTCTGTACCATTTTGGATATATCTATGTGCATTTTGCATCATGTTGAGTTAATTTTTGCCTGAAGTTGTGGTTTAGTTATTGAAATGACCAAGGACTATTGATGACATGCAGCATCAGGATTCACAAGCTGCTAATGGGAACAAATACCAATCCTTTGAATATAAATCTGGTATGGATAATGGGAGAACTGCTTCATCCTCAGATCATGAAAGTCAGTAAGTAAAGCTTGACTAATATCTACAGACAATTATACCCTGAAGCTGTTACAGAATTAATAGTTAGTGAAGGGTACATGTTAATCCATCATTCTAAGGATGACTTGCATATGTTATTGGATGAGATAGTATAGCTTTAGGAATAGGTAGTGGAGAAGTTATGTGGTGTTGTGAGTCTATCTGGCCATAGATAAGAGTGAAATATCTTCCCTCGATTCTGCTTATATTCATTGTGAATGGAGGTTTTGGAATTAGTACTGCATTACAAAGCTAGTATCAGAGAGTGCGTTTCAGTTAATAAAGGTTATTATTATTATTACTTTTTTTTTTCCACCAAAAGTTGGCACGAGTGATTGGAAATGTGTATATCCAAAATTTTCATTATAGTTGCTTGGATAGAGTATGGGTAGTGTAGTATTATCATATTTTGTAAAAGATACTATAAGAATGTTAGGCATATTTTAGCAGTCATGATTACAATGGTTTTCAACATAATTAATTCCATTGAATGGAATAAGATTGAAAAATGCCCTACTCTTGATTTTCTAAATTGCTTCACTGGTTAACCTTCCTCATTTGGGTGATGATGAATTTGACGATGGTTCTTTATCTTTATTATATTTTCTATAAATGTTATTCTTGGCTTTACACTGCTTGCTTGTAAAGCAGAATATAGTCAGAATGATATGTTATTATTATTCTTGCCAATTTAAAAAATAGCTTAGTCTATTGGCTTGAAGAAATCTGATGCCTAAGATGTTTGATTTTACTTGATATTTTGACTGTAGGTTTAGTGCAGCAGAGGATGAAGAGGATTCCAATCCAAATTTGATGCGCAGAGCGACTATTGGAATTGGTATTCCCTGTTCATCTTCATATCTTGGATTATCTGGAGTTGTCACAATCTTTCTGACATTTTATCATCCTACTTCATGCCAGGCCCCCCAGAGTCTGTTTTTGATTGGACAAAGGAAATAGATTCTGATTTGGCCAATCAGAATTCTAACAACCAGGCATTTTCAAGAAAGTATTGGCGACTTCTACAGTGCCAGAATGGTATTTACTGTGTTTTTTTCTTATTAAACTTGTGATATGATAGGGTGGCGTTTGGAATTCTCCAATTAGTTATTGTGATAATTTCTCATATATCTTAATTGATGATTATGTTTATGCAATTCTTTAGGGCTTCGGATATTTGAGGAACTTCTTGAAGTGGATTTTCTTGTAAGACATATTACAATGATTTTGGTCCTGCTGCTGAAATGTTTTGGTTTCTCCCTTATATAGTTATTTGTGCAGCCAAAAAGCTGTAGCAGAGCAATGAAAGCTGTTGGGGTAGTGGAGGCTAGCTGTGAGGAAATATTTGAACTTGTTATGAGCATGGATGCAACACGATTTGAGTATGGACTTACCTCAGTATTTACTTTGAGAAGCTATTTTACATATTGAAATTGATTTGTTGTTTCAAATAGTCAATGTCCACTTGTGCATGGGGTAGTATTAGGTTTTTATAACTATCTCTTTTCCTGTAATGAGATAGACTTATGTTGGTTTCCTAGCTTGGATTACTTTTACTCCTGGTTAAAGGTTATTTATTTATGTTGGACTACTTGGTATTTCTTAGCACTTCCACATGGAAGCGTGCATTTGTGATCTAACCAAGTGAAAATGCATCATCAAATATTTCATGTTTCAAATACAATAACACTAGAAATGCAATTTATGTTACTTGAAACCTTTTATGCATGTAGGTGGGATTGCAGTTTCCAGTATGGTAGCTTAGTTGAAGAAGTGGATGGGCATACAGCTGTATTGTATCACAGGCTTCAGTTGGATTGGTTTTCAGCGTAATGTGGCCATATCATACTTTTTATTTTTGATATATATGTATATATATATGTATGTACATATGTTTTTGACTTATATATTTTCTTGGTGCTGCTTTATCAACGATACCACAATTAGAATTACGGCCATTATTGGCTAATAGCTTAAATGTAGGCTAAGATGTTGTGGACAATACTTTGCTGACATATGATGTTTTTTGTTTGATATATTTCTGTTACCTTTAGGTGGTTTTCTCTCTCTTTCTCTCGCTCTTTCACCTCCCATATTGTTACATCAAGAGTCAAAATGTAGTATGAATTACTCAATTAATCTATGGACTATATACATTCACCACTCTATGGGGCCCCTTTTTAGCTTTTTGCTGATCAGTATGACTTTGTTTGTAGCTCGAGCGATCTCAGATTTTCCTGCTATTGATGATTACTGATTTGGTCCTTTTGGAAGTGAATCAAATTATGTAGTATCCAATTGTCCGTTTCTAGGTGGAATATTATGATTATATAGTCTAAATTTGTCTGGTTCCTGTTTTAATTTTTTGTGTCCATTCTACACAGCTGTATGTTTTTTTGGCTGCATTCCATTTTTTTTTTTTTTTTTTTTTTTTTTTTCTGATTGGTGATAATATGTTTTTGCTTTTGCCATTAAAACCGTCATTTTCTCCTTCAATCTGAATAACAGGTTTGTATGGCCTCGCGACCTCTGTTATGTGCGGTACTGGCGTAGAAATGATGATGGAAGTTATGGTATATTCAGCCACTGTTTTTCTTGCCTGCTTTTCGTTTTGTATTTCCTTTCAATGCATAATTCTCCATATTTTTGCTAATGTTACTATGCAGTCGTGTTATTTCGTTCTAGAGAGCATGAGAATTGTGGTCCTCAACCTGGTTTTGTGCGTGCTCATATTGAAAGTAAGTTCCAATGACCTTTGATATGGTACACCTACACGCACAATTTATTGCTGTGTGTATGTGTGTATAATGCATTCTGATTAATTTCAACACTATTGGATAGATGAGCAAATTTATTTTAGGATCTTTACCATTCACTCTGGCTGCATGAAAATGATCATCTGCAACACATTTCAGGTGGCGGATACAATATTTCACCTCTGAAACCTCGTAATGGGAAGCCCAGAACACAGGTGCAGCATCTCATGCAGCTTGATCTTAAAGGCTGGGGTGTGAATTATGCTTCATCGTTTCAGCAACATTGTCTTCTTCAGATGTTAAATAGTGTTGCTGGTGAGATTATTTGGTTGGATTCCATCTAAAGAAGATCTATATTTTGTCATTTATATATTTATATATATGATTTATTGATGCCATGCCTTTTGCACGTTCATATGTTAAATACTAACTGTAGTTAAACACTTTTACCAAAGTTGGTCTTGGTGTTTATAGTTAAGATAAAATACTTTGGGTTGCTGCAGCTGTCAGTTGGATTAATCTTCAGTATGTTGAACAAAGCATTGATGTAACATCTATTATGTATTTCTTCATTTTCTGAAAGAAAATACTTTTAAAATGGGTCATTTGGCATCACATTATCACATGCTATGGAAACTTATTTAGCTTATTGATTGAGATGGCTTGTAAACCATTTTCACACTCTATATACCATATTCTCCCTCGAAAAAAAAAAAAAAAACAACAAAGAGTTCTATCTATTTTAATAGAGCTACAGTTATTTGCATCAGTTGTGTCTTTAATAACTATAAAGGGGTTGTGCCTGTTTTTGGTTTGTAGTTTACCCAAGCCAACTGCTCTACTACCAGTATCATTTATCCTTGCCATAACTATACAAAATGATCAGTCAACTTGAGCCACACAAGTAAATGCAGACTTGCTTTTCTCATTCTGTTCTAGATTTATTTTCTGAAGTAACAGCATGTACATTTGGTGTTACTCTTGTGATGGTTAATGCTTTATATTCTGTTGACACAGGATTGCGAGAATACTTTTCTCAAAGTGATGAAAGGACTGCTGCTCCTAGAATTCCTGTAATGGTCAATATGACATCAGTATCCAGATCAGGAAAGAAGAGCCAGAAACTACAATCATCTTCTATTCATCTTCATAGTTCCTCACTTGATCAGATGAACGCAGCAAATAAAAATGCCATATTGATGGATGAATATTCTGATGAAGATGAAGATCTTCAGTATGCTGAACAAGAGGTTTGTATTGCATGATTTATCTATAACGTCTTGGTTGTTTCCATTTCTCTTTGACATTCTTGGTTTGTTATAATTTTTGACATGGACTTTACAGACTTTGCCATCCTTGAATGAGGTTGAAGATAAACGAATTGGTACGTGTTATTCATTATTTTCAGCACAGATGTGGTGGTATTGTTTTGATTGGCACAAACTTAATGCTTGTAATTCTCTTTATTCATTCACTTGCAGAAGAGCCACGAATAGACATGACCATTTTCTCGGGTAACCTTCGCTGTGATGATGATAACAAGGCTCGTGACTGTTGGACATTATCTGATGGAAACAATTTCAGAGTTAGAAGCAAACGATTCTGTTACGACAAATCGAAGGTAACTTATTTTTTCTTGGTTTCTGATTTCTTCAGGTACCTTCTGACTGCTACTTATTCTATTTACATCTGACCTAACATATTAAAATCTTCAACATCTCTCTGAAGATTCCTGCAGGCAAACATCTTATGGATCTTGTTGCTGTTGACTGGTTCAAAGATACTAAAAGGATGGATCATGTTGCCAGGCGTCGTGGTTGTGCGGCACAAGTACTGCTCTCTCTCTCTCTCTCTCTCCATATATATATATATATATGTGGTTCTTCCGTGGTGATTGAAGTTCCCTTCAGTTATGTTCTCTTCTTGATCATATAAAATCTTTTAAAAACCCAATATGCCTTTGGATAATGTTTTTATTTTGTACTACCTTGGGCTTGTTAAATGACAGTTTTTGGTTTTTCCTGTTTAGGTTGCATCAGAGAAAGGACTTTTCTCTATTGTTTTCAATTTACAAGTGAGTTGATCGCTTGGAAATTTTCAATTCTAGTTTAAGGTATACGATAGCTTGAATGATGATGTGACTTCACTTTTTTAGGTTCCTGCATCAATGCACTATAGCATGGTGTTTTATTTTGTATCCAAGCAATTGGAGCAAGGATCTCTCTTGCAGCGGTTTGTTGATGGGGATGACGAGTTCCGCAATAGTAGACTGAAGCTTATTCCATCAGTACCTAAGGTTTCATTCGATTGCGATTCTTTAATGTGAAGCCTCTCTTCATGTTTTCTTGTGGTTTCTTGCTTCAAGTTTGACTAACTTATGAATCATGCAGGGTTCTTGGATTGTACGCCAGAGTGTTGGCAGTACTCCTTGTCTGCTAGGGAAGGCAGTTGATTGCAACTATATCCGTGGTCCCAACTACTTAGAAGTATGATTTTCTAACATATACTCAAATCTACACTTGACCTAATTCTTTCGACTCTGGATTAATCTTTGTTGGTATTTAAAAATCTCTGTAGGTTGATGTTGATATTGGTTCCTCTACTGTGGCTAATGGTGTTCTTGGGCTTGTAATTGGTGTGATTACAACACTTGTGGTTGACATGGCTTTCCTTGTACAGGTATTTAGTCCATTTAGGAAATCTACTTTCGCTTTGTCAAGAATGTTTATAACGATCAGTGTTAAATAATAATAATGTACACTACTTTCTGGTGGGTGGTAATGGAGTTATGTTAAATTTTCAAATGGAAAGTTCTTCGATCATGCTTCTTATCAAATCTACATATATTGTTAACAATTCAGGCCAACGCCATTGATGAGTTGCCAGAGCGACTAATTGGCGCTGTCAGGGTTTCCCATATAGAATTGTCATCTGCTATCGTCCCAAAGCTGGAGTCGGATCCTTCGGACTCAGTCGAAAAATAATGGGTATCAGTTACACATTCGTTCAATACTCTTGTTTAAATATATGAGCTGCATTCGTTCATACCTTTTTAACTCTGAATGTAGAGAGATGATCATTCTTTACATTTGAGCAATTAAGCTCTTCGCTGTGAAATGCAGCTTCTTGGTTTTACACTTTTACTATATAAATTTAGTAATTCGTTCACTGTCCACATATGCATGTCACAGTATATCCCTACGTTAAAAGCATCACAATTGCGACTAATGAAGTATCAAAAACACTGCAAACTTGATTCATCTGGTGGCATACTATGAACATGATTGATTCACCCTTCCAAGATAAGTTTATGATTAAAATAGGTGGATTCTATTAATATGCCTGGCAAAGGAACCCTGATATGATGAGATGCTCCCAAAGTGTAGTATTCTGTTACCTAAGATTGACAGTGAATAGTGATATGAACCCAAAAAATGGCTCTAATCGATACATTGTAGATTCCGAGTTTCCAACTGAGTATAGTGCAGGTAGCATGACATAATTAAATTTGAGCCATCCACAGGGCACGGGTCTGATCTGCTTGCCCGTGGCTTGGCTTCTAATATGAATCCTTAATGCCTACAAAGTCATTGCTGCTGCTTCTATTTAAATCGAAACCTATAGAAGGCCCATGGAGACTCAGCTCAATCTCCTTAACCTCTTGTCCCTTATCACTGTAATTTGCTTCGGCCATTCTTGTATTAATATTCTGCGGCATGGCCAATTTGGTTGTCTCGTCTCTCTCATTACCCTTTATTGTTTGCATGAAATTCGATAGCGCCAAATTGAAGTCTGTTATTTGAGCTCTCATTGACTCAAGGCTTTCAGGGTGATTAGTACCAGCTGAAAGTCTTTGTTGTGCCTGCTCCAGTATGGCCTGCAGGTACTTCCCCTGTGCTTCAATTCTCATTTGCAGTTTCTGCTGCACCTGTTTTAGGAAGTTGAAATTGTGAAATTACATTATAGAAGATGGACTCAAAAAAGGGCAATGTCTGCATACCTGAAGCTGTTCTTGTAGCCTTTTTTGCACTTCTATTTGACACTTGAGTGTTTCAGCAAGTGGAATTTCCCTGTGCAGCAAAATTTTCATGTTGGCTTATACTGATCAGATCATTCCCAAACTGATTTTCGAAAGCCGACTATGAAAGTAGATAGATTCTTTTTGTTACCCCTTTTCATTGCTGCACTCATTGAATTGCCATGGCAACTCTTCATGCTCTTTCTTCTGGTGATGAGTAATCTGTTTCTTGGTCTGCTGCTGGTGTCCAAGTCTGTACTTCTGCACAAACCAGCAGAAGCTAAACCATTACTTAATGCCCTCATATACTACAAGTAGTTAGACCAAAATGATGGTTAAGGATATGATATAATGACAGGGAGGGAGAACCTACCATCCATACAAAACTAACTAGTGTACCTGTAAATGGCTCTTTAGATGATACAGTGTCAACCCCTTCAACCCCATAACCCTCAGTACTGATTTTGGAGTAGCCTCTGTTAAATTCAAGACAACCCTTGTATTAGACATTTTTCTAGGTTATACTATGTTTATTAACCTAGTAAGATCAAGAAGTAGAATTCAAACATAAATAAGAGAAAGAGACTAACTGTCAGGACCGCCGAGCTTAGTTACAGCAGCAACAAACCGGTCATGCAAATCGGCAGTCCATCGTAGCCGCGGCTTAGGGTCTCTTGTCATCACCACCCCATCACTGCCACTGCCGTCGCCATCGCCGCCGCCGCAGGGCATTCTCTCCATAGCCTCCTCCCCTGTCTCTACACACCAAGAAAGGACTAAAGAAAGCACTGACCTGACCTCCCTCCTAAATTCTACACACTCTTTATTCTTCTATAAAGAAAAGAAGCCAAATGATAGAGAGAAAAACTCAAAAGAGATAAAGAACAAAGTGACAAACAAAATATATTCATTACAGAAACCAAGAAGTGGCTGTTGAAATGGGGTGTTTGTTCATGGAACATTTAGATCTATCCATACCACACATCAATGATGAATTATTATGGGGTACGAGGAAGAGGAGACTTAATGATGACAATACAATACTCCAAATACGCCCTCCCTCGTGATGCTTAGCTTTCTACTTTCGTCTACTTTTGTTGTTCATGCTCATGCTCATCTTCATGTTAATGTAATAGTACACACACTGGCATGCATAACATATCATAACATTACATTATAAAGGGATAGGCTTTTGGGTTTTGTCCTATTTGATTGTTGCTGGTATGTTTTGTTTTTTTTATTTATTCAACTAAGTTAATAAAATAAACGGTAGGTGGAGAGGGGAATCCGGCGACGAATCTGAAGAAAAATAAAACACAAGAGTGCCCAAATATTGTAAACAAAACAAGAAACATATATAACCCATATATAGATATAGGAATTATTATTATATTTTATATAATATAATAAAGAAAACAAAACAAGAATCATGATCTGGAGTCTAACTGGACCGTCGATTACAGTGGGTGGTTCTTGTCCGGTAGGATGCGACACGTGCAAAGAACATTCCTCACGACCTAGCCACGTCTAATAATTTTAATCACCAAGTCCAAGAACAAGCCCATTAATTTAATCTAATTTAATTTCAAGAATAACTAATAACGAAGACAAGATGAAGAATATTCTTAGCGTAAAACCTGCTCCAATTTCTTTCTACCTCTTTGTCCCTTGGACCCACTCGTCGCTTTCAATCAATTTTCATCATTATTCCATCAGGTTAATATAACAATGAATGATAAAAAAGCTACAGAGACATTTGGACCATTGTAATACTGGATCATTACAATCAGTTCCTCGTGGGCTTCCCCCCAAACTTCACACATTTTACAATTTCTCGTATAAAACTTCAGTATTTCAAAGAATCATGCGACTGACTGATGCGATTTATTAATAACTTCAGTGACCCAAAAATAATAAAATAAAATTTTAATCGATTCTCAAACTTCAACCTTCCTCTGTGGCGTAGGCGTAACTTCGAGAGACTCTTTAGGAGAACAGTGATGGTGATGATCATGATGAAGATGATGATGATCATCATCCAATCCTTCCTCCTCCTGCAGCACCGCCGGCGAGTTTTTGCCGCTGGGTATGACGTGTCCGGCGGCCTTAGCCCCTCCGAAACTGCTGATGTTCCCGAAGATTACGACAATCATCCCAACAATTCCTGTCCAAAACGACACCCCAAATGCCTTCCCCACATTCCCTGGAATCGCTGTCGCCAATGCAAAACCTGCACACGCCCCCAACGCACGTGCCCACGAGAACCACACCGAGAACGCCCCCTCCTTCCCCGCCGGCGAGCAGTCCAGCCACAGAACCCTCCCGAACGCGTGGAGCAATCCTACATTATTAATTCATCAGAACAAATTAACATCGGACTCAAGAACTAATACAATACAATATGAGGTTATTTTTTTACCTGTGGCTGTGCCTTGTACGGATGCAAAGACAAGAAGATGACCCGTCTTCCAGACCTCAGATTTGTAGTAAAATCCGAACCCTGAAGTGAGAGTCGACAGTATAAATCCAAGAACCTGCATTTTCTCGGCGTCGAGTTTCAGCGTCTGCTGCAAAGGATGGGCCAGAGGCAGCGTCGCCAGAGGGACTAAAAAGTAAAGAAGCCATACGAACAAAATGGTCTCCGCTTCAGCGCAGAGATACCCAATTGCATAAAGCAAACTCGCCCCAAAAATGCACATACTCGTGAACGACGACAGAAAGACTCCCGCCAGGCTCCCTGCAGCGTGTGGAAACTTAAAAATGGAGGCGACGTGTCTGAACATGGGACCGCAGTCTGATTCTGTAACGTTCCAATTTTGCATCGACCTGCTGCTGCTGAAAATGTGGACTAACCCGACGCCCCAAATGAGGCCGCTGAAGATGGAGACGACCCACAGGTTCGTGAAATGGTCGGCGTGTCCGAGCATGCGGTACGTGAAGGCCGCCATTAGAGCAGCTCCGAAGCAGCCTGATGCTGTCGAGTAAAGTGACAGCCAGCTGCTGAAGGATCGTCGGTTTCCGAATTGCTGCTTCGGGATAGTTGCGCCGGTGAAGCCGCGGATCATAAGGCCGAGGTCACGGGCATGGGCTGCGCCGACGATGGCGCTGGCGGCGACTATGGCGGCGATGTACGGCGGGAAGATCCATGATTTTCTGAAGAAGCCTGCCGGGAGGCAGAAGATTGCGCCGATGCCTGTCGCGCCAGCGGCGATTAGTTGCTGGTAGCGGCTGTAGTCGAGGAGGATTGAAATTATGGCGAGTATTGGCGCGGAAAGGATTAGTCCCGTGATCCATGAAATCGAGGTCCATTCTAACGGGGAGAAGCTGCTGTTGCCGACTTTGATTGCGCCGTGTATTAATCCTTCGTATCTGCCGTTTAAATTTAAAATTCAGCATAATACTGATAGGACATTGTGTGCTGCAGTATCAATTTTGACTATGAACAGACAGCCATGTTCTTCTGAAGATGAGGAGTTGAAAGAAAATGACAACTTACAGCTGCATTTCGTTCTTCTTGCACGTCAAACCTTTGCGTGTCGACAACCAGCCTTGGGGCGGCTCGGGTGGGTGGGCGACGGTTTGGCTGATGATGAGCGGGAAGACAATGGGAATCAGGACAGTGTGGACAAAGTATGAGCACAGTCCGTACAAATACCAGATTAGAACTTCACTTTTCGAAGGCTTATCTTCGATCCCGCCACACGCATTATACGTGTCGCGGCCTGTCGGGAATTTCATTGCTGTAGAATCTGGTGTTGATGCATCTTCTTCGTCGAGGACTTCTTTGGGCTTCCCCTGGTTTTGATCAGGGCTGATATCTGCCATTTACTCAGCTTGACAAGGTAACAAATTTCTCGACAAGATTGATTCCATATTTGTAGTAACTATGAGAGGTTCTTAAAAAAAAACTGTAATAGCAAGAGCCAGCTGGATGTGAAGTTTTCAAGAAGACTTAGCTAGCTGCAATGGCTTTGGTTTACTCAACTTTGTACATAAATAAATACATGAAAGGGATAACAGCATAATTCTTGTCTTCTGAATTTTGGAGTCATTTTTCCTTATGACAGTTAGCAACCAGAAAAACGACATAGCTCGATGATAACGATGAACAAAGTGTAGAACAGACAAATTTGGTCATACATACTTTCATACACCATCCTTGTTGCGTCATCAATGTCGAAGGACTGATTCAAACAAGAGACATTCCTCAATTCCTTAATTTTTGTTCTATTTTTGTTTCGACAGGTGAAAATGTCGTGTCTGAGGCACAAGAGAAGACAATGTTTTCATTCTTCACGATTCATATTATAATTTACTAAACTTGGTTTTCACTAATGACTAATTGCTTATAGAATACAACATACAAGATTGTAATACTTTCTTTACTGGAAAACAAACAAAAAAACAGATAGATAAATAAAGCATCTGTTCATCAAACTATCTTCCTCCCAACTCAGAAATGGTGACTTCATTAGCTGAAGATGTCTTCTCTGTTGCAGTCCTCTCTACTTCCTCAACCACAGGATTCCTTTTTCTTGTGATAAATGCCGGATTCTGAGGATCTGGAAAATTCGAGGTGTCGTTTTTTAACATTGATAAAGCATCTTCAATGTTTGGCCTATCATCAGCATGATTTTCGACACAGAGAAGTCCAATGTGAATGCATCTTTGCAGCTGGTCTGCAACACACGAAGCCCTTAAAGATGGATCCATGAGATCTAATGCAGAATCTGTTTTCCAAAGCTCCCAAGCCTACAAGAATAATAAGTCCAGACGACAGATCATTTTTACGAGGAAATGGATATAGTTCTGCAAACGGAAAATGTAGAAATATTTCCTATCTTCTACTTACATATTCCACCAGATTTAGCGGGCCTTCGCTTTGGTGAAAGCTATTGTTTTTCCGACCACTCACAATCTCGAGCACCAGCACTCCAAAGCTATATACATCTGATTTAACAGATAATATACCCTGCATCGCGTACTCGGGGGCCATATAGCCGCTGCAAATATATTGTTTAATTAATCTTATAGATTAGATTGATCGTGCATGGGGTAGATGCAAATTATACGAATGGTTGTTACTTACTATGTCCCTACGCGCCTATTCGTGTTAGCTTCATCTATATTCTGCTTGAAGATCCTTGCAAGACCAAAATCTGAGATCTTAGGATTCATGTCTTTGTCGAGTAAGATATTACTTGGTTTCAGGTCACGGTGGATTATCCTTAGCCGGGAGTACTTGTGAAGGTAGAGTAATCCTTGAGCAATCCCCTCGATGATTCTGAACCTCAATGGCCAATCTAACTGCTCCTTCTTAGATGGATCTGTTAACACAACAGAACTTTTACCATTAAATCAACATTAGGTAGCATCTATTTGTCGAGTTCCCTAATAAATACTCATTCCTTATAAGAACATCTCCTTACGGAAATGCAGATTTATGCCGTGCGTATGATTTGATTATACGCCTTTTAGGGGACTTAAGAGAGACAGTGTACACTACATTTCAGACAAGAGTGACTTATCAAAGATACTTCCCTAAAGTAAATGAACTTACCAAAAAGAAAGAAGTCCAGACTTCTGTTGGGTAGATAGTCATAGATTATCATCTTATCGCTTCCATGAATGCAGAAACCATGTAGTTTAACAAGGTTCACATGCTGCAGTCTAGAAATAAGTATTAGCTCTGTTTTAAACTCTTGCAATCCTTGTCCTGACTGTTGCGAAAGAACCTTCACTGCTATATCTTGGCCTTCTGGCGTCGTCCCCTGCAAAAGTATAAGCAGTAGAAAAATTTAGAGAAGAATAAAATACTAACCAAGCGGTCGAAAGATAACAGCAGCATCTAACAGGAATATAATTAACCTTCACAATCAATCCATTTAATACACAATTTAAATTGAAAGAGTGTCTAAGGTTGCCTTATAAACAGGTCCAAAACCACCCTGTCCCAGTTTCTGTTCTGTGGAGAAGTTTCTGGTAGTAGCTTGGATCGATGCATAAGTGAACAGTCGAAGATCATGATTGTTGGCTGCTCCATTTTCAAGCTCATAATTTTCGGTATATCCATCTAGTGTCAAGAGCTCATGTAATTCTTCCTTCCTCTTCTCTGACATATGGCAATCCATAATTTCACATTAGGACAGTAAAATCAGTGAATCTTAAAATAAATAACTATGGTAATGGAAGTGAGAGTTTACCTTTTATGTTCTTTTGCATGATGAACAAACCAATGCCGAGCACAAGCAATGCTACAGTACTTACTACAACGACAATAATCACTATATGTTTCTTCAATCCTGCATTTACAATCCAAGCTTCAGTTAAATTGTTGAATTATGCAGACAATAATATGCAAATAAATTAAAGAGGAATCTTCATACGCCAAAAGAATGATGCAAGAACAAACCTTTTTTCCCTGAAGATGAAGAACTCAAAACATATTTATTCACTGCAGAACCATCAAGACTTTGCTCAAACTCCAAATTTTTGCCTTTCCAGTAAACACAACCAACAGTTGCCTCACCATAGGCAGCACATTCACAATCCTTCCAACAAATATCCCTACAATCACTCAAACTAAGGCTTGAATTGCCATCATACGTAGACGAAGCACGTGGTGGCTTAAAATCCCCCGATCTTAAGGTAAATGTTTGACGATTATTCCTACACATAGGCTGATCCCACAGTTCACAGCCTCTATCATTTCCCTGATTATTATAACCATAACAAGTACTAGCCATTACAAGACCGAATGGTCTTCCAGACTCAATTTCGGATATGTCCCCAGCGTAGTTCAACCTCCAACCTGAGATCCGGTTTCTCACTTCAACCGGCGAGTCTGGAACTTGAATTAGTGAATAGGTGAAGTATTCCTCATCATGGCTAGTGACATTGGTGAAGTTATAGTTGTAGTTAAACACTTCAGGCTGGAAGTTAAAATTCGCAAACTCCTTGACTCTCCAACTGTTGTTAGTTATTGGACTTTGTACATTGTAGTCCTTCATCATACCACTTGTCCAATAAAGCATCCCGCGCTGTCTGATTAACAACCTGCCTGAACTTGGATCCCACTCCAATGTAAAAGCTCCAGGAGCTGGATTGTTCTCTCCCAGCCATGAGGTAAGAGTCCAATTTCTTCGAGTCTTATGGTTGACACCCAATTTCATACCTGGAACAAGTGTATCAGTAGGATGATCAAAACTCTGCCACAAAATCTCACCATTCGAATCCATGTCTTTTATAACTAAATTCCCTGTATTCAACAAAGTGGCTGACACATTCTTGCTTGACCCGCCAGAATATATCTCGATCTGTTCTCCTCTTCCATGCCTTATAATCAGCTTCCCGCTGCTGTCTATACTGAGAATAGGATTCGAATTATTGGGAATTGGGCTTTCCCTGTTGCCAATCCACACTGGATAGGAAGTATCAGCGGTGTACTGTACTGCTAAGTAAGTGGTGTTTTCGCCCGGCGTGTAGAAGCCTAAGGAGAAATTCCCCTTGGCAGAGACCAATTGAGAAGACAAATTGAACGTTTCTCCTGGATTGAGCGTGTCTTGCGATTCTGCACTCTGGGAGGCTAGACAGCAGAGACAAATCAGGTAAAGAAAATATTTCCGACTTGAATCTCTTGGGAGTTCTGTCATGGGATTTCTTCAAGCTGGAATTTTTTGTAGTTACGGAAAATCTAAGACGAAAGGTTCCGAATGCTTAAATAGCAGTAGAAAACGCCTTTTTGGCTTCTTTTGAACAAATCAAAACTACTGAGCGACGCAACTCAAATACCTGCGGGTTCCTTTTTCCTGCCATCAGTACCTACGCCCCCTGCCAACCCACGTGGCTCTTTGATATTCGATGAAATCCAAGAAGGTTACGTATCGGGTTCTTAGAGTGTGAAAAAAGTCAATTGGCATGGGAAATAAAAGTAAACGCAAGGTTACCGGATTTGAATCATTCAAACTTTTCATCAATGTTGGCAGTACGCGCATACAAGGAGGGGGTAGGCCCAGGCAAAATCAAGGACATTAGTATTGATCTGAAGAAGAAATTTCTGCAAGAGGTTTGGCAAGAAAAACAAGACCACATTAAAAACTCAAGCTTCTTGCATAGACTTGTCACGAAAGCATATGTTTAACAAACTATCTTCCTCCCAAGTCAGAAATGGTGACTTCATTAGCTGAAGGTGTCTTCTCTGGTTTAGTCTTCTCTACTTCCTCAACAACAGGATTCCTTTTTCTTGTGATAAATGCCGGATTCTGGGGCTCTGGAAAATTCGACGTGTCGTTTTTTGTCATTGATAAAGCATCTTCAATGTTTGGCCTATCATCAGCATGATTTTTTACACAGAGAAGTCCAACATGAATGCATCTTTGCAGCTGGTCTGAAACACACGAAGCCCTTAAAGACGGATCCATGAGATCTAATGCAGAATCTGTTTTCCAAAGCTCCCAAGTCTACAAGAATAAGTCCAGACGACAGATCATTTACGATGAAATGGATATAGTTATGTAAAGGGAACAATTAAGTAGAAATCTCTACTATCTTCTACTTACATATTCACCAGATTTAGCGGGCCTTCGATTTGGTGAAAGCTATTGTTTTTTCTACCACTCACAATCTCAAGCACCAGCACTCCAAAACTATATACATCTGATTTAACAGATAATATACCCTACATTGCATACTCTGGCGCCATATAGCCACTGCAAATATATTGCTTGATTAATTTTATAGATTGATCTTTTACGGGGTAGATGCAAATTATATGAATGATTGTTACTTACTATGTCCCTACACGCCTATCTGTGTTAGCTTCATCTATATTCTGCTTGAAGATTCTTGCAAGGCCAAAATCTGATATCTTGGGATTCATGTCTTTGTCAAGTAGGATATTACTTGGTTTCAGGTCACGGTGGATTATCTTTAGCCGGGAGTACTTGTGAAGGTAGAGTAATCCTTGAGCAATCCCCTCGATGATTCTGAACCGCTGTGGCCAATCTAACTGCGCCTTCTTAGATGGATCTGTCGTGCATTACAACAAAACTTTACCATTATATAAACACTTGGAAATCAATTCTACTGAGATTGCATCGATCTGTAGAGTTCCATAATAAATACTGTTTCCTTATAAGAACATCTTGTTACGCCAACGGAGATTTATGTTGATAGTGCCTTATCAAATAATATTTTCTAAAACTATAGGAACTTACCGAAGAGAAAGAAGTCCAGACTTCTGTTGGGTAGATAGTCATAGATTATCATCTTATCACTTCCATGAATGCAGAAACCATGTAGCTTAACAAGGTTCACATGCTGCAGTTTAGATATAAGTATTAGCTCTGTTTTAAACTCTTGCAGTCCTTGTTCTGACTGTTGCGAAAGAACCTTCACTGCTATCTCTTGGCCTTCTGGCGTCGTCCCCTGCAAATTTATAAGCAGTAGAACAATTTAGAGAAGAATAAAATACTAACCAAGCGATCATAAGACAACAGCAGCATCTAGCGTGCAACAGGAATATACTTAAATCTTCACAATCAATCCATTTAATACACATCAGTAATTCAAATTGAGAAAGTTTCTAAGTTTGCCTTATAAACAGGTCCAAAACCACCCTGTCCCAGCTTATGTTTTGAGGAGAAGTTTCTGGTAGCAGATTGGATCGATGCATAAGTGAACAGTCGAAGATCATGATTGTTGGCTGCTCCATTTTTAAGCTCATAATTTTCTGTATATCCATCTAGTGTCAGAAGCTCATGTAACTCTTCCTTCCTTTTCTCTGACATATGGTAATATATATCATCACATTAGGACAATAAAATCAGCCTAGGTTATAATAAGTAACTATAGTAATGGAAGTGAGTTTACCTTTTATCTTTTTTTTGCACGATGAACAAACCAATCCCGAGCAAAAGCAATGCTACAGTAATACTTACTACAACGACAATAATCACTATATGTTTCTTCAATCCTGCATTTACAATCCAAGCTTCAGTTAAATTGTTAAGTATGCAGCCAATAACATACAAATAAGTTAGAAGAATTTGCATATGCCAAAAGAATGCTCCAAGAATAAACCTTTTGAAGATGGAGAACTCAGAACATATTTCTTCTCTGCAGAACCATCAAGACTTTGCTCAAACTCCAAACTTTTGCCTTTCCAGTAAAGACAACCAACATTCACTTCACCATAGGCAGCACATTCACAATCCTTCCAACAAATATCCCTACAGTCACTCAAACTAAGGCTTGAATTGTCATCATATGTAGACATTAGTGAAAGAAAATACCCTGATCTTAAGGTAAATGTTTGACGATTATTCCTACACATAGGCTGATCCCACAGCTCACAGCCTCTATCATTTCCCTGATTATTATAACCATAACAATCACTAGCCAGTACTAAACTGAAAGATCTGGTTTTAGACTCAATTTCGAATATGTCCCCATCGGAGTTCAACCTCCAACCTGAGATCCGGTTTGTCTCTTCATCCAGCTGCTCTGGAACTTGAATTAGTGAATAGGTGAAGTATTCCTCGCCATGGCTAGTGACATTGGTTAAGTTATAGTTGAAGTTAATCGCCCCAGGCCAGAAATTTAAATTCTCAAACTCCTTGACTCTCCAAATGTTGTTAGTCATTGGAGTTTGATAATTGTAGTCCTTCATCCTACCGCTTGTCCAATAGAGCATCCGGCGCCGTTTGATTAACAGTCTGCCTGAACTTGGATCCCACTCCAATGTAAAAGCTCCAGGAGCTGGATTACTCGGTCCCAGCCATGAAGTAAGAGTCCAATTTCTTCGAGTCTTATGGTTGACACCCAATTTCGTACCTGGAACAAGTGTATCAGTAGGATAATCAAAACTCTGCCACAAGATCTCACCATTCGAATCCATGTCTTTCATAACTAAATTCCCTGTATTCAACAAAGTGGCTGACACATTCTTGCTTGACCCGCCAGAATATATCTCGATCTGTTCTCCTCTTCCATGCCTTATAATCAGCTTCCCGCTGCTGTCTATACTGAGAACAGGATTCGAATTATTGGGAATTGGGCTTTCCCTGTTGCCAATCCACACTGGATAGGAAGTATCAGTGGTGTACTGCACTGCTAAGTAAGTGTTGTTGTCGTCCGGTGTGTAGAAGCCTAAGGAGAAATTCCCCTAGGCAGAGACCAATTGAGAAGACGAATTGAGCATTCCTCCTGGATTCAGTGTCTCTTGCAATGCTGCAATCTGGGAGTGATGGGAGACCAAACAGCAGAGACAAATCAAGTAAAATAAATATTTCCCACTTGAATATCTTGGAATTCCCGTCATGGGGCTGTAATTTTTTTTGCAGTTTACAGAAAATGTAAGATGAAAAATGGAAACTTGGCGAACAGCAAGGGGAATGCTTAAATAGCCATAGCAGAAACGCTTTTTTGCTTCGTTTGTACAAATCAAAACTACTGAGCGACCGCAACTCAAATATCTGCGTGGTCCTTTTCTTGCCATCAGTACCTATTCGATGGAAACTTTCTTACAGAAGTCATTTGGCATGGGGAATACAGAAAACCAAGGTTGCCTGATTTGACTACTTCAAACTTTTCATCAGTATTGATTGTACGCGCATAGAAGGATGGGGTGGACCTAGGCAAAAATCAAGAACTTAGATTGATCTGAAGAAGATATTTCTGTAAGCTCAGCAACTCAAACTTCATTTATGATTCACAGCTACTGCGATACAACTTGCAAGGTTCAGTATCTTGCTAGAAATAAAAATAATTAAGAGATCTATCTCTTGATTAGCTATCTTCCTCCCAATGCAGAAATGGAGACTTCATTAGCTGATGGTATCTTCTCTGGTGTAGTCTTTTCTACATCTCCAACCATATGATTCCTTTTTCTTCTGAAAAATGCTGGATTCTGTGGCTCTGGTATATTCGTGGTCTCATTTTTCAACATTGATAAAACATCTTCAATGGTTGGCCTATCATCAGGATGATTTTCGACACAAAGAAGTCCAATGTGAATGCATCTTTGCAGCTGATCTGCAGTGCCTGCAGACTTTAAGGATTGATCCATGAGATCTAATGCAGAATTTGTTTCCCAAAGCCCCCAAGCCTACAAGAATAAGTCCACATAACCGATCATTTACGAGGAAATGGATATAGTTATGTAAATGGAACATGTAAAAGTATCTCCTACTTACATATTCCACAAGATTTAAGGGACCTTTTGTTTGGTGGAAGCTATTATTTTTCCGACCGCTCACTATCTCAAGCACCAGCACTCCAAAACTATATACATCTGATTTAACCGATAATATACCTTGCATTGCATACTCGGGGGCCATATACCCACTGCAAATATATTGTTTGATTGATCTTATAGATTGATTGTTCACAGTGTAGATGCAATTGTGTATGATTGATTGTTACTTACTATGTTCCTGCACGTCTGTTAGTGTTAGCTTCGTCTATATTCTGCTTGAAGACCCTTGCAAGACCAAAATCCGAGATCTTGGGATTCATGTCTTTGTCGAGTAATATATTACTTGGTTTCAGGTCTCGATGGATTATCTTTAGCCGGGAGTACTTGTGAAGGTAGAGTAATCCTTGAGCAATCCCCTCGATGATTCTGAACCGCTGTGGCCAATCTAATTGCTCCTTCTTACATGGATCTGTCGGGCAATACATCAAAACTTCACCATTATATGATTTGATTATATGCCATTTAGGGGACTTAAGATAGACAATGTTCACTACATTTCAGACAAGAGGGCCTTATCAAAGATATCCCCTAAAGTAAATGAACTTACCGAAGAGAAAGAAGTCCAGACTTTTGTTGGGCAGATAGTCATAGATTATCATCTTATCACTTCCATGAATGCAGAAACCATGTAGCTTAACAAGGTTCACATGCTGCAATTTAGATATAAGTATCAACTCTGTTTTAAACTCTTGCAATCCTTGTCCTGATTGTTGCGAAAGAACCTTTACTGCTATGTCATGGCCTTCCACTGTCGTGCCCTGCAAATGTAGAAAGCAGTAAAATGAGTTAAGAAGAATCAAATACTAACCAAGAGATCGATAGACAACAGCAGCATCCAGTGTGCAACAGGAGAATAGTTCATCATCATATCGATTCATTCAATACCTATTCTAGTCATTAATTTAAATAGAAAAAGTTTCTGAGTAAGTTTGCCTTATAAACAGGGCCAAATCCACCCTGTCCCAGTTTCTGTTCTGAGGAGAAGTTGCCGGTAGCAAATTGGATCGATGCATATGTGAACAGTTTAAGATCATGATTGTTGGTTGCTCCTTTTTCAAGTTCAAAATTTTCTGTATATCCCTCCAGTGTCAAAAGTTCCTGCAATTCTTCTTCTCTTTTCTCTGGTATATGGTAATCAAAGTTATCACATTAGGACAGTAAAATGAGTGTAATCTCGAAATAAACAACAAGAGTACAGGACTGGAATAGTTACCTTTTATATTTTTTCGCACAATGAACAAACCTATGCCAATGCCAAACAGAAGCAATGCTATAGCACTTACTACAACAACGATAATCACTATATATTTATTTGTTCCTGCATCTGACAGTCCAAGCTTCAGTTAAATTGTTGAATTAAGACTAAAGAGGAATGCAAGAACAAACCTTTTCTTTCTGAAGATGGAGGATTGATAACATATTTCTCAACTACACTGCCGTCGAAGCGTTGCTCAAACTCCAAATCTTTGCCTTTCCAGTAAAGACAACCATCAGTATACTGAGTGGCGTAGGAAACACATTCACAATCCTCCCAACAATTAGCCCTACAATCACTCAAACTAAGGCTTGAATTTCTATCCTCAGCAGCCGGAGCATATCTACCATTGGCTAGCTTAAAGTACCCTGACCTAAAGATAAATGTTTGATGACTATTTCGACAAGTAGGCTGATCCCACAGTTCACAGCCTATGCTAGAACCCTGATTATTATAACCATAACAATAACTAGCCACTGCAAGAATAAAAGGTCTTCCGGACTCAACTTCGGTTATACTCCCAGCATAGTTCAACCTCCATACTGAGATCACATTCCTCCGTTCATCCGGCATGTCTGAAACTTGAATTAATGAATAGGTGAAGTACTCCTCATCATGGCTAGTGGCATTGGTGAAGTTATAGTTGTAGTTAAATGCATCAGGCTTGAAATTAAAATTCTCGAACTCCTTTACTCTCCAGCTGTCGTTAGACAATGGTCTTTTTGCAACGTAGTCCTTCATCGTACCGCTCGTCCAATAACGCATCCCGCGCCGTCTGATTAACAGCTTGCCTGAACTTGGATCCCACTCCAATGTAAAAGCTCCAGGAGCTGGATTATTCTCTCCCAGCCATGAAGTGAGAGTCCAATTTCTTCGAGTCTTATGGTTGATACCCAATTTCATACCTGGAACAAGTGTATCAGTAGGATAATCAAAACTCTGCCACAAAATCTCACCATTCGAATCCATGTCTTTTATCACTAGATTCCCTGTATTCAGCAATGTGGCTGCCACATTCTTGCTGGACCCGCCAGAATATATCTCGATCTGCTCTCCTCTTCCATTTCTTATAATCAGCTTCCCTCTGCTGTCTATACTGAGAACAGGATTCGAATTCTTGGAAAAAGGGCTTTCCCTGTTGCCAATCCAGACAGGATATATAGAACCAGTGGTGTACCATACTCCTAAGTAAGTGTTGTTGCTGGTCTTATCTGGAGTGTAGAAGCCTAAGGAGAAAATCCCCTTACTAGATACCAATAGAGAAGACGAATTGAGCCTTTCTCCTGGCTTGAGGCTGTCCTGCGATGCAATCTGGAAACTCAAACAGACGAGACAAATCAAGAAAAGAAAATATTTTGCACTTAAATCTCTTGTGAATCCTGTCATGGGATTTTTACAAAGTATTTTTTTCTCAGTTTCAGAAAAGATAAGATGAAAAATTGAAACTTGGCGAACAGGAAGGGGAGATACAGATGTTCTGAACGACCATGGAAACCAAGAAGACATATCGGTTTGGGTCTGGACGTTTCGTACACTACAACAGTTACCTAACGCGGGAAAGAAAAGTCAACGAAAGAGTGCTGGATTTCCCCGGTTGAATCTTTCAACGAAAAAATATGAACAGTTTACAGTATTGTAGGCACGCGCTTTCAATCGAACACTACTGAATTTTAGATTCCTTCTTTGGAGATCTTCATGGCATTTACATCAATCAAATGTACAAAAGCTGCTGCTGAGAATGGACACGATCTTGGCAAACAGACAGCCTTTACAAGTTATCTACTTCCCGTTCGGACATCTTATATTACACGGACCAGACATTAGTAGTGATAGTATTGGTAATGTGGCTCAGCATCATCGTACCTATACATGTTGTAGCCTGAGTCAACTTCATAGTGATATTGATACAAAGTATGTGGGGGTTCTCCTGTTTCGTAGTGCTGGACGTTGTGTGTCGGCTCGACTTCGTCTTCGTCTGCTTGAGTGTCCGTGTGCTGAGGCGATGGAGAGCTGAGCTCGCTCGGAGAAGAGCTGGCGTCACGAGCCGGGCTTTTGTCGACTTTGACCTCAACCAAATCGACTTCTTCAAACGAATGGAAAATGGGATGTAAGTATGCATCAGCTAAGTAAGCCTTCAACTCCCTATCGGACTCAGGGGTTCGATCTTGCAAATCTTTGGACATTGCTTCCTGATGAGACGAATAAATAGGGCGAATGAGTTCTCAATTGATCATGAAAATGTATCGATTTTATTGTGAACGATGTATTACCTCAAGGGGATACTTTCTGAATGCAGGCTCGAATCGATTCTTGCAGTATTTGTGGAAGACGAGAGTCAGTACAGGTAGCACGACGAGCAAAGGAGTCGAGTTTGCTGCTTTTTTTGTGCTCAAAAGGCCCATCAGGAGGAGCTGCGATATCAGCAAAGCTGCTATAATGCGACCGTGAACATGAGGCCAGAATGCTGCGGCACTCTCATATTGTTGGTTGTACACATTAATGATCTGCTCGATGAAAATAATGGACTGTTGGCGATACAAAGAATGAGTTAATAAATATGTTGAAGAATTCTTTTGGAGCTGAACAAACCTGGTGGCGATACACAAAGTATGCCAAGGCGAAGAAGACGAGCACAAAAGGAAGAACGATGGGGGTAACAACCATGTATACGATTCCCAAAAGGAAGTATAGTTGAAGAGTTGGTAAGGTCTCCGGGAATTCGACGCCTCCGGGGTCCATTGCCTTTGCCAAGTCCCGCTCGGTTTTGACAACGAACATGTTCTTTAGGTGGAAGATCACTAGCGCTTTCAACCGGAGAATTTCACCGGCAATTCCAGCCCATCCGTCGACCATTATGTATGTAATAAAGAATGTCGCCTTCATCGGTATTGATACCCCAATATTTCTCGGAATTCTGCAGCCACAAAAACCTTCTTTCAGAAAAGAACTATTTGAAATATCAACGTGGCAACTATAGATATATACGGAACATTACTGTGCGGCTGATTCGTGAAGGAAAGCATGAAGTTGCTGGAACGCAGTTCCCGTTACAATACTTCCCAAGAACACATTGACCAGCATGAAGTAGTAATATTTCGTTGCAGCTCGTCGATCCAGCACCGAAAGTGATAAGTACCCCTCGATTTTGGACATAAACAATAGAATTCTCGGTAGGTAATACAGAAAGATCTTAAGAGCAAGACCGGGTAGGAAGCCCTGCAGAAAAGACTTGACGAAGTTCCTGCATAGGACAGGCAATCACTTACAAAATCGATGCAAGTAGAGACAGTCGCAAAGCTCGTTCGTGTTGACGTTCGCTTACCATTCGATTAATGGCCGGAGGAAAGGTGCAACCTTCTCCAATCCTTCCAGATTCGCCAAGGATTGGACGAAAGCAATGGGTATCATGTAGAAGAAGATCAAGGCAAACACCAACGACGATATCACAAACTTGCGGACAGTGAGCGACACAAATGGTATCGCCAAGTTCTTCCAGTAGACGTCTCGGGGTTCGGGAGCCCATTGTGTCAACCACTGTGTCGGATTTTTGCTCTGTTGTGTCTGCGCACAAACGGCTGCACCCCATCTCGAATTGAATGACACAAAGGCTACCGGCATTATGGATTTCGGGTCTTTTAAAATCTCCTGGCGCTCCATTGTAAGCTAAGAACAAGATTGAAAATTTTGTTTAGACCGAAAGATACAAAGTTAAGCTCATCAAGAACTGAGCTAGACACCTTGGTAGATAAAATAAATCAACATAGAACTGCAAGCACCTTCTTATCAATATATTTGATTTGGTCTTTGTAGAAGTCGATTGAATCCACTCGTTTGCCCCATAATCCAAGGAAGCCTCTCTGGATGACAAAAAAAGTAAACTTAGCCGAATTTCTTTTTCCATACTATATATCTTGTTTCGAAGGTTTTTTTTTTAAACTACGACGGTACCTTCCTTGTAGGCCTCTTGTGTGGATGTCTCTCAAACTTAAGTTGGTTGTAGTCGAGCCAATTTTGAAGCCGATTTCTTCTTCTAACAAGTTTTGCAAACTTATTGGCATTGTACACGGCCTGAGCGAGTCATGCAAAAATCGAAATTCTTAAGCTGTGTCATTTTCGGAGATGAATGTTTATGGACAATGTAGTACCTGATGACATAAATAGTGATCCGGATGGTTTTTCTGAAAGAAGGTTTCGACACTGTCGGATATGGATCGCCCTGACACATTTGGGACATTCCTGACAAGAACCTGAAGATAGATCAAAGATTATTCGTTATAACAAGGTCAAGAACGGTGCCGCTAAAGAATCACTATGCAAAATGGTACATAAAGTAAGAATATATCTCATTGCTAAATGCATTGGCATGTTGATGACATTATTATCGACTTACTAACCGTGAATTGTTCTGCCCGTCTGCCTTGCGAAGCCAAAAAGTTTAGCCGCATTGACGCAACTCTACCGTATTCCTTATAGAGCATGAAACACACCCAAAAAGTGAACAAATACTCCATTGATATGTGGACAAAAAACCTGAAATTCAACCATTGTTTAGTTTCTTACCCATGGAATCAAATAAGATAGGGAGAGTAAGAATCTTTTAACCTACTTATAGGACTTGGGACGGACATTTGATATCGAAAGCTTGTCGATGTCATTGACAACCAACTCGCGGCGCAAGAAAAACAGAATCCCGTCCGATACATTTACAGGAATCAGAATTAGAAGCGCAGCAATTGCAATTGGACCAAATATTTTCAAGCTGACAAGAGCAAAAGTTAAAGACAGTTAACATTAGGAAGAAATTTCTGTAAGTTCAGCAATATAACTGACAAGAAAAACATCATATGCAAAACTCAAGCTTCTTACATAATCTGGAATTACATTAGTATTCTTCTATTCAGAAACTAGGAACTTTCTACCTCAACAAGATTCTTCAAATGATGTCACTTTCATTGACAAAGGAGAAGATAGTATAAAGGTAACTTTATATTTCCATAACTGAACAAGCATCGTTTCTAGAATCGAAGAAACTTTGAAGCAGATACCCAAGCTGAAGATCATAGAGATTTATCAATCACTTTTTTTCCAGAATTTACTATGATTACTAAGAACCATCAACGACTAAAATAATTGACTGCACAGTAAAACAAAAAAGGGAGGAATTTGATTGGAGATTTGGGAGTACCCAAGAGTATATATCCTCAAGAAAACAGCAGAATCAAGCCCAGCATGGCTGATAATATCAGCCTCACTCATCTTCAGAGCCTGAGGCATCCAATTAAGAAAAGTAAAATAAGTCTTGATGTCGAGATTGACGAATTTGCCCACCACACCACCCCTGCCGCGGGGGCTGGTCCTCTTCCCGGCAATGTACCATTTGGGAAAGTAAACCCTGTCGTTGATTGGCTGAATTCTGAGCAGAGCAAAGGCAAGCAAGAAGGCGAAGGAGGTCAGTATGTTGATGAGAGCTGACACCCCAATATCCCCAAGAGTTGCCATTTCTTGTTCTTGTGCTTAAAGCTTCAATTCATCGATTTCCAAGAACTCAACTGTGAGAAAAAGGAGGATAAAGGGAGAGAAGCAAAAAGTGGGTCTGTGAAAGGCAGTAGGAGAAAGTGAAGAATATTTTCTTGGTGAGCTCTTGGTTGTCTTTTGCTTTGGGAAAGTTTGGGTAATGAGGAATTCTTATGATATCATTTATTGCAGCAGCATTTCCTTTTCTTTTCTTTTTTTGTTTAATTAAATTATTAATTTCGGCCATGGCTGCAAGTGTGTAGAACTCTTGGGACCATTTGAGGTCATGCGGGGGTTTGGGTTTCTTTTGGGTTTGGTAAATTAAAAAAGGTAAGAACTTTCTGTGGCAGAAAATGCTCTGAGGAGTATGTTAGGCTGTAGGCGGTAGTTCGGCTATGTTGTTTTCTTGTGGATTTTGGAGATAGTCTTTTTTCGCTTTTTCTGCAGCCTTCCAAAGTTGGACCGTTTTCGCCGGCGGTGCTCCGCCGCCGGAAGGCGGTGGTTAATCCTACCAAATCACTGATTCATCGCCGCGATTTCTGGTGGTTGCAGATGGTAGGATGCGTTGACGAACTCCTTATTTTAAAATTGATTGATTCGGTTATGTAAATAGTGCTTGAATTATTGCACACTCAAAACAGATTCTCGAAAAATATAATATAACAACACGAAAGGGAAGGACAAGAACGATAATTGTTCATTACAAAAAGGTTGAGGGACTGAAGTTAGGCTGTAGTTAGGATAAGGACAGGAAATAAGAGGGCCCCCATGAGTTAATGGTGTTTAGTTTACATTTATTAACAGAAAACAGATTAATATCAGTCTTATATTATTAATTAATCAATCCTTAAAGCACGAATACAGACGGGCAGCAATCAAGTGGGAATTAAAATGATTCCTGGGAATGGCTCCTCTGTGACACATTCGATAACCTTCTTCTTTGCCTAGTAGTGGAGATGCCATCATCATCCATGTCTTCTTTTCAGTTCATCAACCAAAATTTTCTTTTGCAGCAATGGATGGGCTCTGAAGATCAACACAGGAACTTGGGCTATTAAAAAACTTTAGCCCTAACACATCGATCTTCTGGGCTCTGTCAGAATATCTAAATGTAAGAACCTGAAAATGATGGGATTTCGCTGTGTTGTCATGTAGTGACACTCATCTTTTATAGCATCTAATGTCCACACATTTCCCACGTACATGCAATTCAAGAAAATGTCATCCCTTCTTTCCCCCGTACACTCTTCTTCTACTTCAATTGAATACCTACAAATGGCATCACAAACCTTCACCCCTTTTGTGCTCATCAATTGCCGATATTCAATAATCCCAAATTTGAAAAACCCTAGAAAAATTTCCCCAAAGCTTTTCCCTGTAGCAGCTTCCAAACGCGCAGTAACTTTTGGGGGAAATTTCACAACCAAATCCAGAAATTTCCCCTTCGATAATCAGGATATGGATCTCAACAGGAGTTTGGTTGTCAAATCCGCTGAATCCCAAAGTGTTTCGACTTCATCAAGCCTTCAAAGCTCGGTATTCGTTCATAAAATGCACACGCATATATATATATATATATATATGATTGCTGATCGAATTTGGATTCTGATTTATGGTTTCTGTTTCAGTTGTTTAAACTACTGCATTTGGCAGTGTCACTGGGCATCATTCTAGCAATAGATAAGTTCTTGCAAAAGGCATTTTCGGACGCAGCCATCAAATTCCCTAGTGCCCTGTTCGGAATGTTCTGCATATTTACTATTCTGGTGGTTCTTGATTACACCGTCCCCCCCGCCGCCACCGCCGTGATGAACTTCTTCCAGCCGGCGTTTCTGTTTATTCAGAGGTGGCTTCCGATCTTCTACGTACCCTCTCTAGTAGTTCTGCCTCTGTCTGTTAAAGACATTCCAGCTTCCTCAGGACTAAAAATCCTTTTCATTACAGGCATGAACATTCATATACTTCATAATTCTGGTTTCACACATTCGATCGCCGCCGTAACGGATATGTGTATCTTGTCGTGTTTTGCAGTCGGAGGATGGCTGGCTTCATGTTGTGTAGCAGGTTTTACAGCTATAGCAGTTAGAAAGATGGTGAAGACTGAAATGATTCCTGCTGAACCTATGCCGAAGCCTTCTCCCTTTTCTAAGTTAGAATTGGGGTTTTGGATCGTTATATTCGTTGCTTCATTCGTTTCGGCAGTGCTTTATCCGACAATATTTGGAACGAACGCCAGGACATGTTTACCATTTCTCCTTGCATCTACAGTAACAGGCTATATGGTTGGTTCGGGGTAATAAAAAGATTCAAAAAAATGTCAGACTCAATCCAGCTCGAACATGTCTTCCCCTGGTTTTATAATTCTTGATTTTTGGTGCCTTCAGGTTGCCATCACAAGTTAAGCAACTTTTCCATCCGATAATTTGCTGTGCATTGTCAGCCGATCTTGCAGCATTCGTTTATGGAGTCGTTTCGAAATCAGGGTTTGATCCTGTTCTAGGTAAAGATCCGAGCTACGATCAAAGGTTGACATTCTTGTACATTTTATAACATCCTTGGATTTGAGGGCTAAATCGAAAAACTTCCAGGTTACTATCTTACAAAAGTTTCATCAAATCCCGGAGCTGGCGACATTCTGATGGGATTTCTGGGGTCAGTTATTCTCTCTTTCGCCTTCTCGATGTTCCAGCAGAGAAAGGTAACAGAACCATTTGCCAAGAATAATTGAAAATATTCGAAATGGTGTTCTTAAGGTTACAGAGATAGTTTATATTATTTATGATCATAATTTGCAGCTCGTTAAACGACACGCCGCGGAGATATTCACCTCTGTCATCATCGCCACATTGTTCTCGCTGTATTCGACAGCCCTTGTTGGACGTCTCGTACATCTTGAGCCATCACTAACCATATCAATTCTTCCCAGATGCATAACTGTCGCACTCGCTCTCAGCATCATATCTTTCTTCGAAGGTAGCTTTTAAATCAAATCTATTTTACATTTCCAATACATATGTTTATGAAAAACATTATGATAACAACTGCTTTAAACATTCCAGGTGCCAATGCATCTGTTACAGCAGCAGTTGTCGTAGTGACTGGTCTCGTTGGGGCCAACTTTGCTCAGGCAACTCTCGACAAGTTAAGATTCCGCGACCCTATAGCTCGAGGAATAGCTACTGCATCAAGGTACGAGAATCCATCTTCCATACAATCTATTAAAAGTAAACAAGGAAGATGCGGAACCATTTTGATGTCGTTTTGTTTTTTTCTTACAGCGCACATGGATTGGGAACAGCTGCGCTATCAGCAAAGGAACCCGAGGCTCTTCCATTTTGTGCGATTGCATATGCTGTGACCGGCATTTTTGGCTCGGTGATCTGCTCCGTTCCAGCTGTTAGACAAAGCTTGCTAGCCATAGCTGGCTGAAACCAACTCTAAGTAAATAAGGTCGCCTGTAGCTCAAACACCCTTAAATAAGGACGCCGAATGGTTAGATGCAGAATATTAGAAGTATAAGAGATTAGCGAATATGTGTATTATGCAATTTGCCCTAATAAATATGGTACTAAATGAATCTATTTCTACTACAACCAAACTGCTTCCCATTGCCCATCAACCCAATTGCTGATTCTAACATTGGGGATATGGATAAGCTTTCCTTTCCCTTTCCTTTCACGGTCGTGATCATGAGCATGAACATCGACTCTTCCTCTTCCTTTCTCCTCACAAACTCTATCTTCGAATTCATTCGACATATCACTGAAATCCACAAAATCAAGATTGCCTAAATGCTCAATCCCAATAGGCACGTCTTTCATTTCCTTACAATCCCATATTTCGAATTCGCGAAGATTAGTCATGCATCCCTTCTCGACTCTCACCCACTTCAATCTCCTCATCCTAATCAGTTGCAGCTCCTCGAGCTTTTTAAAACCTCCCGACTTGAAATGCAAGCCTTCTCCTTCGTAAGCGCCATACAATACAAGGTCTTTCAGATTGGCCAAACTTTGGAGACATTCAATTGGATCATCTCTTAACTTACTTGATCTCAAATGCAAACTTGTTAGAGCATCAAGAGAAGAAATCCATTCCGGCAACTTTTCCAAACATCCTTCCAGTCGTAGAAATCGCAAACACGTAGAAGGCATGAAGTATGGTAGATCAATTACCTCCCCTTCCTCACCAGCTGCAATGGAAAGTGACGTTAAGAAAGTAAGCTTTGAGAGGGACGAAGAAAGCTCCTTTCCATCCTCCTTTCTCAGCCTGGTAATCCCTAATCTCTGCAATTCTGTTAACCTCCCGATACCTCTTACAACTTCTGCACTTGCATCTATGTAACAAAGCTTTTGCAAACGCGATAATTGTCCTATCCCATATGGAGCCTTGAAGCTTTGAACATGGTCGAATGGAAGGTAATCAAGAAAGTCTTTATACCTATATACCAAGAGATATCTTAGCCTCCGAAGCTTTAGAATTTCGATTGGCAGCTCGGTCACATTAGATCCCTTGAGATCTAATATCTCTAGCTTCGCCAAATTTCCAATTAATTTTGGAATGATCGACACATTTGTGTTCTTGAGGCTCAAGTATTTGAGATGATATAGCTTGAAAACCTCACATGGTATTTCTTCTAACGGCGCTCCTCTAAGGTCCAATACCTTCAGCATCCTACATTCGCCGCGCAAAAGCCTGCATATAATTGGCCCCCATTCCAATTCCATGGAGCCGAAGAAAAGAAGAGTGCGAAGATATCTCAAGTTGTTGATTTTATCACTATAAGGAGCAGAGCTATCTTCGAGTGCGAGGCGTCGAACTTGATCTTCCAATGTAATTTCTGTTGGCTTCAATATAGCTGCTACTATATTTTGCTCCCTTGCCTTCGAAATAATGTATTCTCTGACGACGTCGTGAATACGAAAGTTTCTTGGCCTCCCATCTTTAGTTGTTGCTACTTGAATCAAACTTCTGTTGGAAAGTTCATTTAGATAGCTTTCTGCTGTTTCTTCCATGGTCTTCCCTTTTTCCGCCTCCACAAATCCTTCAACTATCCATAGTCGAATCAGAGTAGCTTTCTCGAGCAATGCATCTTCTGGAAAAATGCTCAAATAAAGGAGGCAAGCTTTCAGATAGTATGGCAGATCATAGTAACTCAGAGCTAACAACTTCCAAATCCTCATAAGATCGCAGTCATCGACTTTTGATTCGAGATTGAAGCTGAATCTTCTCCATTCTTCAATTTGATTTCTCTTCATTGCCAGAGCACTGCCAATGACAACAATGGCGAGAGGCAATCCTCCGCACTTCTTCAAGATGTTTCCGGAAACTTCCTTCAGATGATAAGGACACGGGCCACCGCGAAATGCCTTCATCCGAAACAACTCCTCTGCTCTTTGCGGCGGCAATGGCTGCAGCGGATAGACATGGCCTCCGCTCTCGCAGGACGCCGCGTCGCCTATGCTGTTCAAGCGACTTGTAATAATTACACAGCCTCGGCCGCATGTGTTGCGCCGAGGAAACACATATCGAAGAGATTCCCATACGTTTGTGCTCCAGACATCGTCGAGAACGACAATGTACCTCTTGTGTTGGAGGAAGCTGTATATGAACTCTTTCATGGCAGCAACGTTCATATCCTCGAATCCTCGGGGCAGTGGCTGTTTCACTTCTTCTAGAAGCTGCTTGATCAAGTCCCGCAGAATGTTGGATTGGTTGAATACCTGGGAAATGGCGATCCAGACATGATGGTCGATGTTCTGCTCCACAGACGAATCGTCGAACACCTTCTTGACAAGAGTGGTTTTACCCAACCCGGCCATGCCCGTCACGGAAAGAACAGTGAGTGTTGAATCACCGATCGAAATCCACTCGAGGAGCTTTTTCTTCGGCTTTTCAATGCCGACAACATCAGTTTCTTCCAACAGCAAAGCATCGTCTCGGCCGTCATAGTACGTGGAAATCGAAACGGTGTCGGGGTTTGAGGTCGGAAGAACAGCGTAAAGCTGTCGAAATGTTTTGGAAGCACTTTCTGTTCTGGACCTTAGATTTCTGATTTCAGAAGCCATACGACGTTTGGCTTTCAAATCTTTAATGCAAAAATAGTATTTCTTGAAACGACCTCGAATTCCAGGAGAGGAATTTTGTCGGAATGAGAGCATGTAGGCCTCGAGAACATCCTCGATGTCGTGAGCAATTTCACGCACTTGTCTGACCCACGCTTTGATCTGAGGATCGGAATCTTCTCTGGAATCAGCAGCCTTGAGGAACGCCTGCATCTGCTGGAGCTCGCCCTGAATGATTTTGGCTTCGACCTTAAGCCCTCCGAGTAGGTTTTGATTCTCTTGCAGCCATATTGTCAGATTGTTGAGTAGAAATGCTACAGCACTCTCCGCCATTTTCGATTTCTGCAACAAAAAATATGAAATGGTTATAAGTTTTACCTAATCATATTTAACAGCACTGTACGAAACTTCTTTTATCATATTCTAAAGTCTAAAATATTAAAAAATTCCACCGTCTGTAACAATTAATATTATTATCTGTAAGAAAAAGCACCACCAGATGTTACCTAATTAGCTTGTGAGTAGTAAGGAAGAACTTTTGGATTGCATGAAATGAAAGAATGGACACAGGGAGTGGTGAGGTAATGTATGTTTTAAAGTATTACAATGGCGGTGAAGAGTCAAGTCAGGTCAAGTGAAGAAGAAGCTTCTCTTCACTTTGTGTGGCTGTAAGATCTTTTGTTTCAAAGTCGTGTTCATTTTTGACTCCCAATGTAGTGGGAAATTTAATGTGATGTGTACATTTCTGTGTTTAGTTTAATGAAGGGTCCATCGTCTTCTTTGCAAGAAAAGGCTACGAAGTTACAAGAAAATCAATGGAAGAAAAAAGATGGAATTCTGTGTTTCTAACCAGAAAACTTATAGATGTGGAAGAGAGACTAAGGAAAGTTACTCGTCATTACAAGTTACTTGGTCATCAACATATATATATATATATGTATATATTATTGGCCCTTGTTTTATTTTCTATTTTTTGATTGATTGGGAGAGAAGTGAATAAATAAAGACTTACAACCCAAGCAAAAGAGAAGACCTTGTAGTTGTAGACTTAGTGGATGATAGATACACATCACACTATGTTATGTAATGACAGTGAATTTGGTACGAGACTCTTTCCTCTCTAAAATTATTATTACCACTTGCATTGTTCTGGTAAGTGGAAAAATCAATATTGCCCCATTACAAATATGTTTTGCCAATTTATGTCTCATTTTAATTTTCTGAATGGAAGTAGTAGTCGTATAATAGTCAAGTTACACTTACCAAAGTCGTCCCATTGTGAACAATTTAACATATCATGCGGGTGTGAATACGGCCTTGTTTGGTCATGCAATATTGCCAACATTAGTCAATAGACCTTCAATTTTCAAAAGAAACACAGAGGGCTTGGGGGTTGATTTTATATTGGAGGTTAAAATCAGGCATAGTGGGGACCTTCTTTTTGAGATAGGAATTCTTTTAATGAGATACAATTTAATATTCTTTTCTCACAAATCAAATTACACTAAAACTAAATCATGTATCGTATACAAGATTTGGAGGAACTCATGACACTATGTTATCGATATCCCTAAGGGTAAGTATTTGAATTTTTAGTTCCAATTCGAAAATTGGAATTTTTTGAAAAGCTTAATAGTTTAAATTTATGACATTTCTAGTCTTTGTGTCACACACGAGTGTCTATGATGAACCACACTAATTTTTAATAGATCATAAATATTAGCAATATTGTGTTGAAATTGAAATTAAATTATTTTGTTTCCTTCAAAATTTCTTAGGACATTTCTTTCATTTATCTTTCTATTCTATTTGATCGACCGAACAAGGTCTCGAATTTATGTGTGAAGTATATATAAATTGGCTTTGAAAAATTAGCTTTTGAATGAAAAAAAATCCATTAAAAAATGAAATATAAGAATAATGATATTTTATAAATAATCTTTTTGTCCTTATTTTTGTTTAATAGATGTGTATTTTAATTTAAATATAAAAATAATGATATATGTATAACAATACTTTGTGCAATAGTAGAAAAAAAATAAAAATTCTACTAATGTGGTAACCACATTATTATTTATGATAAATAATAATAATAATAATAATAATAATTTAAAACAAACAAAAATAATAAAATATAATAATAGATATGAAAAGAGGAAATACTATCAAACGATCCCTAATGCTTATACAAGAATTATTGACGAAAAAAATATTTCATCTTATTTATTGCTTTTTTCGATTTTATTTTCATTCTTTATCCAATTTTATATATATATATATATATATATAATCTAATATTTATTCATTTTAAATTAAATATTTATTTTTATTGCATAATTATTATTTTCATAATAACAGTATAACACCGCGTCTAACTTCATTAGTGGCTAAAGCCACAAGCAATACATTATTAGCAAGACACTATACTCATGCATGCATTACACATGACACGTTAAATTTAATTCCCTTTAATCAACTATTTATATTTTTCTTCACAACATGTCATGCAAATCTACGTGCATTGAGGATTCTCCCACTGCACTATTTCTCTCATTTGCTTTTCCATCTCTTTCGTCTCTTTCCACAGTGCATTCATGCAGAACGCCGCCGCGCCCAAACACAACGTTTCTTCTCCGGCCAAATTCCGCCGCCGGAGAAGAAATTCCGACCTCCCACTCCATTCTGGCCATCGGATCACACGGCAAGATTTGCCTGCACATTCTCCCATCTCCAAATCTGCGTTCATTCTCCTTTTCTCATACTCACTTTCTACTGTTGCAACTGATTCTACCAAACTAACCTCCTCCAAACACATTACTTCACGACCAATAGCCTCTTTGAACACCTTCAGATCAGTTTCTGTGCTCTCGAAGTCACGCTCGAGCGGCGTCAGCGCGAGGTTCATGAACTGCAAGAAATCTGCGGCTTTAGCCAATGACGATCTGATTGTGCGGTAGGATGCAACGTTGAGAGGCAAGAACCAGAAGTTGGGCTCCGACTCGGCTTCTTCTATGGATTTCGCAAGCTCGTTGATTTGGGATTTTATCCTCTTGATCCCATCATCGACGCTGCAATCTCTGGAGGAGTCGAGGGTTGAAGTGATCGTTTCGTGCAAAACATGGAAGCACTTCGAGAGCTGGGCTTTGGCTAGGACAGCAGCCCGGGTGGGCTGCACCAGGACATCCACCATTATCGAGCATGATAATCCGATGAAGGTTTCGACTATCCTGGCGATGGCGAAGTCACTCGGTTCTCCAAAGTTCTTCCTTCCAAGAATCAGAACTCCCCCTATAACTGCGCACACTCCACCTGCCTGCCCGTACATTCGGCTCTGGCGCAAGAAGCTGCAAAAGATGAACCATGGAAGCAGAGATATGAACCTTAGATTAGCATACTTTTCGAAGATGAAGCACCCGAGCACTCCATACACAGTTCCGAGAACCGTCCCTTGAGCCTTGATATTCGCCACTTTGAACGTCGCCTCTCTGGAAGATGCGAGGCTCACCGCAACTGGAAGCCCCGACCAGTATCCATTTTCCTTGCTGTAAATCAGGCCAAACAGCACGGCAAATCCTAATGAAAGAGAGCTTTTCAGAGCCATCATTAGTCTTCTCTTGTTAATCTTAATCCCCGCGCCGTTGCTTGATACCATTGATAAGAGCCAGCATTTCTTCTCCTGCGAGTCATTCGGGACTTGTTTTGAAGGATTAGCTACCGGACTAATAGCCTCTGATTTTGAATGAAGAAGGTGTTTCAAGCAGAATAAGAAGAACATAGAGGGCAGATCTTTGGAGCCTATAATGGAGAAGGTCTTTGTGTCGAACGCTTGGAGGAACTTCTTGTCGTCATTGCATGTGTCTTCTGACTGAGGATGAATCGAGTTTCCCAGGGCCATAACTTTCACTTGCTTCAAAACTTCTTCCTGTAAATTGTTCAAATCCTTTTTAAGCTCAGAATTGAGTATCCCAACCGGAAATTCGGAGCAACTCTCGAGTGCAGTTTTCATTCCTCCCAATATTGTCTCAAGGCCAAGCAATGCTGCTTCTGGATTCTTCTGATTATAGGACTTCAAAAACCTGACTGGAATTCTCTCCCACTTTATGCTTTCCTGGACATGATTTCAATTGTGAAGCCATTAGTGTTTTGTCAAAAAAGATTGTGAATTTACTTCACCAACATGTGTGTGAATGTATATATATGTAGGAGTATCATGTTCTGACCTGCTTGGATTTAATGCTTTTGAGAAGTTTATTTCCTGTGTTACTCAAAGATTTGGCTTGGGAGATTAATCCCTTTGCCAGCGCCATGTCTTCTGCAGTGTATGCCTTTATGTACAGTGTTAGTCTTTCAGAAGCATTCTCAATGCATAGCTTGCAATTCTCTTTCACCTGCAATCCACAAAAAGTAAAATTTCCGATGTCAGTGCGCTATTGTGTAATCACTCCAACAATTAAACACAACTTATGTCATAATCAGACATTTGTTTAAATCAATTCTTTAAGCTCAAAATGGGGCCTTGCCGGTGTAAATAAATACATGCATGCAAATTCCATGCACAAATCTTAGCCAAAAATGTTGATGCTATTAAACAGATTGTTCATACATTTGTCCTTTCTTACCTCATAGCAGGCCATGTTTGGATACGGAAACAGCATGGCCAGAACACACGCAGCTGCCCCTAAGGCGGTGCTAGCCGCGATATGAACTGGATGCATAATGGGGTGAGTATCAGCACCTCCAGCGTACCCTACAACATAAACAAGAACAATTTGGCCAAGGGCAATCCGTTTCAAGACCAAGTGAGTGTTCACTGGCAGCACCACCACAAAAGTGCTCACAGCCACCACTGCTGCAGTGGTGGTTGTTGTGAGTTGGGCTGGTCCTATCAGCCATAGTGCAAGGATGGCAGGGCAAACGCCCTGCATCGTGGCATACAGTGCCAGCCAGCAGCCGCAAAAAGTGTCCCCTAATGAGGCATCAATTACTATAAGAATGGATGTCACATATGAGAATGCGGGGAATGCCACATAGTTGGTTATGAACTTGGGGCCAAAGAGAGTGGTTACACCTATTATGGTGCATGCCATGGCAGTCCGAAAGGCGGATGCCAGGCAGCGCCGCCACATAGCGCTAGCACGGCCATGGGGTTGTGGACTGCCTGCTGCCATTCTTGTGATGTTTTTTTCCAGTGTGTACAAACACTAAAGATGAAATGCAGGAAGATTTATGCAAATTCTTGATGGAGAAAAGGGGGGTTTTGTTAAGTCAATTTGTGATCTTTGGTGAGGACAAAAGGCCAGATTATGGCAATATATAATAATGCAAGAAGTTCGTTAAAGCAGAGGGTTGATTCTTTATTGCACAGGGGATTTTTGCAGTAATTTTTGACAATGCATCAGAACTTGCATATGAGTGGAATATATAGAATGTGTACGTACATATGAGGGTTTCATTGGTGGAGCATGTGATATAAGGTGGATAATTTAATTAGGCCAATGGGGGATATATAATATATACGTACAGAAAATGTACTTAACACCCTCATCTACCCACTTAGCCTTGGCTGGCTAACATTGTGGGATCCCACGTCATAAAGTTTTTCTATATTAGATTAAAGTCCTTAACATAACTTATCTCTTTTCCTAAATCGTGCAGATAAATTGTCCCTTAAGTTCTCTAATTTGGGTGTGATATAGTTAAGTGTTTATGACTGGGATAAGTGAAGATGACCAATAAGAATGATAAAAAAAGGCAAATGGGAAATAGCAAACATGGATGAAAGCTGTAATAACTATCATTAAAGATCAGACGTGTGTGTAAAGAAACAAATATAGAAAGCTGTAAGTGGACATTCAGTATCATCCTAGCTACAGAAACAGGAGCTTATCAAAACAGCAGCTTATCTGAAGTGTGTTAATCAATTCCTTTTAGGCATATTCTAATCAGGTCAGAAACCCGTCTACCTACACCTCAAATTTGAATCTGTCTGTCTTTCAAATGTTCAGTTAACACAGACGCCAATAAATCATTAATACACATTGAATAGTACTCAGATGGAAGGATAAACATCAAACTGATTACTGAATGTGTTCAAGCAATGCTCAATTATGGTGAAATCCGTCAAGACTCAATTCCTCAGCTACAAGATCCGTAGACAACCTTGAAATAGCTAGGACAACTTATTTTCCAAGCATGTTTAGACAGGTTAGTTATGTACATTTCTTCCCTTTCAACCCTGCACTTTCATGTCCCCATGCATTACCTTAGGTACAACAGTTATAATGCATAGCAGCCTAAACAAATTAGCATATATTTCATTCATATTCACTGCTCCAATGGTGATTTTTCATTAGAAAAGCAATCTGATACATGAAGAGCAAAAGAAAAGGCCTGAAATACCACAATGATGGGGGTAAATATGATATCCACTAAAAGCTAAAGATGAGGCTTCACTAACAACTACAAATAAGGAATATGCACATAATTTAATACATGACGGTGTCAATTTACACTTCATCTATTTCCCAATATGGATATGATATATACATATTCAAGGTTCCATAACTATATTTGACTACTGTTTCATGTGATCACCAAGGATAATGGTGCTGTAATCAGATTTCAAAGAAATTAGCTTATTAGGATTGGTATGAATAAATAACATGACTCTTGATTTTATATGTCACTGATGCCATAAATCCATCATGTTAACAGTTTTCATATAACAACAAGTGAAACCAGTGATTTTCAGAAGTTGTTAATGCCACTGTTTTATTTACGAAGAGCCCATAGAGAGACAAAAGTTTAAACCCCACCATAAAGAATGGGAAAAAATAAAGAATATGTGGTGCCTCTGCTTTCTGCGCTGTCAGAGTCCATTTTCTAGCATGAAGCAGACATGAAAATATGGTTTTATTTCATCATATCATGATTAAGGATGATGATATGTGCAATTTAGGACGCCCCAATTCCAAGACACACTTCGAAGTTTCTATCGTCACTTCACTATACCTAACTTTGATGTGGATCCAACTACAATTAAAGCAAGATGGAACAAACTAAAAATTATACTGACCTCCTCAATTACTACAACCTTTTTCCATACCACGACTTCAACACATTTCCTTAATGATGTCCTCTCTGCTATTTCTTCAGATCTCGAAAGGTCACAAAGACAAGCATGCATGTTTAGGCATGCGCCAAATGGAGCGGCGCCATAAAGAATATTTATGACAAGATGGATCCCCAAAACCCTCTAGTGATTGATACTGGTACTTTGCCGTAAGGTAGCCACAAGAATGCTAGTGGGCTCTGATTCAGAATTCTGCATTCAAAAATGGAGGGTGATTAGTAAATGCAGATGAAAGTCATAATGATCTAAACTTGACTAAGCAAAAATCGGGTCCTTGTTTTGGGAGTGCTTGAGCATCAATGAGTAATTGATCTAAACACGGACAATGTATGTGAATTTCATAATAATCTTAAACTCTAGGGGAAATAATTACAGGATATAGCATCTGGCATTCATCTCTATCAAGTATCAACTCTACAATATAGACATGACAAAGACTGTTCACCATAACATTCCACTGGTAATAAAAAGAAATATTGCAGGCACCAAATCCATATCAAGACAAACCCGGATTTGGGATCCAGGAAAGCAATCATGAACACTTGTAATTATGGACATGTAGAAGCAGACAATTCATTCAGTTTCCTATCCACGTCTATCATCCTCGTACAATGATTGCAGTGGCATTCAAGATCCACGAAACTTATGACACGTATCTGACCTCCGATAAAAGTTTCCCAACATATTGAAACCTTCACTATGAACAATGCATATGATATCTATATTATAATATATATATAAATATATATATACATAACACTAACTGATGAATCAAAAGTAACAGTGTACTTTCGAATGCATACAAATTTAGCTCTCTGATAATCAGAATCGAGAAAGATCCTCAGTTACTCACAATACACTACTCTTATCAATAATTTAACCAGAAGCCCTACGATCATTTTGAGGTTTCCACAATTATTATCGGCAATACTGACTACCGTTTGACGGAGCATAAACATTCTTCTTTAAGTATCGGAATTCTTTTCCCCATTTTTCTGCGAGGAGGTCCGCCGGAGTTCCGACGGTTGTTCCGGCCATCGTCGCCCCGCCAGTCCGAATAATCCTAGCGGGTCTAACTTGGGAAGAATGTACGGGCCACAAATAAGTTGGACTCATACTGAAATTGGGCTAAGATACCATAAGTTGGGGCTTACACTGCAAGGCCCAATATAAATAGGTAGATTTTCGGCCCATTAAAGAAAAACTATAAGTTGCTGTAAAATAAAAATGATTAATTTACATATTATTATTATCAACATCATTATTATTATAATATTCTTTATATATTTGTAAGAACACTATAGACACTGCTTCTGAAAAAGCCATATACATTATTCGAATTATATAACTCTATTTGAATAACATATATCGATTTAATATATACTTGCACCATTTTAATTTTTTTTACTATATAACAAAATTCTATTTTTATAAAAATACTATGAACCCCACCCAAAGCTGCATTATACTAATATTTTTATTCACTTATTTTGTCATGACTAACAGATTATTCAATCCAGAAAACAAACATAAAATCCAACAACAGTAAGTCGCAACAAAATTTAAGAAGAACACGTTCCCCTGCCCGGACCAATCACAGATACTTGACCATGCCCCGCCCCTCCACGCTGAGTTTCGTTGCCTGTAGCTGCTTCCGCTTCGGTGCTTTCAATTGCTGCAACTTTTTGTTCATCTGTAAACATAAATATTGCAAAGGAAATCGTCGAATCAATTGCCGCAACACAATTTAGCCCAACTTAAGGCATGGCCATCAAAGGACATAAACTAAACCACCCACCTTTGCGCGGCGCTGGTCTTGTGCCATCTGTTTAGCTCTGGCCTTAATTGCTTCCGGGTCGACCTTGGATTGAGGACGAACCACAAAGTCCATCGACATAGCTTCTGGCCTTGAGGCATGCTGCCTGGAAGATGACTGGCCAGATTTCGAGCTCCTGGAAATTTAGCCAATGGATATGAAAATTTAGCAAGATAGTTCATAAAAATAAATTAAGTATGCAAGATGAGGAAATCTTACTGTGAATATCCAGCTAAATCAAGGTCATCATCTCGAGATGACATTCCAGCCCCTTTATTCATTGCCCTGTAGTAAGTAAACATATTCTCAGTCTCAATATACAGTACAGATTAATTTCTCAAAAGATAATCAAGCAGTTTCAACTCTCAGAATTCTGAACATACTTTTTAGCAGAAGGCCTCTTCAAAGGCCTTTCTTCCTCAAAATTCTTCATATCTTCGAACCTGGTGCTCTTATTGAAGATGGGTCGACTCTGTATAAAAAAACATGATGAGTATAAAGTGATAAATATGGAGCAATTGTAACAAAATCTGAATCTTCATATCTCCAAATGCAGACAATTCAGACACAATTAAACATATTAAGTGCTGAATCTAAAAGAAAATGGAAATAATGGCTAATTAATGTACCCATTTATCAACCAATTCCTTAGCAAGTTTGCGATTGCTGGTAGTTTCCTCCTCTGATTTTGACAAGAACATAATCACCTGCCACCAATTGTAACTCAATTATAAAAGAGAGTATTCCAATTGCTACATAAATATTGAAAGAAACAAAAAAAGATAATGTTCACATGACCACTGCAACATTAAGAAACTTTTACCTTTCCGAGGCCACTCTTCTTCAACTGTTCTCTACGATCATATTGCTCTAGATCAATGGGAAACTGCAGCACCGACAGAATCAATCAATTTCCATATAACAAATAAATGTCGTATAAATTAAACCCATGAAAGGATGTGCTATCTATACGTCACTCAAGATCTGCAAAACTGCAGCTCGGACGTTTATGTTTGGCAAGCTTCCATCTGGTAGGGGTTCAAGCCAATTCTTTAGCAAAGTTAAAACTCCATGATCTAGAAATTCTTGCTGAAGTTGTTTTCTGTACAGAAAGCAATATTTGTAAGAAAATTAAGAAAGAAGATATCAACCGCTGAAATGTAAAATGGAAGAGAAGAGGCAGAACAAGAAACTGACTTGGAAAGCACATCAGTTAGAAGAGACAGTTTCCTCAACTTGCTTATAGCAGGTCTACCCTGCCGATTCAGCTCCGCATCTTCTTCTGCTACAACTTCCAATTCTGCCATCACATTTTCTACAAGAAGTGCAATTTCTGCTGCACTTTTTTCATTTTTCTTCTTCCGCTTGCCCACCTTGAACAGCTCTTTGATTTCTTCATCTTCTTCACCCTCTTCCGCCTGCAGTATTACAGCATGAAACAGGATAAGCAATTATTTTCCTAACAATCAAAGGTATTCAAAAAAAAAAGGATGAGTAAATCCCAATAACCCCTCAAAATCTCAGTTCCAGCCAAAAAAAACATTAATATGATACTCCACATGAAAAATCAGAAGGAAAAAACAAACCTTCTTCTTTGATTGAGAGCTCATCTTAAACTATAGTATTACTTTTATCGGAGAAAGCGAGGAAAGGCGAAGATGGAGAAACACAGAAAAAATAGATGAAGAGACAAGAGTTTAGTGTACAGAGGAAAAAAGTGACAGAAATAAAGAAAACTTAGAATACAATAAAGCAAATGAAATCAATGCTGAGCTACAACAGCGTCGGTTCCTACACACAACCAGGCTTTCAAGGTTCTCACTTCAAGCGCGTGAGTGTGAACACACACGCGCGGGCGTGAAGGACGAGGGGGACAGGTGAACTAAATGTAATAGAGTTGAAGACGTAAGCTAAATGACCACATCATTTATAACCTTATATTAGAAGTGTCACTAGAACATTAAACACTATTTCATAATAGTTGGAGACTCAACTATCATCCTAATTAGTATCTTCACATGATACCCTAAGTGGCTGAATTTTGTGTTACTCAATATTCAGTGTTCTAATAACATAAAAAAATGAGGGGAAACATAGATACAAGGACTGGATTTTGGTTGCAAATCTTTTATTAGAAAAACAAAGCCATAGATTCACAATTTTTTAATGGTAAAAACAAAGCAAAAAAACGTCAATTTTGAGGTAAATAAATGTCAATGGGGAATGCACAAAGTAACGCCCTAAAATTCCTACTCATAGTCCACAATAACAGATTCCATACGCATAAGTTCAGCTTAAAACATTAGGGTTGGCGGGTTTTGTCCACAGAAATAACGGGTGTAAAAACATCAAACATGTGACTGTACAAGTTGCAGTTTGACATGCAAAGATAAGGAACTGCCACTCTGGTGAGTACACATACTAGATTTCAGTAATGCTCGGGATCTGACTAGCATGTGGAAGCAAATCACACAATCAAAGATGTTTTAACATAGATTTTCATAAATTAAAATTTACAGGACATGTGGGTGCATAGCCAGAATGCAACACTAGCTTGGAGATGGCATGGCTTAAAATAAATAAATTCTCTAGGACAGTTAAATTACGCAAACAAAATATAGATAGAACAGGAACAGATTGACATAGAGATGAGCCAGATAAAAACAAACACAAGATATCAATTAAGATCTAGTTAGCTTCTTAATAGAATAAAATTAATTAATATAATGGTGTTAACAACTTGACATAATTTCAAAATTGTACATCTCGTGTTTAAAATAGTGCCACAAGTCCAAAGGCAACATAATTTATGGTGCTCATAAATGGTTTGCTTTACAGCTTTATAATGGCAAAGACGAATAACACTTGTAGCGATTGCCACTTATAACATTTGGATGGAAGTTTATATCTTCTCCAACAAAGGAGATCTAGTTTCAAAATTCCAATGCGGTTATTTAACACCCATAAAAATTCAAATGCAGCTAGCCATGAATCAAAAATAGAGGGAAGCAAAATAATGACAGTTCAAGAATAGAAGGTTATAAAAAGTTATTACAACAAAGTGTATTTGTCTAGAGTGTTTTACTGTATTTAAAATACAAAGGAATCTTTAATAGATATAATCCAAACCTGGGGAGCACGACTTGGTGAATGTTCATTGTCACTTCCATACCGATTGGCAGGATCCACACCACTATCATCTATGAAGTTGTCATCATCAACAGTCCGAACACCGTCTTGATCATCCTATATAATTTTGAGCTGAATCAACCACCAGTGTGCCATTTGAATTTTAAGAAACAGCAAGCAATGAAACATTCACTTGACTAATCAATTATTTTGTGGCAGAAATCATATTTAAAATTAAATTAAAGAAACATGCATCATGTGGTAAGCACCATATTTCTTTGAAACATGTTAGCACCTCCAAAGACTTGTGTCAGGCTGTCAGCACCACTCAGATGGAAACAAGCAAACATACTGATGGCAAATTGAAAGCTCATTGTAAGTTTAAATTACTCAGACTGATCAACATATATGACAATTAATAGCCACAGTAGTTGTTGGAATGCGCATATACACACACACTCGCGCCCACACACACACATATTTATCAAAGAGTGTAGGGACACCCACCCTCAGCATCAACCTCTTCCTTTGAATCGATTTAGAGATTATTTAAGAAAAATTAAATACAACCTTTACCCACATTCAAAAAGTTTATTAAGTCAGGTCAAAGATTTTATCAAGAAGTTCGAGGGAAACAAAAGGCAAACCCCTCAAATTTTGCCAAATTCACTAAAACAACCAGAACCGACAAAACTAAACAGATTAATGTGCAAAAGCAATTAAATCGATGTGTATAAAGAATTGACAGTACATATGTGCAAACCAACTCAGAATATGTACCCAACCCCCTAAATTTTACAAAATACAAAAAAGTCCACCAGTTCTGGATAACACTGTAGAAAATCAGCTCAACAATTTTATCAAGTTCAATGAATTCCTACCTTAATTACACACCACCAAAACTCAATGACTTCACTTCAATAGACATATAACAAACATGAAGTGAATTTCCATGTTGCAATACAAAACATATTGAAGAAAATAAAATAAAGGCACTCCAAACCTCTGAATGACCACCCGCTATGGTATCCCACATCTCCTTCATCTCTGGATCCGCTTCACGATTCCTCGTTGTAGAACCTCCATTTTTCCTCAACTTTAACTTCTTCTCCCCTTTCTCTCCCTTACTCCTCTTCTCAATACCGTTCCTCTTCTCCCCTCTCTCCCTTTTCTTATTTCCTCCATCTGAATAATTCTCTCTCACTACTCCACCAATGTTATCTCTATCATCAACCTCATTATCATCCAATCCATAATCCACTGGACCTGGATCTTCAAGGGGCGCGGATTTTTTTATCAACCTCTTCCGGGGCTTTGCCTTCAAATCATCGTACACTGGAGTTGGCGACCGCTCCCGGTGATTGTACATGGTATCATCTTCATCGTCCAAGAGATGGTGCCGAGGCTCATCCCGATCAGATTGGAAATCGTCATCGAAGTCCATCAACGGCTCTCCATCTTCATCTCGGTTCCTAAACGCACACGTACACGAATCAATAAAATAAAAACACCAATTCAAGATCTGCAAAACCTACTAAATTCAACAACCACCCTTTCCCAGGGAATACCACGCAACGCAATTACCCAACAAAAGACACAAAAACCCTAATTCTATAAATGTCCTTGAATTCACCACGCAAAATTGCTGAGATTTGATACAAGAAACCCTAATTATGCGATTCCCAAATTGGGACATGACACTTACGGATCGTTTTCGTAACCCATGATCGATTAGCGAAATTACTCCCAGCCGAGCACCTTCGAAACAGCGATTCAGGACGAACGGTGTTCCTCAAGCTTCACCGAAAACAAAAACAGAAGCAAAGGAACAATCCAGGACGAAAGGAGAACAAGAGAGACAGTGCGCGAGCGATATTTTTTTGAAGAGAGGCGCGGGTGTGCATAAAATGAGAGAGGGAGAGGGAGAGGGAAACGAGAGCTTTGTTATTTGGCTAAATTATACTCTTTCCAATTGTTTTTACCATTTTTTTATCTCATTTTAAAATATTCTATCTTTTTTAAAAAATATATATATAATAATATCAAAATACATTTAATTTTTATTTAAATTATAAATATTATATTCATATAATTAATTAAATAAAAAAATATTAAAATCTTTTACGATTTTATTACTTTAAATCTATCACAAAATTCCATAAAATCTCTTTCAAAATAATATTAAAATTTTTTACGAATTTATTATTTTAAATCTATCACAAAATTCCATAAAGTCTCTTTCAAAATGAACAGAGAGAGTGTATTACCTTTTCAAAAAAGTATATTACCCATGTATAAAATTTACAAAATATTATATTTCTTTCGCTTAATTTGTCTTTCCTTTATTTTTTTTCATATTATTGATTTTTTTTAATATAATTATACACTTTGATTATATTTTAAAATTTTTAGTTTTTTAATTTTAATTAAATTATTTAATTATTTTTAATTTTTAATTATAATTATTTTTATTTTACAATAATTATTTTTTATTAATATAATTTTTTATTATTTATTAATTATACTTTATTTAAATTTTTGTATTTAAAATAATTATTTTGACTTATTTAAGTAAAATTCTTGTATTCATATAAAATTTGAATATATCATAAAAGATGTCAAATATTATAATAAAAATTATATAACAATTTATTTTTAAAAAAATTATAAAATAAATTATTAATCGATTATTTATTTATTTAGTATATTATAAAATCATATTGAATATATTTAGCTCTTTTAATTATATAAAACTTAAATAATTATATTTATATTTAAAACAAAAAATAACAGAAAAAAAAATTATGCAAATTTTATATAACATAAAATTTCACAAAATAAATAAAAAACAGAGCGTATATATAATTAACAAAAAAATTTCAAAACAGTGTTCTTAAAAAATTAATATGCTACCTCTACTAATTTTTTATATCTTTTAAAAAATTATCATTTTAAATTATTTGATAGAAGAAGCAAAAATTTATATCCGAAACCCACCTATGTCCGTCGCTGTATGGCCCATATATTTAATCCAAATCTTTTTAAGGTGTGTTTGCTTGGATTTGAATTTTGAATTTTGAATTGAAATTTGAATGATAAAAATTTTGAATTTAAATAATTTATGATTTAAAATCCAATCCTCAAACAAACAAATCCTCAATAATTTTGATGAAATATTTTATAAAAAAAAATCAAAAAATATAAATTTAAGTGGTCAAAAAGAAACAATCCTTAATAAACTAATGCAACACCCATAAATTTCATATAATAATAATAAAAATAATAAATTAAAAAAAAAAAAAAAAAAAAAAGAAAAAAAGAAAGCTGCTTAAGATAAATATATACTCCGTATACTCACTAAAAAGCCCAAATATTAGTGAAAGCCCTAATGAAAGCCCAAATCTAATAAACCTACCCGTGAGCTCAATTGCTCAAGTTACTCTTTATGCGACAACACGACATATTGATTGCGACGTGGCTAAATCTCAGGCGTTGGATATTACACGATTTACATCCAATCACAACTGCTTCAAATCCACGGTGGACACCACATCGGCTTCCACTTCGCTCTTTCAATTTTCTCTCCGTTCAAATTCTGGCGACAACGCGTCGGCGATCTGACAAAGAAGGAGCTCATTTGCCATTTCGATATAGTTTGGCTTATTTGGATTCTCAATTTGTTACGGACAGCGTTTAAAATTTGGTGAAATTGTGTTGCTGTGTGTTTTTTCTTTTTTCTGGTTGCCGTTTTTCTTTTGGAGCCGTATTATATATAAACTTCAGTTTAGATTCTCGTTGATAGTTAAATAAGAAGTGAGGTTCGACCTTTGTGTTGCTGAGCTGGACCAATGGTTCGGTTTTGCTGAGTTAGGACTCTGTTTTTTGTTTGTGGTAATTTTGCAGATTCACTTAAGTGCCATTAATCTTTGTCGTGCTTGTGCTTCAGATATGGTTGAAGGTTTTGAATGCTCTGGCTTTGTTGATGTGATTATTGATGAATACTCTGCTGTGTCTTTATGCTGGAAGTTTACTATGACTTTATATATAGTTGGGGATTTAATGTATGACCATTGAATTGAATAGCATGCAAAATAAAAATAAAAATAAAAATGAGGATTTTGGTGTTTTTCATTGTAGCCAGGTGCGTCCGTAAATTTTCTTTTGTTCACCATTTTTCTAAATGATTGTTTTTTGAATACATGTCTGTAACAGGATGGCTAGAGTGTTATATGGGTATTAGGCGGTAGGTTTCTTCATCACAAGATGGGAAGCAGTGAAGTAGATAAATCCTCCAAGGAGGAAAAAGAAGTTAAGGAGCCAAAAAATCATACTACACAGGTGATACTCCATGTGAACTGTAGTACTTAGTTACAGTTCAAGTTTCTAGTAAAGAATCGAAGTGTATAAATTATCAGTAAATAGATATTTTACAGTGCTTTTATTTAGCAGAGTTTAAGATATGTCTACTCTTCATTACATCACTTCCTGCTTGGATTTAGCTTAATCGAAGTTTTGCAGTGTTAGAAATGGTGCTTAAGTTTTGGCTTCTTGTATTTATCAAATCTATTCCAAACATATGGTCAAATTGAATATCAGCAGCTGTTAGTAACTTGAAGTGATGTATCCTTTTCGTAATTTCAGGAGCAGGCTTCAACTGCTTCTGGCTCAGTTGCGCCTGATTGGTCTGTATTTCAGGTTGATATTATTCAAAGTTTAGTATTTTCTTGATTGATTTTTATATCTGTAATTATATGGCTCCATTGTTTATTCTGTAAGGCATATTCTCCTATGCCTCCGCCTGGATTTTTGGCTTCAAGTCCGCAAACGCATCCCTACATGTGGGGAGTTCAGGTATTCAATTTATGTTTTTGTTTGTTTTCAAGCATTATTTGACTATTAGAACATGGACCACTCAAATTATGTAGAAAAAATATTTTAGTATAAAATATGGTCAGAACATGGCAACTTATAGAGTTGGATTGTTGCCACTTACGGAGTTAGATTGTACTGAGTTAGTACCAATATTGCACGTGTGTATGTGATTAAATGTTGTTAAATTTGGAAGGAATTGGAAGTTATTCCAGGGAATATGTATGTTTCTATCAGTGTCAAACTATTTAAAAACTCAGGGATTTTGTTCATATTTTGTTTTGGTTCAGAGGAATGGCTTGATTCCAAGAACATGGTGACAAATACAGTAGTCATGTCCTCTGTGCCATCTAAAAAGCCTAAGGCTATTCTGTTTTTCACAAGAGTTCTGAAAATTCTACTCATGGTTATTTCCATTTAAAACTTGTAAACTGAGGTAGCTATGGATCTGCTGTATCTTAGTCAGAATTCAGTCAATTCTACACTTAATTATTCACTGTTAGAAACTTGTCTTTCATGCACATAGCAGTCATCCTTCACTTTCCTGCGATTTGCTTCATTTGATTTCTTTCTCTGATTCCAAGCAAGAGGAGTAGTTTCATTCACTAGTTATTAAGAAATAGCACCTGATAAGATGTGCTGATGTGATGGTCCTGGTCCTGTATAAGTCATTTCATTTTTCAGTGATTGCACTCACCTTCTATTTTTTATTGGTTCTCTTTGCTGTACTCATGGCAGCAATTTATTCCACCACCTCCATATGTTTCCATGTACCCTCATGCTGGCATGTATGCACATCCTCCAACTATGGCTCCGGTATGTTCTTAGTTTTATTGGTTGCATTGATAAGAAAATGCCATACATGGCTAACCTTTTCTCTTTTTTGTCAATAAACTTATTTAGGGGCCTTATCCTTTTAGCCCTTTGCCCGTCCCCTCTCCTAACGGTATTGCTGAAACCTCTGTGAGTCAGTGTAGTATTTGTTGCACTTCTCTTCCTATGTATTTATAATTTAATGCATGTAACCTGTTGATAATCTTCATGCATAATCAGAAACATTTTCTTGATATGCATATAGGGAAACACTCCTGGTGCGGAGGTGGATGGCAAGTCTTCTGAGGCTAAAGGAAAGCTGCCGATTAAAAGGTCCAGGGGAAGTTTGGGCAGTTTAAATATGCTTACTGGGAAGAATAATGAAGATGGTAAAACATCAGGTGGCCATGAAAATGGTGTCCGTTCTAAAAGGTATTGAAATATGAGGAACTGAAAAAGTGAGTTGACACTTCTACTGGTAATTCTATGGATGCTTTCCGGTGGACAATTTTACCCCAATTCTCATTTAACCAAGAGCCTAGAAAATGACTTCAATGTGAAATATTTATCTTCTCTCAGTTATTTTTTTATATGTACTTTTTGTCATTGCTAATTATAATCCTTTCAAGGACTAACTTTTCATATGTTCCCTTAACATTTTTTGCTCCTTTATTCATCTTCACTTTCCGTGCTGCTTTTACTTTGGAGTTTATTAAGTGTATTTTGAACTTCTTTTAGTTACTATAATTTGTATGTTAAACTTTTAAAACACACAAACATATATATATATATATAGACAGAGATCTAATGTAGGGTTTTTTTTGTTTTTTTCTTTTAATAATTAAATTTGCAGTTCTGAGAGTGTGAGTAAAGGTTCAAGTGAAGGAAGTGATGCAAATTTCCAAACTGTAAGCAATCATCTATTTTGTGCAAGTGGATGTGTGCTTGACAAAGATTGGACACATAGGATTTGAAACTGACGGGAGATATAGCTCATTTTCCATGCATGTTCTTTTTTACTAACATTTGTGGCCTGTAAAATTGTCAATACAAGTCTTTGTATTTTCCTTTTGCTAAAGATCAAAATTAAGATGAGTTTATTATAATCATAATAATATTAATAATGAATGTATTGCGCTAATTCTATGTATATATTCACTTATTCTAACAATCTTACAGGAGTCCCAAGGGAAGTCTGATGGCCAGCCCGATTCAGGTTAAGGTCTAGGAATTATACTCATAATCCAATCTCAGGCTGCTTGCTGCACTCTGTTTTGACTCTTTTATGGTATTTTTTGTTATAAAAGAACCATCTCAAAATGGAGGTGCTGTTCACATTTCCGAAAATGGTGGACCTAATATGGCTGGTGTAATGGTAAGTCAATCAATGGGAATCATGCCTATGCCGGTGGGGACAGTGAGTGGTGTCCCTGGCCCTGCTACTAACTTAAATATTGGAATGGACTACTGGAATGCTACCCCAACATCTGCTATTCCTGCAATGCGGGGGAAGGTGTCAGCTAGTTTGGTTACGGGAGGGATTGGGCATCCTGGTTCACGAGACAACATGCAGTCACAGCACTGGGTTCAGGTTTCCCATTGTTTATTTTCATTATCTATATGAATGCTTCATTTAAATTTTTTCTTTTGGTTGAAAAGAAATGTGTGTTAGGCTGCCATATAAATTATATACTGTTTTGAATTGGTTTCTTCACTATTTTTTAATGCTATTTGTTTTTGGTAAAGACTCGTGTGATGATACAGAGTTTCTTGTGACTCATGACGTTCCATCCTCCACCTGGCTTACTTTTATAAGCAACTATTTCACTTGTTGATGAAACATTCTGTCTGTAATGATTGTTGCAATTAGTTCCATGTTCTATGACTTCAATAAAGAATTAGAGAGGTGTTTTGCTGTTTCCTGTTCTACATTATTTAGAATAGTTGGGAAACTTTTACATACCACAATGACTTAGTGAATTAATTTGCCATTTGTGATATCACCAGCACATTTGCCGCTTACAGTGTCAGTTTGGTCTTGCTCACCTTCATCTGTTTAGTGATGAACTCATGGTCTTCTTCACCAAGTGAAGAGGCCTGAAAAGCCGACTTTATATCATTGACTTTGGTCCCTCGTGTATATAATTTGAACATTTGAAACACCACTCTGTTAGATATTGGCAATCTAGAAGAGAAGTATTTATGGAGCTGAAGTGAACTTTACATATTGTAGACAGCTGACACGTGTAAAGTGTTGATGCTTGCAATAGCCTTGCATTGACAAAAGACATTAAGGGGATTGAAGTCTTACTATGTTATAAGTTTGAATGCTGGGGTTGTCAACAATTACTAGAACATACTTGTACCCGTTGGGGACTGCCTACTAATCCTTCTGTCATTGTTGTTTGCTATTGTCAATATGGTCAAGCAATAGTCAAATATTGTTACCATGCATGATCTGATTTCACTATGACCTTTTGTTTGAAAAGTAAATCAATTGATTCTGTTTATCTATTCATAGACCTTCACTTCCTGTATATTTCCTTTTTGTTTTAGGATGAAAGGGAGCTCAAAAAACAGAGAAGGAAGCAATCAAACAGGGAATCTGCCCGAAGGTCCAGACAACGCAAGCAGGTAACCTGTCATTGTTTACCTTCCTTTTAGCAATAGTGTTGATTTATCTCCTTTCATATATATATATGTATATATATAATGGTCCTGAATTTTGATTGTTTCTGCATATGGGATCCAGGCAGAAGGTGAAGAACTAACTCAGCGTGCTGATGCTTTGAAAGAGGAAAATGCATCTCTCAGGGCAGAACTGGATCGTGTAAAGAGTCAAATCGAGGAAGTTCGTGCTGAGAATGCATCTTTGAAGGTATTAATGATATTCATCTAATACTTTCAGAAATTTAGCTTATACTTTTTAAGAAAGTGCTATGCACGTATCTTCACCCCATCGGTTTCTACTCGTGAGAACCGAACCACCAAAGATCTTTCTATTCAGAAGTGAGTGAATTTTGCTTTCCAGGGTAAACTTGGAGAGCTTACTGGTCAAGAAGATCCAAAATGCAGTAGTGATGACCAACACTGACTGAGGATACTCAATAATTCGATTCGACTCAGCAGGTCATGCTCAACCTAACATCTAGCGACACAGAACGCCCACTATCTATATCGTACGCTGTTGAATCTAATCGTATCTTAACATTTGTTACACCGTCTGTCAATTCTCTCGTCGGTCAATCTTTTGTGGTCTGGGAATCCAGATGGTCCAGCCATAGAGATAGAGTAATATATGTTCATGATTACTTGCCATCCTGTTAGAATGGCAATGCTTTTATTTTAACAATGTCTAAGTTAGTGAATCGAGAAGGGACTATTATTACTATGTTAGAGGACAAAAGAACATAACATGTAGGATCTTGTCGATTTAGTACACTGGTCCATAGGTAAACCTAGTAACACTTCAAATCATTTCACCTGAGGCCGTCATCGGGTGCAACTGCAGCATCCGATAAAACAATAACACAAACTAACTGAACAACCAATGTGTATCGCAGCTAGCAGTCCTTACCATAACTTATTAGACATTATTTTACAAGAAACTTCTTTCTGTTCAAATCTTTGCTACAACAGAGGCTATTCCGTACAATCCAGCCACAAGAATGGCAGAGGTGATTGTAGTCTTTGTAGGCATTCTTCCTTTATCCCTTCTCAAAACCATGGCTTCGATGAACGGCAATCCATTCGCCACTGCAAAGAAAGCAATGAATATTTGCACAAAGAAGCCATCCAAGCTCGATCCATCCTTCGAGACGAGCACCAATCCACTAAACAAAGCTATTGAGTTCAGGATGGCTGCCATTGCCAATGGCACGAACATTGGCGATGGAGCTCCAAACTCGAAGATCCCTTGATCGTATCTCTTGTTTTGTTCGTTGTCGACCACTTTGCTCGTTACGTTGAATCCATGCGTAGCCATGCCTAAGTGCTTGGCCATGTATTCAATCAATCCAAATACATGTGATGAAAGATTCCTTATGATCCACATTCTTTGGTCACTCCACCATCGTATAAGTGTTCCTCGTGTTAGTAAGAAATCTGCACAATCTTGTCCGTATGCTCCAAGGAACAAAAAAGCATACAAAAGAAACCATCGCTCGTGAATCTGGATAGCAATGAATTGTGAGGTAGAATCCATGCTAAGCTGATACTATTAGATCAAATCATTCAAAGTTTTGAGGTGAAATTATACCTTGGGGAAGATGGGAATTCCTTGCAGAAGAGTTAGTGATGGAAGAAAGGCATAAACAGTGACAGGGAAAGAGTGGATAGGCCAAAATGCATAGTGTGCATAGCTTTGGCTCATCAAAAAGCCCATGGACCTTATTCCGTAGGTTAATGGGCCAAACTTGGAGAAAGCCACTTCTAGAAGCCCGACAGCCCACCTCTTGCTCTGGCTCAATGCATCATTAAGAGATATCGGTACATCGCCCAAAAAAGCGGGCCTAGTTGGATCACAGAATATGGACTGCCATCCCTCGCATTGCAGGCGATAGCCTGTGTAATAATCTTCGACCAACGACCCATATCGGAAGCCCATCTACATTTTTTTTTCACGATTAAACTATCTATTCAATCTTAGACAACAAAAAAATTTAAAAAAAAAAAAAAAAAGAAGGGAAATCTACTTTACCTTAGAACCCCAATTGGTTTGGTCCTCATAATCACACCGGGCCACTTGATGGGCCAGATTAAAAACCTCTGGACTATTAATGGGCTTGTCTACAATGTTATCTGGGCCAAGCTCCATGATTTCCGGCCCAATATATGATAACGGGCCTCCGAAGAACACACGGCGGCAGAAAAAGCAGCCGGTGCCAACGTAATTGGGCCCTTTAAGGCCGTCCATACCGGCAGGGTTAGTAAGGAACAAACGCTTGTGCTCGGAGGCATAAATATCGGCGGTGTTGAGCCCGTGATATCGTTGAGGAAACTGGACGTAGCCGGAATTGGGCTTACAGGACTTATCGGGCAAGTAGCACAAGGTCCTTTGGGCCGTTAATGGGTCATTGGAATACATGTCGCAGTCCAATGTTAGGATAATTGGTGAATTGGTCATGCACGCCGAAACCCGTAGCTAACAAAGTTGGGAAAAAATCAGGTAATGATGGAATGAATTTTGCATGAATTAGGTAAGATATTTACGTAAGTGAAATGAAAATTAACATAACTTACAAGAGTATTGAGAGCTCCTGCCTTGAAATGGTGTGGTGTGGTGCTGCTCTTCTCTCGAGAGACGTAGACGAGGTTGGGCATGCTCCCGCCTCTAATGTCTCTATCTTTTTTGGAATCTAACAATACCTAGATTGAGACAAATAATATGCTATAATTTATGTTAATATAATATAAATACTGGATAGTTTGATTTATGGATTTGTGTGTTGTGAGATACCTGAATGATGGAGGGATGGTTGTGGCGGGTGAAGTCTTTAGCACGGAAGTGTTGGAGAATATGAAGTGCATCATCGGTGCTGCTAACTTTGCCCCTCTCCACTGCACTCTCCACCTTCAATTTCATGCTCTCGTACATCATCTGCAGTATGTTGCTTTTGGATTAGTATTAATAAATGACTCATATATGCAGACTGTAGTGTAGTGTAGTGCATAACTACTCTATTATTTTTAATTCATTCATTCTTACTACAGTTCAGTCCAGATTATGAAAGTCAGATTTGCACAGAGGACACCACAGTGGTCACTTCAAATATATCAAGAAAGATAACTCTAGGCCATGTTGTTGTCGCTAGGGAGTAGGGCCAAGGATTGTGACGTCGGGGTTGTTTTATTTGTTTCTCTCACCCCAAAACGTCGCCGTTTTATGGTGCCGTACGGCATTTTCTGCTAGGGAGGAGCCACCGGGTACCGGGGTCCAGGACCTCGCCAGAGATCCTTGGTTTGTGGAATGAAGGCAAATTCTATCATTCTGACAATATCTCCTCAATCATACCCTGTCGTTCAATCCTGACCGTTGAAATTGAAGAGTGGAAGTATCGCAATACTATCTCGTTTTGTCTCCTAATTTCATCTAATTAAGCTAAAAACCAAACTAAAGAAAAGGAACTTATCTGTTGCCATGGAAGTAAGGATTGATGGAATTGGAAAGTTGGAATATAGGTATACCTTGATCTCCTGAGTGTCGGCAGTGATGGTGTAATTTGAGCTGAAATAAGCTTCAGGACATCTGTCAGTGATGTTATTCTCATTGCAGAACGGCAGCCAGACCTTACCGAACTCCGCAGCCTCCACGAACGCAAACATCGTCAATTCCGATCCGCCGTCGTCCGATACGTACACCGACAGCTTCTCCGCCGGGTAGTCATACGCCATGACCGAAAGCGCCGTGTTAACCACGCCGATTGGCGGTTCCTTGTACGGATCCGCCGTGCATATGAATATGTCCATGCTCGGGAAATCGCTCCGGTCCAGAACCTTCGCGAGATTCTCCGGAAACGCTCGCCGCTCCGCCGGATTCATACGGAACGACTGTGACGTCGACCACATGTAGGCCAGGATAGCGTCGGAGATGAAGAGGAGGAAGGTCGCGGCGAAGGAGAGTAGTGTGGGAGAGTGGAGGAGCGCGTGGATGTGGCGGTAGAGGAGGCACGCTATCGCCGACACGTAAACCGCCGCATAGATACGGTTGAGGTGACGTCGTCGGAGGTAGCGCAGAGAGTGAAGCGGCGGTTGTCCGGCGGCGGTTTTCATTCTGCTGAATTGGCCGCTCCTCTTTGGTTTGGCACTCGCTGCAAACAACGTGACGGACAAACCAAAATATTTATAGATAAAATCACACAGTAACATTTATATAGAACTATCTTGTTGTAATAATTAATTCATTGATTAAAATTTTTTTTAAAAAATCTAATAAAATATTTATTTTTTTATTTTTATATTATATTAAAATCTTATTTATATTTAAAATATTAAATCAATATATATTTACATTGCATCAAAATAATTACTTTTATTTAAAATATTACTATTTTATACAAACTTAAAAATCCAAATCACACAAATAATTTGTATTATTTTTGTTCTTACCTGTATCTTTGTTTACTCATTAATATTTTCACATAAATAAATATATCTTACATTAATATTTTATATAAAATATTATATTCCTCAGTTATACCTTAAAACGTATATATTGTATTTTTTTATAAGATTTTTCCGTTGTACCAAATAAATCAGAGGTCTCTGAGTTTGAATCTAATAATTTAAAAATTAGGCCAATAAAATAAATCGCATTAGACGAATCATATACTCCCTCCGTCTTATTCATTTGCTTTTTTCACGTAATTTTAAAAATATTAGTATTATATTGGGATATAGTATGAATAAAATAGAAATAACTAAAATAAACTTTATTAGTATGTGTGATATAAAAGTAATGACATTTGTGTAATATAGTGTAAGTTATAAGGGTATTTGTAATATTAGATAAATAGACTAAAATAAAAAATGAATATTTTGTTATAGGACGGAGAGAGTATAACAAATAAAATCAAATAATGTGGAGGGATAAACTCTTTAGCTAAACTTAATAGTTTGCAACCGAAACAAATGCTTAATAATTTTGTTTGTTTGGAAATTGAATTTTAAGTAATAAAAACTTTGAAGCATAGATATTCGACTTGATCTTTAAAAATAATAATAAATAATAAAGTTTTAAAGAAATCTCTACACAAACAGAACTTAAAATAGTAAATAAATCGCTAGCCGAATAGAATGTTTATACCACAAAGAAACTCAATTTTCAGTATATAATGGCGCGCGTGACACGACACATGCAGTTATTGACTTGACTCCAATAATTGAAGAAGATTTACGGGGAAGAAAAATTGCATATTCCATACGCAGCTCAGCTGCAAGTGGCCTACACAATACAAATAATCCATCAATATCAACATATATATATATATAGATATACATGAAATTCAAATGCAGGCACTAGCTAGAACTAATGAACCAATAAATAGACGGTATTGCATTATGGAAAAAGACAGGTGAATTTTCAAAACACGTAGTCCTCTGTCGCACATAATTTGTCCCTATTTTTTATTTTCATTCGTCCCACATAACTTGTCATTTATATTTTTGAAAATATAATTATGCACTTTAATCGCATTTTAAATTTTAAATTTTATAATTTTCTTAATTTTAATTAAACTATTTACTTATCTTAATCTTAATTTATAATTATTTTTACTAATATACTTCATAATTACTTATTAATTATATTTTACCTAAATTTTCGTGTCTACAGTAATACACTCATGGGACGGAAGGAGTATACACTCATGGGACGGAAGTAGTATATAAATGTTGCTCATCTCATGATCATGCTTTACCAACATTAATTCGAACAATATCTTTTACAAAAATAAAAATAAAAATAAAAATTCAGTGGATCCAAAACACAATGGTGCCAATCTGATGCTGGGTAGATAGGGCTAGGAGACAAGCTGGATCCGGTCTTCAAAATTAGTATATGATTTTTTTAATGTAAAAAATAATAAAAATATGATTTTTTTTTTATTATTTTGTCATTCTCTATTTTTCAATTATTTTTTATCTTATAATGTAAATAATAATAATTTTTTTTTTAATTTTGTTGATTTATATTTTTAAATTTTAATTTTTTTTAGTAGAAATTATATAATTTTATTAAATTTTTTAAAATATATTTCTAAAAATTTAATTTGTAGCTATTTATTCCATTTTCTTTGATTATCGTATTGGAAAAAAAAAATAATGAATTGACATTTTATCCCTAAATTCCGTCACTGGGTACATCAATTGAATTCCATTTACCTTACTAGAGAAATAAACAAATGAAATTAGGGTGTGTTTGTTTGGAGATTTGGATTTTGTGTTGGGATTTGAATAATATAAATTTTGAATTTAAATAATTGTATGATGTGATATAAATAATTGTTGATGTGATGTTTTGAATGTAAAATTAATTTTTAATATAATATAAAAAATACAAAATAAGTATTTAATTTGATATTTAAAAAAAAATAAAAATGAATTTTGTATTTAAAATTCAATCCCCAAACAAACACACCCTTGGTAACTCTTATTACTAGCACGTGGAGCGAGTCTGGGCGTAAGTCTGTCGGGTCGGGGACTTGGGCTAAATTTGGGTTCATACTTTATAGCTACAGAGTATAGACTGGGCTTGTACCTCGGTCACATTGGGTCATAACTAACTATGGGCCCATTATCTCTGTCTAAGCAAAATATCCTAAAATTAAAATATGCGATCTGAACTGAATTAAATTTTGGTTGAAATTGTCAAATTGAACATTTTATAAAATTTAAATTCATTCGATATGGTAAAAATTTAATATATTAATATATTTTATTATATATTTAATATTTTAATAAAAATATAAATTTTTAAGAAAATATAAATTTCAAACTTACTAATTATATATTAATATACTTATTTTTATTTATTATATTTATTTAAAACTCTAATAAATAGAATTTTAAAAATAAAATTTCTTAATTTTTTAGATTTCAGTTATTTTGGTTCGGTTAAAAAAATGAAAATTTGAATTTTTTTGAATTTGTCCGAATTCAAATGGAAATTTCAAATACTCACTCCTACGTAGCCGAAATTTAAAAGTGACGTAAAAAAAAAAAAATAGATCCAAAAAAGTAACATACATAATTTAGGAATAAACTATTACGAATCATAACTATTTAATATAAGAATTTTTTCATCATTGGACATCATACTTCTTTATTCACAATATAATTTTTTCTTATTTCATTTCAACAAAAATAAAATCAAATAATAGATATACATTTATATATTAATCAAAATTATTTATCTTGAAATTAAAATATTTATATTATTATATATTAAAAATATAGTATAATAGTACAAAATTGCAATGTACAGTAGAACGCCTTGACTCCCATCCAATTTCAGAGTTCTATTGGATTGGTTATGCCTATTCTCTTACTGGGCCCAAAAAATGGCCCATCATTAGCGCACAAAGCCATCTAAAACCTATTTTTCAAAACTAGCATCATTTTTTATAATAAATATTTTACAGTTTTTATTAATTAATACTGCCTCCATTTCACATACTATATACATATTAATTGTTGTTTTTGTTTTTCCGCGTCTCATATTATTTTCATTTTTTTTAAAAAAAATAATTACATATTTTAATTTAATTTTAAATTTTTAAATTTAATTTTTTTAAAATTTTAATTAAATTAATTAGTTATTTTAATTTTAATTTATAATTATTTATATTATAAAATAATTATTTTTATTAATATATTTTTAATTATATATTAATTATATTTATGCTAAATTGTCATATTTATAGTGACCCAAACATTCAAACTTGTGGGACAGAGGAAGGGAATATATAATTTCAAATTTCAAATAAAAAACGGTGTAAAATAGATTAGGAACTTTTAAAGTTTTATCATTAATTAAAAGAATACCATAATAAAAACTAATCAATATTTTAGAACGGAGTATTTAATGCTACAAATTAATAGCGCAGTTGACTAACAGGTGGCAGGGAAATGAATAAGCAGATAAATTTATTTATTTAATTTTCAAAAATAATACTCCATCCCAAGCAAGTAGCAACATTTATTTTTTTGACAATGAATAATATTGAATAGTAATGTGATAGAGAGAGAAATATATATATATTTTTTTATTCGGATGATACGAGAGGATAAAGTGTGGAGTAGAGATTAAATATAATTAATTATTTTCTATTTTATAAATATTGCAGTGTTTTGAGACATAAAAAAAATATTGCAGGATATTTGGGAAGAATGGAGTATATTATAAATTTATTTTTATATAAGATAGTATTGAATATTATTTTTTAAATATTTATTTTATATTTTCAAACAAACTTAAAATTCTTAATTAATTCCAAAATATAATGCGAAGCTTTTTTTATTTTGTTTAGGTGGAGGTTTTTCAAATTTTAGAATTTTTTTTTTAAAAAAATTAAAAGTAAAATAATAATTGATTTGTTGAATTTTTTTTTTAAAAAAATTAAAAGTAAAATAATAATTGATTTATTAATTTATATAAAAAAACAAATATTCAATTTATTTTATTTTTTGCATAAATTACTAAAACTTACAAAATATGCCTATAAAAAGAGCATTGCCTCTAAGTAGACGTGAATATACCAATTAATAAATATATTAATGTACGGTTTTATGAGAGAGGAAAGTTCTTTGCCAGGTGTTCGCTGAGCAACTTGTGACAGGTTCCATTTCACATGAGCCTTGTGTGTTTTCTTTTTCTTTTTTTTTTTTTAATAATTTAACTGGACTCATTCAAATTCATTGGATTCTAATATTTGATGCTTTTATCCCATGGGATGCTTTTATTGAAAATAAATAAATAAATTTATAATTATTTAATAGGATCGTGAATGCCATTACTCTGCTTGAAATTATTTTTACATTTAATAGTTGTTTGGTAGAAATAAAAAAATAAAAATTGAAATTTGGCGTGGACTCAACTGCCCACCACTTCGCTAGGTCATAGTCCGGGATCCGAAAACCAGAGGAAGAATCTGGACCGTTGATTAAGCTGAATCAGCGAGATGAATGAAAGGCGGTGATATAGTGGGGTTATTTCCAGTCAACGTCATCTTCTCCAACTATAGAAGGCGCGTTTGTGCCGTCACCCCTCACCTAATTGAAAAACCTCTAACTACTGTACTCGATTCAATTTCACCTTCCATGTCTACTGTAATTTTATTTTATTTTTGTAATTTTATTTTGGATTTCCCAGCCGCTGCCCATTGTTTGGTTTGCTTTGCCTTGGTATTCACTCACTCATCACTGTACTTTTCCTCTTTCCCTCACTACCTTTGACAAATCTACACGCTACTACTTACTACCATCTATCCTTGTTTTCTCTAGAACTCGCCTTTTTGTCTCACCCCTATATATACCCTCGTTCGCTAATTTCGGCTTTTTCTTCACAGCCCATTTCGTATTTTTCCTCTAATTTCTCTCTCTTTCGGTGCGCCGTGGATCGAGGATTGGATCGGATTTCTGTAGAAAAAGTAGGGATTTTGGTTTGTTGTTTGAGGATATGGAAGGGAATCAGTCGTCGTTCTGGCAGTTCAGCGACAATCTCCGTTTGCAGACGAATACCCTAGCTAATCTGTCTCTCAACGATTCCATCTGGAGTACTAGCTACGCGGCGGCGAAGCGTCCCGCCGAGGAGCGACGGAATTTCGACTTTCGGAACGGTGGGGATGCGATGGCGGCGCCTTTCTCCGCCGCGTTGGTTAATGATCTGAAGCCGGAATTCGATCTAGGATTCAGCAACGATGTCTGGAAGGCTCCGATCAACGATGTTCTTAACGCTAATATCAATTACCCCGGGTTTGGATCGGATCCAGCTGGGCTCAACGGAGGGTTTAATAAAGGTATTTACTCCAGCCCTTCCTTAAACATGAATCGTTACAGCAAAGGCGGCGCTTTCGCCGGCAACGTCGCGGTGAACGGGAAGGTGGGCAGGAGTGGCAAAAATGAGGAATTTGGGGGTAAAATCGGGAAGAAGAATAAAGGGAATAAGGAGGCGAGCAACAAGGACGGTAATGGTAACAACAGCAACGGTAGCGGCGACAAGACGGCAGCGGACAAGAGATTCAAGACTCTGCCGCCGGCGGAAGCTCTGCCCAGAAACGAGACCATCGGAGGGTACATCTTTGTCTGCAACAATGATACCATGGCGGAGAATCTCAAGAGACAACTCTTTGGTATGTCTGGCTACCTCTTTTCGTCTGATTTTTAGCTTGATTTTGTTAACATATGGATAAATCTGCTCTTAGATACAGACGATCTATTAGAACATTGGTTACTGTCATGGTAGATGAATTATTAGCGATAAATTGGCTGTCATTTACAGATTTAAGATTTAAGATCTGAATCAATCTAAGACTCATGAGTTCAAACATTAAACATAGATTGTAAATGAACTGTTCAGGTTTACCTCCCCGCTACCGAGACTCTGTCCGAGCAATTACCCCAGGATTACCGCTGTTTCTTTACAACTATTCTACCCATCAGCTCCATGGGGTGTTTGAGGTACATGGTGTTACAACAATTGCCTTTGTATAATCATCTAGCTGATGGTTCTTGACTGTTAATGTTCATCATCCCTGCAGGCTGCAAGCTTTGGTGGGACTAACATCGACCCAACAGCTTGGGAGGACAAGAAAAACCCTGGCGAATCACGATTCCCAGCTCAGGTCTGTGATCAACTACAACATCATTTGTTGGCGAATTCGAGCTTTTGCTAAAGCTAAATCAATAATTTCTTTGTGTAGGTTCGTGTTGTAACAAGGAAGATCTGTGAGCCATTGGAGGAGGACTCTTTCAGGCCAATTCTTCACCACTACGATGGACCCAAATTTCGCCTCGAGCTGAACATCCCTGAGGTAATTGATCTGTTATGCTACGCCCACAATTGTTTGTATATAATCTATCATCAATGATGGCTAATCTGATCTGATTGTTGCAGGTTCTCTCCCTCTTGGATATCTTTGATGAGATCAGCACTTAAAGAGTGGCTCAGCAACATATATATATATATATATATATTTCATACCCAAAGAAAGAGTTGGGGAGGAGAGGAAGACTAAAGAATAGTTATAAGTTAATGGAACGAAGGGAAAGCATCCCTAGGTTAAGTGTTTATGTGTGTGTATGTGTAAATATGGAAGTCAGACAATGTAAGAGGAGGAGTATTGGGGCAATGAAGCCATTTTGATACTCCCCAGTTGTCTGCCTTCCTTTAGTGTTTACATGTTCAACTAGTAACTCTACTTTTATATTATATATATTATTATATACTCAAAAGGCCAGTTCAAACTATGGCTGCGGCAATATGTTTGTAATAAAATTCTATGTGAAGGTTGTAATAAGGGCTGTGTTGTGCTCATATGTGTGTGGTGATGAGACGAGATTAAGATGAATAACTTGAGTTAGAGTGAGCATCCTCAAATGTTTGTGTAGCAGCTTTCTTGAAAGTGATGCGATCTAATAAAACTAGGAATTAAGGCCACACCGACGATGATGATAATGATAATACATACAGTAGAAATCGAATCGAAGTGATTCCCATTTCTGAGTCCTGTCTGAAGTCTACACCTGTCTGTCTATTGGTGTCACGAATCTTGATACTGAATTGCCATGGTAATGCTTGCTGCCTGGCTTTTGTCTGCTCTTATTTTTATTTTTAACTTTTATCATGAAAATAAGTAGTGAGGACAAGGGCCATTAAGGTATTGATTAGGCCTTTTTTTTAAGGTGACTCAGGCAGTGGACGATGATTTTTAGGTGCCCACGCCCATGTGAGAAACTGAGCAACTGGTCAAGATAAGATCCGTACAGTACAGATACACCAACCAAATCAATATTTTTTCATGCCTTAGTGGCAAATGCTTGTTGGTCTCCACCATATTATAATAATATAAATTAAAATTTCAATATAGTCAAATAGCAACGTACGAGCCTTCATTTGCATATAAATGGTAATTGTTTATTTAAGATGCGGGTGAAATTTGGGATCATAGATCTAGAACAGTTTAATGCTTTCCATACCAAATTCTTGAATAAGAGTTTGGTCGGCAGGTTTACTTTTTCCATGAAATTTGGCAGTAAGGATTACGAGATATAACTAATCAATTATTATTATTTTCTTTTCCGAGTGGTGTAAATCTTTTCCGAAACTAATTTGGCTGTGATATCAAAATTTATCCATTTATTTTTGTTCTATAAATATAGATATATTTGTTTTAAGGTTTATCTCATCATTTTATTTTCTCCCATCTGTTTTTGTGAAAATTGTGGAAGAAAGGGACAAGCGTAATTTGAGGCTGAAGATGATGTATGTAACAGGTGTCCATTGCCCAATTAATGATATAGACGAAGGAGCGCGTCATAATAATTGACGTTACGCTTTAGGCGGTGTTGGTATACCTAAAATTAAATTTTAAATAAAAAAAATATCCTATAATTAATAAAAAATTATTTTATAGATATAATTTTCACAAAATATAAATATTATATGAAATATAATATTCTAAGGCAATAAGATGGAAAAATCAAACAAACACGGCCTCTTCCACTATAAAATCCATTGCTGCTGTAGTGCTGTGTTATTTATCCTACCAAAGAGGGAGCTATAAAGCAACAATAAAATTAAATTTACTATAAAAAAAATAAATAAATAAAAAATAAAAATTAAATTTACTCTGTCTTTGATTCATTCTATTGTTGGCATCCACAGTGATGCTCAAAAACAAATAGTCACTGTTTGCACTCTCATCACATTTACTTTCAGATCAACAACCAGTTCATCTATACAACAATCTGTCATACTCATACACCTACATTCATGGCTCCAACATTATCTACCCCCTCTCACTCAAAAACTTGTTTCTAAAAACTTTAATTCTATAGTTAGGAAACTAACCATAAAACAGAGGGATGAGCATGGTCATGCCACAGAAAATGAGAATTAAAGTCCATCCTCTATTCGACAGGAAAGCTGCGCCAGGGACTGGGGCACAGAAGAATCTGGCCACCCTTACCGAAATTATTTTGAGAATGGCGATGGATGTGAAGAGGAAGCTCAGTGTTACAAGAATGAGCTCTTTTGTTTCCAAATTTTCCTGTTCATGTAAAACCTTTTCCACCTCTGATCTGTAGAACAGGTGGAATGAGCAAGATGATGAAAAACCGAAGAGGAGAGCGAATGGGGTTCGAAACAATTATCTCAAAACTAGTACTGAGTCATCACACAATAATGAAAGCTTAAAATGTTCAAATATTTGTATGCTAATATAAATCCTTAAGCATTTTTGTATGGGGTGTTGCTGATGCCATTGAAAAAGTTTTGCATTGATTTTTAAAAGAAGATTTCAACAATCAAGCCATAATAAGTCACAATTGAGATTTGAGAGACAAAATTCTAAAACAATTTTTCACAACCAATGTAAAATAGTATGAGATGATTAGATGATACTGAAACACAAGTCCATATATACGTGGTATTCAACTGATGTTAGAGCAGACCTCAACATGATATTTTGGGTGACCAAGAGATCCATTTGTTTTGACACGACGTCCCTCCAAGACTCCAGCTCGAACACTTCTTTTTCCTGATAAAATTAACTGATTAGATAACAGAACACCTGATTTGAATGCAAATATCAAGAGCTGTTAAAATACCATAATCTCTCTCCATTCCAAGAGATCCTTTGTCTCTGATGAACTTTTCTCCAGAAAAGCAGAAAACTTCAACAGCTCCTTCTCAAGCTCCGGCAAAAAATCTCCACGTCTTTTGTTAATTTCTTTGATGTATTCCTCCAGCACAGATAAGTTTAGCTCGAGTGATCTGACCTTCTGTAACAGTACCTTTAGGGCCGCATCGGCATGCAATCTGCTATTTGGATGCTGTCTAGCATTCAGAGTTGGATCGGGGATGCTGCTCGTGGGTGCAGGCTTCTTTGGACTGTCTGAAGAAGGCTTCTGACCTTCATCAATGCTTCCGGCCCCCTTACTAACAGCTTCAACCAAATCATGAGCAACTTCATCAGGTTCAGTGTTATTGGAACCAGACTCGGGAAGAATCAATGGTGTTGCAGTCAAATTATGATTTTCCATTCCATTAGCTGAAGGTCCTCCAGAAGTAACCATAAGATCCTCAAGCATCTGTTCAATAGCATCAATTCCATATACCTCTATATGACTTAAGGTACAGTAGAATTCAGAACCATAATGACTCAGCAAATCGACTTTCAAGTATCGAACCCATTTCGGTTCAGGCAGTTTAAAGTATTGTGCATGCTTGACATTGACAGCAACAAATGACCCTAATGTATTCCATATCTTGGTCGGATAAATCATGCTCCCAGATAATTCAAAATCCTTAAAATTAGAGGAGTGAAGCTCAAAATTTGCAATTTTGATAGCATCAACCAAAGTTTCATCTGCAAGCTCAATGATGAAAAATTTCTCCTCGGCAGAACAAGGGTTCCTCAGATACTTGTCGTGATCCTTTCCAAGGATATTGCTTGCTCCCTTCGCTTCCTTATTATGAGCAACCACTTTTGCACCCTTTGAGGGTGAGGCATAGTTGTATGGCGTTCCATCAGGCTCCTGCCTGTGGGTGATGTTTACATGTTCACGAGGGATGCTGTTTTTCCCTTGCTTAGAAATATGTTTGAACTCATCAAGATTAGGATAACTCAAAAGAATTCGACCATTCTGCTGCTCAGTAGGTTCATATTCTCTGACAGCTTCTTGTGGCTTTAATCGACATATACATGAATCATAACCTAAGATAACTGATATCAGTTCATCCAATCCTCTTGTTTCCCTGATTGAGTATTCTACAATCCCTTGGCTACTGTGCAGCGTAGAGTCGTTACATAGGAGGGATGCATTTGGTTCCATTAGACCTCTGTTTGTTATAATTTCAGATCCATTTTTTAGCAGAGAAGCTGTATTGTTGAGTGGCTGATCATCATTCTTGGTAGTGTTGTGAATTAGCCCATTATAGACAGGCGAATCCCCTGAAATTTAATCTATTTAAGCTGTCAAAAAACCTTTTAACTATAATTGCAGCATATCAAGTTACTTATCAATCCAAGATTAACTGTTCCCTACAGTGCGCACATGTTCAATCCCCATTGATCTACAAACCTACTAAGCAATTCTAGTAGGGTGATTGTTCTTCTAAATTGCTTCATTGCTGATAATCATCCATAACAACAAGAGACAGGCCATAACTGAACATACTTTGCAATTCAAAGAAACTTGCTCTAAAAGGATGTTAATCAAACCAACTACAATATAAACCACAAAAACAAAAGTGGGAAGAGTGTAAATAAGTTAACAGCCAAACTGAAAATCGAAACTCCTTCCAAAGGAAGAAGGTGAATATAAACTTTACCAATTAATCAGAGAACCTAAAAATCTGGGCACTAGATAACGAAATGGCGTAAAATACCAAGAACAAAGCCCCCAAAAGTACGAAGAAACGGAATTCGTGTACCTTCATTTCCGCGCGAGAGACCAAATTTACCATAAAACAATAAAACAAAGCACCAAAGCGAGAAGAACAGGGAAAGAGACAGATCACAGAAGCTCCTCCTCGCAATCTTGGTATCAATATTAAGGGTCTCGACGATGTTCCTGCACAAATTGGGATTCACTTTCGCCGGCGGTGCATCTTTCCGCGGTTCCTTCATGGCTCATTGTCTTCTCTATCTGATCAGAGCTCCATAACCCTAAATCCCAACTCTCGAAATCATATTGCTGCAAAGAGCGCGAGTACTCCTACTGTACGTAATCCGGAACAAATCGTCCAGAGAAATCAGAAACGCCCTTCTTCTTTTCTCGTGGGTGTGTGTTTGGTGATGCGATGCGATGGGATGCGAGAGTGCACACACCAACACAATAGAGTGTTTCGTGGCAAACAATTTCCCACCATTCCACAGCGAGCGGAAAGCTTGGCAATTACTCCCTGCACCTCGGTGCATTGCACCACACTCGCATTCTACCGTCCAAACCCTTTTTCACCTTCTTATCCTGAACGTTGATATCTTGATAAAACCATTTGCTTTCTAATTGCCTATTAATGTCCATTAAATTTATTTAGGAACACACCCAAAAAAAAAAAAAAAAAAATTCAAAATTTTAATATTATATAGTAAAATGTTATTTTGACCCATCAATATTCAAATTGCTTCAAAGTTATCAAAATTCAATAGATCCAATAAGTCCAAACCAAAGTAGGCCAAATTATTTTGATCCAAGCTGTGTGAAAACCGGTATGGATTTTTTTATTGGGCTCCGCCTATGAGCCCAGTCAAACCCTTGGCCTTCCACGTCATCCATTTACAATATATAGAAGTAAACTACAGGGAAGTGTTCCCAAAACTCAAAACCCTAAACTTTGGATTATGTATTTTTTTCACAAAATATTTTAATATACATTAATTTAATATAAAATTTAAATAAAAAATATTCAAATCAAATAAAAAAGAACCACACACTTAAATAATATAGTATTTGATGTAACTATAAAAAAAAAAAAACACCATATCATACATAGTCATAATTAATATTACCCTATTCCAACATATGGAATATCAATCACATAGAAGTCTTATTATTATTCCCTGCAGGTAGATTGTTTATTCTTCTTCATGGAATCAAAGTCCTGTCGAACAAATTCAGTGCCTTGAGAATAGATTTCCATTCCACAACTATCATCAATCTCTAGATTTTGGAAAAAGCTTTTTACCCAAGCTTTGCATGCAAGATGTAACTTTACATTATGCTAAATTTTCAAAAGAATATCTTCCCAGCACAATTCCGAAAATCTAATTCCAATTTATTCTTATTTTCTTAAAAAGTTGTGGCACATCAAACCATCATCCTAGGTTGGTTGCAAGAGTTTGATCTTGCAATAGCTAAGTTGGCAGAAAGCTTCTTTTGTTGTTATTTTTAAATTTGCATGCCTATAGAGACTTGTTTCTGCATTTACACATGAACACAATCTAACTATCGATCGATCGATCGACGATGGGGTGCTTTGGCTCGAAACAGCAACGTATATTTGAAGATCCATCCCTACTCTCAGCTCAAACAATATGTATACATTCTAATTGAGTTTTAGCTATCGAATTGCTTTTGCTCTATCGATAACGTGCTTATTTATAGCTTGCGTTTCTTGTGCAGTTACTGTCAATGAGATTAAGGCGTTGAACGAGGTGTTTAGGAAGCTCGGCAGCACTTTAGTCGACGATGGTTTCATTAACAGAGTAAGTTATAACTTTCTAGTTACCATTGAAGTAAAATATTGGATCTGTAGTTGATGAGAATTCGATTTCAGGAGGAGTTCAAGCTTGGATTGTTTATGAACAGCAAGCAGCAGTCTCTTTTCGGGGATAGGGTGAGACTTAAACTGTTTGGTATGATGGATAGTTTGTTATCATGATCTGCTATTGCTTGTGTTTCGACAGATGTTCGATATGTTCGATTTGAAACACGATGGAGTGATCGATTTCGGGGAGTTTGTTAAAACACTAAGTGTATTTCACCCAGATGCACCTCAGGCTGAGAAAGTTATTTGTGAGCATCGATCTTTCAAAATGTTGAATTTCATGTAATATCATTGCAAAAGAACTTATGTTTCGAATTAATCTAACAGTTGCATTCAAGCTCTATGACATATGGCAGAATGGATTCATTGAGAAACAAGAGGTAATGAGACGAGTTTCTTCTGCAACACAACTTTAGGATTAATTGTTCCATTACAAACACTGTCTTTGTCCATTTGGTTTCCCTGTAAGGTGAAAGAGATGATTGTGGAGTTGCTCCACGAGTCGAACCTAATCGTAGCCGATGATATTATTGAAGTAATGGTAGAGAAGGTATGATGATACTTGCAACCAAATCCTAATTGATGATCAACATGATCCACATCTTGTCTTAACTTAAAATATGTGATTTTGTTCACCTGGAGACTTTTGAGGAAGCGGATTTAGGAAAGGACGGGAAGATCGACATCGAAGAGTGGAAGGATTTGGCTGCTCGGAAACCATCTGTGTTGAGGAACATGACGATTCCTCACTTGAGGTAACTTCTTATAACTCTGCACCATATCGAATTCACTTTCGGGTTTCGAAAACCATATTTTTGTGTATCAGGGACATGACAACATTTCCAAGCTTCTGCAGGAGATAAGAGAAAGAAGAGATTAGGTTAGAAGCGTAGAATCTGATGAGATATTTGAGATATTTCAATCTCTATGGACAATTTTAATAAACTAATACAAAGAGTGAGTTACCATCATCTATATGTGTAAATCTTGGAATCCAAGTGCAGATCAGGTCTCCACCATTGATTGATGCTATGAGCATCTTTGAAGCATCGTGCTCGGCCACGGTTCACCGTCAGGTTAGCCGATGGAATAAGATGCAGTGGCTCTTCAACCGGCTGCCCCACTGCGTTCAATAAAAGTGCGCCGATCGAGTGTTGTGTCGCCAGTCTTTCAATCCCTCCTGCTCCGATGTCCTCCATCCGTTTCCGGTGTTCAAAGTAGCCAATGTACTCCGAGCAGATGTGATCTGCCCGGTTCACAAATAGACATGGCGTCCATGCGGATAAGGACACGAAAGAATCGTCTAACCGATTAGATTGGCTACTTTTCTTTACAGCAAGAGCAAGTCCAGCAGTGATCACACTGCCAGCAATTCGAATCCCGCGCTTCACATTCTTGTTCTTGATTCGCTCGATGGGAGGCGAGAAGAATGGCGGGTTAAACAAGTAGGATTCAAGAAACGCTCCCGTCTTCGCTATATGCTTCCCCGCGAGCATTGCCATGGCAGATCCAAGGGAATGACCAGCCAACCAGACATTGGAGCTACCAAAGGTTGCAACAACATGCCTGACAGCTTGTATCGCCATCTCGAATCGAGATGTCTGGTGCAGCCCGTTTCTAATCAAGTGGATGTTGAGTTCGATGTCCCGCGAGAATGCATCTCCACTGATGATTGTGCCCCGAAAAGCAACAACATATCGAGGAGCCTGATGAGCTGAATTGTTGACATTCGATGGTGAGGCCGTGTATTGGTAAATGGCACCGAACAAGCAGGAATCAGCTTCATCATCGACGAGTAACTTGTATGGTTGAAAATTAAAAGCCTCCCACCAAGGAGGAGCAAGGGCAGCTTGATTCCAATCTCTCCTTTCCTGCCTGTCTTTCTCCAACACATAGACACCCTTCACCAAACAAGCTGCAACAGATCTTCTGTGCTCGGAATTCGACCTGGAAACAGAGGTGAAGAATTTATAGCACATTCCTGTGGTTCATTCACCATTACATGCCTCAACGCCACAAATTGTTCTGAATGAAGCAGATAATACAAAATAAAGATTACATAAAAACATGACAGGAAATTAGGTCAAGCAGGCGTATGCATACAACAAACAGAATCAGTCATTGTGCATCACAAATCCAACTAGGTCTTGGTTAAAAGACACGATGTTTTACTGAGAGTCTAAAACAACCTAGGCATAGTGCGAGGGCTCACCAGTCGACTGCAGCCAAGTGCGAAGGTCCTGAGAGGTAAAAATTATCCCTGTCTGATGCCATGGGCGAGGGCACGGTAAAGTTCAGGGCCTTAGTTCTCCGACGCCGTGCTTGATTTCTTATCACCGCCACATTCTCTATTCTCCTGGAATCTACAGTGTTAGAAGACGACACCAAACAATCGTTACAAAAAACCAGAAATTGAGATCCAATTCAGTGTAAAAACTATACAACCAAAAGCAGAAGACGCAATTCGCGTTTGGCGAATCAGAAAAGTCCTACATTTAAATCAAAATAAATTACAGAAAAAAAAAAACGGAAATAAAAAAGTAGCGAGTAAGAGTGAGAATTATCGAAACCTGAGAAGGTTGAAGCAGCAGCAGCAGCAGCAGCAGAAGATACTGCGAGTAATGAGAATGGAGACAGCTTTGAGAGCCTGTGCTGTGCGACATTCATTCGATTCAAGAGACAGTCGGTGGTATGGATGAATGAATGACTGGTTGGTTGGGAGTTGTAACGTCATCTCTTTCTTTAATTTAGCATACCAGTAACAAAGACGCTTTCTGTTAGTATTATTTTTATTTAAAAATATATATATATATTTCTATTAGAAATAAAATTAAATAAAAATATATAATCTTTTTTTTTTAATTCATATCTTTACAAAATCAACAATAATGGCTGAATGTAACGGTCCGTAATCTGAACCAACATGGCCGTGTTTTAGCAGCTGACACCGAAATATCATAGACAATACGGCCGTGTTCAAAAGAAGTACTCCACAAAACAAAACTAAAACGGGTGCTCGAACAAATTAGCCAATAAATAGAAGTCGCGGTTTCGTTTGGATGGCCCAAATGAAGAGAATAAATCTTATGCATAGGCCCAACCGACTCAGCCCATGCAGTGGTATAGAGGGAAATAAATAGAAGTGGGGTTTCAAACAGAAGCGTTTCTCAAAGAAGTTGAAACCCGACTTTACAGGAAACGAAAATCGACGACGATCCTATCGCTACAGGATTTTGAGAATATGCCGCCGTCTCTGCCAAGGCTCCCGTTTTCGAGATTCTTCAGGTTCTCGATTTCAGTATTCTAGTCAGGATTATGATTTTATGTGGCTTCTTTCTTTTTCTTTTCTTGCTTGTTGTCGATTAAGGATTGACATGGGTGAAAAAGGTTATAAAATAAGCTTAATTGATCCGAAATTACTTTATAACTGCACTCTGTTTGATAAATTACTGTGTTTAATGAATCACTTATTTGATAAAGGACCATTTTTTCTAGATTTGGGGCTGGTAAAATGATTGGATGATTGTGATGAAATCGGTGACATGCATGTTTGATTCTTTGGAAAGCTTTTATGTTTTTGGCCAAGTTAGTTCAAGTTAACATACAGGAGGAATTCCGCAGTGACATTGTATGTTTTCCCTCCACATTTCTACTGCTGTTAAATTATGTGTTAATAATTGCCACAGTTTCCTTCCTTCCTTCCATTAAATGCTCTATCAAATGGTGCGATGAATCTAGCTAAGCCAACTATGCTGTTTCTTCTTTTTCTTAGGCAGCTGGAGCAGGATATGGAAACTGTTGTCAAGGTACTGCAACCTGGACCGTTGGGAATCATACAACACAAGTTTACACCAGAGGAGATCAAAATGGCCAATGCAACAGTAGCAAAAGCAGTAGAGAATTGGCAAAGGGCAATTGCTGCTTGCGGCGAGCAGGATAGCCCTACGCTGGAAGGTTTTATAGACAAACAGAGATTTCCTGCATCAACCAATATGAATTAGAGTCATGTGGGAGGTATAATTTTGCTGTTGATGGTCAACTTTAGATGTATAAAGGTTGGGAATTTAGGTGGTAGAGAAAAATCGTATATGAGAATCTTGTGGTTTGAGGGATTTAAAAGCTGTTGAAACTCCTGATTCTTGATGAATGCAGAATAATGTTTACTAGTTGCAGAGCTAACGAAGATAGAACATGCTGATTGTATGTATGCCACTACTTTTTAAGAATTTGGTTTGAAAATAGATGGCGCACTGAACTGAATATTTTGAGACTGCTATCAATAATTTTCATATATACTTTCTTCTCATCTATTATTTCATGTTTGCTAAAACTGGTTTACTGCTTGCAGTTCACCTCAATGGATATTGGTGTGCTCTTTGTATTGTATCTCTTGGGATATACAATTTGTTGATGCAGTTTTTTTCTCTCTGCACCAGCAAATTATTCCACTAGTTTTGAGTTCATTTGGGGTGCAAAATAGCAGAGTTTCATATTGTCTGTAAAGCACTTTATAACACTGCTACAGTGAGGGGAAGTCCTAGTGAAAATTTTCATGAAATATCCTATGAAACTGCTGGATTAGTTGTCTTGATCTTGGGGAGTTTAAGAGTATATGGATTGCATAAAAATTGACCCTGCCCATATTGAGATATGAATACATTAGATAATAAATTTCCATATTTTCTGGTTTCTGATTGGGACAAATTCCATATAAATAACTTTCCTTCTACTCTTATTAAAGGCCAAAGCTTTTATGGAGTTTGCTCTGTACTCTATTGATTATTTAGTTAGCACAGCATGATTTGTACATAACTTCCAACACCTTTTCGGTTGAGCTTGCCACACAGGTAGCTTTCCCTTGCGCACCAGGGCCCGAGGCTCCAAAAATATAAGATATAATACATTGATAATTGATATGTGTGTTTATGTGTGTGGAAATAAGTTTTTCTTCTAAATTGCCATATGCTGGTAATGATTTTGATGGAGAAACTGTGGAGGATAGGAGAATGGCATATAACTCAAATAAAGTCACCCTTCCGGATCAAATGGAAAGGATGGCCATGAGAAAAACATAAGTACAGAGTTTTTGCCCAAATAATCTCCATGGACAGGCCACAAAGTTAGTACAGACATATTAAATTACAGATCAAGATTGCTGGGGCATAAGTACAAAAGCGTCTCAACTGTCTTAGGCATTTTATTGATTTCTTTGTGTAGCAAAAGTGCTAATACCATGGAACTTAAAAATAAACTCTTCCTAAGACATTAGAATGCCAAAGCAGAGAGTACTGTTACATGTAATTAAGCGATACAATTTAGTGGTGGAACAGACTCCTTACACATATCACTTAGTTTCATAGCCAAAAGGGTTCTTGCTCGCCCAGTTCCATTGGTCCCGACACATCTCAGCTATGCTGTATTTGGCCCTTCAAACAAACACAAAAAATGTAACCGGATTACGACTACAGTGATTCTTGAATGCTTGCGAAATAATGGACACAAACACATACAATCGTGTATATATATATATATACAGAGGGGGAAAAGAAATTACAGAGAGCATATATGTAATATTTCAATAACAGCAACCGAATTAATGCTACAACTAGGCCAGCAAAAAAATTTTCATTGATACTTACTTCCATTTCAACTCGCGCTCAGCTTTCTTTGTTTCTGCATACACCACCTCGGCATCACCAGGCCGCCGATCAGCCATCACCAAAGGAATTTTCTAAACCAGTAAAGAAGAAGGTAATCACATAAACAAATGAATCTTTTCAGACAAAATTTACAGCTGCCGCCATTTTTTTTTTTTTTTGTTATATGAGAAATTGGAGTATAAAATACATGCTGGTCTGAAGTGATGCGAATACTGTAATCAACAGCTTACCTTTCCCGCTGCGTTCTCAAATGCAGTTACCATTTCCAATACAGATGTACCCTTCCCTGTCCCAAGATTGTACACCTCACACCCTGCAGTTTACACATACCCACAAAGTATAAGCTAAAAAATGAAGTTAATCACTTCAACAAATACAAAAGTCACTCTCTATGTGATCTCAACATGGAAATTTATCATTCATCCAATGCAGTGGTACATAAAATATCATAGGCATGTTGAAATGTGGTAACAAATAATTGCTTCCAAGTGGCAAAACAGAGATATATAACTGTTACAAGATTCCTGTAATAAACTGCAATGCAGAAATCATGTAACTGAGGCTTGCAGAGCGCCAAGTTAATGATAGTTGGAACACTAATGACTGAGGAAACTGATAAATGGTGAACAGAAGTTTGGGCAAGGATATATCCCACTTGCAGTTCATACCTACAGAAGGATCAGAGAGCTTGGTCAAAGCAGCAATGTGACCATCAGCTAAATCCACGACATGAATATAATCACGCACCTGAAATGATCGATATTAGCCACAAATATAATATGTAAAAGGATCTACTGAGATTGTACTGTGTTGTACAATAGGTTCACCACACTTGGCTGTTATCTAATAGAAGTATAACTGAGGAAAAAGCTAAACATTGTTGAATATACTGAAGCATGTGGACATAATATATTTAATGTAAAGAGACAGTCTGCAAAATTGAGTTGAAAGAATTCCTAAGAGTAATTACTAAGCACATATACATATATATGTATTATATATTTAGTTCTGCCACACATCGAGATACTCACCCCAGTCCCATCCTTCGTTCCATAATCAGTTCCGAAAACTGTCAGTGCAGGCCTCCTTCCAACTGCCACTTGTTGTACAAATGGCATAAGATTGTTCGGAATTCCTCGCGGGTCCTCTCCAATAAAGCCACTAGGATGTGCCCCAACTGGGTTGAAGTACCTCAGTAAAATGATTTTCCATGTTTTGTCGGATTGATAAAGATCACGACAGATTTCTTCAATGAAAAGCTGGAAACAATTATTTTGTTAAGTGATCTTCCCCACTAATGTGATGTTAATATCTCATAAAAAGCAATCAAATGAGAGAAAGCAAAAAGTTACAGGACAACAGGGCTTGTCATCAGTATGATTTTCTCATATTAATAATGAACATTTTTATCAAAAGGTTTGATTATAATTGACTTAGAAAGTACCTTTGTGCGCCCATAGGGATTCATTGCCGAAATGGGGAATTCCTCTGTACAGGGAACCACTTTGGGCCAACCATAGACAGTAGCTGAAGATGAGAACACAAGCTGAAATTCAAGAATGTGAAATCAGTTCAAATGAGATTATACATCAAGATATACATATATAGAAGTATGCAGCAAAAATCAGGATAGCTACTTTTTTACATCCATGGGCAGCCATAACTTCCAGGAGTGTGATTGTGCCAATAAGGTTATTGTTGTAATACATCAATGGTTTCTGCACACTTTCACCAACTGCTTTCAATCCAGCAAAATGGATAACAGCTTCAAACCTGTATAAATACAAAACACATGATGTCAGCATGCTGATATTAGATAAAGGCATCCAGAGAGTCTCATTAATCGATGTGTATGTGTGTTCAAATTACTGTCAGTTAAAAAAAATGTAACAAACAGATCATTTCAATGAGGATGCTAACACTCTTGACATAAATTTTAGGTGTTATCATTTGTGTGTGAAGGAAATAAGAAATAAACAAATCAAGACTGAATCACTTTACTCCGCATGAGGATGTGCAAATCTGAATCATTGGTAATTTGTATTTTTCTAAATATGAAATATTTCAGTCTTGCCATAGTTACGCATTCAAACAATTAGAGCAAGAAACTAATTGTATATAACATGTCACTATCATTACAACAACAAATAAAAAAACCATCAGTTCTCCAATTTACTTTGCTTTATTTTTCAGGAAATCCAGAATATCTAGCAAGCATAAAGAAACATACGTATTGTGAGGTGGAGACTTGAGAACCATCATACAGAAGAAATAAAAACTTACTTTTGAGAAGCAAACAGCTTCTCAAGTGCAGCTTTATCCCGAAGATCTATCTGCAGATGACAACAAGGAACTGAAAATGAGCTTTAAAACATCTTCATGGAGAAAAAAAAAAATCACAATGCTTACTACAAGATACAAACACACCATGAGCTGAAATGAAACCTTTTCACTTTAAACTAGCAAAGTAATGAATATGTAAATAGATGGAAAACAGGAGAAGCATGCTAAAGAATTTAAAGAAACTTATTATATAGATTACATACTCTTCAGTTCATAGTAAAAGGGAATGAGGAAACAATGAAATAATGAAAACATTAAAGAAAACAATGATCGGCTATAGAAGTTATTAGCCCACTAGCAGAAGCTGGGATAAAGGCTCCATTTAGTGCATTCAAGCACTCCATATTAGTTTAGGATATACTATTTGAATATTGGATATCAAAGCTTTGAACCATGAATATCATCAGTAGCAACCAATTTTTTCGAAAAATACAATATTAATAGGGCCACCAACAAACAATCGAATAGTTCCCTAAATCAGATGACTCCACAAATCCGTACAAGCCATACTTAGCAAAATTAAATATTCACCTCAAGAAAGCTAAGTAAATCAACAACAAACTCAACTCAAGCATCGACACTACATAGTCAGAGATGCCAAAAACAACACCAGAGATCAAATCACACACAGCAGTAAGGCGATACAGTACATAAATACGGCACGATGCTTGTAAAAAACATTACGAAACCTTATGAAAAGCAAGATTGGAGCCATGCTTCCCCGCGAGCTCCTGGACCCTCTTGAGAGCAATTTCGGATGAATTGTCCAAATTGTCGACGACGACAGCCTTGTAGCCTCCAAGCAGTAACTGCAGCACCGTGTGACTCCCGATATAACCCGCGCCACCAGTCACAAGTACACTCGACGGCATGGTTCCGACGATCCCCAATCCTTATCAAAAAGTTTCTGTATAAGAGAAATTAAGACTGCCTCGGATCACGTCCCGCATCTAATTTATATACACGGAGGCAGGGGCTGCAACGAGCGATCAACTGATAGTGGGGACACAATTTTATACGGTTATTCATCCATCCATATCAGAGCACACCTTTAATATTCGGGATGGGGGCGGCGGAACGGAATCTATTGAAAACTATATTTATGGAGAAATTTGGGATGGGTCACGCTGTCGTCTTCTTGTCGATGGATTCCTGAAAACGATTAAAAGGGTGGGTAGAACAAATTGGGAATTCTTGATTTGCTTCTAGGTTTTTGGCTTCTAGCCTCCTTTATTTCTTCTTTTTTAATTTTTTTTTCAAAAGTTTTTTTATTTTTTTTAGTAGAACTCCCTTTTTCTTTATTCAAAGGTGGGAGTTTTTAGTCGTATTTGTATTTATTATCTAGGGAATGAATCTTGGGTAATAACATTAATTACTGGATGATTCATCGTACATTTAAGATTGGATTAAATTGAAAGAAGATGCTTCCAAGAAGAGCTCTTTATTCCAAAGGCATTGTAAGTTAAAGCCATAAAAAAAGGCAGCTTTATTCCAGTATGGAATTATAGAAGCAAAAATTGAAGAATTTTGGAGGTGCGGGGAATCGAACCCCGTGCCTCTCGCATGCGAAGCGAGCGCTCTACCATATGAGCTACACCCCCAATTGATGTTTATTTAAAAGATATATTTTAATTTACCTATTTTTTAATATTTTAAAAGTAATGAAAAGTTTTATAAATATATATTTTATATAATTTTTTTTTAAGAAAATATGAATGCAAATAGACCCTGAGTTGTACTAAATATTTATAATCTAAGTAGGATAAAAGAAAAAGCCAAAATAATGGAAATATACATACACTTGTGTGTGTATATATATATATAATGGAAATGAAACAAATAAGAGGGTGGCCATTTTAGATTGTTATAACATCATTCATTATGCCATGACTTAAGATGATAACTGTTGGTTTATTTGCCTAATAGATGATGAATGAAGTTCATTGCACCCAACCGAAAAAAGTGGTCGGGTAGTATAGGAGTTGAATTTGTGACCGTGATGTCATGGGTTTCAAATCCCCAATTCGACTTTTCCGTCGAGTCCAAACTTGAAATATTGATTTAATAGTAAATAAATACGAGTCAATTTTTTTTTTTGACTCAAACTGTTAAAAACAAATATGTATACAATAGTTTATGAGAAATATCACTCTTTTTTTTTTCTTTTTTTTTTTTTTTTATTTGAAGAAGTCATCTATTGCACCAAGTAATATGTAAATTTGGATGCCCATTAATTTTGATACTAGACTTTTTTATAAGGGTGTGTTTGTTTGAAGGATTTGTAAAGATTTTTACTATTCATCTCATTTTTTTCCCCCAAAAATATCAAATCAAACACCTATTTTTCATTTTTTATATTATACTAAAAATCAATTTTACATTCAAAACATCACATCAACACCTATTTATATCACATCATACAACTATTCAATAAACACACAATGGTATAATAGCATAGGTCAAAAAGTAAAGATAGCCTGACTCGATTGCCTCGGCACAATAGTCAAACAATAGCAATAGATTTTGCTAAATTATATCAGAAGAAAAACATACTAGTAGCTTGAAATGCGTACACATTTTTTTAATGATTTAAATTTTGTATTGCTATCATATATATTATATCTTATAAACACGAGTTTGTACGGATCTGCCACTTGAAAAGTCTATCCTGCCCCTCATTTCGAAAATGACAATTTAGTCCTTAACCTATCTTTGTACTGGCTTGAAAAGACGAGATTGTACGGATCTGCCACTTGAAAAGTCTATCCAGCCCCTCATTTCGAAAATGACAATTTAGCCCTTAATCTACCTTTGTACTGGCTTGAAAAGACGTTTTGGAACCGTCGCCAGCAACCACCGTCAACCGCCCAAGACGAAACGTTTTGAAACATCGTCTGGTCAGTTACATCAACCACCTCGCCAAATGCCTCAACCATTTCCAGAACTCAAATAGCCCAACCGACCAATCCAGAGACCAATCGCTACACCAAATGACTTCTTGGCCGCACCAACCAAGCGACCTGTCTATCCGCCTGCGGACCAGCTGACTTGCCTATCCGACCGCAGACCAGCCGACCTACTTTATCCGACCGCAGACCATCAGACCTGTCTGTCCGACCTGCTGACCATCAGACTTGTCTGTCCGACCGCTAACTATCTGACCGAGGACCAACCGACCATACCAACTGACCGAGGACCTTCCGACCTGCCAATCCGACCGCTAACCAACCGACCTGATCATCAGACCGAGGACCAACCGACCAGACCAACAGACCAGACCAACCGACCAGACCAACCGACCGAGGATCTTCCGACCTGCCTATCTTACTGCTAACCAACGCACCTGACCATCCGACCGAGGACCAACCGACCTGAACGCAATTTTTTTTTCCTTTTCCACCCGACTTCGTGTCTATCTTCCTTTAAGATCCTGCTATCCTTATTATTATTATTTTTTGTGCATAACAATTATCAAAGTTAAAATATCCTTACTATTTTTGACATTTCAAAACTCATAAAGAGATGCAGGGTCACCCTTCTTATCTCAAACATTTCATCTATATTCTCCTCTATTTTATTTTTTATTGTTGTTGATGCAATTTTTCAACAATAAAAAATAAAATATGAAAATAAAGTGTTGATGTATTTTTTCAACAGACAAAAAGTAAAATTCAAAGATATGGAAAATATCCTTAAATTTGATTAATTAGCGCCTGAGATTAGGAATTTCTAATTCCTCCTTTATTGACACGTGCCTTGCACCGTCTCGCCAAACGCTTCCACCAGTTCTCAAACTCAACTTGCCCGACCGACCATTTCAGAGACCAATTGCTAGACCAGCCGACCTGCTGACCATCAGATCTGTCTGTCCGACCTGCTGACCATCCGTCTGTCCGACCTGCTGACCATTAGACCTGCAGACTTCCCGACCTAAGGACTTCCCGACCTGACCACTTTTCGTCTTGACGACTTCCCGACCTAAGGACTTCCCGACCTGACCACTTTTCGTCTTGACGACCTCCCGACCTAAGGACTTCCCGACCTAACCACTTTTCGTCTTGACGACCTCCCGACCTAAGGACTTCCCGACCTGACCACTTTTCGTCTTGACGACCTCCCGACCTGAGGACTTCCCGACCTAAGGACTTCCCGACCTGACCACTTTCCGTCTTGAGGACCTCCCGACCTGAGGACTTCCCGACCTAAGGACTTCCCGTCCTGACCACTTTCTGTCTTGAGGACCTCCCGACCTGAGGACTTCCCGACCTGACCACTTTCCGTCTTGAGGAACTCCCGACCTGAGGACTTCCCGACCTGACCACTTTCCGTCTTGAGGACCTCCCGACCTGAGGACTTTCCAACCTGACCAACCGACCTGAGTGCAAATTTTTCTACTTTTCTGCCCGACTTCGGGTCCTACCTTCGTTCAAGACCCTGCTACCATTATTTTTATTATTATTATTATTTTTGTACGTAACACCTTAAATTTGATTTTTTAGCGTCTGAGATTATGAATCTCTAAACACTGTACGGTACATAAAAGGAAATTGATTGGAAAATTAAAATGCTGAAAATTTAAAGTGGTGATCCCCAAATCTGACTTTGCTTTGTTGAAGTTGATTGAAGATGCTTGAAAATAAAAAATCTAAATCCTTAAATATTACTTGAATAGACGTTTTGGAACCGTCGCCAACAACCGCCGTCAACCACCCAAGACGAAACGCTTTGAAACATCGTCTGGTCGGTTACATCAACTGCCCACTAATTCCTCCTTTATTGACACGTGTCTTGCACCGTCTCGCCAAACGTTTCCACCAGTTCCAGAACTCAACTGGCCCGACCGACCATTCAAGAGACCAATTGCTAGACCAGCCGACCTACTTTATCCGACCGCAAACCATCAGACTTGTTTGTCCGACTTGCTGACCATCGCACCTGTCTGTCCGACCTGCTGACCATCAAACCTGTCTGTCCGACCTGCTGACCATCCGACCTGTCTGTCCGACCTGCTGACCATCAGAACTGCAGACTTTCCGACCTATGGACCATCCGACCCGCTAACCAACCGACCTGACTACCCGACCGCAGACCTTCCGACTTGTCTGTCCGCCCTGCTGACCATCAGACCTGTCTGTCCGACCTACTGACCATCAGACCTACAAACTTTCCGACCCGCTAACCAACCGACCTGACTAACCGACTTGAGGACTTTCCTTCCTGATGACTTTCCATCTTGAGGACCTCCCGACCTGACCAACCGACCTGAGCGCAAATTTTTCTACTTTTTTACCCGACTTCGGGTCCTACCTTCCTTCAAGACACTGCTACCATTATTATTATTATTATTATTTTTGTACGTAACAAGACCTTATGTATTAGTTGATTTGGGTATTAAAACTTGTATGTTGTTATAGACGAGATTGTATGGATTTGTCACTTGAAAAGTCTATCATGCCCCTCATTTCGAAAATGACAATTTAGCTCTTACCCTACCTTTGTACTGGCTTGAAAAGACGTTTTGGAACCGTCGCCAGCAACCGCCGTCAACCGCCCAAGACGAAACATTTTGAAACGTTGTCTGGTCGGTTACATCAACCGCCTCGCCAAACGCCTCCACCAGTTCCAGAACTCAAATAGCCCAACCGACCAATCCAGAGACCAATCGCTAGACCAAAAGACTCCTTGGCCACACCCACCAAGCAACCTGTCTATCCACCTGCGGACTAGATGACTTGCCTATCCGACCGCAGACCAGCCGACCTACTTTATCCGACCGCAGACCATCAGACCTGTCTGTCCGATCTGGTGACCATCAGACCTGTCTGTCCGACCGCTAACCATCCGACCGAGGACCAACCGACCAGACCAACCGACCGAGGACCTTCCGACCTGCCCATCCATTCGCTAACCAACCGACCTGATCATCCGGCCGAGGACCAACCGACCAGACCAACCGACTAAGGACCTTCCGACCTGCCTATCCGACCGCTAACCAACCGACCAGACCAACCGACCAAACCAAACGACCTGACCCACCGACCTGAGCGCAAATAATTCGATTACATTTTTGTTTTACAATTTATATTTCAAATAAATAATGTTTCACTATATTACATTATAGAATAGTCGCGCGGTATACCGTGCACGAGCGTGTTCTAGTATATATATATATAACAGTTTAATGCAGATTCACTTTTTACAATATTTCTCAAATGCTGCAATCTCAGAATTTTGAGATTTTTTTATTTTTTAATTTGATTTTTTCTTTTACAATTTTTTACATGAGATACAGTTTGCAAGTTGATTATTTTTTTTTTACAGTTTTTTACATAAGATACAGTTTGGAAGTTTATTTTTAAGTGGATGAGTTTTTCAACGAGTAGTTTTTATAAGTTTTTATAGTGAAGTTATATATGAAATTTTATCTCTTTGTATTAGAAAAAAAAATTACCACAAAGAGAAGAAGATCTTCAGGCAAGTTGTTACAAAATGTTGTTCTTTTTCTAAAATTTAAATTATGATAGAAGTCAGAAACTTTCACTTCTTACTCAAGTTCTTATATTCATTTTTATTAATTATATTTTTTGAATTTTTGTATATATTTTTAGCCCTGCTTTATTTTTAGAAAAGATTCTCACCAGGAGAAGAAGATTCTTGAGGCAAGTTTTATAGGATATTGTTTTTTTTTAAAATTTAATATATGGCAGAAGTCCGGAAACTTTTACTTCTTCTTCAAGTTCTTATATTTTTCTGTTATTTCATTATATTCATTTATATTAATTATATTTTTTGAATTTTTGTATAATTTTTTTATCCCTGACAAAACTTCTCTACGGAAAATATTGCCACCGGAACATAAGCATAAGTCCGTATTCTTGAAGTAAATTTTTAAAGTAAATTTTTGAATTAATCTGAGTTTTTAAATAAATTTTTCTAGATGAATTATCAAATAAATTTTTGAATAATTTAAGTTTTTCAATAAATTTTTATGGATGAATTATCCAAATTTTTGTATAATTTAAGTTTTTCAATAAATTTAGATTTATCTTTATATTCAATCAAAAATAAATTCTAAACTCGTCTTCTTGAATAAATTTTTGAATAAATTTAAATTTTTAAATAAATTTTACATAGTGTTTTTTTTTTTAATTTAATCAAATTTTTATATTTTTCTATTATTTGATTCATATTTATTTTTATTAATTATATTTTTTTAATTATTGTACTCTCTGTCCCATAGTATCCATTTTTTATTTTAGACTGAACTATAATATTACAAATACCCTTATATATTACACTACACAAATGCCATTACCGAAAAATTGCCACTGCTCTCCGTCTTACACGGTTGTGTGTTTTTTTTTTTTTTAATTTAATTTTTACTTATTTGTCAAGTTGTTATATTTTCCTGTTATTTCAATATATTCATTTATATTAATTATAATTTTTTTTGAATTTTTGTAGAATTTTCTAGCCCTGTTTTTTTAATGGTATAAGACAATTTTTTTACTTATCTTCATATTCAGTCAAAAATAATTGGTAGTCCGTCTTCTTGAAAGTTATTGAATAAATTTAAGTTTTTCAATAATTTTTATATGGTGTGTTCTTTTTTTTTTTTTTAATTTAATTTTTACTTTTTTCTCAAATTCTTATATTTTTCTAGATAAAATTTTTTTATTGGAAAAGCTTGCCAAGCAAAAGTCCGTGAATTTTGGATAAATTTAAGTTTTATTTGATTACACACTTTAATCTCATTTTAAACTTTTAGAATAATTATTTTTACTAATACATTTTTAATTATTCTATTCAACGTTATGTGTAATTTGTTCACTGCAATAGTACTTTTGGCAGTATAATGATGACAAAATAGCTGATTAATTAAAAATCTATTATATAAGATAGATTTTAAATAGTGTATTTCAATACAGCAATTTACCAGTAAATATTTTTTTAAAATCCGTCTACCGAACACACCCGAAATATTAACAATAATACTGTTGAAATTTCAATCAACACATAAGTTTCACTTCCCATTGGTCCACGTGGATGCACCGCTGGCAAGTGCCCAGTGGCTACCACGTCACGGCTGGGCAGAAAACTAGAATTAATTGTCAAGGACACTTTCGTCATTTCATTGCAGGTGTAACCCTCCATACACAGTACAGTTTTCGAATCGCATGTACAGCGGAACCGGCACCAGGGCTTGACCTTCCGATTCCTTTTCATCTGTCGCAAGATTTTCCAATTTCTTCTTTCCCTTTTCTTTACCGCTTCAGCATTGATTTGTTAATTTGTATCAATGGCTTCATGTTGCCCGTGCCATTGCATCTATTTTTTTATTTAATATTATTGGATAAGTGAAAATAGCGGGCCGGTGCTGGCGTGAGTGGATTTCCCCGTTTTTGTTCCGCCGCAATCGAGCGATCTGAGAGGGGTCAAAGACCTCGGATGCCAAAGGTTGGTTTTTTGGCGGCGTTGTTTCTTGGTTCCAATTGGGTTTCGTGGTCGGTTTGTGGACGCTGAGGTTAAGAATTTTTTTGTTCGGAATTTTTGGAATTAGGGTTTCGGTTTAAACCTATTCTTTAATCAGATTTTTGGGGGCTAACTGACAAGTTAAGTTCCCTTCGATTTTGTCCTGTGGTTTGGATTTCTGTTGGTGTCAGTTTTTCTTCGCTGGTTTCATCCTTTTGGTTGCACCAGCGTAGAAACCAGGACTTGGGGATCGCAAAATTACTTCTATATTTATTTGGGGCAAAAAGATATGCCGAGGAGTTCGAGGCACAAATCTCATAAGCAAAGCAAACGCAGTTCGAAGGATTATTCAGACTCGGAAGAAGATGTGATAAAGAAGAAAGATAGAAGTAGCAAAGATGACAGTTTGACGAGGGCTCGTAGGGATTCAACATCTGGTGAGAAGCGAAAATTTTCATCCGAAGTCCCAGAAGGCGCAGGCACCAAGGATCTTGCAGGTGATGGCGTGGACGAGTATTCTTCATCCAGACGGCGGAAAGAGAAGGAAAGAACTGATGCAAGTGATAGATGGAGTGGAGGTGGAGATGATAGAGGGGATAGTGATAGAAATACTGAAAAGGTATCTCATAAAAGGGATAGCCTGAAGAGTGGTAGTAAATTGAAAGAAAATAGCAGTAGAAGCGAAAGCTTAAGAGTTGATTCCAAGAGTAAGAGTAAACGGCATGAGAGTGCTTCTGATGAGAAAAAAGAGGACAGCCTAGCATCTGTACTAGTGGAGAAGGAGGAGGGTAAGAGTAGGGGGGAGTCAAAGCGTAGGGGTGGGAGTGAGAGGGATTCTGCTACTCATAAAGAAGGAAAGGAATTGAAGGACAGAGACCAAAGGGACAAGGAGAGGAATGGAGATGAAGATAACATGTGTTGTGATCCCGACATGAATGTCAGAAATAAGCAGAAACAGATTGGAGATTTCAGTGAGGAGAGACAGAGTAAACGCACTAGGGAGATTGCGGGTAAGGTAACTTTTTGCTGGCGGTATCTATTCGGTTGATTGATTACTTTTTGCATCTCATTTTTGTTGTTGTTGTTGTTGTTGTTATCTTGTTAACTGCACTTGTGTGTAAATGATTGATTAAGTGTAACTACGCCTTAGAAGTATCTTCTGAACTTTATAAGAATATTGGTACTAAATTAATGGGATTATGAGCAAAAAACCTTTCACATTTGGTGAATATTATAATATATTTTTGCTGCAGGCTCTTAGCTCATATAATTTAGTCTACCATTTCAGATTGAAGCAGGGATACTTATGAATGAATGAAATATGTAGTTTTTGGTTGTTTACAATCTCATGAAGGCTACCAAAGAACCTTTGCCCTTTCATTGTCATCTGAAGGAAACTGTAGGTTGATAGTGTGTTGCAGCACTAGAAGGGTGAAGTTTGTATATAGGCTATAGTTGACCACCTTTGTCTTTCTCACTCCATTAATTAAGTTTTGAGTGATAATGTGATAGGATTGGCTGTAATTCTAAATTGTTTATGTATGGAGGTGTCCAAAGAGATGCTTACATTCCTCAGTATCATGAGCTTTTTCTTGTTCTCTTTATTACCAAGCATTGTTTACTGCTTAACTCTTGAAAAGTATTTGTTAAAAACTTTTGGTATCTTTTTTTTTCCTGGTTAATATTGGAAGTTCATCTGATTTTGGTTCTGTCCCTGTGTAAATCATTTATCTTTCTGGCTGTTGCGGTCCATCTTTATTCATGTATGCCATACGGTGTGATTTAGTCTTTTTTTATTTGTTTTCTTTTCGTGAGATATTAGTTTTTGGCTTCTTAATCTTCGGCGGTAAAGATTCTGATGGCACACGTGCTACCCCTGTATTATCTTGTCATGATGTGAAATATGCAATCAATGTTGAAATGCCAATATGATTTTGCTGTTATAGGATAATAATGTTAAATGTAAATTGGTTAATGGTTGCCACCTGTCATGTAGGTCTGCAAGAAAATGAGAAGTTAGTGTTGCTGACTAATTTTTTTTTTCCAGATCAAACTTTACAGGATGAATTGTGTGTTACTGAGTCTGAGAAGGATGCTGAGAAAACAATGCGAAGGAAAAAAGAGGGTTCTGGTGAAAAAGAAAAACGTTACAATGATTCTAAAGAAGGTGAGAGACAATTGTCTTCAAAACTTGACTCTTCCAAGGATTTGAAGTACAAAGATAACAAACTAAAGGATGGAGTTTCTGATGATAACTATCTCGATGATGGCCACAAAGATGAGAGACGACGAGATGAAAAGTACCGGGAAGATGATGACAAAGACTCTAAATATTATGATGATAAGTACCGAGATGGGGATAAAAGTAGGAGACGCAGAAGTGATAAATATCGTGATGATGGCAATAGAGATGGCAGACGCAAGGATGAAAAATGCCGTGAAGATGGAGAAAAAGATAGTAGGCGTAAGGATGATAGGTATCGAGAAGGTGTTGAAAGAGAAAGTCGACGAAGTGAAAAGTATCGTGAAGATGGTGATAGGGATAGAAGACGCAAGGATGGGCAGTATTATGATGATGGTGATAGAGAGTTGGTGCGTAGAGATGAAAAGCATAGGGATGGTGGAGATAGAGACGAAAGGCATAGGGATGGTGGAGAAAGAGAAGAAAGGCATAAGGATGGTGGAGATAGAGATGATAGGCACCGGGGAAGTCGCTATAGAGACGATGGCCATAGGGATAGCAGGCACAAGGAAGAAAAGTATCGAGAAGATGTTGAAAGAGACAATCGGCTTAAGGATAGTAAGCCAGAGGATGAACATGATAGAGAGAAGAGACCTAGAGACCCTAAATATAGAGATGAACGATCCTCAAGAGACTACTCTAACTATAAGTCTGACTACAAGCATGCCAAAGATGATGACAGTGCTGTTGATCATCGTAAATTTAAATTAAGTGCATATGACAATAGCCCAATTCATGATGATCGGCCAACAAAGTATAGAAGAACTAATGAAAAAGAGGATCATGGTGATAACCGATCTCAAGCTGCAAAAAACCAAAGATCTGATACTGAAAGGTTAAGTTCCAGTGGTGCGAAAATAGAGCCGACTGCTGATAGAACAAAGTATACATCTCGAACCCTAGTGTGCCTGCACTGATATCATTAATGTTCCCTCTTATTTGAACATTGCCTTTTTCATGCGGACTAGACACTGCCCATTAAAAAATAGAAATAAGAACTAACTTCTAATTTATAGATCTTAGTTGCTTGTAGGCTTTGGTGAATGAGATGGCATATGTAATGCTTACATATTTTATCTTATTCTTGGGTATTTTTTTATAGCTTACCAAAATATTTTGTTTGTAACTATTGGAAGTTGTAATGATGAAATCTCATCATTTACTCGATTATTGGTGGTCAAGTATGACTACATGATGTGTCTTCTTACTGCAAGATTTTGAGTTCTACTAACATCCTTTCAGTTTTCAAATCATACACTGCTTATTTTGGAGGTGGATCATTTTATTCATTTATGAATGTGGGCAGTATATTTCTTCTTTTTTTTGTGACTGTTTCGAAAAGTGTCCAACCAATATAATGTTTTATTACTAGTTTTGTCCTGTCATACCCACTTTTATGCCTTTTGATTGTTTTTTGGGATATGACATTGCTGAATAGCTTGTTTTGTGAAGCAATAACTTATAGTATCTCTGTAAGTTTCTTCGGAATACGGAAGAATTAACATGGGCACGCACATCATAATCTCACTATTTATGTTGCACAGCAAAATATCTTCTACTATTTTCTAAACAGACTACTATTAGTACAGGGCTGTTGTATTGTTATTTTGCACTCATTACTGTTCCTTAATTGCTAAAGCTTACTACGTGCATGTGCAAATTTTGGAAAAGCTGTATATGTTTCTGGCATCAAATGTTTCTCCCTCTCTGAGCAAACATGTTACGTGCTTTGGTGTTTTTAGGGTCCAGAAGCAAGATGAATCCAGGTGTGAGGATCACGAGGAGAAAGTTAGACACTTGAACCCAGACATTGATCAAACTAGCAATCTTCTAGGATCCGATAAGTTGTCTGAGTCATTGGAAAAACTTGGTAAAAAAGATGATGTTCATTTAAGGGAGTTATCTGCCGAAAGGCGTTTTCGGCCATCACCCTCCAAGGTAGTGGATAAGTCTCCATCATCAAGTATTGATAGGAAACAATTCAATAGACATGATGTTAGAAGAAGCGCTGATTTTGAAGATTCAACACAGAGGGGTGGTGTTTCTCGAGACTGGAAGGAGCATTCTGGCAAGGAAGGCAGGGGGAGCAGGGAGTTGAACATGGATGTAGCTAGAGAAGAACCTCTACAGGCTGATGCAGACACTTTGTCTTCACCTTTTGTGAGAAACAGACATTTCTCAAACAGTTTTAAATCATCGGCACCTCCTTCCTACAGGACTGGTTTGGGTAGCCCTTCACTGTCAGGGTCAGCTGAAGATGAGGGTAGAGGGAAGTCCAATATCCATCATAGGAGGACTGGAGATTCAGGCATGGGAAGAGTACATGGAAGTCCTTGGGGAGGTGTTCCAGGCTGGCCTTCTCCTGTGCCGAATGGTTTCATGCCATTCCCTCCACATGTCAGTTTTCCTTCAGTTATGCAGCCATTTCCTGCTCCGCCAATGTTTGGTGTCAGACCAACAATGGAGTTTGATCATTCAACCCCTTATCATATACTTGATAGTAACAGGTTTGGGGGTCCCATGGGCCCGATGGGATGGGGGCATCAGGTTGATAGTACAGGTACTCCGTTACATTCCTGGGATGCAACAAACTCCACTTTTAGTAACGAAACGCATATTCATGGTCGGTCAGGCTGGGACCATTTTAGGAATCTACCTGGTCATCAAGGGCTGCATAGAACTGAAGGCACGGAGATGCCATACTCTGAAAAACAGAATGATTCAACTCGATTCGGAGAAGCTTTGGGTGACAACTCAGACCAGCCAGCTCTGCTGAATCAACCAGCAGAGAACAAGACAGTTGGTCAGTTGACCAAGAGCTCTGGAAAGGATGACAATGAGACTCCCCTTACAAGTCTGGAGGATAGGAATAATTTGTCCAGAAATGATGTTCGCCTCTGCCGTACTTACCTTTCCAAACTTGACATAGCTGCAGATCTTGTTGAACCCGAGTTACTTAGTGAGTGCACAGGCTTGATTGATATGAATCCTATAGTTTGTGATGCCTATGAATATCGAGTCCTGCCTATTGAGGTAAAGGTTCATTGCTGCTTTATGAATCATGTTATTAATCCACATGGACACCACCATGTTTAGTCTTCACATACATTTTTATTTATTTTTTGCACTGCAGGATGGAAAAGCCAAAATGGCCTCTCAAGGAGTTGTGAGACACTCACTGTTTGCAGCTACTGATGATTCTATTTTCCAGGTATTGTTGAGAATCCTGCCCTACTTAAAAAGTGTCGTTTGTTTGATTGTATAAAGCAGCTCAATTGTAATTGAATGGATTGATGGATTTAATGTTGTCGCCGGTTTCCTTAATTCTTATTTTTTGTATTTTCTGTGACTGCAGAAATCCATGTCCATGTATAAGAGGCACAAAGAGGTTTTGTTCCCCACGGAAGGTGGTGAGCAACTCAAACCATCAAGCAATTTCATCCCAAGCTCAAATCAAGAGGATGAAGATTTTGTGCATGATAAAACTGAGATGAAGGACAACATGGAGGAACATCCTGAGAATTCTGATCTGCAAAAACCAGATCCAACTGGAATCTCCAAAGAGGCAATTTCTAGCAGTGATCTCATGATGGAGTCGAACCCAGATTCTAACCTGGGGCAACAGGATTTAGATGTCGAGAACCCTTTATCTGCTGCAAACATTGAGGGATCCGATGCTCTACCTGATCAGGTGAAAGAAGAGGCACCCACAGACTCTGCTGCCTGTAGCGATGAGGAGGTGAAGTTGGTAGACACTAATTGTGGTTCCATACTTAATTCTGATATGTTGCCTGAGTCAATGATGTCGGGGTCAGATAATTTAAGTCGGATACATCTTTCTCCTGAAAGCGCACATTGAGACATTTTATTCTTCCCAGTTTTTGAAATGCCTTATGTTATCTATCTCTGTGGTTGCTGCTGCTCTTCTATTTAAAAGTAATGAATAAGACTGGTTATTTAGTATATGGTCCGGTTCTGTTTTGTCGACTTTCTCAATCTATATGGGAAACTGGCGTTTTTACTTCTTTGAATTTGGAGTTACCCTTCACTCGCTGGCCCTTCCTGGAGCTGCTTCCGGTAAGTTTTAACCTTTCTGGTTACCTCAGTATAATTTCATTAAAGCATGAGAACTTCCATGTAATGTTAGTAATCTGATGGATTGTGTTGAAAGTTTGATGTATTGAATAAATTAATCTTTAGAATGTAAATCTAACCGGGATGTTTATCTAACTGTTGGAACTGAAAAATATCGGTTTACTTACCTTCGTAACAGAAGACATACTGCTGTTCGGAATCACTATTTTAAGGGCAGGCATAGTCTTGATTTTTATCCATACAGTGAGACGTGTGCTGCCTTATCTAATTGGATATAATCTTAATTCTACGCCACAAAAATTATAGTAATAGTTTACGTCATATATTACATGCAGTTTAGATAAGATAAAAAAAAAAAGTTGCCCCAATCCAATTACATCTGAAGCAACAAAAGGATAAAAATTAATTCGTGGATAACAAACAGTTCACACAAACTCTTCCATTCCCTTGCACAAACACTGATTTATTTTGGGGGTTAAAACCATGGCGGCGGCGGCGGGGGCGACGGCGGCGGCCCATGTCCGAAGACCCATTCTGCACAAATCCGAATTTCTTGGCTCTTCTTGTAATTTTAATACAACGTTGTCTCTCCCCAAATCCCAATCCCAATCCTTTTTACACAGACGACACGTCACTACAGCCAAATTCAACCTCTACGAAATTCTCGGCGGCCGAGGTCTCTGCAATGGCGAAGAAGGCATCGACCAAGAACTCAAGAAAACCATCTCAGCAGAAAAGGGAGCACCCCCAAACCCACCGGCGTCGCAGCAAACGCCTCCGGCTTCAGAAACATCAGAAGACGGCGACGCCGCCGCCTTCGGGAAAGAGCTGATGGGCATGACCGGAGGGTTTCCGGGGGGCGAAAGGGGGCTCGAGAAATTCATCCAAGAAAACCCGCCGCCGGCCAAGAAGGGCTCTTCTCCGGCGGAAGCAGGGTTCGACGGAGCCATGGTGAAGAAGCCGAAGCCGCCGGAGCTGCCAATGCTGCTTCCTGGCATGATCGCCATCGTCAAGAATCCCAACAATCCCTTCTACATGTACTGCGGCATTGTGCAGCGGATAACCGACGGCAAGGCCGGCGTGCTGTTCGAAGGCGGGAATTGGGATCGGCTCGTCACTTTCCGGCTGGAGGAGCTCGAACGCCGTGAAAAGGGGCCGCCCATGGTAAACCCTAAATCAGCAATTCTTGAAGAAATGGTGCAGCAGAAGAACAGTTAATTTATCAGTATTAATCTATACATATTATGAAATCTTTAGGTACATAGATAGTTGATCAAGATTTGGTGTCTTGGTGGTTATCCGTCTTGTTGATCGATTTATTGCAGCCATAAATTTCTACTACACAATCTGGACAGATATTCTGACCTGATAATATGTCCCGCCTCGGGTTCAGAGCCATTTTTGGCAGCATCATGTCTCAAAACCTCCTATAAGCTCGATGATCATCAATTCATATCTCATATAATTTCAAATTTTCCATCTTCACCTGCAGGCAGCATTGACTGCTGCTGTCTCCATGCTAGCTACTGTTACGGGGAAAATTATGATATACTATTATTTTCGTCTCATCTGAGCAGGATTTTTGACCAGCCAGACTATGAAAGCAACGACTACTTTTCCTCCATTAGTAGATATATTAAATTGAGTCATGTTAAAAAAAATGGGGTCCTTCTGGAGCTGGACTGACTTGTCTCAGATTCAACTTGAGCAAACTGTGTAGCCCGTGACCTTGAGTTTGTTTATTAGCTATCTACCTATCCTTTTGGTAATTTTGGGATCAAGAACACCTGGGAGTTATGCAGCTGAAATTGTTCATGATCTTTGTACAGCAAGAAAGAGTAAAGTAACAAATTCATGATCATATCACTAGCTCGAAATATGGCTTGTACAAATCAAGAAACAGTAGAACTGCTTGCCTGCCTGATACACAAACAAAATGCAACCCAAAAGGCTAAAATGGTGAAAAGAAGGCTTGTTCAGTTTGTGATAAATTAATTCATATATCATCATCATCTACACTACACTAATTCTTGGTTTCCCTGAGGCTTGGTGGTGGTCTCTTTGACGGTGTCCAAAGAAGGTTTCCAGGGGGCAACAATGGTGGTTTCTGATCTGTTCCTGAGAATCTGTCCCAAGAGCTCCTCCAGCTTCTTCCCTTGAGTAATCTTGAGGCCCAACATCAGCCATTCCACTTCATCCTTTGTCAGCAGAATCTTCACTCTCCTCCTCCTTTTCCTGCTCTTACTCCTCATCATCCTTTCATCATCTTCATCATCAACATCAACCCCATTGTTAGTATTATACTTAGGATTCTCTTTGTCTTTGTGTTTGTGTATGGCCTGCAGGTGCTGCTGCTCTTCTTCCTCTTGGCTTTCCTCATCGAAGGGCCTCACTTGACGATGATCCACCTGTGGCCTTTTCTTGCACCTCTCTATGCAGTTTCCCATTCTCTAAAAAAAATGCTCTCTTGGAATGAAATGAGTACTGAGAATTGCAAAGAATTGGAAGATTTATGGTCTTGAGAGGAGTGGAATACTCTGAATATATGCAGCGTACTGGGTGTGTGTTGTAAATAAATTTTGAATGAAAGATAATAATTAAATATTATTTGTTGACTTTGCTAAAATTAATAATGAGATAAATTTAATGGACATACTAAAAAGAAAAATGAGAATACATTTGACGAATAAACTTAAAAAATAGAGTAAATTTCGGGACAAGAGGATATTTTAATATCCCATCACATATAATTTTAATATTAAATTCAAATCAAATTTTTTCAAATTACGTCAAAATAAACATACCCTAATATAATATATATCATATAAATTCATAAAAAAATTAATGATTTAATAAAAAAAATTATTATATTTTTCTTGGTAACTATAGAATAAAAATACGTATGTATGCATGTGGTAATTGGTATAACGTATTTATGGTCTTGGGTTGCTGTATCTATCGTGCTATTGAATTTCATTGACTTTCAAGTATTAGATTATGAGAATTTGGACCCACAATGGGTACCAAGGATTCAAGAAAGTCAATAAACATTTAATTATTTCACGTGGTGCAAATTAAAATTGCAAGATTAAACGGCCTGCATTATACAATTAAATACGTCTACAATACGACCATTAATGAAGGATAAGCCTTTTATTGCACTGTGTCACTGTCAGTAATAATGCACACATGCAATTAATGAATTATTAATAATAATAATAATAATCATCATCATCAAAGCAAATTATAATTATTCGGTGAGTTAGTAATGTTGGTGTTGTAAATTGCAATATAGTCCTACTAATTTTGTGAAAATAAAAGTAAAGTAATTATGAAGGGGGGGGTAAATGTTAATTCAGTCAAATGTGGGGCCCAAATATTCAACGCACAGCATTTATTATCGTATTCAGACTGCCTGTGTGTCTGCGTGGCACTAATAGCAACGCATCATTGGACCAAACTTTTTATTACAGATATGATGATTAAATATTATTATATTTGTATATATATATATTTTATAAATATTATTTTTTTAATATTATAATTAATATTTTTTTAAAAAAATAAATAAGACTTTAAAGCCGGAGACTAAGGTAATATATTAATTAAGATTTTGGTATAATATTAATAATGATTAGTGAGTGTTTTGGTTGTAGTTGTGGGCTGCATCTACTATTGCTGCTTATTAATAGACATATATATATATATGTATATGTATATATAGTATTAATTGTGGTGTTGACTGTCGGTGTAGAGCAGCAGTAGCAGAATATTTGGACCGTGAAGAACCCTAAGATGTTGTCTTTGTCTTGTCTGATAATGTAATGGAAATTGGATATATCATTTTGTTCATGCCCTCGGGGCACTAATAAAACTCTTTCTTAACAACAATTATTATCATGATAATAAGTTAATCAAACTCTCCTTCTAAAATATTAACATAATGTGGAAACTGGGCATTACATTTTGGACTTAGAATGATCCAGTTTTGATTGATTAGTTAGAGGCAAGACAATTTTGTTTTGGCATATGTAATAAGATGCCACATGTTAACCTGCCCTAACTATCATTCATTCACGTACGGACAATTCTTTGCCATCACACATTCACATAACAAATAGTGATTAATACCATTTTTTTTAATAAAAAAATTTCAAATCAAAGAAATTCACATCCTTTTAATTCAACTTTCGTTCATTATCGCATGCTTGTTCATCTCTTACCTTTTTTTTTTTTAAAAAAGATGGTGCGGGTTTGTTTAAGTTTTTTTAGGAATTTTCCACTATTCAATATATTTTTTTATTTTTTTTACAAGAAAACATCAAAATTATATTTATTTTTATATTAAAATAACAATAAATTTTATATTTAAAACATCAACGCTTCAAAATTTAACTTTTACTATTTAAAATCTAAACAAAAAGATCCAAACCGAGACAAACACACTCTCTTGATTCATTCAAGTACATATATACATATATATATATATTTATATATATAAGTTTGAAAAGTAAAAATATAATGAAGTACATAAAAGTTTGTACATATTATAAATAACTTTTGTATTTTAATTTTTATTTTTAGTGCTGTATTTATTGATATGATTGTTAAGTACCCGATCTGGAAAGGGTGGGAGGGCCCTCATCCAAGCCCAGTTGTGTACAGGGCTCATGGGCCATGACTCCCAACTTATTATAACATAAAATATAATAAAAAGTTTACTACTTTTTTAAATAAAATAATTCTGTGTGTATATTTTATAGAAACTATTTTGATATTGATTTATCACGACTTTTTCTTTTAAAGTAAAGTAAAAATTCTTAATAATGTATTTGTTTATTTTATTTTTATTATTAAATGTATATATATATTTCTAATTAAAATATAAAAATCAATCAATCATGTGTATTTTTACAATATCACAAATAAATATATTATTATAATAATATTAAAATAAATTAATGCAATTGAATACAGAATTAATCAATTGAAAATATTTAATTTATTAAAAATATAGGATATCATGCAAATAAGTATTTTAATTAATTTTAATAATATTTATTAAATTCAAATTTATTTAACTTACTCTTGGTATGTCAACAAGTATATATTTAAAATTTTAATACTTAAGAATAATTATTATTAAATTATAAATAAAAATATTTTATATATTTTTAATATAAAAAATAGTGCTTTAATTTGTTTTTACCCATAACCCGTAAATATTACTCTTAGAAACGGCAGTGAGTGGTTGCATCATTAACATACACGAAGACGTCACTATTCTAAATTTATCCATTGAATACGTAATACCTAAAATATAAAAAATATATTTAAAGAATAGTTAAAATTTCCTAAAATTATTATCGAACTTTACATAAAAAGTGAAATGCTTCAATAAAGAATGTGACAATTGTGGTTTGAAATTGTACCATTATTTTATTTGTAACACTGTTCTGTTGCCAAGAGCCAAGTACAAGTTTATATCACAATATTAATTATTCAAGGAAAATGCAAAGTTATCAAATTTCAAATGCCCAATAAATGATCAAAAGAAATATTTAAAAATATAAATAAAGGCCATTTATTGTAGTAGTTTTGAATGAAAAACAATTGAATATGATTTATAAACATTGATAAAATATCTTAGGGAGATGGGATTTTATGAGAATCATATATAAGGCAATAAAATGGCAGAAATGTATAACGAAAATTTGCAATAAATTATTTGTTTAAAATATATTCACAATTTTGAAAAAATAGAATAAAATAATAAAAAAGAAATAAATAATTCACTAGACTGACTTCCCACCACCTAACCAACATAAATAGTCCTGTTTAATAATTTTGGCATGTTCTCTGTATTATTATTGTGCAATAATTTTTCTCTACCTATCTAGAAAGTCCAATTACACCAAACCCAGATTTGACCATATACTTTATACTAGTATTATTTTATTTTATTTTCAGCCAACAATCGGCTCGGCTCCTGACAGTAACCTATCTCAATCATCAACCCCCAAAGGCCCACAAGCAAAAAAAAATAACCATTCAATTTATTTGGAATAAAAAATATGTACGTAAGTTAATTTGGATTTTAGGAACTTTGTGATTTATATTCTAAACTCATAAAACGAAAAGGGAGAGCAAAAATCTGCATTATAAAATAAAATTAAATAAAATAAATGGAAGCCATAGCTGTACTGATACTCACCGGAATCACCTTCGCCGTCACAGCTCCGATTGTTTCTTCCAATCCATGTAGACCGGCTTTATGCGATGTGAACATCGGACCGGAGGTGCGGTTCCCTTTCCGGTTGAGGGGGCGGCAGCCGAACCGGTGCGGTTACCCTGGGTTCGATCTGTACTGCAATCGAGAGAACCAGACGATGCTGCTGTTGCCGGAATCGGGGGAATTCATCGTCGACCATATCGATTACACCGCCCAAGCTGTATTCATCAACGATCCGGATTTCTGCCTCCCCCACCGGATCCTCAATTTCAGCCTCGCCGGCTCCAATTTCCGCGGCGCTTATCCGAGGAATTACACGTTTTTGAACTGCTCGTCGGATTACCTGGACTACACAGGGAGCCATTACACGCCGCTTTTCTGCCTCAGCGGGAGGAATCACACGGTTCTGTCAATGGATTCGCGCTCGTCGGGGATGCAGATACCGGAGACGTGCCGGCCGATCGGGAGCGTCGTGGTGCCGCTGGAGTGGACATTGTCGCAATTCTACTGGTCGGCGATGGATTTCCGGGAGGATCTCGAGCTCGTATGGAGAGAACCGGCGTGCTCCAGTTGCGAAACCCTCGGTGGAGTTTGCGGGTACAAGGGGGATCCGGATTCGAATCCGTACCCGGAAATCGGATGCTTTATGCCGTCTAATTCTAAATCCGGTGAGTTGTTCACATCTGATTTCGCCATTTTTTTTTACAGTAATGAAGTGAATTTAGATACTGTGAAATTAAATTTACTGTCAATACTACTAGTACTAGTCATAAAAAATAAAATTGATAACAATAAAAATTTCCATGGTTTTTAATAATCTGGGTCTTTGTTTATTTATTTTATTATTATTTTTGGGTACTTTCGGTTTCGCGGCGTTTTCAATCGAGACAAGTCACAGCACAGGTGGCTTTCATATATAAATCCACGCGTTTCGATTGTGACAAAAATACAGAGTAATTTATAATATATTATTTCTACAACTATTGATAGTATTATTTTCTTATACCCATTTTGACATTTTGTTTCACCAGTTGATTAGATGTAGTCTATTCCACGATTTTATGTTCATTTATTTTATTCATTTCCTTTATTAATTTTTATTTTATAAGTTTTAAAGTTTGTTTTTTTCGAAAATCTATTCACATATACTATTTTAAAATATTAAATTAAATTCATATTTTTTTTATATTAGTATCTTTTAAAAAAATATTACATCAATATATTTATATTATATCAAAATTTTATTTTAATTCAATTTTTGTGTATTTTTAGAATAATTCAAAATACCCGAAAATATTATTAAACAAAATTATCTATAATTTTTTTTAACTAATTGTATATAGTGCACAGATTATTCAACAGGCCTGGCCGGCCACTTTTTCTCCTGCTCTATTGTAGAATACTAAGTGAGAAATGACTCTTTCAAATGGAGAAGCAGAGAGCACTCTGGTCGTCGCTAGTAAATTTTAATGTATCTCTTTGAATAAAATCCCAATAAGACAAAGAATTGATGACATCGACCTAACCAACCCCTTTTTCAACCCAATTTGCAAAATTCAACAATATATATATATATTTGTTTTTAAACGTGGGATAAGCAGCGGCTCGAAGAGTGCGCTTTTTGAATAAATTTCGACCGAACTTAATAGCATGCAAATTAAGTTCGATAAAATAAGTTACATTAGACGAATAATGTGTGACTAAATAATCTTACGAATCTACCATTACACCACTATACCATCCCTGATTGAAAACATTGTTGAATTTATATCTGAATCGTCGATGGTCTACATTTGCAGGTCTTCCAAGAAGTGCCAAATACGGCATTATAATTGGAGTTGGAATACCGGGATTGGTATGCATCATCGGCCTTGTATGCTATGCTTTTGGCCTTATCCGAGCCTTCACTGCCCGGCGCCGCGACAGCAGCAGCATCAGCACCCGGGGCGACCTCCCGGTTACAATATTCAGTGATCGTCCCACCATCAGGGCTACCAACGGCCTCGACAGGCCGACAATCGAGTCTTATCCGACCACCGTGCTTGGGGAGAGCCGGCGGTTCCCCAAGCCAAGTGATGGAACGTGTCCGATTTGCCTGTCGGACTATGAGCCTAAGGAAACTTTGAGGAGCATCCCGGAATGCAATCATTACTTCCATGCTGACTGCATTGATGAGTGGCTTAAGCTCAATGGCAGCTGCCCGGTGTGCCGGAAATCTCCAGAGAGCTCGGTTGGGACGCCGTGCTTTTCAGTCTCGACATCTTCTTCTTCGTTGACGGCGCCGCCGGATAGCCGGTAATGTCGGTTATCTTGCCGGCATTGCCCACAGTTTTGTGTGTTGGATGAATGTGGTTGGATTTGGGCATAGGGATTTCTGTAGATAATGAATGATTTGTATACGTGATGAATAAACAGCAGTAAGGTAGATTCATAGTGTATATATAGACCATACAAATTATCCAATTGCTTGAAATTTTAAGTATTTAAAAGTAGTGGATTTGGGGTGATGCTCAGAAAAAGAGAACGTGCCCAAGGCGCATCTGGCCAGGTTCGAGCAGAAACGACGTCGTTTAATCAAATTAGGGGAAAATGGGTTCTTATTGTCGTGCGTGGTCCGATTACTATAATAAAAGGGCCCAGATTCTTAAACCTCTAAAACCCTAATTATCTTCCAATCAGACTTAACTCGTAAGATTTCGACCTCCATAATAGTTTCAGATGTCGACTGTTATACCGAGAGCCCAAATCCCTGAAAGAAGGGTTGTGAAGTAAAAATTCAATCTTTTCAATTCGTTACATTTGGATGTTTATGTTCCCCGGTTTCGTTTTAGGAGGCTAAGGGAATGGCTTATCGACCGAACATCACGGCTCGAGCAAAGTTTTTCTACCAACAACAACGAGTTCCATCGTTTTCCCATGTGCAGCTTCTAAGACCGAAATTGGAGGCAATTAAGGAAGAAATGGAAGAGAGGGTGTAAGCGTCATACTATTGTTTCCCTTCTATTAATTGTTCTTCTGGTTCATAATATAAGCATCTTCTGTGATTCCCTTTCTATTGGACATTAATCTGTAATTGTGAACTTCTTGTTATCCCTGTCCTTGTATTACTATCTATAATAATTTACTATTGTTTCTTTGAAGTAACTTTACAGAACATGAGTCCAGCTGCAGTTGCTGAGGGTCAAGCAAGAATGAGAAGTCTATTTAAAGAGTATGTATTCTTATAATTGTGTGGCTTATCAAAAATGGATGTGCTCCAGCTCTACCACAGTACCCACTTTCTTGTTCATAAATTTTTTAACCATATAGAAAAACAATCAATCAGATATCTAGGTACTCCTTCATTGCAGTTGTGCAGATCATATCTCATGAGTTATACTTATTGTGTCCATGTCTCTTTTGTAATGTGCTCTGTTACTTTTGGGGTATTATTAAAATAGACTTGAATAAGATAAAGATATGTTTGTGTTCACAGGTATGGGGTTACTCCATTCACCCCTTGAGGGGAATTCTAATTGCAGGCCCTGTTTTTTGTTGTTACCCCATTATGTAATGAAAATTAGGAATATCGTAGACAAAGTTCCATCTTTTAAAGATGGTGGAATGTTATGGTTCACTGACTTATCAGTTCCTGATAGCATGTATGTGTTTCCTGTTTTGACAGCTCTCGATTACGGTGGAGGTGAGCTGCCTTTCTTTTAAACCTACTTATGATCTATAGAAAAGTTTTCTGTGAGAATCATGTCGTGTTTAGTGTCTTGTCTATTACCGTCTGATATAATTGCTGCCTGCAAGGTTGACTTGTTTAATATCTGAGAATAATCCGTCACTGATCAGTATTCATTTTCCAGTTGAATGCCCAAGAAGGTTTGGAAGGCAATCCCTCTGCTGGTATGATCAAGAATATCTCCAGCGGCTTTGCTGTACTGACTGTCCCACTGACTGCAGTATTTCCCAATGTATGCTGTTCATAATAATACTTATTGTGCTGGATTACATGCATTTCGATTTACCTCACTCATCTTGCTTGGGTTCAATTAACTCTGTCAATCATAAAATTGACATACCTGTATCTGCAGGCATACTTTGTTACTGGAGATTCAGAAGGAAGTCAAAGGGCACAAGAGAGGAAAGAAAAAGGTTACAACATAACACAAATGGTAATATTAATATGTAACTGAATGAAGAAATATCTTATTAAAGGGAATAATGGCAATCCATTGTTTAAAATGGAGTTTTGAACATCATATCTCTCATTTTCATCCTTGATTGTTTAGTTAATTGTTGAAGTCCTATCAAGATTGCAGTTGATGCCGATAGATCTGTGAAAAGTCTTTTATATGTTTGTGTGAATCTGAACTGGCATTCCTTTCCTTATTTCTTCCCCATTAATTGATTCCTTTGAATTGAATCCCAATAACCCTTTCCTTCACCTTCACATCTAACTACCTATGTTGAATGTTTGTCATAATAATATAAATTTCATTTCACCTAGAATCTGGCAGCTTGGTTGCTTGTTTTGTTTCAATTAGACCAACCACATGAATATGGTTTGTGTTGTTTTCTAGGCTGGTGGCCAACTTGGAGATTTCCTTTTCAATGTGCAATGAAATGAAATAAGAGAAATCCTTCCCATGGCAGCCGTTGACCTTGTCCGATCGAGGACAGGACAGGACAGGACAGCCTTGTCTGTTGTCATAATAAATTAGATTAAATGGATAGCTTTATTATTCAACGCCTCATGTTATTAAAAAAACAATCGTGAATAATCTTCAAAACTTGGAATCAATAATATATTTTAAATGATGATGGGTCAGCCGTGACATGTCCTATTGCCGCCTTAATTTATTTCCTAAGCCAAACACTACTTACTACAATCTTAAATTAAAATGATTTATACACGATTAAGGAAGAGCACAACATTGCCACTTGCCTCGTTGGTCCAATAAATATCTCGAGATCAAAATCATATACATATATGACACTGATGATGTTGATAAGCAATTTTGAACATATACCCAAAATATCACATACTATACGAAACAATTTCATCAATTAATTGAATCGAAATTTTCTGGAATAGCCGACAATTTTTTGTATTAACAAAAGAGGATTAAAGAAACGCCTTTTTTTTTATTTGGAGGACGAACGAAAGTACGAAGAAAGTATGGTATACGTGTCCGGTTTGAATTGGCCAATGGGAACCTATTAATATTTTAGCCACTGGCACTATTCTAATCTATTCTACGCTTCAAAAGTCGAAGTCAGTCAGTCATTCTTTTCCATTTCGGCAGCAGCAGCAGCAGCAGCAGCTTCACATATTCTATATATTCTAACGTCTGCCTGCTCCGGTTTTTCGCAATTTCTGCACCATATCCACTCTATACGTTTTGTTTGGATAGCGGAGGACGTATTTCTTTCGTGTGAGTTAGTTCATTTTTTGTGGAGGCAGTTTCATCGGTTCTGGAGATGGCGAAGGAGAAGGGGAAGGGGAAGGAGAGGTATATTGTGGAGGTGGAGCCTTCGAAGCCTTCCAGGGATGGAAGGCCGTCGATCGGACCGGTGTACCGTAGTGTATTTGCGAAAGACGGTGTTCCTGACCAGATTCCGGGGCTCGACAGTTGTTGGGATATTTTCCGGTCAGTCATATATTTGCTTACATGTTTAATTATGTTTTTATGCTGTGGTCAAGTGATTTGTGGTTTGTAGTGGATATGTACAGATTTAGGATTTCTTCATAGATTGAAGCTCTTGAAATCCATTTGACTGTACGATTGAAGTCAACGTTTCTAATCTTACTGAGAGACTAGTGTTGTGGAAATGAGTTTTTCGATTCTATTGGAAATCGAAATAGTTGTATTTATGCAATAGAGGTTGATGATGTGGGCGTAGAAAGATTATTCCTTCTGTTTGGATGGCCCCACGAGTTTGCAGTTTTGAAAGTGTAATGGATTTAAATATGATTATGTTTGTCCTGTTTCTGGGGTAAACATTAGTTTTAGAGTTTATTTTGTGATCTATCTTTCTCAATTGAAGTGTTTAGACGGCTTGTTATCCATATCAATGTCCATGCATGTCTGATGAACCAGTTAAAATCTTGGTGCTTATGAAGAGTAATTATTGATAATTACAAGAATGAAAAGCGAAGACTAAGGCAAATTGTAGAAAAGCTATGAATTTTTATTGTGTACTCCTCAATCGAACATCTTCCGTATAAACAGTATTTATTGTTTTTTTAAGCAAAGCTAGATACTTTAGAAATTCAATACTCTGGTGGTAGATTATCCAATTGTTGACAAAGTATACCCAAATAATTCAATGGACTCTTTCAAGAAGAAGATAGAACTGAGCTTATTAAAAGAAAGAAGTCAACAAGTTGGTGAAGTCTTGATGATGGTTTTTTGAGTGTTCAGTTTCCACCCCATCAAAGATTATTGTACATGTGATATTTCGTTTAATATCACCTTTATTCTGTCGAGAATGTGCTTCCTGTATGCTAGATCAGTTTCTTGAATTTGGGAGGCTTTTTTCTTTCGTCTTTAGCTTTGATTGCTGAAAATAAAATTATTCCTTTTCTATTACAGTTTGTCTGTAGAGAAGAATCCCCACAACAAAATGCTTGGTCATCGAGAAATTGTCGATGGGAAGGTATTCTATAAATATGAAATGATTAGCAGTCAAATGATGCAATTTCAAGATTTGTTGGGTTTCCTGTTCTTTCTTCTCTTCTCTTCTTTTCGTGAACCTTTGGCTAATGTTCAATGTTTCTGTCTTACCAGGCTGGAAAATACGTATGGTTGACATACAAAGAAGTGTATGACATAGTACTGAAAGTTGGTAACTCAATCCGTAGTTGTGGCATTGATGAAGTAAGCTTAACTAAACTTGCTTTGAGCTATATTTGTGCTGCATGTTTTCCTGTTATTTCAGAAAAAATGAAGGAACCTCAATGTTGAAGTTCACTCTATTGATAACATTTTGCAGCTGTTTATTAACTTATAGATATGCTGTCTCGGGGTTTTTAGTTGTGATTCTCTTGTATTTGCTTACTATATCAACAAATTTATGCTATTCTCTTTACAACTGATTACTTCTTTCAGGGTGGGCGATGTGGAATCTATGGAGCTAATTCTACTGAGTGGATTATAAGTATGGAGGTATTTATACTTATGTTTATTTTTGTATTTTACAATTTGCGATTTTGTGGGTGTCCTTATATGCTGTTTATTCAAAGTGCACTTGTTACAATTTGTTTGTTTTTTGCCTTGTGAGTTGACATCTGAGCCATACAATTAAAAATTATAAAGTAATTTCACAAAGGTATTTGATTTAAGCTAATCATTGCAGTAGTGGTGAGTTTATGATTTAAGGTTTTCCCTGCGACACTAGTATGTTTCTCTGTCCCAACCATAATAATGTTTTGCCGGTATCTGTCTGTTTTCATGCAATACTAGTGAATTGAGCCTTTTGATGATAAAGAGCTTCTAGGTGAGCTCTGAATATTTTCCTTGATGTCCTGTAATCTTGCATGGCAGTTACCTTTTGGTCTGTAAGAGGTTTACTCAAGTATTCTTAGTAAATTTTGAATTAACAATCCGACTTATTCCTGGAATGAAGAAACAGTCTTATAAATCATAACATCCGCTATGAATTCATTGCAGGCGTGTAATGCTCATGGACTCTATTGTGTCCCATTGTATGACACATTGGGTATGTATGGTGTTTCATCTAACATTTATTTAATTTATTTTTTGCATGCCTCTAAGTAAAAACAATATAAAAACCATATCTGTATATTGTGATTAGCTGGATCCGTTTGCTTAAAGTCTCAGCAGTAATTTGTCTGTAAGATTTTGAATTTTCCCTTTGGTTGGTTTAGGTGCTGGGGCTGTTGAGTTCATTATATGCCATTCAGAAGTTACACTTGCTTTTGTAGAAGAGAAAAAGATTCCTGAGGTGCAAATCTTTAAATCTTATGAAAGATGACTATACTCTTCTTTTCAAATATATATATATATATGTACTCTGATATGTCTAATATGACATGTGTTTGCACAATGTATATAACATGCACCTCTGGACTTGCAGCTACTTAAGACATTTCCTGGTGCAGCAAAGCATTTGAAAAGTAAGCACTCTGCAAAATCAGTGTTTCCTTAGATATTTGTGTACTGATATTAATGAAACAGCAATTCCTACTCAATTTCAGCAATTGTGAGCTTTGGGAAAGTAACTGCTCCTCAGAAGGATGAATTTGAGAAGTTTGGTGTGGCTATTTATTCTTGGGTTGAATTTTTGTCTCTGGTAAGCCTGCAAATTTAGCCTTTTATTATATTCTTGTTTGACTAGGGAATGAATTGACTAATGTCTTATCTAGCCACAACTAAACAGTAACTTAAATTTTTGTGTATGAGAGTCAATATTAACGATAATCTGGTTTGCCTGTTCCATTTATTTTCTAATTTTTTATTTGAAGGCTTTGCCATCTTCCATTCGCTGTTCATCTCACACTTCTTTTATATAATTCCATTGTCAATTCTCTCCAATCAAATGGTTGTTTTTCGAAAATAATGTATCCATTTTGATTTAACAGTGAAATGGAGAGAAAAATAGAAAAATAGCAAAGGAGTGCATGATCCTTACAGTTCCTACAAACTAGATCATGCATAAGCTTTTTAAAAGAAAGCATCTTGAATCTGGAATAATCAACTACTGTTAATGGATGCTCTAACTTTCTGATGTGTTGTTCTGTGTCTGTATGGCTCTACTCAGATGTGGTATGGTTAATATTAAGCACCTGATACTGGCCTTTATTATCTACAGAAAGCAGTTATAATTTGTATTGTCGTTGTCGTGCAGGGTGAAAATAAAAGTTTTGATCTTCCAGTAAAAAGGAAAACTGACATTTGCACAATCATGTATACTAGTGGAACCACTGGGGACCCGAAGGGAGTCATGATTTCAAACAAAAGCATTGTTACATTAATAGCTGGTGCGAACCGTTTGTTGGGGAGCGTTAATGAGCCGGTGACTATGCATCTACTTTCTTTCTTTTCTTAGATTACTCATGAATTTATAGCAATAAATTTTTAGACCTGAAATTTGTTTCTGACAATAGTTGTATAAAGTGCAAAATCACTTGTTTACTTTGCAGGTAACAGCAAATGATGTGTATCTGTCATATCTTCCTTTGGCACATATCTTCGACCGTATCATTGAGGAGTTGTTTATCCATCACGGAGGGTCAATTGGATTTTGGCGTGGGGTAAGCTGGTTTTGTGTGTGTTACCCTTAGAGTAGCTTATGACCAAATGACGTTATTGTAATGCTCATAACTGCAGGATGTCAAGTTATTGGTTGAAGACATTGCAGAGCTGAAACCAACTGTATTCTGTGCAGTTCCTCGTGTCTTGGATAGAATTTATTCAGGTTGGGCTTCTATTGTGTTGTTTGTATCTTACCGAAGTAAATTATAATTGTTGAATCATAGATTATGGCTGTGCGCCAATGATATCGAGATCTTTGCGTAAGTGTATCACAACATCATTACCTGTGTTGGGTTTTTATCTCCAGCCAATGGAATTAGAAGATTACTGTTCAATCTTTCTATATTACAAATTCCATTAGGGAACCCCCATTGCAAACCATTTATTTTGTATCTTTTTACTTTTTTGCCTTACAGCCTATATATGTATTGAAATTTCGATGCAATTGATTACAGTTGTCTGTCTTCATTTCAGGTTTGCAGCAGAAGATTTCTGCAGGGGGTTTCATTAAGCACACCATGTTCAACCTTGCATATTCTTTGTATGTGCTTATCCCTAACTGTTTTGCTCTTTACCGATAAAAATAATAAATGGCAACCTACTGATCAACTCTGATTCTTTATTCTAAAGTGTTCTGCTTGCATTTCCTGGAGTCTCAAGAACTAAACAAAGTTTGTGGTTTACGTTAATATTGAAAAAAAGCTCTCCGACAACATTCAGGATCTCTCTACATCATACTTTCAAGACCTTTTCAACTCTTAAACTGCAATTGATTTTTGTTCTTTATGAGCACTCAAGATTTGACTTCATATTGTAGTTTTACCACTTTTAGAGTTTTATTTCCTAGTGCTCTGATACCAAGTATGACAGTGTTTTCATCCTTTTCGTATTTGCTTAGAAAACTACGGAGCATGAGGAAGGGCTCTAAGCATGCAGAGGCTTCTCCACTCTGTGATAAGATTGTTTTCAATAAGGTGACTTGTGTGTTTCTATTGCCATCTCATATTAATAAGAGTTTTAACAGAGAAGTTCCTGTTACTCATCTCTTATTTATTTTAGGTAAAACAAGGCTTAGGGGGCAAAGTGAGGCTTATTCTATCTGGAGCAGCACCACTTGCTTCCCATGTGGAAGAATTCTTGAGAGTTGTATCATGTTGTTATGTTCTTCAGGGATATGGTATATTCTTCTCTTTGATATTGTGTTCCCTCTTGTTTTTTTTAATAATTTTAACTTGGTCTGCATATTCAGAAGCTCAGCTCTGCTCTTAGATGCTTGTTTTCCCATTATATTTAGACATGATGACTATTTAAGCTCGCATTGCATTGAAGAAACTGATGATCATTTATGATACATTCTGCCGGTTGTAATCTTTCTATTTTTTATGCTTGCTGGAGATGCTAATTTACATTTTCTCCATTGAAGGCTTGACCGAAACTTGTGCTGGCACATTTGTTTCAATACCTGATGAGCTGAAGATGCTGGGTACTGTGGGTCCTCCAGTGCCCTATGTGGATGTTTGCCTGGAATCTGTTCCAGAAATGGGTTATGATGCACACTCAGAAACGCCACGGGGAGAAGTATGTATTAGGGGAGATATTTTATTCTCTGGGTACTACAAGCGTGAGGACCTTACGAAAGAAGTCTTTATTGATGGATGGTTTCACACAGGTTACTCACCAAAAGGAATTGAAATAAACTCTACTCAGTGTTTTAACTTTCTCATTTTTATTGAGTCCTATGCTCTCAGGTGATATTGGGGAATGGCAACCGGAGGGAAGCTTGAAAATTATTGATCGTAAGAAGAACATCTTCAAACTATCACAGGGAGAATACGTTGCAGTAGAGAACTTGGAAAATATCTATGGTCTAGTTCCAGATATTGACTCGGTATTACATTCATGCGACAACTTCTATATTCTTACTGTTTCTTGTCTAATTCGTTTGACATCAAGGATCAGCCTTATCATTATGGTTATAATACTGAAACTTTTTCACTTATCATTTCGGTAAGGTGATGTTTTGTGATATTGATCCACTTTCAGATATGGGTTTATGGGAACAGCTTTGAGTCTTTCCTGGTTGCTGTCATCAACCCGAGTCAGCAAGCAGTGGAGCAATGGGCTGAACAGAATGGTGTATCTGGGGACTACAATGCCCTCTGTGAAAATCCTAGAGTCAAAGAGTATTTCCTTGCAGAGCTAACAAAAATTGGAAAAGAGAAGAAGGTTCTTTCTTCCTTCTCTTCTCAGATTTTTTGATTCTTTTGTTTTAAAAAATATATACAACCATCAGCCATGTCTGGGAAATTGCCAAGATAAGATATCTATGTTTCCTGGTGTTTACTTTTGGATGCAGTTGAAAGGTTTTGAATTCATTAAAGGGGTGCACCTTGATCCAGTCCCATTTGACATGGAACGAGACCTGATCACGCCGACATTCAAGAAGAAAAGACCCCAGCTGCTCAAGTACTACCAGGTTGGTTTGATCTTTTCTTATTTGGTTCCTCTCACATATACCTCAAAATTTAAGGTCTAACAGTAGAGTATCATGTTGTAACATTTATCATCCATGAGAGTATCTTGCATAAATACACACATAAATATATTTATACATATATATATCTGAATGCTGGTTGTTGTTTTTTGTTTTGAAGGGCGTGATCAATGAAATGTACAAGAGTGGGAAATGATCAAAACCTCTTCCATTGCCACACTATTGCTGATCATGGGCAAACTAAGGTTACACTTTCAAACCAGAACCTAAGACAAAATCTTGAATTTGTGTCCTGTATGTATGTATGTATGTATATATACACACACACACTCCCCACACTATTTTATATGTAACTATTATGATCATGATTATTATTATTATTTGAACCATTCAATCATAGCCGTCCGTTGTGCGAGTGGTATTAGATTATTATCCCCCATATAACATGGATGGCAAATCTCCATGTTATGGGGGGATATTAACCTTCCTGCTGCTGCCCTTTAACATACACCTAAGAATCCCCTACGAGATTTTATAAATATATATATATTTAGAGACACACACTGACACACATAGACTAATTATATATGTTGTTGAGTTGGCTAGAAAATAGCAACACATCTCGGATCATGGCGGCCTGCTCTAAATGCATATATATATATATATATATAGAGATTATTATTATTATTATTATTATTATTGATATATGCTTAAAATAAAAAAATATGAGATGTATGTATTATGAGTGAGTGAGCTATGCATGGATGTATAGCAGCAATTCTGGCTCCAATTAATGATGACGCACGCACGGATGTGGCTGATTCTATTAGTATATTATTAGTAATACTATAGTAATGATGGACTGCTGACTGCTGACTGGTTTGTGGGGGGCACAAAATCTTATGGAAGTACCATTTTGTATTCTATTCTTTTTTATAGGAAATATAAGTAAATAAATAAGAATGGAGTACTAGTGCATTGAGAGAGGGAAGTTGTGGTGTTGAAAATGAATTTTAATGTAGAGACAGAGGAGAGGAGAGGAGAGTGCCCCAGTCCAGTCCAGTCCCATGATTAGCTTATAGCTTGATTGGCCCTGGAGGTTCAACCAACATATTACATATATAGTAATAGTAGTGACCTGACCATTCAGTTTTTGTCCCTCCCTCATAACAGGATAAACATATATAAAAATAACATCCATCCATCCATCCAATTTAATCAAATGTACATTGGGACTCTTCTTCTCATTATACTATTTATATACTTACTTGCATTGGAAAATAGAAAATACTGATATGTCTCTTATTTTTCATTCAGTCCATATTTACATTGCATGCATTTCTCTGTCTGTGTGTCTGTCTTCCCACGTCACCTCCCCAAATCTCATGTGGATGATATGTTGTTACCCTTGAATTTCTATGTCCCGGGAACATATTCAAATTGCTATAATATTACTATCTAAATTAATTAGCAACAATTAATATTCATTGGAAAGTAGTACGTAGTAAATAATTGGTGTGAAAAATAAACATGTATCAACAAAAACTACTTACTCATCTGAATGACCGAGGTAGTTAGTCCTTATTTCTGTAAATATACACACTTATTTAATCAAATTTACTCTACAATGATTTGTTTCTTGTCTAAATGTGTGTATAAACTAAATTTAAATAAACATGATCTATCATGCTAAATATGAGTTCATAAACTTATTGTGGGATGACTCGGTGGTGTAGGGGTTGGATTTGTGACCGTGATCTATTATGCTAAATATAAATATTTATATTTGAACTAAAATTGATACATTTTAATTATATTATAATTATTATTGATTTTAACTACATACATGGTCATTTAACAATATGACCGTGTATAATTGTATATGGCCGTGTATAATTATACACTGAAATATACATGGTTATGTAACAACACGACTGTGTATAATTGTACATGACCGTGTACTTTCCCGGTCAACTGCCACATCACCTCCGTTATGTCTACGTCAGCAATTTCCGTTAACTTTTTTTAATGGTGGGACTAAGATTGATTGAAATTGTTTATAATTGGACCAAAATTGATCGAAATTATTTATATTGTTACTAATTGATGGATTTTTTATATTGTGACTAAAATTTTGATTATATTGACACCAAAATTGATTTTTTCCCTTATTAATAATATATCAAAATAATATTAGTAATATAATAGGAGCATTACTTTTTATATTTATATTCTAATTAAGATAAATTTTATTTTATAATTATATTTAATTTAAATTATATTATTGTTTAATATATTAATACTTTTTAATTTAAAATTTTAATTTAACTATTTATTAAATTTATAAAATATTCACATTATTCATTTTTTTATTTAATTTATATTATTTTAAATTAAATTATAAATTCATATAAACTCAATCATTACTTATCAAATCATTATTTATAAAAAAATTTTCAAATTTAAACAAAACGTACTGAGACAAAGAAACGTAACTTCTCAAAATTATCCAAAATTTTAAATTCAATCTCAATCCAAACCAAATATTCCCAAACCAATAAAAAGAAACTCCGTGGACCCATGTAAAAATATAAATAACATAAAAATAAAAGCGGAAGAATTTCCGTGCAACCACGTACAATGAACGCCTTATTTCCCGAAAACAGCGCCGCCGTCAGGAGTGGCAGTCGCCGCCGTTTTCCACAGTTCCCCCACCAACGAAACTTCCACCATACCCCTCCTCAGCCTGCCACGCGTCACCCACCACCTTCAGTATATATATAGTGTGTGTATGTATCTATGTAATATCACTGCATCCCTTGTGAAGCATCGATCTTAATTCAGCTCGTGAATTTTAACCGTCATGTTGCCGCCGGAACAATGATGAAGGATTCCGGCAAGTCCACCTCTCTGCACGTCAAGAAAACGCAGAAAGCCCGCCTGAGGCGGCTCGAAATTCTGCGGATGCGCCCCGGCAATCTCACGCACGAGAACGACTCAGACCGGGAAGGGGATGCCAAGTCCACGTCATCCGCCTCCTCCATCGACTCTCCTGAGCTCACCCGAAGACACGGAAGTTTCGAATTCGGCGGATCGTCCTCGTCGCCGGCGGCGGCGCGGTGCGAGAGCAGCGGCTTGCTTTACGGACACGTGTCGGTGATGGGGCGGCGGAGGATGATGGAGGATACGGTCACGGTGGCGCCGCACGGCTGGCTAGCTGGGGAATACTCCTTCTTCGCCGTCTACGACGGCCACGGCGGCGCCAGGGTCGCCGAGAAGTGCCGAGACAGGATGCACAAGAGCCTCGAAAGCCTCATCAACAAGGCGAAGACAGCGCCGGCGCCGTCGCCGGAGGGTAAAGCCTTTGACTGGGAGAAAGTCATGGCGGAGTGTTTCCGGAGCATGGACCAGGAGCTGCTGGAGGACGACATCGCCACGGCCGCCATAGGTGAGCACGTCTCGGCGGCTGAGAAAATGGTGGGTTCCACGGCGGTGGTGGTGGTGGTCGGCAAGAATGAGGTTGTAGTCGCCAATTGCGGCGATTCCAGGGCGGTCCTCTGCCGCGGCGGCGCTCCGGCGCCCCTGTCCAGAGATCACAAGGTGACCTGTAATCACAGGATGAAATTGAAATTAAAAATCCAATCTTTTTTGTCCTACCCAAAAGTGGATATGATTAAAACTGGATTTCTATAATAGCCTCAGCCAGACAGCGCAGACGAGAAGGAAAGAATTGAAGCCGCCGGAGGAAGGGTGCTCAACTGGAACGGCTGGCGAGTCCAGGGAGTCCTCGCCACTTCCAGGTCCTTAGGTATCAATCTATCAATATCAATGAATGCTTATTATGAACCCTAAACCTCATCCCTTCCCCTGTTAACCTAATTTGTAAAATTTGACTGTCTGTGCAGGCGATCATGGTCTGAAGCCATATGTGACCTCGGAGCCGGAAGTGAACGTGGTGACGAGATCAGAGATGGACGAGTTCCTGATAATTGCAACGGACGGTCTGTTTGACGTGGTAGGGAATGAGCTGGCATGCGAATTGGCCAAGAAGTATCTGATGGACAGACAGGAGGGTGGTTCAGAGGCGGCTGGGCCGGCGGAAGCCGCGGCCGCACTGGCTGAGCTAGCCATTGCTAAGGGAAGCAGAGATAACATTAGTGTCATCGTTGTACAGCTCAAATGAAGCAGGCAATGGATCGGAATTTGTTTCAAGTTTGATTTGTGTTGCAATTTCGTTTTTTTTTTTTTCACTTCGATGATGGTTGTAAGGCTTGACTTGCAGGCCTGTCTTATGTACAGCACAGGTTTTGCTTCGATTGGATTGTGTTTGTTGTGGTTAATTATTATGTGTATAATGAACTTTTCATTTCTTGCTTTCTGGGCTTTTCAAACTAATATTTATATATTCAAATGACAGACTAAACACCAAATGCAAAAGCAGACACAAAAATCTGTTTGAATATAACCACACAAAAACATGACACACACATTCTCAGAAGAAAGAGGATGAGCTCTGTTTTAAATCTGTCTCTTCACTCTTCTCTTCACCTTCAATGAAAACGCCATCATCGTTATCCAGATTGGCAATTGAGTTCTTGTATCAGCTGTTATGCATCTAAGCAAGATTGTAGCTTGAAACCATGACCTGAGCAGGGGCTGCCGAATGTATATACACAAACTCAATGCTCCTTCCGGAGCCCAATGAGTTGAGCCATGGTGGGAAGTAAAATGAATCACCGTACTTCGTCAGACCCCACAATGGGCCATACAGCCTGGATATGTAAAGCTTCAGGTTCTTCAAGTTGTTGTAAGATCTATTGGTAATAGTTACTCTGTATCTGTAATAAGTCCTCCCATTGAGAACCCATGAACTTGTTATCTTCTGAGAAATTGTAATTCTGCTTGATGATCTTGCTGCACCACATTTACAATTCAAGATCAGTATCTAACGTGTACTCAAATATGTGCAGCAATTAAACTACTCTACTCTTCCTTTTCAAGAAACAGAATCGCACCTGGAGTATGATTCACTGCTTGCCTGGGCTTGTTAGCAATTGGTCTAAGTGCAGGTAACTCCACTGAAACATCATCAATAAAACCTGTCAATCGAATAGCCATAGCCACACAAAATTGGCTGAAAGTGAACAGACATTCAGCAAATATCGACGAACCTGGAAGGAGCTGATTGTAGCCACTGTGCCCACCATTAAGCCTTGCCAGTATTCCCAACAATGGAGCATTGTTGTAAGTAGCCGGCTCAGTTTGCTCATAATTGTCCCTCTGATCTGCAAAATTATCATAAGCATCCGGGCCACCAACAATGGCGCCGGTGAGCTCATTCGGATCACTACCCTTTCTGCCGAACCAAGTTGCATACCCTCCCCTGCAGCTAACGAACGAGGGATTGACCTTATACGACACGATTGAGGCACCCCTGTGGTGCACTTGCCTCGGGTAATTGTTCCCGTATCCGACCATGTAACTCGTGGCTCGCGGATTGTCCCCCAAGATGTAGTCCACCTGGGATTTTGCAAAGGAAAGGAGCTCGGCAGGGGACACATTGCCGCGCGCACACCTGAGAGACTTTCCGGCAGAGGTCAGGTAATCAGAGTAGACTGTCATTAGAAATGAAGCACTGGTAACAAACTGCATGTTGTTCCATCTCTGCCTGAAAATTAGGCCTCCAGGGGTCCTCTGGACATTGTTGGTGCCCTTGCCTAGGCATGAACACATGAAGAACTCCGCCTTCTCCTGGTACCTCCTGAACACGGGCGTGTTCCGCCCGCCTTTCCCAGCCATCAAAAACTGCACAAACAAAGGGGGATGATCAGCATCGAGATAACTAACATAATCAGTCCTACAAATCACAGGAACGCAATCATGCATTGTATACGCGTACCTTGGCAACGAGGGTTTGAACTCCGGCGTATTTAACATCCCAGCCGAACTCAGTCATGGCCCAGCCAGTTCCTCCGAGAGCTTCGCCATTGTTGCCCAGGTAATTCAAGTAGTATTGGTTGTTTGTTGCCTTGTACATCCAGGCTGCTGCCCACAGCAATTCATCCTGCATACACATGAACCAGTTAATTACTAGGAAGAATATTCAATTTAGTGATCGTTGAATCGAGGATTGGCAGAGGAGATTCACATACTGCGTATCCACTGACAGATCGGTAGTATTTCTGCGCGATGGTGATGCTGGCGTCGTATTTGCCTCTGTACTTGTCGGCGAAATTAAACAGCTGAAATTGATACAAACACGGAGGGGCTCATATGTAATTGCACATCAGGATGACGTGGAGCCTAATAAATTTTGACACGTGATATGCCTCAGATGGACGGCCCAGATCTGGACATAGCACGTGGCACAGTTTCATGCGCCGAACCCATTAAATGCAAATGAAATAAAACCTTCTCTTATTTAAATAGCTTCTCTTTTCTACAGTCAAATTATTATTATTTTTTTTAAATAATAAATTCTATTTGGTGGTTAACGTCTGCTACAGTGCACCGACAACGACAAGGCTGCAAAAAAGCTGAGCACAGCGTAACTGCCTAATAACTGTGGCCGACGGATCCCCAACCGCCCGCTAACATGCGCGTACTCAGGCATGGCGTGCGGTGCTAGTAACGAACTTTCGCAAAAATGTAGAATTCTCTAGATTTACCTGGTAAGCGTGCTTGAGGAGCTCCGCCGAGTAGGAGGGATTGTAACGGCGGAAGACGATGGAAGCAGCGGCCATGGCGGCGGCAGTCTCGCCGGCGAGGTCAGATCCAGGGCGGCTCGGATCAATTCTGTAAGCAGCTCTTGAAGTGGTCATGTCTTCCGGCCTTTGCCAGCAGTAGTGGTCAGTATCTCCATCTCCGACCTGAGATTACAGCACTTGCTTGTTTATAAACCAAATCGTTTAAAATATGGCGATAATGTAGTGTAATTTCAATCAATAGTAGCTTCAGGTGCTTGCATTGTGAGCACTGATGGCGATGGCTGAAACTGTGTGTGGATATAAATGTAGTGGGAAGAATGGTTGAATCTTACCTCTCCGTAGAGGACATAGGGTTGGGGGTGGGCTTTGATGAGATAATCGGTGCCCCACTTAACAGCATTGAGGGCATGTCCTAGTTCACCCCCCATTTGCTTTCCATATTCCAGTATGCTCCAAGACATCATAGTAATGGTGAATGCCATTGGGAGTCCGAACTTAACGTTGTCCCCTGCATCATAATATCCTCCTACCAGATCCACCTGCAAAATTGCAATCCCCACCAGTAGAATTAGTTCTAGAAGTGTATCACTGTAGAGGTTAGCTTGGGAGGGAGGACTGCGTTAATAGGATAATGGTGGAAACAACTTACCCCGCTAACTTTTCCATCATTGAGACCGGAATTTCCCCTCCATCGAACTCTTTGGTTACCGGGCAAGTAACCAGATCTCTGAGCTTCAAAAAACAGAATGCTTTTACTCAGAGCTTGACCATAATCATGGCCGGCCAATGCTAGAGGAACAAGAACCCCTAGCAAGAAAAACAGGGGAGCCATTGAAAAACAGGGCCCCATGGATTTCTGCATTGGAATGAAATATTTTCTTTCAAGCTATATCTCAACCCAAGATGATGAAAAAACCTCAAAATAGGGTTGTGAGGACACTGGTATAATGTGTAATATACAGATTTCTTAGGCCACTATAGTACTATGTATATGTGTGTGTGTGTGCAAAGTGTACAAGAAATAGTTTAACGCGTGCAAGTGATGCAAGAACTCATGTACTATAGAATACCCTTCAAGAGAATTGAAGGGAAAAGAGAAAGAAAGAAAGAAAGAGAGGATTAGGGAATGTGGGAGCGGGAAGTGCCTAAAGTCAGTATATATGGAGGGAAGGAGAAACCCAATGGCCCCATTGTACAGGGAAAGGGTAGAGATGAATTAATGCACCTTGTTTTCTTTTTCATTTATTTATTTAGAAAATAATAGTGGTGCATTCTTTCTTTCTTTATGAAGGGAAGATGAAAATGGGCAGACGCATGTGCTTTTGTTCTGTGCTTTTGCTAGGAAGCGTCTCGGCCTTGTCCTTTTGTACATTTGAATGTGCAGTTTGTGAAAGAAATTGGTTGCTGCAGAGTGATAAGAATATGGGATTATTATAATTAATGGCACATAATAATCTTTTCCATTGTTTAATCATTGTCATTCTCAGGCATGGGACAAGTTACTTTGCAAGATTTCTTAAGTCTTGGGAGTTGCCAAAAGCATCGAAATGAAACCAGGTCAAAAAGTGTCCCCATGTCCGAATTTCCCTAAGAGCCCCTGAACTTTCTATTAAATGCTATTTGGGATGGTGGGTTTTTTAATTTTCTGTATTTATTTTCATTGAAATGGTTAGATGGAAAGATAACCAAATCATTGAATGATTTGATGATAGAAAGTCAATGCAACCAACAAGTTTTTAGTGTGCAGGTAAATGTTGGAAAGGGAAATTTGTTGGAGGAGTATTAATTATCATTTGGTTTATACTTTAATATGATTCGTGTATTAAATATAGCTAGCTAGGATGCCATGGTATGGTGAATATCAGAATTATATTTTTACTACAAGAATCAAGAATATGCTGCTGCTATAGAACTATGCATTCTATGAAGGTATATAGTTGTGTATTTTGATAAGTGGTAAAGGTAGTAGTAGTAGTAGTATATATTTCCGAATCTGAATGTAGTTTAGAGAGGGACATCTCGATCGAGTTCAGTCACGTGCCCCCCAGCTGTGTAGTGCAGTGTAAACACGCACAGTTGGGACAACTCGATCGGCTATAAACACCACCGACAGTGATAGCGGTCTGTTAAAAAAACCGGTTTGAGGCGGTTTTACGGCAACGGGAGACAACATTCAGAAATTTATGCATATTTGGTGGGGATAGCAGAATATTTAATAAACGATTAAATAAATAGAGAAGATGAAGAAGAAGAGGAGTTAAGAAGGGGGATAGTGGTCAAAACACTGAGTAGGTAGGGAAGGGAGTGCTTGTTTTGATTGAAGCGCAATCAACGGCCATGTTAGCAAGTTATCTTCCTATTTTCTCGTGTGCTTTTGAAAAAGGTAAAGTTCCCCGCGCCATCCATTTTTAATTATTTATTTATGTGTGAAAGAGAGAGAGAGAGAGAAGCTTTCAGCGTGATTGCCGGCGTTGTCATGGCGACGGCGTCAGTGGCGACCGGCGCTTAGCATTTAAATATCAGTTTCAGGTTATTACTATCTTATTATATGGTATTGTGCTGCTACTGCGTAATTAATTAATTAATTTATTTATTTAGTAGTAATAATAATATATAAATTTAAATTTTATAACATGAAGGTGAGCATGTATGTATGTATGTATGTATGTATGTATGTAGAGGAAGAGACAAAAATTAGTGTTTCCACTTTCCACAACTGACTTTACTGCTTATTTTATGGGATTTGGAAATGCATATATACTCCGTAAATTTGTAATTGTAGGCGTTAGTTAGTTCACATTCAAACAAGCTTTTTATTTTCTTAAGTAGGTTGTGTTTTTAAGGATGATTTGGAGTAATAAAATCTTACATTCTAAAATAAATAGGAAAAAAGATATGATAATTAATAAGGATGGATAGAGAAAACAAGCATTTGATATTGATGGTGGGCATATATGTAATTTAATATTAATTGCACAGAGACCTAGCTCCACGTTCCATTTAATTCAAGTAGGTATGGTATATATGCATGCAGGTGTTTAATTTGGTTGATTAAAATTGGAGGAACAGAGTTAATTACATTAACGAGATCAGTCGTCGCCTATGCCTATGTCTATGCCTATGCCTATGCCCATGAAATGATGATAGGATTATGGAGTCGCCAATGATTTACTACATAAGTATGTAATTGGATGTGCTTACACACATAATAACAACACATGCACTTGCTCGTTTAGCCAAATTTAAATTAATACTAGTATAGTATAATAGTATTTAGACTGACATTTAGACTAGGACTCCCCACTCCCTGCTCATACTCAGGCAGTGCACCCCACCCCACCCATTATATAAATACATACACATATATAAGATTTAAAAAATGGAGTAAAGAAACAATGTTAATTTCCATAATAAGAGTAATACTAATAGTAATAGTATATGGAATGGAATGGGGGCAGAGAGAGAGAGAGAGAGAGAGAGAGAGAGAGAGAGAGAGAGAGAGAGAGAGAGAGAGAGAGAGAGAGAGAGTGATTGAGCAGTAGCTCCGTCCTAAATCAATGCAGCAAACTCCGGCCGGACTCTAGAGTCAATTAATTATCTATCACCTCAGCTAACCTAAGCTACTTTCCCACTACAAAATCACAATAAGCCAACCCTACCCTACCCTACCCTACCCCAAAATCCTCCACTCTTTCCCACCCTTGATGCTTTAATTTATTTTATTTAATTATCTATTATTAGTTGATTACACTATACTAGATGAGGATATATTAAGTTAGAACTCCTTTTGTGTTTGTTTAAATATATATATATATATATAATTAATTAGGGAAATAGATAGATAGATAGATAGATAGATAGAATTCCATTTGGGCATGTAGATGTAGAAAGCATTAGCAAATAGCAACGCACCACCGCAAATTAATAATAATAGTAGGTATAATGCATGCAGTGCAGGAGGAGGACAGCTCCACAACCACAACCACAACCACAAGCTTAATTAGCTTAACTTAGCTAGCTAATTAACCCTAACCAAAACTATTATTGTTACTTCCCATGGCTGTGGACCTTTCCAATAATATTATCATTCATCTACAATTAATAATATAATAACAAGATTTTTTAACATCATCAAAATTACTTATAATTAATGTTGTCGCCTTCATATATATTTTCGGTTATTATTCTCTCTCTTTACTTTTAATTTCTTAAGCAGCTAGCTAGCGTACCATGCAGTGATGTAAATAATTTGTCATCATCTAGTTGCATATTCCAACAAAATAAATATTGATTGAATAAAACTATATATATATATATATGTAATTAGGGTAGGGACTAGGGAGGGAGACAATGTAGGTATTGAGCCCCACACCCATTGATCACCACACTATCCTTGTCCTCCTAACTAACCAACACCCCATTATCACTATCATTACAACTTATATATTTATGGAGATATTTGGCAATTCGATACCATAATAACAATTCAAATTAAGATGCAAGTATACCATATGATATTAGATTCTTCATCAACACTGCTTACTAACTAAACCAGCTTAGCTAATTTGTTTTCATTACATTCTCAATAAAATATTTTTCGGATTTGAACATATGATTAGGGGGTTTTGTCTTATTATTATTATGGAGAGACAAACTTGCATGTGTAATTAATTGAGAGTGAATGATTGGATAGTCGCACGTGCGACAACAATGAAAAAGTTAATTGGGCCTGGGCATGTTCATGATAATTATGGCCTCCTATCAATGTCCGTTCCCCACTCCACATACAAATACAAATATATATATATATATATATATACATGCACAAATATAATAAATAATTTGTTCCCAGGTCCTATGGGCTTTTACAAGGCCTATGAAAGTGACCCAATGTAGAACTTGTTGTTAAGAAGGAAACCGAGTATCTAACCTAAAATCAATTGATGACAGGTGAAATGGTCCTTCATCCTTATATATTAGAGGATTTCTCACACATTTAGCAATGTCTCGTAAACAAGTCAAGAGCTAAATGGATCCCCGGCCCAATACTAATACTACGCTAACTCCATTAATTTTGAATAATTGATTTTTCCCTTTTAAAAAGACACACTCTACATTTTGGGTAAGCTGTACAGAATTGCATATACATTTATACTTGAAAATCGGAGAATGTAGTCATCTTGAAACGCTTATCATATATTTTTTATAAATTAAAAAAATAATAAGATTGAATACGACAATTAAAAATAATAATACAATAAAATAATTAATTTATTGTTTATTTTTAGTTAGAGGATGATTTTATATATTTTTTTTGGTCATTTTATTATTTACACTGGTGTATCTATACCACCACGTGTTACTAAACCGTGCTTAGCTATACTGAAAATGCTGAAATAAATTACAGTTGTTTGCAAATTTAGATCGCGACTCTAAATATCAACACAATTCAGCATAATTCCAAATGTGGTCAAATTTGATTTATAAACATTTTATAGTATTTTCTGAAAAGTTAATTGTTTTATTAATATTTAAATTATATTTATTTGCATTATTAGACAAAATCATTGCTTATAATAATAATTAATAATGAGTTGAGTCGAGTTTGAACTTTAGTTCAAATTTTAAAAAATTGAGGTGAGATGAAGTTCGACTAGAAGGAAAAAGAAAAAAAAGAATTAAAGAATGAAGTTCTTCTTACAATATTTTGTAACGAGTAAGATTTATGTAAGAACACTAACCTAATGTAAATTAATTCTCAAATATAATTTGACCCATTCACATAATCTATTACATGGATCGTTACACTATTATATGTGCAACTATGTTATGAGAATTATGAATCTCCATATATCACATTGAATAATTTAGAGTTTGTTTTAATAAATTGTAGTAATTTTGTTTCGGTAGGATGATTTGAGATAAAATGAATATTAAAATAAAGAAAAAGTATTGAATGTAATATTTTGAGAGTAAAAATAATAAATAAAATAAATGGAAAGAAGATGGATGGGGTAGGGTGGTGTAGGAAGTCGGTATGGAAGCTTATCCAGAAAGGAGATCGAAGTCAAATTACCCTATTTTTAGGGTTTGTACCAATTGCTACCAACCATTATTGTTAGATAGTGACAATAATCGCATCAAACAGATATAGTTCAATTTTAATATTCTTATCCATTCATTTATTTATAATTATAATTATATATACAAGGCTAATTAAAGAGTAATAGATAGTAGTAGTAGTATTGAATAAATAGAGAATGAAATGGAAATAAATTGAATACAAAAAGTTGATTCATAAATTTTGTCGAACCGACTTTGTGATCCAAACCCTGCCTTTTTCCAAATTGCAACTTAAAGACAGATTAAGAGAGCTAGAGATGTATACCGTTTGGGCTGGTGGTGGTGCAGGAGTGTGACTTGTGACCGTCTGATAAATTCAATTACTCTTAAAATTATACTTAGTTACATTAATATTATTGTATAAAATAAAAACATACATGTAAATAGTCTTTACATGATAAAAATAAAATAAAATTCAACAACTATGATTAAAATATTATGTTCATTGAATTATGCACCAACATATACCTAAATGATGGACGTAGAGAATATTATATATGGTTCTATTAAGGTGATCAAAAATATCTAGAGGATTTGTTTTTATTGTTAGCAATTGACCCCGATACTACAAAGTAAGCAGCTATCTATATATTGATTCAATCTTATGGTTAGAAATTGTATTGTGTTTACTTGGTGATATATTTTATTTTGGTTTGAATTAATTAATGATAAATTGTAGTAGTTTTATGATAGAAAATAATATATTTTTACAAAAAAAAATAAAAATGTAAAGATTGTCTAGGGTCCGGAACTATATATGTGAAGCGAAGCGTGTGTCTTGGCGATTCTACACACGCTTATTCAGTAATTATTGATTAATTAAGCACTCTAATTGTAATTATGATGTTAATTAATCAGGTTCTGGTTAATTCACAGCTGTATGGTAAATAAGCTTGCATTGCATGTCGGCAAATAAACTCTATTTATTAGGCATGTCGTCAGTCAGTCATTTGAAATGCGGGCGGGCGGATCCAATCCTCCAATCCGCAACTGAAACGTGTCATAACTTGGATAGAAATTATATATATATATATATTCGACTTAGCTTCTTCCGATTCAGTTTCAATTAATTACGTGATTAATTAAATTATAATTATGAGGCATGGACTTTTATAAGCTCTGCCTGTCCAATTTTGTGTAATTTGACAATGGTGACAAGTGCCGTTTTCAACATTTTCGAACACCAATTAAAAAAATATATATATTCTTGAAATAATGAGGTTATGAGTTCAAACGTTCGTTTACATTTCTTAGTTTGGGTTGATTATGTCCATACAAATTATCATTCAATGATTCCATCTCATTTGGTCTTCACATCTTCCTATGTTATCCTCATTTATTTCTAAGTTTCTTGATTGTCAAATATTTTCATTCGTGTCACTTCATGTACCATGCAAAAAATGTAGATTCTATATATACTAATCAACGTAAAATAATTCGGGACTAACAAAAACCAATAACGTACGTAGCTCAGATATGATTTTGGTCGTCCTATATAGCATAGCATATATAGCCTAGAATAGACTAGACTAGACTAGACTAGCATGTGTAAGAATTTGAAATGTCTTTCCGCCCACAACCAATTAATACACTCACGCATGCAATCACTCAGTCTGTGAAGCAAAGTTTATTTTCAAGTAATAAATTACTACATTAGCAGTATTAAATTTCATGGAGGAGAAGAATGGGAAATAGTAGGAAAAAAAAAAAAAAAAACCAAAGAAATTGGCAGACGTCCAATAAAAAAGTGACACCTGGCAAAGAGGACTTATTGTTAACTAAGTGATAGCAGATTAGGTACTCTACTGCTGCCCATGCATCCCGCGCCCATCTTGCCTTGTAATAAATTCTTAAAGAGGCTGTTTTCTTGATTTATCCTTTGGTACGGACTAAATTGTATCGTTTTCCCCATGTTTTCTTGATTTTGTTGCACCCCATTCTCGTTATGTAGATTAATAGTAATAGTAATAGTAATAGTAATAATAGCAATCAGAGGTTCGAATATGCTGTTTCCTGGTAATAGAGAGAGTGATGGAAATAGTGTGAGTGATATGGACCCAAACACACAGAGACGAAAATCCTTCACTGTGTACTGTAATACCTTTCTCTCATCGGCGGCTATAAATTATACGCCTAACCAATCTACAGAATCCTCCAAACTCTCTCTCCGACTTCTAACTAAAGTATATACATATATATCCTTGGATTCATTTTATCTAAAATTTCAAATAGTTGCTCCTTCAGAGATCCTTGTATCTTTTTAATCTCAGGGGTCACTTTAAATATTGCATCATTTCTCAATCCACAGATCATCTTAGCTAACTTTCTTTGGAATTGGAGCCGTTCAAGACACCAAAGGGGCGATTTTTACAGTACCCAGCTTCGTTTCCAAAACCTATTATATTCTACAAATCAAAAAGACAAAAACACACAAATGGCCAGGCTTCAAGACAACAACTTACCCTTTTCCTCTGGCAACGTCGGATATTCACTATCACAGCTGATTCTGACCAGCAATTCCACCACTTTGGATTCCCTTTTCTTCTCCAGTCAGCCGTCAATCTCCATAGCCAACCGAGCTTTCGAGCCCTTAGGCTCTTCCGTGTACCTCAAACAGAGAGATTTGCTCCAAAAATTCTGCAACGAAAAACAAGGAATCCCGCCATGGATTCCCATGGCAGAGGACTTGGGATATCGTCTCCCGACATATTTCAGCCGGAGCAAGAAGAAGCTGTACCGAGGGGTCAGGCAGAGGCATTGGGGCAAATGGGTCGCCGAAATTAGACTTCCTCGGAACAGACTCAGGGTCTGGCTCGGCACCTACGACACCGCCGAAGCCGCCGCCTACGCCTACGACAGGGCGGCGTACAAGCTGCGAGGCGAGTATGCTCGCCTGAACTTTCCGAACCTGCCCGACCCGACCCGGCTGGGTGTCGGGGACGGGCCCCGGATCGACGCGCTTAAGAGCGCCGTGGATGCTAAGATTCAGACCATCTGCCAGAAGTTGAGAAGGGAGAAGAGAGCTCACAAAGCTGCCAAGAAGGTCGACGGGAATAGAGAGAAGAATTCTCGCCGGAGCATCGCCGGCGATGCTCCGGCAAGAACTGACAGCGACAGTACTTTTGTGAAGGAAGCAGATTCGTGTGAGTCGATTGCCAATGCCGTTGAGAGCTGCAGCGGCAGCGTATCCGAAGTTGGGTCGAGTGAGTGGTGCTCCACGGCGGCGCCGCCGGGGGAAGCGGAGGTTGAGGGGTGCTCCCTGGCGCGGATGCCGTCGTATGATCCCGAACTCATTTGGGAAGTCCTGGCTCAGTGATTCATTTTGTCCGTGATGAACATGGTCAACTTTAATTAATTATTATTACGTATTATATAATTAAGACAATAAATGAATAGTTTATAGTTGTTATATCTGGATAAGTATAGTGATAAGCAGAGGACACATACAAGGGCTACGCTACATTTTGTCAACGAAGAGGGACAATGCTACGTTAAGACCTATATAAAATTGTGTAGAATAAATCTAGCTACAGATTTAGATAGTATCGTGGTGTAACGTTGTGATGCCAAATATGACTATGTAATGGGAAATATTAATTAGCAATACAATAATATTAATAGTATTTGTCTTTGTCTTTGTGCTTGTGGGGCAGCCAGCCATTCATTCATCGTATTATATAATTCTAATTCTAATCAAATGAAAACCACCAGTATGATGGGACCGTTGCTTTTCTGCTAACATTATATGGGCCGGACTGTGTAAGAATCTAGCCCATGATGGCCCATGAATAATTTTATATATCACGTATTGAAGCAATTCAAGATTTAAAATATATGGATTAATATCTTTATAGAGAGGCTGAGGTCATGTCAATAATTTGTGATCATAAGACGACATAATCCTACCTAGTTAATTACAGTGCATTCTATCCAGTGCTAAAAGAGTAACACAGTAAAGTATTGGGAAATATGTTAGCAGAAGTCATAAGATAAGGTTGGGAGCAGACACACATACACACACACGCACCCCTAAAAAGAAGTAAATAAGATAAAAAGTGGAAAGGAACAAGAAAATACGAGAGTGAGATTGAGAGTGAGAGTGAGAGTGGTGTGGTCCAAAAGGAACACCATGAATCACGATCGATGATTTATCGGTCAATTCTCTCGTGAAAGAAACCATATTCCAATTATACCCCCGGGTTACGGTAATAGAAAGCTTCGGATCCCAAAACGGTAACTTGAACTCATCTTGCAGACAGCCCACTTGTCTGTTCTTGGAAAAATTAATAACGAGGGGCAGCCACCATTTGTCAGAAAGTAGTAGAGGTTTCCTGTTATGGACCAGTAAGAGCGAGGAAGGAGAGGCCGCCCTGATGGATGTTTTTGCTTTAGAATTGTGGAAAGAATTAATAAAGATGGTTGTTTTGTTATTAATTTAATGGAATGCGGATTGATGAGAGGAGAAGAAACTTGGAGAAATAAATTAATTTGGACCATTGAGACAAGTTGCAGGTGACAATGGCGGTGTGTTTTGGACTGTTGTGAAGCTCTGACTCTCTCTCTCTCTCTCTCTCTGACTTTGATTCTCATTCACTCCCCTTTACCCACTCCTATTTTTCCTCCAATATCCACCCAACCATCCTCCCATCAATCCACTCCTCGGCCGCCGATTCGGTAATGGTAAGTTCAATGGACGACGGAGATAGGCGCACCGCCGGACCGGAAGAGGATTTCATCAGGAAACACCACAAGCACGACGTCGGGGAGAATCAGTGCACGTCCTCCCTGGTCAAACATGTCAAAGCTCCTTTGCCTCTCGTGAGATATATACTATACACATACATATTCAGATATTCCCGTATCCCGTTTCCTACTTGGATTTTCATCTCAGATCTAGGATCGATTCGACAAAATTGTGAGCGTTTGGGATTTTGATTCATTCGATTAATTTTGTAGGTTTGGTCGTTGGTGAGGCGGTTCGATCAGCCGCAGCGGTACAAGCCTTTCGTGAGTAGGTGTATAATGGAGGGCGATTTGCAGATTGGGACTGTGAGGGAGGTGAATGTCAAATCGGGGCTACCCGCCACCACCAGCAAGGAGCGTCTCGAGCTGTTGGACGACGAGGAGCACATTTTCAGCATGCGGATCGTCGGCGGAGATCACCGCCTCAAGGTCTCTAATATCTCTTCTCCGATCAAATTCATTATCTCCACTCTAATCTCTTCTCCTGGATTCATTCAATTTAGGTTTTGTAAATTTATTCCCAGTTCATACATCTACTATGAAGAACATGTTTGACTTGTTAGGTTAGGAAGGGGTATTCACTATTCTCTCTGTTCATGGAGAATTTGTGATCCAATTAGCTTCTCTCCTGCGTGCATTGTTACCACTAATTGCACTTTCCATTGATAGTTAGTTAACAGATGCCAAAAATCATGAACACAGTACATATCATATTCATATATGAGAGCATAGTTAATTAAAGATTTAAGGGTTGCTGGGGTGGATGCAGAATTACTCTTCAGTGATCACAGTTCATCCTGAAGTGGTGGATGGAAGGGCGGGGACGATGGTGATAGAGTCGTTCGTGGTGGATGTTCCGGCCGGAAACACTAAAGAAGAAACATGCTACTTTGTTGAGGCTTTGATCAAGTGCAACCTCAAGTCCCTGGCTGATGTCTCCGAGCATCTAGCCATGCAAGGCCGAACAGATCCGATTGGCAGAGTTTGATGGCTGGATGGAAAAGTGCTATCTAGACATAGCAACAGCTTCGATTCGATTCAATTCAATTCAATTCGGGGATACAATCAGGATACTGAAGAAAGTCACCAAGCTGAGAGACTGCTGCGCATCACCTCTCCTCCTTGAAGGTGGGATTTCATGAAATCTGCTGGTTTGGTTCTTAATGGTGGTTTTGATGTTTCTATAGTGTATGGATGGGTGTCGATTTGGCCGCTCTTGATCTTGATCGTGATTGTGATTGTGATTGTGATTGTGATTGTGATTGGGATCGACATCCAGCCATCCATTCATCCATCCATCCCTCTCTGTCTGTGTATGCTCTGTGGAGATTGGTTTGTAAATAAGTTTAGGTAGAGATGATTGAGGATGTTTTTGTTCATGTGTTTTAGAAATCATGTTTGGTGTTGGGGTTGGGGTTCTATTAATTACAGTTACTGCTATTTGTTGTTAAATTTGAAGTCTGTTTTTATTTTATTTTGGATGTTTGGAAGCAGCATAAGCGTCGTTGGTTGGTAGCAAGGGGCCAATGAGGCATAGGCATACTTATTATTATTGTTGTTGTTTTGGAATAATAATATCTCACTCACTTGCAAGAATGAATGGCTGCTTTGTCTTCACCCGACTTTAATGTTGCCTTAGATTAATTAATTTATTTCTTTCTTCTGTCTAATAGATAATCTATTGACTGAACTCATCATCCATCCACACAGTTTCACTTTACCAAACAACATTAAAATTAAATTATTGCTAAAGATTTGTGTTCGAACAAGAAGAGGTAGGATGCATTCGAATGATGGGGTATGTATGCTTGCTGCTGGAGCCAATGCTTTCTTCCAAGCTTGTGTTGCTTGTAGTAAGTAATTAGGTGCAGAATGACATCCTCACAAGAGCAGTGTCTTAAAAGCAAAGGAATCATTCATTCGTTCATTCAGTCATTAATTAGAAGTGTGCATAAAGATAACAATATTGTACCACTCCCCACATTTCAATCTCAATGTACAACAACAATACCAAGTAGCAGTATATATTTTCAAACTCACACTCTTGCTCTGCCTCTGTGCCAGGTAAGTGTTGCCCAGAAAGCTGCCACGTGTACCATACTCAAACAGAAACACAAACATACATTTATTTGGTGTATATATATATATATATGATTGTATGTATGTATGTATGTAATAGACTAATAGTATATGTCTAGAAGTAATGATCCAAGAACTTGCGCATACGCCTAAAGAAACAACCTTTCTTGTGCTCTTCCGTCTTCTTCACAATATTATAATAATTCATCTTCCGATCAGAGTGGTAGCGTTTGATCACTGGGATGCTTTTCTTCTCCACCTTCCAATCATCCGAATCACTGTCGCTGTCGCTGTCTTCGTGGTGGTGGTGGTGACGGTGACGGGGGATCCATGGCTTCTCCACGGCCACGGGGTGATCGAAGTTGCTGTTCTCGCCTGATGCAACGAGCATGTCGTTTCCGTAGGAGATCGCCTCTCTTTCCCTCAGCTTTGGGATGACATTCCAGTGGCCGCCGCGGCATCCTCTCTTCGATCTCGCCGGAAACCGGTGGTTGATCCATCGGAAATTGGTTCTGGTCAACGCACCATCGGTCTGCGTGCCCGTGGGGAGCTTAAGCGCGGTGGCGTATTCAGACTCAGAGGTGGGGAAGGTAACCTGGATGTTGTTGGCGACGTCGTTTTCCGCCGGCGAGGTTTTGGCTGTGGAAAGAACGACTAGGCACAGGCAGAGCAGCACGATCAGAGTGGCGGATGGTTTGGCCATGGTTGGTTTGAGAAGGAAGAAATCTGTCTGGTCTGTGATATAAATCGAACCCGGGCAGCTGGGCAGATTGGATTGGTGGGTCTGGACTGACTGGGTCAGGTCGATCTGGGGACTAGATGACCGGGACAGGGCAGGGCAGGGATCACAAATTCAAGGTTGAATTTATGGTTGTAGTACCTCCATAGTCTCCCTCCATTATTTATCCATTATTCAGAGAGTTGGAAAACGACACAGTTGAATTGTTTACAAACCCAAATCACTCTAATTCTACTTGATTTGATTGAATTAGGTTAGATTGGACTGGACTTCTAACAGTAGTGGGCCTGCCTGGGAGCCCATTAACATTCTTGTATGCGAACACAAATGCAAAAATAAAATTCCGTGAATATTCGAATCTAGCACTCAGTCTGTCACTATCAATTTGAAGATTCAAACATCCATAACATGACATGACGTGCATAAACTATTGAGAGAGAGAGAGAGAGCATGGTGACAAAACTCCTGCATAGTGTGATCAGAGGAGCATGAGCAGCTATAATTATACTGAATAATATATATTGTCGTCCAGTCCAGAGACATATAGGCAGATAGAGACTTAATACTATTGATTAGCAGGGTGGCCTTTGCCCTGGCCTGCCTGCCTGCCTGCAGGGATATAATGGATCTTCGTTGCCAATAAAATAACCAACTCCCACCTCCTCCATATATCCATCAATATTTAATGCTACTCATATTCATATTCATATACGTATACCCCCACCCCCACTACTAGCTACTCATCATCAAGATGCTAGCAAGAGTTTTCAATACTCCCACGCCATGGCGAAGCCCCCCGCCGGCAGGCTCTCAGGCCGGCGGCGACTCCGCCGCCAATAACCTCCCTAACTCAATATACGACCAAGAGTACCAAGACTTCATATACGGCTTCGTCAATGACATCCCACTCATCTTCTTCACTACTAGTAATAAGACTACTACTACTATTAGTCCTCCTCAGCCTCATACATTAATAAACGACTCCGACGACTTAGACTCAGACAAATCTGACTCAGACTCGACGACGCAGCAGCTGACCATCAGCCAGGTTCTCAGGGCATCCGTGGGAGTCATCGGGGAAAGCCCTTTAGGGATCACCGAAAAGATCGTGCTCTCCGGAACTACTATTTGCGCCATGAAAAGATTCCGGCGAGTCACCGTACGGAAGAATGAGTTCGGGAGGAGGATATGGAGCATAGCTCGAATAGGAAAGCAGTGCCAGTATCTAGTCCCTCTTACAGCTTACCTCTACACAAAGAGGATCAAGTTCCTCCTCTCCCACTACTATCCCATGGGCTCCCTCGCCGATCTGCTCTCCGGTACGTGATTAATTGATCAATCAATCATTCATCTCATAATTAATTAATTAATTAATTTACAGGTGCTAGAGAACAGGGGCAAACTGCTCTGGAATGGAAGCATCGCCTGAAAATAATCCAATGCATAGCAAAAGCAATCGCATTCATCCACTCCCAGAACGCTGCGGAACAAGACAAGCAGCGATTCTTGCAACTAAATGTCCACGGCAACATCAAATCCTCCAACGTTATGATAAACATCGACTTCTCCGCCTGCCTGTCGGACTACGGCTTCATCCACTTGGCGGCGGCGGAGGCGGAGGCGGAGGCGGCGGCGGCGGCGGCGGTGGTTCACGACACTGGGCAGCCTCAGCCTCAGCCTCGGCCTCAGCTCTACGACAAAACAGTGTCGCAGGAAAGTGATGTGTATAACTTTGGTGTGGTGATTTTGGACATTCTGGGATGGCCTAGTGGCAATAAGGCCGGTGGGTTATTGTTTGAGTTTTGTGTGGAAGGAAAAGAGGAGTGGCAAGCGTCCAAGGTTTTCGAGATTTCCTCGAATTGTACCCATAGGTTGTCCCATGCAAGACCTCGTATTCATCAAATTGTCTCTACTCTACAACACTTGGGGGGGTCAAGTTATTAAGTAGAAGAAATTAATATATCTATGCCGTTTAGGATAGTTTCTTTTTTTTTTTCTTCTGTTATGATGATTGGGGCAACCAACGAAATAATCCTGTTTGTTTCATTTTGACCTATATAAATAAGATTCAATCATTTGTTAAGAATAAGGAATCTTTTGATTATTACTATGATGCTATTGTGTAAGAAGGCCCAAACCCAATGTTTTGAAGCATAATGGCCCAATTTTCAATTGGAGCGGGTCAGACCAAATACAAATTACCCGGATAGGTTTATATTGGGTTTAATTTGGCGCGCAGAACGAAAAACAAATTAGGGCTTCTTAATCGAATTGTCTGGAACGAACTGGAGGAGGGAATCAAGAAGCCAGAATGGCGACGAAGCGCATTTCGAAGCGAAGACGCGTGATCCAGGACGAGTCTAAGAAAGAAGAGCAGGAAGAAGGTGCTGGAAATGGAAATGGTAGTTCTGGTGAGCAATCGGCGGAGAAGAAGGCAGAGAAGTCACCGGTCATCGTGTTTGCACACGGGGCGGGTGCTCCTTCCTCTTCTGAGTGGATGGTTAGGTTAGGTCTTGTTTTCGTGTCTATATTTTTTTAGTTGAGATTGGATGAGATTAGTATAGCAGTTTCCATAGATGAAACAAGGTTCGTTGTTGTTTTGTGCAGATGGAAAGATATGTTATGCAAAGCGCTAAACGCGGTTGAAGTAGTGACTTTTGACTACCCTTGTAAGTACCAGATAGGATTGTTTCTGGATATTTAGATCGTACCTATGATGAACTAGTATGGGATCGTCTATAGAGTTTTTGGTACGATGAAAATTTTACACTTAAGAAAACCTGATTGAATTTTCCTCTGGGGTGCTGGCAGACATGGCAGGAGGGAATCGAAGGGCACCTCCCAAGGCTGACAAATTAGTTGATTTTCACTGTGACATTGTTCGAAAGACCATGGCTAAGTACCCTGGGCATCCACTGGTCTTGGCTGGGAAGTCCATGGGATCAAGGTCGGTAAAAGGTTGGCCATTTTTGTTAAATGACCTTTTCTCTCTCTCTGCTTATTTGCATTCGCACTACAACCAACATTCAGGGTCAGCTGTATGGTTGCTGTAGAAGAAGATATTGCTGCTTCAGTTATAATTTGTTTGGGATACCCACTAAAGGTTAAACAATTTTTTGGTTTTCTGCCTTTCATTTACTGTACACTTGCTGGGAATTGAATTGATTCCACTTCTAGTGCTTCTCCATCAAATCAGACCTTGTGTGTTAAAAACAAATGTTGTACTTGATCCTGACATTGTGTCATTTTTTAGGGTATAAATGGTGCAGTGCGGGATGAAACTCTGCTGCAACTTTCAGTCCCTGTAGTCTTTGTGCAGGTGAGCCATTCTGCATTGTCTAATTACAGAGACCTCTTTTTATTTATTACGTAATTCAATGGTAAGGAGATGCAGAGCAAACACTAGTGTTGAGAAAACAAGGATTGGAAATTATCAATAGCTTTATCCACCCTATATGTTTGATTGAATCTGTTTAGTTTGCTGCATTAAATTAGAAAGTTCATATTGGCACATTTAGATGCACATCAATTATATAAAATTTATGGTTTTTTAATTTTGATTTTTAATATGCTAGGGTAGCAAAGATCAACTGTGTCCGCTGGAAAGGTTGGAAGCTGTAAGGAAGAAAATGAAATCCAACACATCATTGCATGTAATTGATGGTGGTGATCACTCATTCAAGATTTCAAAAAAACATCTACTCGCTGAAGGATCTAGTCAAGAAGAGGTAGAAGAGCATGCTGTGCAAGAAGTGGCAAGAGTTGTTTCAGGTTATTTGAAGGGGACTTGATGCTGTAATTGCATAGCCAGCTGGTTTGGAAATATGTTCATAGTAGTCCTATGCAGTCTAATTTTCCTAAACCTTTTTGCACTGTATGACTGTACAGGATCACCTAAATATCGTAAATCTTCCATCCTATTTCAGCAAGACAAGTCTTTCCTATGTATCTCTTGAAAGCTAAGTTAATTGACCTGTAGCTAATGAAAGCATTAGTTAAAGTTTATGTATACAGTTAGTCTATCATTAGAGACACGGAAAATGAATTCACACCAGGCGCCAAGAATATAACTTCAATTTGTAGAACGTGCAAAGGGACGGGGGCTACCTTACAACATCACTGAGTTGGTTTCAAGACAGCTTGCTGGTGCCACACTCCATTCAAGTTGGACTGCCACAGCCCAACGGTTCCATCACTTCCTGTAGTAGCCAATGTCATTCCACTCATGTCCCATTCCATTTCCCACACCTAAATTCATGAAACAAGAACATCATTTCCGCCAATTACGCAGGGACAGGGACACACAAACCTTGGAAAGCATCCAAACCAGACAAAAGAATGGCGTCTTTCCATACCTCGCTGTCCTGGTTAGATAGCATCGCAATCTTATGTGTTGAGAGCCTCCCGTCTGCATCAGGGTTTGTGCTGAGATGCCAAATCGATATTCCCTTTTGTGTTGCAACACCTATCAGTTCATAAGGCCTAAAAACATATGCAGCAATACTTCAGTATTCGGAATTCATTTATTCTAAAAGGTAAGCAGGTTATCCCTACATTTATGCAAGTTCGTTTCTAGAGGGTATTGTCAAAATTTTCTGCTAAATGCTGTCTCCAATGTAACATTCATTATATATAAAGCAAGCTAACCCAATAAATAAGAGAGAAAAGCAAATCAAACAAAATTTGGAACCTTCCAATATTTGGTGCCCAAGCCACAGCATAAACCTGGTCCCCTTTATCCTCAGGTGAAGAAAGTTCTGCAACTGGAAGCCATCTTTGATGATCCAAATCAAACTCCCAAACCTATAAGATGTAGAATGCGATTAAATTCCATATATGCTTAGGTAGAAATGACGAACAAGGCCTACAGTGCACTCATCAGTGTCATCACACAACAATAGTCACTGGAACCAAACAATTGTCAAGTGAAATACAGGTTGTCAGGCTCAATAATCCAACAAAAAATCTGACCTTCCAGGTAGAGCAAAGACAACGCCAAAAGTCCATCCAAAATTTTTATCATGCATTAGCTTCACCTTCACCTTATATTCAACTTCACAAGTGATTCCAAAGTACATATTCAAGTAACAAAAGGATGTGTAAAAGGTACCTTAGCAGAATTTAGTGTGGGAACATTTGAGTTAAACCCCAAAACAAAGCTCGAGTGTTGTCCTTCATTTTTTTGTGGGTTCCAGGAGATGGAAGCAGACTGGCAAGAAGCATTCCGAAACTTGGACACCAAATCAACTACATTCTGAAATTCAGCCTACAAATTGGAAAATATCGTATCAGGCAAAAATGCTTTATAAAACACTAATCCAGTAAATGAATACCAATAAGAATGTCATTCGCATCTAAATCAACCTAGTAAAAATACCAAATCCTGGAATGTAGTTTATCAACCAACTAGTTGTAGCTTATAAAGATCAAAAGGTTGGAACACAAGCCCATCTTGAATCTCTTCCAAGAAAGTTTGGGAAAATAAATCTATAATTTTAATATGGATAGAAGACAATGAATATCTTACACTTAAGTTTGAGAGCCTGTTTATAGTAAATAAGCATGCACGCTCCAGGATATGCTTACAACAAAATTTATATCCAAACATAAGGTAGTTTCATAAGTTTCACCATTGAAACATGCCCAGATCAATTTTCTACAAGGTAATATAGTTGTGGTAGCAACAAACTGAGAACCTGAAGTTGCCACTTCTCCAGTTCAAGTGTGTCTAGCACCTCGTATATTTTAACTTGTCCATCTGAATATGCAGCCACCTGTCAATAGAATATCAGGGGTAAAATGGAACCTTGGCTTCTGACTGCAGGACACTTTCATACATATTTGAACCTTAACGTTGCATTCTCCTTAACACAAAAAGAAAGTCACATAAGACAAAGATGCTTCACACTCAGTGAAAATATTACTCTCTTAACCTTTCATGGTTTTTTGAGTAATAGCAATGGTTCTTTATACTGGTCAGATCATGATTAATCATTAAATGTACCTCATTGCTGACTTGCATAGCTTACTATAGCAATGCAAGAAAACAATAAGATAATGTTCATTTTAGGAAGATTGTATCGGGTAACATCTCAGCTAGTTGATGCCCCCCTTCTTTTCTTCCATACAAACTAAGCTTACATTCTCATTAACAGGTTAATAATTGCTTGGAAAAAAAAAAAAAGTCATCACAATAATGATCGGACCTTTTTGCCTAATTCTGAAGACGTTCAGAGTGAGTGCAAAGAATGACAATGCAGGTAATTGAGAACACTAAATAGCAGGGATTCACTAATGTTGATCTGAGGTTACAATTTACTTAGAATTCATTTTTCTTCTATTAGCATCACATTGATACTTTTTGGCGCAGTTATCCCTACAATCATTTACTCATCTAAAAATATAATAAAATACTACTTACTTGTTCACAGAAATTTTGGAACTTGGCTGATCTAAAGAAGACAAATATTCTTTACTAATAGAAGTGTAAGAGAGTTTACTAATGTCTCACTGCAGAACCACCCATATTGTAAATCAACTTTGCTTCACACTACTTCAAAATGATCTCCACACAAACAATAACAGGACTAACCAATTTCAGGCATGTATGACTATTTCCAAATTGAACATCCAACACTTGGCTTTTATCTCTATCAAAGCATTTGCACATTTTCCAGCGGTTCCCTCCAGCATCTAGATCATAACAAAACAAACATTCAGCACTTAATCCCTATTAAATTGTCACAGACCACGCACGCAAAGACAATCTAGACACAACACAGAAAAATATGAAGAAATGGCGGGAAAAAGTTGGTAATTGTCAGGCAAGAAGCAAATACAATGTAATAAAAAATTATTAATCTTCGACTCATTCCCTACAATCCCTAGCATGAACACAAACTTCTGAACAAAAGTACTTGTCACCAAAAATATTTCTTCAACACAGTTTTACACTCGACCTTGCTTCACCGTTAGTAAGAAACAACACAACTGACGGATCAGACTTTTCCAAGTTATACCCCCAACAATTTCTTTAATGCATTTTCCTTTTTCAACTTTAGAAATCCTTGAAAAAAAAAAGAAAAAAAAGGCGGCATATTTAACTACCTTCCGCAACCTCCTCCCACAAAGACAATGTTCCATCAGCACAAACGCAGGCCACAGCGTCTCCATATTCCGGTGGAACCCATACAACTTTCAAAATACTGCTCTCCCGAACCTAAAAGGCAATTCACCACTTAAAAGCCATTTCTTTCGCACAAACGCACCCAATCAAACTATAAGAAGAAGGAAATATGCAACACACAAAAAAAAAGAGAGAGCAACTTAACTGACCTTGAATCTAGCGGAAGAAGTGAAGGTTGAAGAAGCAGGATCAGTAGAATCGTAAATTACCAACGAACCATCGTCGAGTCCAGCGGCCAATCTCTGGCCACTGTAATTCCAAGCAGTGCATCTAGTCCCTCTATCAAGTGTTAAAATTGGCTTATTGTTCATCTTAAAGCAAATGAATTGCTTAGCTTTTCTGTCGATTTGCAGGCCTATTCATCCATCAATCTTCAAGCACACTTCACTCGTAAACCCTAATAATTGAATTTACCGGGTTTCATAAACATTGTATCATCTATTTAAAGTAACTCGACTTTTTAAATGAATGGGCTCTGCGATAGGCCCATTACGCCGTTTGCTTAAAGCCCAAAACGCATATATAATGAGCGAGGAGAAATACAGACACGTGGCAGCTAGGTCAAACCTATTATATACGTACTGAAACATATATACGTAAAACTGCCAAACCTCTATCAGAGATTTATTATATACGTACAGCTTAATTATTAAGTATTATTATTATTAACTTGAACACGTACTGCACCTAAAGCTGGCTACATATTACAGCAACAACAAGGGAAGGGACTACTGAATATCGTCCCGATTAACTGTACAACAATTAATTAATTAACTAATTATATATGTAATTATAATTTATAACATATAGTAGATTAGTCATCTTCCATCCATCGACCCATCATCAGGAACAAGAAATACCGACGCTGGTCGCCGCCGTGAACCTCTCCGACGCCGTCCGTGTCACCAGAGACCTCATCTCCGGCGACAGCCCACCGAACTCCGTACCTTCGGGAATCGTTGACAGTGCACCCGACCCGTCGTAGAACCCGTAGAATCCACCTCCACTGCCGTAGTTACTGCCGGCGCCGCCGTGTTTAGGCCGGAAAACCGCGCGGATGAGCCGCTGGAAAGACCTCGATATCCTCGACGACGCCGGCTTCTTCTGCGCCGCCGGCCGCGGAATCCCCGACGACAAATGAGGCATCGAAAGAGATCGCGAAGAAATGGCAGAATCCAGCTGTTTCTCCAAAGCTTTCAGCTCAAACGAGTCGTACAGCGAACTGCCACAGTCCCAAATTTTCCGATGGTGATTATGATTATTGACCGCTCGATCCGCCGCCTTTTTCTCCTTCTCCGGCGCGGCGGCGACGCTACTTTTGTCCATCAGAATTAGCCTGCTTCAGAAGAAAAAGAAAAGATTGGTATGAAGGTGGGTAGAGTCGTGGTGTCTTCTTTATGGTGGATGAAATTCACGTCTGTGAAATATATGCCACAATTTTATGTATGTATACGTGTATATATATATGTGTGTGTGTGTGTGTGTGCAGCAGCAACGAGCAACGTAAGCAAGCCGATGCATTTATGGCAGTAGGTTTCATGGCAGTTTCATTTCAGCATCTTCAAAGATATATCATGATCACAATAATACTTATATATTACTTTATGACTTAATAAGTGATTGGTAATAAAATAAAAAAAAAAAAAAGAATTAGAATGAGACAAATAAATAGTTTAATTATTAATTGTTGATAAAGTGGGAGGAATAAAGTAATTAATAATCAAGATTTTTTTTGTTTTTTTTTTACAGATAATCGTTATATGATAGTGATGGTGAATAAGAAAATAATCAAGTATATGATTAAATTCCGCGTAATGTGTAATTAAATTGAATAACAATAAGGCAAGGCAGGAATAGGTGTCACATCACATGAATTTTGAAGTCAAAGTCGTGAAATGATGTGAACGTGGGATAAAATATATGTAACAAAATAAATAAATAAATAAATCATACAGCAGCCAAGTTGGAGCTAGCGGTAAAAAGGGAATATTAATATTAAGACACATATGTCATAAAATGGCTGAGATAGGGAATATAATATATATTAATTGTTATTATTATTATGATTGAGGTTGTACTTGTGCAGAATTGCCTCACACTGTTTCCCTGTGGAATGGACACGGATTTGCAGTTCATAAAAATTTCTTAGTTTCTAAGCAAGAATTACGTAATTAGCTTCCATTCACTTTACATTTAATTGATTTCAATTGAAGGTAGAAATTTATATATGTTCTATTTTATTCTCTCACTGCCAATAAGTATGAGAATAAATTAATTTGATTGATGATTGTACACACACACACATATATATATATATACACGTATGTGGGCATTAATTAATAAATTGTGGGGTAAGTCGCAATTAATTTAATTAGTGAATTGTCATGTACCGTTCAGGAAAATGACATTGACCGATACATAGCTGCGTGTGTGTGTTTTCTTTAATTTGGAATGAGGTACGTTTTTCACATATATGGTCCAAAATGTTGGTTATAGAACTTAGGTTAAGCAGTGAAAAATGTGGGTTCCTAATAATTGAATAAAATTCACAACAGTGCCTCGTGTCAATAGTAAATAAATAAACCTAATCTATCACAATTATACGTAGTAGAGTCAGCTAGACGAACCAAAATCAGGACGACTTTCTTTGTAACATTTAAAAAAATAGAAAATAGAAAATGAAATTTTGGCTTGACCTGTCCCTAGATAGGCAAGGCTAAGGGCAAGGGCAAGGGCACCCTTCTACATATGGCATCGAATAATGTCATGAATTTAAATATACTAGCCATCAAAATTCAATAACGATATTCAATATATCATGATTCATAAAATTCTTGCCTTAGCAAAAGCTCAATTCATAATTAACGAACTCAATCAACTACGTCGCTACTGAACAACTTGAATTGTTTGGCATCCAAAACCAGCTTCCTTACACTCGAAAACGCCCCCATAATCCCGACACAAGTGAACACAACGATGATCGTATTGTTGACCCAATAAGCCGGGGATGATCTCGCCGGTTTGTGGGTCATGTTGTAGAGAAGCATCGGCAGAACAAAGTCTAGAGGGATAAATCCTATGGCTCCTACCACACCATTTATGTCGCCGAAGAAAGGTAGCATTGCAGCAAAGAATCCACAGCATATCATATACAGAGATCTCAGGACAATCCGCGGGATCAAATTTCTCTTGGAGAATATCCCCTGGTTCACATCCGCCGACTTCGATTCCATTATCTCATAAGCTACTTGAGAATACACCTGAAAACTTTACTACAGTCATCACTCTTGAGGAAGAAAGAAAAAGTATGAATTACGACTTACAAGGCCAATGGCGAAGAGCTGGAGAAGAACCAAGACAATCGCCACGGCTAAAACTGCGACCGGCGCCAAGGAAGGTCCTTCGTCGGGCATCAAACTTTTGAGAATGTTCGAGTTGGATTTATTCCCGAAAACCCAATATCCCGAGACAGCAGCAGAGTAAAATGTAACAAAAATCACAGAGTAGCACATGATCAGTCCCTTCACCATTTTTCCAGCAGCCGGTGGAGCCAGAGTAGCCTGTGTCGACAATTACAATCGACATGTAATAATCCAACCTCATCAAACATGATAAAGGGTAGGATATACCTGTATTTCAGGCAGTATACCATTCCCATAAATGGCTGCTATTATGGATATAGAAGTGAATGCACTGAACAGTTTGGATGATTCCGAAGATTCCAAAGAATAGTCTCTCTGTGGGGCGTTTTTGGACATACCTGCAATATAACATAACAGAGATGAAATTGCTTTGGTCAGAAATTGATGCGAGTCGTAGAATCGGGGGATGTTATTTTACCGGCCTTAATACAAGCCCCGACTACGAGAAAAGTGTAGCCGAAGCTGAGAAGGAGGGAGACGAGGTTGATGTGGCGGAGAGAATGGAAAGATGGGAACTGAGAGAGGAGTATCATGACCAGTGTGACCATGGCTATGAACTGGTAGAGCTTCATGGCTCCATGGGGATAGAGATTTGAATACATGATCTGTGCTGCCATAAACAAAGGCCATATCAAAATCCACACAACAGAACTGAAGTTGCTCCATTGATGACCATATCTATACTACCTGGAGGCATTCACCTGCCAGCAGAATAGCTCCAATGCTGATGCCAGTGTTGATGGCTGTTTGTACGAATATCACGAAATAGAACATCCAACCAGAACCTGCATGCCCGAAATTGCACACTCAATAATAACACATACTATGAAGATAGTGATTGATTGATTGATAATAGGCATGAATAATAAATGCAAAGTAATTTATTGTACGGTATGCGCAGGCAGCCCCTACCCAAGACGTCGGCGGCGAGCTCACGGAATCTGATGTGGCGGCGGCCGGCCTTCTCGCAGTGGTCGAGCACCAATGACATGAGGTAGTAAGAGTAGAAGGTGACTACACCCATGGCAGTTAAGCACAGAAAGCCTAACCCCCAACCCAAACCCCGGAATGCGTAGGGCAGCGTCAGTATTGTCGGCCCGACGATCGCCGTCGTCAGATGGAACCCAGCGTGCCACCATTTCCCTGTAAACCCAACATACCATTAAACACCGATTAATTCTCCCAATCTCAATCGACCCTTATTTTTTTTTTTTTTAATTTAGAAAACAAGAAATTAATTAACCTCAGCTCGAATTTGAAAACTCAATCCGCCATAGATATATATATATATATATATTGAGAATATACCTTTGGATTGCAGCACAAAAGCAGCCCCGGCGTCGTCCTTGCGGGTGATGTCGGGATTGGGGGCTTCCTCTGCCATTGATTCTTGGATCAACGACAGACGACCATATGTTATAAATTAAATAGTATTATTATTGAAGAAGATGAAACCAAGAAACCGTTTCCTTGAAAACGTCACTCAAGATCGGTGACGTGCGGGAAGAAGAACCTCTGTGACTACTTACTCATGAATGCGTGAAAGATACATACATATACATATGCAGCATATATATCATGCATGCGCAGACGGATTCTATATATGTATGTAAGATTACAACACAACCTGACGGAGAGTAGCTCAAATCTTCTCTCTTCTGAGTTTTCAGAGATTCAAAAAGACGGGGGGAGGATAGATGAATAAATCACACCCGTTGACTTTCCAATTGCAATCAAGATTTGAAATTTGTCTAATACTATATATATATATATATATATAAATATAATATACTTATTTGATAAGAGAATATAATACTTATACTAGTAGTATAATTAATGTAGTAGATGAAAACGATGATTCGAAGTTAGCTTTGAAGGCACGCAGGAATTGTTTAATTGAAAGCGGCTGTTATTGTATAATTATTAGCTAGTAAAAAGCATTCATTATTAGTTTTTTTTGTAATAATGATGAGGTATGTGCATAGTAATTAAGGTAGTTTGTCGGGTTAGTAAAGAACAAGAAAGAAGAATAGATCATCCGACCATTATGGAAAATTATTTTTAGTCTTAAATGAGTCATAAATTGTATGTATGCGCGTACATAACTACATATAATACCAGTAGTATATGATCACTGTTTAATTTGTGAAATAGTTTTCAAAAGTAAGTTTTTTACATAAAATATAAAAAGTTGTGTAAAAAATATAAAAATAGTGAATATTTGTAATATAGTATTAATTTTAATGACAAAAATGTGCATCATTTACAAAAATACACGCTGGTATTTGATATTTAATTGGTTATATAATAATTTCTTATTACTTAATAATTAAAAATATATTAATAAGAATAATTATAAATTAAAATTAAAATAACTAATTAATTCATTAAAATTAAAAAAATATATAAATTAAAACGTATAATTTTTTTTTAAAAAACACTAATAAAATAAATTGTACGGACATAAAGATGACAAGTGGAATAAGAGGAGTAATATATTGGCATTGAAATAAATTAGGTGTGTTTGGAATCTTACTGTTCATTATTATTATTATTCAAAACATAATAATAATAATAATAATAATAATAATAATAATAATAATAATAATAATGATGATAGCAGGGTCTTGAAAAAAGATAGGATCTGAAGTCGGGCAAAAAAGTAGAAAAATTGGTCCTCGGTTTGTTGGTTAGCGGGTCGGATGGTCCATAAGTCGGAAAGTCTGTAGGTCTGATGGTCAACATGTCGGATAGACAAGTTGGAAAATCTGCAGGTCGGGAAACCCTTAGTACGGAAAGTCCTCAGGTCGGGAGGATCTCAGATCGGGAAGTCCTCAGGTCAAGAGGTCCTCAGGCCGGGAAGTCCGTAGGTCGGAAAGTCCTCAGATCGGGAAGTCTGCAGGTCGAAAAGTTCCCAGGATGAAAAGTCCTCAGGTCGGGACAAGTCAGATGGTCTCTTAGTCGGGACGTTTGCGACTAGACCAACAAGTTGGATGGTTTTTAAGTCGGGACGTTTGCGGCTGAACCAAACAAGTCGGATGGTTTGCAAGTCGGGAGGATTGGCAGTCGAACTAATACGGTTGTAGATTGGCAGTCGGGCCAAAAGTGCGGAAGGTCTGTGGTTGGTTCAAAGAGTGAAATAGAATGATAATTTTGGTCTGCTGAGGACAGAAGAAGGGTTGACAGACGGTTGAAAATGAGACATTGTAATCGTTCGGGCGAAGGTTTCCAGTACAGTTTCTCAGGGAGTATTTAAGGATTTGGATTTTTCTGGAGAAACTATTTTCAATCAACTTCAACAAACAAAGTCAGATTCGGGAATCACCATTTTAAATTTAGCATTTTATTTTCCAGTTAATTCTGTTATGTACCATACAATGTTTAGAAGTTCCTAATAAGGCACTGATTAATTAAATTTAATGTCATATCTTTGAATTTTACTTTTTGTTTGATCGAAAAAATACATAACAATATTAAATTTTATTTTATTTTAAAAAAAAAATTGAGCATTACAAAAATATATAAATTATTACAGTAAATATATATTAATAATTTTAATTTTAAACCCAACTATAAACTGGATATTTACAGATGATCGATATATATATATATTCTACCTACAGGCTAGGCTACATGTGCCACTGGTGGGGAGTGGTATTTTATTTGGAAAGGTTTTCCGTAAGCGATATCATAGGGGAAGGTAAAGTTGCAAGGTGCTATTACCGTGAAAGCTAATAGCAAGTAATTATTAGTGTTGATTGAAGGCGGTAATGGTAATCCACGAATAACTTAACCAGCAGGAGATATATACAATAATAATCAATAGACTGACTGCTTTTTTTGTTTGTTCTTTCTTCATGAATCATGATGAGAGAGGAGAGGACCATGGATCCAAGAAGCGGAGGAGTTTTGTAATTGTAATTGCAATTGTAAGGAAGAGGCAAATTGAAGAAACGAAGCAGTTGCAGTCGCAGAGCAGATCAGATCAGTTAATTAATGATGAATATGAATACAGAGCAGAGAAGAGAAGAGAAAGAGATGTAGTAGTACCTACCTGCTGCAACTGCAAGCGGAAGAAGAGCACGTTTAATCTTCTCTTCTTTTTCTAACTAACTGGCTCTGCTTTTTCTTCTTCTTCTTCTTCTTCAAAACTTGTAGACAGACAGACAGACACGTTTAATCTTCTCGATTCACCATTCCGGGTGGCTTCGTGGCGTAAACGACTTCCACACTCACTCACTTATCATTTATTTTATTCAGCACGCACATCATCATTAATGCTATGATATGATGTGATTGTAGTTGCTATACTGACAATCTTAATTCAGAATTGATTTCAAACTACTTGCTTGCTCATCCAAAAACTCCTTTTCAATGCTCAATACAATACCCATATTTGGTAGTATTACATATATATATATATCCTCATATGAATTAACCAATACGTGAGACAACACAACACAACAACAACAGCTATCATAGCATCATCGATCACTCCAACCCTCTTACCACCATCTCCACCAACATATCATTCCAAGAATCTATCGGCCCAGGTAGGCACCAATGCAGGCAGTCGTTTATAACCGTTGCATTCTCCTCCTTCGCAAACGGTTGAAAGAATCTGTACGGCCCCGGATGCCCGTCCGGTCTCAACAACGAAGCACCCCACACATCCAACACTCTTAGACCTACACCCTTCTCCGAAGCCTTTGCCAATGCCTTTGGAAGTAGCTCCACCTCTATTTCCCCGATGATCCTATCCAGCTCATTCACCACAAATTCCCCTGCCTTCACCGGTCCCGTCCTCTTGCAGGCTCCGCCGCTGTCCCAATCCCCATTCTCAAAGTGATCCGGCACAGAGGATCGATAAAATACCATCCCCTTGGGATTCGACGCGATTATGTACTCCAAAACATTATTCAGAACTCTCTCATAAGCACGGTTGAACCCGAAATCCGTGAGGTTCTTTGTATAGCAACGATGGCAGCCTAACACCGTGTCGTTTTCGTAGTAGATTGTAGGTTTAGTGAACCATTTCCCAGTTGATAACACCATGTAATCCATACTCTCAAAAAGCTCGGTCCAATTCTTGTCGAACCTGTCTAGATACAGCTCAATCTCAGAATTCGACACCCCATTGATGTCTTCGAAAATGGCAGCCTCAGCAAGCAATGGTGACCATATAACCCAAACTGTGAAGTTGTATGAGGCGAACACCCATCTCCGATTCTTGTACTTCTCGTCGTGGTATGCTTCCACAGCATTTTCAACCTGAAAAATATATATAACTTCCGGCGTAAGCTGGACTACCAATCGGATCATCGATAGTAATTCATTCCTCGAACATCGTTACCGTCGAGAGCATACAGAGGAATGACTGGACATGGTTCCTAGATATGGAATCACCAATGAATGCCCATGATTTATTCCTCATCAGCTCCAGAAATCTCCCGGCATTAAGGCGGGGGAGCTCACAGCCATGGGGCTTCCACCTCCAATGGAGATAATCAGTGTCTGGTCGTCCATTTTTCAGGCAATTCTGGTGGTCTTCAACATATCTGCAAGTTTTATATGTGTAAAGAGGTTCGATTGGAGAATGAACCCAATCACCAGCAAATAGATTGCACTGCCCTTCCCTATTGTCAATAGATTCTGCAGAGAAGTTCACATTTATAAGCATACTATTACATCATTACTTCTAAACCATTTACATCTTCAAAAATGATGCAAAACCAGATCCCAACTTAATCCCCAAATCCAAAGCAGCTTCTTGGTAAAATCTAGTGGAATCATCTTAGGGCACGCAAATAGAATTTCAAAATGGACAAAGATCTGACCTCGGGCGGGAATCTGATCGGATTTTTGCTGGGAGTTGAAGGGAGGAGCTGAAATCTGATGGTCTTGAAGAAAAGGGGCGTCGGAAACTGGAGAAAAATCATAGGATCTATCGTAAAGAAGCCTGAAAGCAAGTCCCACCAGAAGAACAGAAACCCCCAATTTGATTGCATAATGGTAGTATTTGTTCTTGAGAAGAATCTTCCAATCGTACCCCATTTTCCTGACCATGTCTTTTTTCTTGCTCTCTCCTCACCCAGAAAAGCTCAAGCACACTAACCCAACTGATGATGGATAGATGATACCTTCTGTGACTGTGGTTTGATTCTTGAATGAGTGATAGTTTAATTTTTTATTTTGTCTTTCTTTCAAAGTAACAGACTGGAAAAGGAGGAGTATTTTAAAATACTTTCTTTCCTAACCTCTCCTTTCTTAAGTAATAAAATATTAAAAATATTTACATACACACACACTCCAAATCCAATAGTGAGATTATAGCTTGTATATTAACATTATATCATATTCATATGCATGGGGATTAAATTAATCCTATATTTCTGTAATCATTTGCGTAAGCATAATCATTCTCTATCTTTTATGTGATTGCAGAGTTATGATCCATGGCCCAGAAGATTCTCCATCCTTAACAAAAGAAATAAATGTATGTCGCCCACCCTAGTCCCTAGCCCCTCCCTGGTCCTGTTCCCTCCATCACCTAATTTTGCACTTCTCCAATCATGAGAGTGAAATGTGTACCAAGCTTTTTATTTATTGCCTTTGCTATTGTCGTCGATGATGTCCCTTTCTTGCTATCTTTATGCATCATTACATGTGTGCACGATGAAGAAGAAAAAGGAAACTATTATTTACATATTGAAAGTAAAAGTATATGTAAAATGAATAATCCATTATGCCCAGCAGAATCAAGAAATCAATTTACAATTTCATCATGTTGCAGATTTATTGATTTACCAGCTAATAAATTAACCTGTTTCATTTCTTGATCAGAAGAATTGGATAACAGAGGCACTGTAGTCTGCTGTAATTTCCTTTCTGCTTCTGCTTCTTGGTCTTCATTCTAGGTGTGTGCAAATGATCCTCTTCCTCATCACTTTTCTTGATCTCTATTTCTTCACTGGGATTCAATGGCGCGAGTTGGGAAGATGCAGGCAGTACCATCATGTGCTTCTCGATGATCCTTGCCACAGAAATTACCTCATAAGCATCATACAATGGACTCCCACAATTCCACACCATTAATGAAGAAGCACCATGATCATCAACACCTTCTGCTACCTTCTTCTCCATCGCCGAGTTAGTTGTATAGTTGCAGAAGTAGTCCGGTGTTGAATCAATCTAGTCTGCAGAATGCACTTGATGATGATGATGATGTTGGGAATAATTTTTGAAGCTGAATATTTATATATGGCCAGCCATTGGAAGAGGCTAGATTCGAGGTTGGAGGACACATGGGCTCTCTGGATTGGCTGGAAATTCTGGTTGTTTTCTTAATTCGTAATCGAAGGCTCAAATTTTTGTTGTGTCTTGATGAACCTAATTACTGCCATCAATGTCATACTGTTGACATTAACATAAATTATTACACAGATGTGATGGCTAAACCAAAGTGTGGTGTTCATTTAAGGGTTGACAGTTTCCATTGTACCAAACTTGATTCAAGGTGGAGAATCCAAGTGGGAACAAAGAACAGAAGCAGATTTAAATTGCACCCATCCACTCACATTCCAATCACAAATCAAACCCTAAACTTATAATCAATAACACAAATTTTGAAAATACAAAATGAGATTTTGGACTTGATTATACCCCATAATCAATCGATCATCACATTCAAGGCAACTTTAAGAGGCTATCTAAGCCTTCTCCTACCTCTTGATTTCAAGATCATGTCTTTGAGATCGTCGTATCGACTTTGATGATGATCAATCAAGATACAAAGCTGTCTTATGGCCTCTTTTTTCTCCACTCCCAGGTTCAACATGCCGTCGTCTTTCTCCTCCAACTTTCTTTCCAACTCTCTCAACTTTGCATCTCTCTCTCCTATCACTTTCTCCAGCTCTTCCATCTTCTCTTTCTGTTGTTTCATGTTTTTAATTAGGCTATTCCTTTCTTCTTCATTCTTTTGTGATATCATCTCCAAGTCTTCGATCTTCATTTTCAATAGGCGCACTTGTTGCTTCTCATCTTCGAGCTGCTGAAGCAAACTGGTAACTTCCTTCTTCAGCTGATCTTTCTCCACATTGTTTCCAATAATCCAGTTTGCAGCAACCTTGAGCTCATTCTGTATTTCATAAATTCGGGACTCTAAATGACCGTAGTCCTCCTCAAACTTCACACTAAATGTATCAGTTCCTACAATTGCATGGTTTACTTTGTCAGAGATTTCTGTCTCCAGTTTCGCTTGAGCATCTTTGTAAACAGCAATTATCTCTGACAATGTCGCAATCCTCTCCTCCATCAACCTTTTCTCTTCCACTAACTTCTCCACTCTTTTCTGGTGGATCTCTTCCTTCTCGCCGAGCTCCTGTTGAGTGACGTGGAGCCTCTGACTGATTAACCGTTGCTTGACTTCAGTAGTTCTCATGTACTCTACCAACGTGGTCATTTCATCTGCTTTAATCTCCAGCTCGCTTTTCAGGTCATCTATTTGTTCTTCGAGTTGCTCAATTTCCTGTTTTTTAGTGTCAATGTCTTTCTCGAACTGCTCTGTCTTCTCCTTGATCTTCTCTTCAGAAGATCTGAGACTTCCCATGCAGTTTTGCAACTGAACTTCAAGTTTTTTGTGCTCCTCAATCAATTTGATTAATTCACAATCCTTTTCTTTGAGCACTCTGTCCTGTTCTATGATCTTATCAGTCAATTCAGTATGATGTTTCTCGGCTAGAGCCAAACTCCCCTCAGACTCTTCTTTATCTCTCTCTATTTGAACTTCCATTTGGCTTTTCTCCAACTGCAGCAATTCTAGCTGCAGTTGTAAGGAATTGACCTGATCCGTGAGGACACCAATTTGGAGGGCTGCTTCATTCTGTGCATCCTCCATTTTCTTGTGAATGGCAGTGACTTCATTGCTTCTCTCTATTAAAGTCCTTTCAAAGTCAGAAATCTTATCCTCTTGATTCTTTAATAGTACCACAAGGTTCTCCTTCTCTTCTACTGTTTTCTGTTGCTCGGCAATCTTGTTCTCCAATTCCTGTTTCAAACTCTCTATCTGAAGGAGGCATTCTGAAATTTCCAGGCTTTTGGATTTCAACTGTTCCTCAACTTCAGTTTTAAGATTGATCGTCGAACTGAGATCCAGCTCCCGATCTTTCACTTTCAGCAAGAGAGACTCATTTTCTGCTTGCAGTTCAAGTTGGAGGGCATCTTTTTCTTGTTGCAAATGGCTGTTAATGGATCTCAAATCATCAACATATCTCGATGTCTCCTCAAGCTTCTGCACTAATTCAGCATTTTCGCTCGAAAGTTTTGAATTTGCTTCATTGTAATTTTCGCACTCATTCCTCAAATCCATAATAATTCTCTCAGTTTCCTCTGCCTTGCTCAAAGCATTGTGATGTTCCAGATTTAATGCTTCTTTTTCATCCATGGCAGCCGCCAACCTTCTCTTCAAGTCAGCAACCTCTGCATATGCAGCTTCAAGTTCTTGCTTGATGTCAGCAGTATTTTCTAAATTATCTTGAGCTTTACCATTCTTGTGGCTCTTTTCCCTTGGAGATTCATCATCCGAATCTGAGTCTGAGCTGGACGAGAAACTGTCATTCCCATGCTTGCTCTGCGCCTTTTTCCTCAACTCCTCTGTCAGATGATCATAACGTGCATAAAGAGACTGGTAGTTATTTTGGAATTCCTCAATCAGATCTGGAAGTTGCTCTTTCATATCATCATGGCCTTCTCTGAGAAACTTTAAGATCTTACGCACTTTGCCATCAATTTCTGCAGTTAATAAGGGACTTTTAAAAATTAGAAAAGTTGACTACAAAAGGTTGCAGTAGATCTCTTGAAACAAGATTTTGATCAATCTATTGCACCTGCTTTCGCCCCTTTAAGCTCCTCATCCTTTTCAGGATCAATGTAGCTCCTAATGAAGGATTTCAAGGAATTGCGCCACCTATGCTTAGTCATATCTTCTTTGATTCTCAGCCACTCCCCTGAATTGTGGATCACAAGGATGACACCATGTTAAATGAAGTGAACATCACTTCTGCAAGAAACAATAAATTCAGTGGTACAAAGAAATTCAGCCATAGGATTTTTAGCAAGGACTACATTCTCCACAAATTTCAGATAACAAAGATACAAATTTGACAAGAATCCAAGTTTCCAGCCACGCCGACAGCTAGGTGGTACATAAATTTTCTGACCCTCACTGTACGTGTTATTTGCAAGGTTCGATTAGAAGGTCAGATTTGTTTTAAACAATAGTGAAACCATATGTATAGCAAGCAGACTAATGAAGAAACAACGATTATATGTATACACTCACAGAAGGTTTGACAATTGAAATTTGGGCTACTACAGTTCAAGTTTTTTCCCAGTTTTTTAACTCATGATCCCGATTATTTTTATTATTATCTTCCCAATTTTTATTTGTTTTTTCGAACATATTTTATCATAAAACATGTCATGTGATTCAAATAAAGAATGCGTTGCCCACCGAAACAGTGGCCCCCCACCATTGAAACCATATTTCATTTTATGACGCACAAACATGTTCCACTCAAATCGTTCCTTGGTTTTAGGGAATCTTACAATGAAGAAAGAGGAAATAGATTTCTTGAAAACTCACTGTGTTTTGGATTATACAAAAACTCCTCTCCAAGAAATGGACAAACGACCACTAAAAGACGACTTTATACGTACATATAGAAATGGTGTTTTGACCCTTTTCAAAAGGTAGTGGTAGCTTTGGGCAACGTGTCAGTCCAGCTCATTTGGTCTGGCAATTTGAATTGATGAGTTATCAAACACTAAACATGAGATCATGCCGGATGGAAACCAACATCCCGAAGAAACAAGGATTTTTTATTCTTAGCAGCAAGATAAGAACACGTTCTTGCCGAGAATAAGGCAAAAAATATAGCGTCGACAGGGGAATCATGATTGACCTTTTCCGTTTGAACTTTTACCGGAACACAGATATCTATCACTATAATTCCAGGAACAAAATCCCAAGCTCTCAACTGATTCTTCTTTGTTGAAATTTTTTATTTAGAAAGATGGAATATTAAAGAAAAATACAGGAAACGAGTCTTGTCGTGATCAAAGTGATTCGGAAACTCCATAGACGAACAATCGAACACAGCACATGTAAGGGTTATCAAAAGGTGAGTAATCTAGAAATTTCATGAATCACAAACAATTTGCACAATTCGATTCTCGGCGAAGAAGATCACAATCAAATACCACAAATTGAGGGGATTATAATCTCTCAACTCCAAAATCCCTTGGAAACATCACTAAACAACAGAAAACAGATTTACGAAATTGATTCGGAAATCAGATTAAAGAACTCAAGTACCTCAGGATCAAATCGCGTGAATTTCGGCGGCAGCAGATCGCCAGAGCGCGAGCGGGCAAGAGGGAGGGAGAGAGAAATAGGTGAGGAAATTTTTAGAGAGCATGAAAATTATATGGGCGTGGCTTCATTTTATCTAAAAATCGCAGGCGCAATCGAATATTTTGTCAAAAAAGATTACAGTTATTGAAGAAAGGATTCGACAATAAATAATAAATTCAATTAACCGATACAGGAAGAAAAATAAAAGGTGAATTTGTCTGCCACAGCGAGATGCCTTTGCATCATTGCTTCCTGAAATAAAATAAAAATAAAAAATTTTAATCAAGTGGACGATACTCTGCACTTCTCTCTGTCAAATAATTGTCCAATTATTTCCCAAATCTTCCAACCTAACTAGGTTGGACTATTGGGACAATTTTACCCGTCAGATAGATCAATCAATGAATGCAACGCATGTTCTTATTCATGATCGATGCAAGGGTAAAAAGGAATATTCGTTCATCACGTGCAAGATCAAGAAACAAACATCCCGAGACTCCAGATCCATGACGAGATTGATCGATCAACTCACTGACAACCTTAAGTTCATGTCATGTCAGGGATTCATCGTACGGAAGTCTTTCATGTCTTCTTCATCCACATCATACAATCTATCAGTATCAATATCAAGTATCATTCCCTGTTGCCTATCTGGGAAAAAAAACAGCAGAAGGTCGGTGGCCATGGCGTTCAACGGGGCCTTTTCTGCCCTGTACTCATTTTATCAGACAACAGCTTCTTGTAATAATCAGACCGACCACGATGGTAATCAATCCACACACACAGCTGCCTTATGGCCTCCCTTTTCTCCTCTGTCAGCACCAACATCCCATCCTCTTTCTCCTCCATCATCTTCTCCAACTCCCTAACCTTATTCTCCAACTTCCAGAGCTTCTCCCTCATCGCCAGCATCTCACCTTCCTTGTCATGGAGTTGCGACAGCAAGTAGTCCACTTCCTCCTGGGCTTGTAATAAGCCTTTGCTCTTCCTGGCCGCCCACTGCTTCGCGAACTTGAGCTCGCACGACGACTTGGAAATCCTGCTCAGGAAATTCGCCGTCGACGTCTCGAATTGCAGAGCCACGCCGTCGAGCGTCGTGACGACGTCGTTTGCGACCACTGCCACGTCCTTCATGTTCCTCAGCTCGCTTTCCGTTGTCTCTGTCCTCTCTTTCAGATCCCTCGTTTCTTGTTCGTACACCTCCTTCGTCTTACAGTACCATTCCTTGTACTCCACCTGCAGCTGCTCCGCCACGCTGATTCTCCTGCTCAGGATTCTGTAATGATCCTCGAACTGTTTCCTGAACTCCTCCAGCGTTTCCTCCATCTTCCTCTCTAGAAACTGGAAATTCGATTTGCACATTTGGGATAAGCTCGTTTTCGCCTGCCTGTTCTCCTCCTTCAGCTTCGTGATCACGTCTTCCAGCTCCACCATTTTTTTATCCTGATGTTTAATCTTGCTTGCCAGTTCTCGATTCTTGATCTCCAGCTCCACTTCCAATTTTTGCTTCGTGTTGGTTAAGTCCGTGATCTCGTCTGTCAGGCTGTCGATTTTCTGAATCATGGAATTCTGGCAGGCGTTCAATTTCTCCCTTTCCGACAACAGCTGTTTCTCCCTGTCGGAAATGGACGCCTGCAGTGCAGAAATTCGTTTGCAAAGATCATCCTTGTCCACGTTTGATTTCAGAGCTTCATGCTTTAATTTATTCACTTGCTCTTCCAGGTCTCTCTTCGTCTTACTTAATGATTGGATCTCTGATTTGATGGATTTCGTCTCCTCCACTGTGCCCTTCAGCTCGTTCTTCAGGCCTTCAAGCTGAAGCATGTGATCTGCTCTCTCGTCGGACATTTGACGGAGCTTGGCCTCCATTTCAGCTCTGTCGCTATTCAGAGCTTCCAACTGTTCCATCAGTTGGGAGTTGTGTTGCTTCAAAGTATCCAATTCAATCTGCATATTCTTGTCGGGATGATTGTCTTTAAATGCAGCCTGGATTTCCATAATCTTGTGCTGCAAGCTTGAGATCTTGGCCTTCATTTCTGCCTTCTTGGACTTGAGCTTCTCACGCAGCTTGCTTTTGTGCAGGAATAGCGTCGAAACCTCGAGCTTCATAGCAGCAACCTGTCGCTCCAAGCTTGTGGCTTTGTCCTCCGGCTCGTCCGGTAGCATCACCAGCTCCTTCAGGACAACCTCGGATTCTTCCGGATTGGGCAAGGCTGTTGAAGTTGAAGTTGTGCTCCCTTCATTTTCATTGCCATTGCTGATTTTTTTGTTGCTACTGTGAGACGTGTGTGGAGGATTATTATCACACGTCTCTGTATCTGAGTCGGAGGATGATGACGACGAAGAAGAAGAAAGAGGATCATCATCCTCGTCGTCGACATGATCTCCATCTGTAATATGAAAATTCTGCTTGACCTCTTCTCTTAGTTCTTCGTACAAAGAGTACAGAGAGTCATACTGCTTCTGAAAGTCCTCAGAAAGTGTGAGCAGTTCCGACTTCTTCTTCAACCTCCGATCTTTGTTGCCGCTGTTTATGGTGTTGCTCAGCTTCAAAATCCTCTTCACCTGATTCTCAACTTCTGTATGCACAGAAAAAACATTAAATAAAGAGGACAGTGGGTAGAAGAGCGTTCATCTTCATGATCATCGATCACAGAGAGCATCTTAATAATTAGGTACAAATTGAGGTTCCATGTTTACCTAATTTCATCAATCTCAGATGCTCCTCTCTTTCTGGATCAATGTGGTTTCGAATACACCCCGACGATCCTCTCCATTGCTGATATTGATGCATTGTCATCTCACACTCTCTGCTCGATCCTGAAGACACTCTGCAAATATATTATCAGACAGGATCTGCAACACCACATTTGAATAGTGTAGTATCGTGAATCAACAATTCGATCCGAGATTATTAACAAACAAACAATCAAATTTCGGACGTTGAAATCATGAACAGAAAGGGGAAAATGCGTGAGATGTGTGTATGACGATGAAATCAATGATGCATGTAGATCAGGCACAAAACAACATAAACAAATCAAATCAAATCAAGATGGCAAAACTATAACGCAGGAATGAATGAAAACCTGAGGAGCGGAGAGAGAAGAGAAGGACGATATGGACGGAGGCCTTGACGTCGAAGACGAATCCCCAATGGATTAATTAAGGGAAAGAAAATTCGATGTCTGTAAGATACACTCAAACGGAAAGAAACACGCTTGTTATTGTTATGGTATTTGTTTTTGTCAATGAATGGAATGGGGAAGAATTAATTAATGATCCATCATCCATCAATATCACGACAAGCGAAGCGGTTACGAGGTAGGGAAATTACCGACGTGGCAAGAACCTGCCACGTCATATGAATTGGGCCAGTCGGTATATAGGCAGACTGGAAAGAAGCCCATTAGCTCTAGACTGTTGGGCAGCATCACATCAATACAAATAAATAAATAAATAAATGCAGTATTTTGTAGTAGTAAATTATTATATTTGGGCAAACTTGAAATGGTATTGGCAGAAGAACAACATGTGAAGCGTGAACAGAGTAATGACACCCCCATCCATCTCTTCCCCCATTCACTTTTTCCTCATGACTCCTGTACGTATAACACAACATGTATATTTATGCTGTGTGTATGTATATATAATAACAATAATAAGTAGATATGATTTGTTATTAGATAGATACATACATACATTCCTCACGGCCCCATCAGTGTCTTGAGTTTTGTCGGTTGTTGAGAGTGACATTCTGTCCCTTCTTTACTCTCTACACCCTCAACCTGTAACCCTTGCCTGCCACGTGTCCACCTGGTTGGTTCATCATCATCATCATGGCTTCACTTTCATATTCTCCATTCCATTCCATTCTTGGAGTTTCAATTTAATTAAATCCATCCATGCATGTGTTTTCTTGATAATGACAGTAATTAGTAAAGGATGAAGAAGCAAAAGAGAAGTAGCTCTAGGGAAGAGGGAAGAGTCAGGTGGGTCGGGTCAAGTGGGGTGGGGTGGGGCCCAAATATTAAGGCGAAGGTTGGGCTCATACACACGTGGCTTACCACAATTGGCTGCCACTTGTTGGAGTATAAACCGAAGATCTCTTGTACAGTGACCTCTGCTTGGAATTTGCATTTTGCAGTCCTCTCCTCTTTCTTCCAAACTAACCATTTCTTTTCTTCCATGGCCATTCATTGATTCCACAATCTTCTTTGCCTTATCTGCACTTTTTCCATCTTCTACATCAATTTATCAATACGAACCTTAATTAATGCAGTAGCAGTAAACGGGGATGGATTGTAACCAATCATAGAGAGGCATAGGAATATGTACAGGGGGTAACAGAATACCTACGTGTGTAGTAGGTGTGTCTTTGTGTTGACTAGTGTTGATCGAGCAACACAACTGTCCATACATACATACATACATACATATATATATATATATCATCACTAGAAAAATCCCAATTACCAGAAAAGCCTGCACAAAAATCCCATCCCAAAACCAAAATGCTGCCGTTTCCTTCCCAGTTCCCTAGGTATCCATGGCAATGGATTTGGACAGGTGATGCAGCTGCAGCATCAATATAAACAGCCAAAACTGCACACCCCCAAATCTGAAAGCCCAGTTTTGGTCTATTAGGTTTTTGGTCCACCCTCCATTAGCCACCATATCCCATCCACGCCATTGCCAACACATGTTGTGTTGAAAATACGAATAATCTTACAGTAACCAAGGTCTATAGATACAGTTTTGGGTTTGGCAGCGGAACAATTAATGATTTCTTCTCTCATGCCTGCCTGTTGCAGGGGTCTTTATATGCATACATACAATACATACAATACAATACATGTCACAGGTTTTGGCATTTTCATAAGGTGCTAAGATTTTCTGATTCTGCTGCTGGGGTTTAATCACCCTAGTTGTTCTGTACATATCCATGTCACTCTCTGAAACCCCAGCTCATCCTAGGACCACTTTAAACATTTATTTTCAGCAAATACATTATATATCAACCCCATCTTTACAATAATAACCATAAAAGCAAAAACACCTCTCCTGCTGATGTTAGTGGGTAATTTGCAGTGCTAGTGGGAGTGGTAGTGGAAGTGGCAGAGCTAGCCTTGCAGCACTTGCAACAATATGAGTATGATGATTATTTGTACTACAATTGTTTGATTATCAAATAAAAGAGTTACTAAATGAAAAAAAGGAATTCCCAATTAATTAATTTTCTTGCAAATTAAAGTTGCAGTCTGATATTTCCAGATTTGGAGGAGAGACAAGCAGTCAAGGAGGAGGGTCCCAAAGAGCACCCCTTCTCCTGTCCTGGCCGGTAAAGATTCTGAAGGCCTCCATACGTTGTTTGTTAATGACTTTGATCTTCTCTGTCCCCCAAAAAACACGTATGCGTCAAAGACAAAATCATTGCAATCTTTTCTGCATACCCAAAGGATGGATACATAGAGCATACTGTAGTAGTATTGTTTACTGGGGCTATTATTACTATCACCATCGTCATCATTATTATTTAAGACTTTCTGAATCCATCTAAGACAAGCATATGATCTTGGAGTGTGACTGCGACACTGACTGTTAATGGCAACTAACTCTCAATACACCATTATTAACTCCTTTTACTCTGGTATGTATCTAATCAATCAATCAGTATCTATAGGGACAAATTGGAGCAGAGATTTGGTCCTTAATTCTAGCAAGCTCACGGGACAAAGATTAGAAAAAACATATCGGATATTTTTTTTCAAAGATATCAACAACATTAACATTGATGATGGATGATTTAGTCGAACTAAACAAAACTGCTAGGAAATATGGAAGTAACTACGAAGATGGCATCAAAATGGTTACAGAGGATGGATGATAGATGATGGATTTCTCTCTCTGAGTCAGATGGCGACCAGAGGATCCGACCAGAATGTATCGTCGGCCAAGTCTTGAAAGTACCCGTCCACTTGCAAATTGGGCAACCCGAGTTCGAAACCCGGACTTGACCCGACTAACGTCTCGCTGCACCACTGCAAATCGAACCCGAACATTTCGTCGTCGGGTATACCCGCCGGACAAAACAAATCCGGCACCGGCTCCGATTGCTCAAACTCGGCGAATGCTGCCTCTGGGAAAATGGCAAACGGCGAGGAACTCGCGTCTTCGTTCTCCTTCGGTGACACGGCGTCGATGGAGGAGGATAGTGGGGAAGACGACTCTGCTTCGGGTTCGGGTTCCTGCTCGGGGGAGGAAAACCGGAGGACGGACTTGGGGGACGTCGCATTGTTGTGGGACTCCTCGCCAGAGTTGTACCCCGAGCTTGTTCTGTTGTACTTGACTTCTGGCGCCGAGAAGTTCGTGAGCGCGTCGGGGCCACGCAGCTGTATGGCCGCGTGGTCGTACACCATGGCGGCCTCCTCCGCCGTGTCGTAGGTCCCCAACCACAGCCGCACACGTCGCATAGGATCTCGAATCTCCGCCGCCCATTTGCCCCACGGCCTCTGCCGCACCCCGCGAAACTTCCTACCATTACCAACCTCGGCGAGCTTCGTCTCCATTTTACCGCCGGCGGCCTTTCCCCGCCTCGGAACACTAGACGGCGGCCTAGCCCTCTTTTTACCGACGGTAACAGCGGCGCCTCCGTTATCTCTGCAGCAGGGAAGGATGTTGACCTCGTTCACGAATCTCCTGACTCTCCGGCGGTGGACAAAAGCCCCATCCTCTTCGTCGCCGGAAGAGTCGGTGGCGTCGGCATCGGTGACAGAAAACCGCACCGTTCTGGTATTCTTTGTGCCGGAAAATGAAGAGTAGGGCCTGTCGACCGCCGTGGTTAAGGAAACATGTTCAGTGTATCTGACCAGTCCAGCACTTGCAGTTGACAACATGTTGTAGTTATCTCCTTCTTGCGGCATGAGAAGATTGCTCTAGAATTCAGGCTGGCATTGAAAGGGAAAGGGAAGAAGGTAAATAAATAAAGGGGGGTGGGGTGGGGTTAGAGATTCTCAGAGAATAAAGAGAAAGGGAAACGTTAAAGGCAGGTCTTGAGACAGAAAAAGGAAATGAAATCCCCTCCGGTGCCTGATATATTACCAAAAAATTTGAGGAAAGCGACACTAAAAAGAAGAGATATGAGTGAGTGAGTGTTAAAGAAAGGGAAAGAGAAAGAGGGAGCTAGCGTGAAAAACTCTTTTCGACCGCCATGGGAAGGGACAGAGCGAACAGTCGCCGGAAAAGATAGATGCGAAGAAAAGGAAAGGCAGGTAGCAGGAATCAGTTCGTACGTACGTAGCACCGCCAGAAAACACAGAGCAGAGCAGAGACTGTAAAAAAACGCAGAAAGGGGGAAGGGGGAGAGTGGAGACTGAAGGAAAGGTGAACAAGGAGAAGAGAGAAAAAGGAAAGGGAATAATATATATATATGCATATAACTCTAGAGAGAGAGAGAGAGAGAGAGAGAGAGAGAGGGAGATAAGAAAATGGATAGTGAAATAAAAAAGTGGTTGCTTTCCTTCCGTTTCGTCTCTTTCAGTGATAACAGTAAAGCTCAAATGGAAACTCGGGTTCCGGTGCCGCTCCTTCTTCCTATGCGAAGACTAGGCCAAGAAAGAATCGGAAAACCAGTAGAGAGAGAAAGGCGGAGGTAGAGAGAGTGAGGAAGTGATGGTTGGGTTGGGCGCAGTAAGAGCGAGTGAGTGCCGTTGGCGGAATCCACTATTTTATAGGATCCGCTTTCCAATTGCTCTTCTTTGCTACTAACTGAACTGCCTATTAAATATCACCAAATTAATTAATAATAATAATAATAATAATATCCAGAGAGATATTGTTAGCTTATCGGTGTGAGCCACTGCCAAATGCCAATGTAGTCGTCAGTCATTGCTCCATTCTAATCTTCCACCACCCCTTTATCTTTACTGTTATTATTATTATCATTTTAAAATATCTATAAACTACATAACTGGAATTAAATATTTTTGAAAATTTATTTAATTTAAAATACTCTTTTTGAAGTTTGAACATACACCCAAAACATTCTAATTCAAATATTTGCATAATTGCTTTATATACAAATTCCATGTTAAATACAATATGTAAACAACAATATCATAAGTTCAATATACAATACGATTGATTTCAACATACATGCTAATAATACGTACGTAATTCAAACTATAAATTATAAGATTATATTTATATGTATTGATTAATACTCACAATCACGACATCAGTTGACACTCTCTACCTGTCCTTTTCTTCATACATCATTCTTACTTGCCCGATTAAGTTTATAGACATACATTCCCTCCATAACTTCACTAATTTTAAAGATGATAAAATCATTCTATGCAAAAATTCTTTCAAGTCGGATATTGTACTCTATTTGGGTAATTTATTTTTATTTTTTAATGTAATTTTCATGCAACACTAGTAAAATATACTATTACCTCTTATAAAATATCATAAAAATACAAAATACAAATCTAAAATGTTTACCGTTAACCATTAGGGGTAAAGTTGGGATTTCAGTCACCTTAATGTTTATTAGCTATATATTTAGTTCTTCTCTATTGATATTCGCGTCGTTAATTAATATAATAATTTGGCACCTTAGATGGGGTTTGTTTATATTTTAACGGTATAAATTTATTACAATATTTTAAATTGTCTACTTAAAATGCTGAAATTTATTATAACTTTTTTATATATATTGAACATACTCAAAATTGATATTTTTAATAGTATGAAAATTGAAAGACACAAGACATGAATTATAAACTGGAAGCTTTATGGGTTCACAATTATTACATGACTTAATGCTTTAGGTACTGTACACTCAATAAATAGAGAGAGTGAAATTCATTAAGTATGCACCAAGATTTTGGTGTCTTCCATCAATGATTATTTCAATTCTGCTAAATAATGTTTCTGTCCAATAGTATGAGTCAATATAAATATATTTTTAAGTAAATTATAATACACCAAAATTCTTGAAATTAAAGTGCAGGGGTAGAAAAGTAATACCAGCTTTTAAATCGAATTCTATTGGGCCGGACCATATCTATTGGGCCTACCGTTGTCCAATCCCTACATTTACCGACAAAAGGCGGCGCCACAATCTGTTTCCACATTTGGAAGAGCTATACTATATAATAAAAATAAAAATTAAATTCTTCACCATACTAAAATTGGAAACAGTGTCCAAAATTATTATTTATTTACTAGCCCTAGCCCACCTATATTATATGGGGTGGGTTCTTATCCCAACTTTAAGTGGAATAATTATTGCTTCATCAATCATCACTACATTTTATTTTTATTTTTACCTTTTTTTCTTATGTAACATTATTATAGCAAAGCTGTTCGAACTAACCAATGTTTCAAACATTGTCCTAAACAAGAAAAAACAAAAAACACAGTAATTATTAGTTCAATCATTTAATTAGGTCATTTGTATTTTCACTGCTTGGGGCCATACTTCATCTGTCAGCAAGCAAGCGTTCAGATGATTCTTCTGATTATATATAAATATACACTTAAATATATAATCTGTAAGAAGTAATTAAATTAGCACTTGTCTATAAATTATTAATAATTAATATTATTGGTGGTGGAGAAACCCAAGATACAAGTGATCTGTAAATGTAATTAAGTAAGCAACATTATTGGAAATTGCACTTTTACCAATATTATTTACGAGGGTTAAAAAAAGACTTCCTCCCTATTCCCATTAATTGAAGTTTCTTATATCGAGAATCATATAATTTAATTTAATCATATTTTTAAAATAACATATTATTAAAAAAAAAAATAAGGATTAGTTTGATAATTAGAAAAATAAATAAAACATGATTGAGTTTTTTATAAATTAAATTCGATCTCGCTTGATCAAACAAAATTGATGGTTTTATTTTTCTTTATATCCGAAAATTGATGATTTTTTTTTTTTTTTTTTGTTTTTTTTAGGAGTAAAGTCAACGGGCAGCTGCACCAATATGGGGTTGTTGCGTTGACCGCCAAGTGCTGCTTTGAGCCACGAAAACGAAGAAAATAAGATTAAATATTTTTATTTTATTTTATTTTTTAAATAATGTTATCATGTTGGTACTTGAAAATCCATTTTCGAGTAACAAATTATTTCATGCCCACCCCATTCCTGCATACTCTGTTGTATAGAGCCACGCTATACATTATCTGTGTATTTACTTATTTATTTTGTTAATAAAAAAAGTATACAATAATTACTAACATACAAATACAAAGGAACACATTAGACCATAACATTAATGATATGTGCATGCCAGCAATAAATTCTCAAACCATGATTATATATATATATATATATATATATTGGGCATGCATAAAAATATCACCAACAATATATAATAATTATAAATATTATTATTTAAAAAAAAATGAATAAATTGGAGTAGTGATGAAGAAGTGGGAGTGGGATCATTATATATTATATTTATTTATTTATTTATGAATGTATAATGTATGTATGTATACCCAGCAGTAGCAGTAATAGTAACAGTAGCAGCAGCCACTCCACAATTCCAAGAATTTAATTTCATTTAATTCTCGTACCCCGATCACCCACCCACCCCACCCCCATATTTTTGTTTTGCTTATTTAATTTGTTTCCCCCCTACGTGCACCCAACATCTTCCCACTATCATCATCACCCTCCAAAAATATTATTTTTCATTGCACTTACAAGTTACAATAATAATTTTGTTGGAGAAAATATATACATAAAAAAAAAAAAAAATAGATATATAGCTAGACTCGGACTTACTTAATTACTACAATCTCTTTTTCAGAACTGTGTTGGATGAAATATTTTTATTTTCTAGTAATTCAACCAAATGAGTGTAATTAAAATTTTTTAAAAAATAATAATAATATTGAGTAACAATGGCACTGATTTTAAACTAATGAATCTAACGGACCATATATTTTCCAGTCAAAATATAAAAAAAAAAAAAACCGGACCGTACGGACCATGTCTGAAAAGACGACGACAAAATTTGTTCCGGTTTAATTTCTGGGCCCATAAAGAGAGCTAGCTAGGGAGAGAGGGCTTCTTTTTGCTTTATAATCCATCCCAAACCGACACGTGTCTTACCACGTGATGTCGACGTGTCGTGTCTCCTTCACTATTACATACTAAAATTCCTTTCTTAAAACTTTAATACAACTAGCTAATCAAAATGTGTAATTAATTTATAGTGATAGACTGATTTTGCAGACGATATTTATTATTGTATTAAAATAAGTGTGGTGTCACTGGGCCTGGGCCTTTCGTATATCTTAAGGGGCAGCATGTAAACAAAGGTATATTTAATAAAGGTGGAGGGAGGGGGTTTAGGTCCTTAATTCCAACCATAACAACAACTTCATCTTAGACCGTTAGGATTAATTAGTTAATTAAAATAAAGTAGAGCATAATTTAAATGATATACTAATGTTAATATCTAATAATAATAATAATAATAATAATTAGAAAGCTGTGATCAGTAAGATTGTGCGAGCAGTCGTGTGCACGACTGCTTTGCCGGATCTATTTATCTACAGATATGTATGTTCAAAGATTCTCATCTAATGGAGGTTTGCACGTGACATTTTTTTTAATATTTATATCATAAATTTATTTATTTATTTATTTCAAAACAGATATTAAAATAGACCTGTGTGTATGTAGTTGATTAGAGATGAAGGAGGCTGGCTGCAGCATGTGGAGACTGGAGAGTTCAGATCAGTAGAACAAAAACACACACTTCATATATAGTAGTATTATGTATTTAAAAACATAAATAAATTATATATTTATTTACTAGTTTAAAATTAGTTTGGCCTTAATTATATATATATTTTGTTTTTATGGGGAACAAAAACTACTGAATTTCAATGCTGCTAAGCCTGCACTGCGTACTGACTCTACACATTGTGTATGTGTATTAGATTTAATAATAATGTATCCAATTATGTATCTATTCTGATACATATGTCTTCACGTTCTTGTGTTGATTCTGATTCCTTACTAGCTTCTACTTAATTAAATTCAGTCCATTCAACAATTAATAATATAATATGAGCATAACTTGGGTGATGAATTAATGTTGAGGTTTTGGCTTTTACTTTATTGATTTTCTAAGTCCACATGCATAGTGTTGTTTGGGTATGGCAGCTTTAATTAAATCAAACTTATATATGTATGTACAGAAAGGAGAAAATGGAGAGGACATGGTAGTCAAACGGTAATGGCAAACTCATGTTGTGTTGGTCATTAAATTGGATCAATGTTGATCTTTTACTTCACTCGCCAGCTGACCTACACAATATAATTAATTAATTGATTGATCTACTTTGCAACCTCTATAATATTATCTAGCTAGCTAGCTAGGATTTAATTAATTTTAATTTGGTTTGTAGCTCCCTCCCTCCCATGGTCACTTGCTAATCCCACGAGTAGAGTAGCAACATTATTGTTTTTATGATTATTTACGCAACACATACTATTGCCACCCATCCCATATAAATGTATGTATGTAATAAATGTGTTCGTGGCCATGGGGGATGAATTATTGCATACCCAGTTGAATGAATGGTTTGTTTCCCCTTACATTTAGGCCTCTAGGCACATATATATATATATATAACTACAGTGACAGTGAGATAGATAGATAGATAGATAGATAGATAGATAGATAGATCATGGTATTTTGGCGATTCAGAAACAGCAATAATAATGTGCAGATAGACAGATTAATAATTTTGGGAGGGAGTTTTACCTTTGGCTGATTGATATATGTAGATAGAGAGGATAGGATTGGCAGCAATAAAGTCCTGTTTCTTGTCTCCAATTTATACCTTACTTTCCCGCTATCATCTTTTCTTATGTTCCATTGTCGGTTGCCATTTGCAAGTTTTCTGCACTAGCTCGACTTAAAGTTGATTCTCAACTCAAACTCACTGTCACACTGGTGAAGGATAGATAGATAGATAGATAGATAGAGACTTCCTTCTGCCCAACACATTCTCCTGCAGTCCACAAACCTAATAAAAGCCCAAAGCTGAAACTGAACTCAATTGACAAAAACATGATTATTCATTTATCTACGACAAGAATTCTTTATTGGTTTTAGAGTGCATAGGAGCCCAACAGCCCAACTACAAAAATCAGATCAAAAAATTGATCAAGTATGGCCAACTGCTAAGTCTACTTCTCCTTCTCCATGCATTGTCAATCGAGTTAGTTACAAAAATTTGTGTCAGCATAGCATACCTCCTTAATAGATCTTCTGAGGAAGATGTCTAGCCTAATGTGGGCATCACAGCAAGTTCAACTCGCCCTGTCCACCCCTCACCTGGCTTCAGAGTCACTGGATTTTCTATGACAGCTGCATCCACAGCCAGCATCTGCTTGTACTCATTATCCCCGAAATCTGGAATAGCTTTAGACTTCTTGTCCCATGGATTCCAAACCACTGGAATCACCAGCTCAACACAGTATTAGATTAGGCTACATCTACATTCTGTTTGTTAAGTAATCAGATTGTGTGCTTACCGACATCCGGAAGTCCTTCCTTTTTGATCAAGAATGTCCTCTTCTTCTCGTGATCGAACACACCAACTGGACCTGGACACCCAACATAAACTCGGTCCATCTAAACAGTAAACAGAAGGGAACGTAAGTTATGGAATGCTAGCAGTTTGAGCATTCTTCAATTCAACAATGGAAGACAAGAAGATAAACTCGATTAAGATCTTTACACAGGATCAGTCTTCCTGTTTATAGCAAAGTACTATTACATTACCGCAGATTCAAATGTCAAGGCATCTCCCTGATCAGTGAGACGTTCCTTATTACGCAGGCCATCAAGATAGTCAAGTGTCTCTAATCCCTCTACTCTCACCTCACTGTCATTGAAAAATATGCTGTCAGCTGTTTCGTATGAGCTCAATACCAATCAAACAATATATATTTGATAGCCATGGGTTTCAACATGATCACTGTATTAACAATCATTAAGAGGCTACAAGATATAAAAAAATGATCGAATCGTGCACGCAGCTTGGTCTATATTTTTCACCTGATATGTGACACAGAGAAATATGTGTGGTACGCAAATGAGAAGCTAAAAGGTTTGCCGTTCACATTCCATACACGTGATGTCAAAATGAGGTGGTTATCAGCATTCAGTTGAACTCTAAGCCGGAACTCAAAGCTGTAACCGAAATTATTCATCATCAGTTCAATGTACAAACAGATGCATTAGCTCTATATAGTAATTCATTCATGGAAACGCTGCCTGCCATTCCTGAATGTTAAAATGACACAAACAGAGATGTTGCATAAATTAGAGCTTAAACCTGTGAGGCCAAAGTTTCATATCATCATCAGTCGACTTAAGAAGCAAGTTGATGACAGCACCACTACTCGAATCAGTACCCTGTAGAGGTGGAGGATTGTCCTCAATCACCCAAATTCTATTCCTGGCAAATCCATGCTTCTCAAGGCAGCCGCGGCTACCAAACTTAATCACAGTTCACAAACCAAAGCGTATTTGCATATCAGTCTAATAGACGGCAATGCGTTCATGACACAAACTATAATTAGAATTAGAATTAGAATATATATATATATACCTGAGGAAAACATATAGGAATTCCTCCCCTCACACCTCCTGGCGGTTTGAGATTAGCCTGAGGTACTAAGATTAAGTTCTTCAATGCAAACTTCATAACAGCAAAAACCTCAGAGAACGAAGTTCAATATTAATATTGCTCAACAAAATGGTATAAAAAGCAGTGTCTCGCCTTCGAACTGGTGAATAGCAGTTCTTCCCCGGACTCGGTTTTCCATGAGCGAACCTGTCCTCCATGAAGACTAACCTGATCAAAACAAGTACAAATGTTAGTTATAACACAAATGTACATCTTCACATACACAGGATATGCAACAATCTCATAGTCTAACGCACGATTGCTGAAGCTCCGCGCGGACTAAGAAGCAGCACCCGAGGAACTCCATTCTCGTCCTTGCTTACATCCACCAGTCCTCTCGGACGATTCACATTTGTCGTAGAAGGATCCATTTAAAGCAAACAAACTGAACGGAAGTTGCAGTGAGGTTCTCTCCACCAGAATTTTATGCTCAATATCCTAATATGGATGGATCGAAAGGTTCTTCAAATCACAGGAAACCGCTGCCTTTCAACGCCTAATCTGGAAATCTTTCCCGTGATTAGAAACCGTTTCTCTTGTGAGTTCCAACAGAATTTGCAACTACCAGAAACTACTCAATCTTACTCGTCAGTAATCGAGTACATTGAAGAACTACGCATTACGCAGTCGCAACAATTAATGATGAAAACAGACAATCGACGCAGAAAATTATCAGTCTCGTATGAACAGAGAACAAACAAGTCGAAAAGCTAAGATTACCTAACAGTTCAGCAACCCAACCACAGAGCATTGGGCTTCAGTAGGCAAAATCAATCCAGCATGAGAATTCGTATAAAATTCCAAGTCACAGATCTTATTTATATGCCTGCAGAACCAGCGCTGCCGCAGCAGCCCAGTTTTTGCCGCCTTTCTTATTGAATTATAAAATACTAATAAAAAAATATAGATTAAGCATTTTCGACACGTGTTATTTTCTTTAACATTATTATTATTATTTAAAAATATATATTTTCTATTTTGATTTACCCCTCAATTTCATGCATTTTTACTTTTAGTAAAATTTATAAATCCTAAACACGATTATCAATTATAATTAAATTTAATTAAAAATTATTTGTTATTAATAAAAAAGAATTTTATTTTTAAAAATAATTTAAATAAAATTAATTAAAAATACACATCTCAACAGTTGAGATTAGAGGTGGACAATTATACAAAATTGCAGTATAGTACAGTAGCCCTACCGTTTCGAAAATATTGTATTTACTGTACAATATAGTATAAAATTTGATATCATACTAAAATTGAGTATATATCAATAATTTTGTATATACTGTATTATCAATATATATATATATATAATGTTAGAATATATCAGCATTGAGTTAATACAAATATACTTAATAAAATAAAATGCTTAAATATTATGACTAAATAATGATAAATCAAAGTATTAACTAATTTATAGTATTACTATTATTTAATTTTGATAATTTTCAAAATTTTTAGTATAATGGTAATTTTGTGTTATACCATTAATTTTATTATATTAAATTTTGGAATTGTTTATTGAAAAACATAAATTAAGTACTACAACATATCAAGTTTATCAAGAAATTAATACGATATATTGAAAAATTGATATGGTATTATTGGTATTGGTATGAAAAAAGTTTTACAATAATTTTTATTATACTAAAAGTTGATGTATTAAACTCGAAAATTTGATCCGAATTCGACATGAAAAATCGTATTTGAGCCTAAAAAAAAGTTCAAAAATTTTTAGACCGTACATAGTCCGACATGCAAATTAATCGGGCCGTGCCCCAGGCTCATGAAAATCGACCGTGAGGTCTGATTCAAAATTCGACTAGGCCTGCCCAACACATTTTACAACTGGATTGAACCAACACGGCACGAAAAAACCGGGCCGCCCGAATTGTCACCATGATTAAAACTATTTCAATTTTCACATAATCAAGTAAAGTGAGGAATTTTCATTGAACTTTTTGTTGAACATTCATTGTCTCCTAAAAATAATCACACTTGCATGATTGATTGGATCTGTTTAATTTCAATTTCAATTTTTTAAAATTTTTTACCATTAATAAGTTTTTATATTTTTAATAAAAACACTTTTGTATTAGAAATTTAAATTTTAAGAAATCAAACTTAAATTTAAATCATAAGCAACAGTTTGTGTGCTTGTATTTTAAAATAATTTTCACAATCAATGTGTTTTTTAAAGAAAATAGTATTATATGTAGCACATTTTTTAAAAACATATATATATTATACTAATATTTATTTTTTATTACAAAAATATTAAAATTCAAAACATTAAAATAAAATATAAAGGAAAATAAACACATCCAAAGTTAAGTTGTGGCAAATCGTCATTAGTGAGATATTTGACTTGAGAACAATAAGATTGGAATATTAGAATTAATAGCAACACTTTAAAATTGATTTAAATTTAGCACATAAGTCAAATCAAAGCACGCAATAACTCTCAAGTATTTCTTGTTCGTAGTCTTTAATTTGGTTTGCTTCTTGGTACCATTTATTCTAAATTATGTGTAGAATTAGTTACTTTCACTTTTTTTTCAAATATAAAATTATTTGTCCACTTGTGTTTTTGCGATAATTTATAATTTGTGTCTCGATATTTTTTAAATTAAAATAATAATATTTTATATAAAATATGTTAGAACTTATCAGAAATTGCACCCTAAATCCACGATCTACTGTATTGTAATAATTGAGATAAGAAAATAAAGTTATAATAAATTTAACCTTATTTCATTAGCGTTGTTGGATTCGGATCTGCAAATTAACGGAGGGTTTGTGTTTTTAGGCCTATAGCGCAACCCCTCGTGAGAAAATCATTACTCTCATGAGATATGAAAAGTAATGGATGTTGAGTCTAGACCTAGGATCACAATCCTATTTATATCCCTTATTATTAATTGGTTTCATCACCCAATCAATAAGTTATCGGGTTTCTGTACATAGGAGACCCGCACTTACTAAATACATATAAGCCTAATAAATTCATAAATCACAAGTTTAACCTGGCTGATAGCCCAAATAGTTATATTTAACCCACAATTGAATTTTTAATCCAACAAAATATACAAATTAAGTAGTAACATATTGATTTTTAATATTTTGTTTGAATTCAAATTGTCTAATGGGTTGGACTGATCTAATTATGGATTAATCCATCCCCCTCTAACTTAGTCTATGTCTAGATTTGGTATAATAAATTTAAATTTGGGCTCAATCATCGAACTTAATAGGGTTTCATTTGGATTCATTTATTAAAAATTAATCTATAACTATTTTAATAAAACACATGATTATCAATTATCTTTACTATAAAATGATATATTCCGATCTGGCTTAAGATCGGCCTAATATAATAGTTTATACAATCAATTATAGACCTAACCGATATATGTTAAGTTTGGTCCGGCTTGCCTGAGCAACCTAAATGTACATAATAATTTGAATGTAATATATTGTACTATAAACTACTACCTCCGTCCGGTTCTAAGGATTCCATTAACTTTTTACGTATTGATCTTTTTTAATCTTAATTATTATATCAAAACATAGTATGAATTAAGAAAAAATTGCAAAAACACTTTCATTGGTGTCTTATAATATTAATAGAAAGACATATGCATAAAAAATTATACAAATATAAAAATATTTTAAATGTTAAGTACAATGACATAAAATGTAAACGTGACCTTTAGAGATGGACGAAAGAAGTATCATATACTCCCTCCGTCCCGAAACTAAATATCCATTTGCTTTTTGCACATAGTTTTAGAAATATTAGTATTATATTAGGATATAGTAGGAATAAAGTAAAAATGACTAAAATAACTTTATTAGTATGTGTGATATAAAGGTAATGACATTTGTGTAATATATTGTAAGTTGTAAGGGTATTTGTAATGTTAGGTAGATAGTACGGTTACTTAAAAAAAGAAATGGATATTTTATCATGAGACAGATTAAAATGAAAAAAAAGATACTGGGACGGAGGGAGTACTTATTTTTATATGACTTGCTATTGCTGTACGGTAAAAAGATTAAAATTAAATTTCGAGACAATAGTCATATAGTTACTTTGGGTGTGCGGTCTGGGCTTTATTATTATTATTATTATTATTATTATTATTATTTGAACTTCATTTTAAATAGTAGTTTATTGTATTTATTTTTATAAGAAAAATATTGTTTTTTAAAATTATAAAAATTTAAAAGAATTCCAAACAAAGCCTTGATTTATGAATCATAATTGTATTTAAGGTGTGTTTGTTTAAAATTTAAAAGTCAAATAACTATTAATTCATTTACATTGTTCTTAATAAAAATATATTACTAGTAATTTTTATTTTTTAAATATCAGATTAATAAAAATTGAAATCACAAACCTACACTCAAACCGAAAGTAAACAAACCCATATACTTTTTGTGATGTTAGATTTATATTGATTGTTTGGGGTTTGTTTGGTTTACCTTCCAAACTAATTATTTATTCAATTTGAATGATTTTTAATAATAAAAAAAATATTATAATTTTTTGATCAAATATATATTTAAAAATATAGAATAAACAAAAGTTAAAACGCAAACACACATAAAAAATAAAAAAATAAAAACAACGTACAATTTAAATTTGCTTTCAAATAGTGTGTTTATTATTGAGTTTTATTTTTAAATTTTATCTATAAATAATAATCTTTTATAAAAATAAATTATTTTTAACAAAAATATTTTCAAACTACTAATACACGTGGGTTCTTTTTAATAGTCACTGTCATTTGAATTAATTATTTTGCGAGAATAAAATATATGTATTGTATAATTGTTTAGTAAAATAAATTGAACAAAATTCCATATCTTTATTATTATTATTATTATTTTAACTTATCTTTGTATTAATCATTTTACTAGTAAGAAATTTTAAGTATTTCCTAAAAAATTATATAAAATATTTATCTTTGTATAAAATATTATATTTATTTTTAACTCAAAATCTAACGCATAATTTTGAGTGATATACATTTTCTTTTTTAAAAAAAAATAAATTAAATTTTACCCTTTATTTATTTGTGTTTTTAAAAAATATATAAAGTAATAAGAAAATAGTGTGTAAATAAAAATAAAGAAATGAATAATCGGATATTTCAAATTAAACATAGTACCAAAAACTTTGAAATAGATATTGTGCATTTTTATTCAATTGAATTTGAAGTCGTATTCAATGTGATCATATTTTACCGATTGGATAATGTTACTATAGTTTATTAGAAAATCCAAGTCAGTGGATCCAATCCAATATATTTGTCGCCGGGAGGACATTCGAATATTCTGAATCTATCATACTTACGTTCCACGTCATCTACTAAAAAATAAAAATAAAAATAAAAATAAAAAATAAAAATGAAGTGGATAATTCGTGCGTGACGTCGTTGCACATGCTTGGGTGTTATTGTTTGCGATAATTTTATTTAAATATTTGAATAAATCGTTGAGAAAGCTGGGAAAATTATAAGTGATAAATATTGGGCAATGGGAACTAATTGATATTGATTTGATAGAATTAATTAAGCATCGCTTATAAAAAAGTCTATTGAATACCATAAATTGTATAAATTGATTTATTATTATTTTTTTAAAATAAAATCAAAGTAACGCACCCATAGTGTTGGGTCAAATACAATTATGCAACTTATAAAATTATTTGTGTCTGTTCCAAATTTACAGGTAAGCTTGAAAGCAGCCATGCTTGACCATTACGAACATAAATAAAACTGCAACATTTTTCCGCAAGGAATGATCTGGTGGTATAGGGGTTGGATTTGTGACAGTGATGTCATGGTTTCAAATCCCCGATGTCTCAGGTCACCTGCCATACATGACTCGCATTGTGTGACTTTTCTGTCGGACTTGGTTTGCAGGGTATCAGGTTCAGCCGGGCTTTACCCGGTCCGAAAAAATTTGGCTCATATGGGTATAGAATAATATAAATAAAAAAGCAATACTGGAAAATTGAAATTTGTACAATTGGCAACGATTTTCCTTCTTTACTTATTGTTGGGAAATTGAACAAATTAATCAAAATTAGACATTCTAATATTGTAATAGTAACATGGCAAATACTATTTAGAATGATCATTATAAATGTGTTTGTATTTATATTTTAGATTCGTGTAATAATTTGACGTAATATATAGTTCATGAAAATTGTATAGTAACAAATTATTAGAAAATAAATTGTATATAAAACTCCTCCAACGATAACATTTTGTATAATTTTATTTCATAAAATATTATTAGTTTGTTTGTTTTTAATTTGAATTAAAATATTAATTTAAATTTTTGTTTAAATAATATTTTTTGTAATATTTTTTTTACAATAGTATATTTTATTTAAAATTATATCAAATAGATAGTATTAATTTTAAAACAATAACTATTTCATAAAAAATATACATATGAATATGATATATATACTTTTAAATATCATTGAGTAGTATTAATATCTTAATATACTACCTCCTTCCATCGCTAATCTATCCATTTGTATTTGGCATTATTGTATTTAATATTAAAAATATCTTTATATTTACATAATTTTTTATACAAATATAATTACATTAGTATTATAAGACACTAATAGAAGTATTTTTATCGTTTTTCCTTATTTTGTACTATGTTTTGATATAATAATTAATATTAAATATTAACATGCAAAAAATAAATAGATAAATTGACTGTGGACGGAAGTAATATTTACATATATATATATATATATAAGTAAAACCTAATTATAATCATACATTTATTATTGTAAAGACATAAATAGTTTATAGCACAAGAAATAGATGATATGACTAGTTCAAATATTTGTGTTTGTTTGACAAATTTTATGAATTTTTATTATTCATCATTTTTTATTTTATTTTGTAGATCATGTTGATTCAACCATATACTTATTTATTATTATAACCAACATATATTTATATATTTTTTAATATATAATATTTTAAAAGTTAATATATATTGAATTATAATATAATATATAAAGATATATATAAATATAAGTTAGTCAATCCTATAGCTTATGCTGATTCGATCAAATCAACAAATTATTAATGCGCACGGTAATAGTACAACTATTCTCAAAATAGAAAACAACAATTTAGGTACGCATTTGATACGCACAATTAATTTGTCTAGAAATAGTAATGTCTTGACTTTTTACATAGGAAATTTATATACACAATTAAAGTAACACCTGTCAACATCAACATCACATTGAGCGGTCCGTGGTGCAGACAAGCTCCTACTTAAATTCTTTCACTATGCCATATTTATTTAATTAAATAATATTATTACTACTGTTGCCAGTAGCCAGTACTCAATAATTTCACTATTTTATTTTAAAGCCACCAATCCTATACTTATTTGGGTTTTTAATTTCTTCATATGCATTACTTTACATATATATATATATATAAAATGAGCTCTCCTTAACAGATAATACACTCTGAATATTCTATGGCCTACCCAATTATTTCTAAATATTTAATTTCATAGAAACCAACAGTCCTCAGCACGAACGTCACATTTACTTCCAATATCTTAATGAATTATTGGAACTAAAATGATCAAACTTATCATTAAATTTTATTATAATCAATGGCATTAATTAATATTATATTTATTCTAATTGATTAAATATATAATAGTATAAACTTTGATAAATATTACTCATATATCAAAATTATTATTGTCACACACACACACATATATAGATATATATATATTTATCATTTCAACGCAACAATTATTGTGATTAAACAAGATAATCCAATTACACAAACACGAGTGTATCCTATATTGTATTGCAAACAGGTGAAATTAAATTTTTAAGTAGGCTTGTCTGGATGCTAAGTCAAATGTTAATTGTCATTTATTTCAATTAAGTTTACAGGTTTTATAACAAGGTTATAAATATATATATATATATATATATATGTTTTGATTAATTATAATTTGAAATTGATTTGAAATAATTGTTGATTTATTTATTTATTTTGTTTAAATAATATCTTCACATAAAAATTTTGTTATTGAAAACTATATAAATTAAATAATGATATTTTTTATTTGACACCTATATACATCGTTCACAAAAATTGTACTATATAATGTATTTTATTTTATTTTTATATACAAAACACAGAGTCAGGATGGGATGTACAAAATTAAATATAGATGACTCATCACCATTCAAAATTTATTAATGTTGCATGATTTTTGTAGTATAATAATTATAACAAAACAGTTGACTATGAAATGATCCCAGGTCACGATTAATTATTTTAATCTTACAAAACCAAAAAGTATTTCATTGACTTTCGTCGCCCTTGTCGATAAGATAACAAAATGATACGTATCATACTGCTAATTAATTGTTATGTGCACGATTTTTTTTTTATATGTTAATACTAATTACATATTACCATTTTGTTTTTGATGTGATATTTTAGACTGTGTAATTTTAATATTTTATTCTTATTCTTTATTAATATAATTTTACAAATTGGAGTATTTAAAATAACGCAAGATGAAAAATAATGTACATATATATATATATATTTTATTTATTTTTTAAAAGACATCTTAAATAAAAAATTATTGTGGAAAAAAAGAAGTAATCAAAACAAAATATAAATATGTATATATATACATTAGAGAACAAAGATAAAAATTATTTTGAGATTTTATTTTTCTATTTTACTATTCAATTTTGCATTTTTTTTTCATATATATATATATATATTTATAAACATTGTAAAATATATTATTAGGAATGAAAAAAAAAAGAAAAAAAAAACAATGTTGACGAAAGGAATAAAAATTTAGGGGTTGAATTTGTAGTCGTGAGGTCATGGGTTCAACGCCTCAGGTCACCTGCCACGCATAGTTCGCTAGTGTGACTTTTCGGTCGGACCTTGTTTACAGGGTATGACAATCACATAATTAATGAATTTGAATCATTAACCATATTAGAAATCATAATGGCATAACTAATTTTCCAATGAGAGAATCGTGTTGTGTCCTCATTACTAATTAACTATATTATATTTATATTATACTTACTCTCTTGCCACGAATATGATCAATTTATTTATTTTTAATTAATAAGTATTTTTATTTATCTTTAGATTTTTTATTTTTTATAAAATTAATTTATAGTACAATAAATATATTTTTTTATTATATTATATAAAATTTTATTTTTTATAAAATAATATTTATACTTATATATATTATTGAAATATAATATTAAAAATATTTAAATATATATTTTAAATTTTTTTAATCATCACATAACTAATTATAATTATTTAAATAATTCATCTTTATTATCTAAATTTTTGTATCTAAACAAAAAAGAAAACTCAACTCAATCGAGAGGGAAGGAGTATTATATTAATATAATTATCTTATCTTACTAAACTACGAATCTAGAGTTGGGGATTCCGCAAGGCCGCTTTATCACTAGCCGTTGATGTCATGAGATACGAATATCCGACGGTGTATATTGATTATGGATTTCAGATCCCGAGACTCCTCAAGCTAAATATATCAAATTCTACTCCTTTCTACCTTTGATCTAACCTTCAGCCTTCCGAAACCCACCTCTAGGCTTTTCCCATTATATATATAGCAGTCTGCCATAGTCTTCTACCGCCAAACAGAGCTCTGCGAGGGTGTGTTAAGCTTTTTTGGGAGATTCTCATCAGCGATCGCAGAACACATTAAGGTTTGTGAATTTGTACAATTAACATTATAGCTGTGCTCACATTTATGCGTACTACTATACATGCGGTCACTTTTATTTTTATTTTTTTGTTTTTTAACTTTTTATTGCGATTGCACTCTGGAATTCCCACGGGTTGGGTTAGTTAGTGAATCTCCGATTGGTTGAGTGGGTAAGGGGTGTAACTGTGTAAGTGTGGTTTGATTTGAACGTGAATAGCGTTTGCGGCTTCGTGGAAGTGTTGGTGCCGGGTATGGTGGTGTCGTCCTCTGTTTCTTTGTGTGTTTTGGTTTCTGTTGAAGATTGTAGCGTTATTCGCCTCGGGGAATACTGTTGATTGCGTGTCAATTTTTGGTACTGTCGATTTTCTACGACTTCCTATAGAATAATAGTACCACCACTGACCACTCGGGTTGCTTTTGTTGACGGACGGTTGCAGTTGAACGTATATTGTTTGTCCGGTGATTAACTGACACCAGTGCACTTTCGAGGGGGTTCTTGAATGACCACCGATCGTAGTGATAGGGAAATCATTTTCTGCTTTGGAATGCCATGCCATGGCCTACTATGCCTGGCCACACTGGCTTTACTAAATATATTTGGTGCTCGTTCTTTATTCTATCGAATCACTATTCTATGTTCAACACCAGATTTACAAATAGTTTTCGTGTGTAGGTTGTTATGGCTTTCTGAAAAATTATTTGTTTTGTTTTTGCAGATACCTTAACAAGTCAGTTGTTTTTATGCTTCCGTCACTCCTCTAGATTCTTGAACACCTGCCACTCTTTGTGCATGATATCATTCTATTTAATAACCAACTCAGTTCTTGTACTTTGATTATTTTTTCTTTGAATTCATGTGTGTTGCTTTAGGTCGTAAAGAAAGGTCAATACACTTTATAAGTGCCTTGTGTAAGTATTAAGTGCGATTATTTATAGTGCACAGCTTTTCTGATTTGAAATATTTATTAATATTACATCATAGTTTTGGAAAGTAAAGCCATCTCTTGTTTTTTATTGAACTTTAATTTTATGCGTCTAGAAATATGCCACATGGGTATCTGAATTTGTGTGTGTTTTGAAGAATTCTGTGGAAGTAATATATTTCCAGGCCAGCTGCTCCTTTTATTTGTCTAATATTATCTGGTCAAGACTCCAATTGTTATTTACTGTTGCAAGACCAAATTTTCACTAGTTGTATTAGTTTTGATGGTGAATGATTTTGAGGCATAAAGTTCATATTTAATTCTCTGAACTGTGAGATGATAGTTTGATACTTGATGCCTCTGTGTTTGAATTCTGCTCTGCAACAGAGAATACGATAGATTATTTTCTTATATAGAGAACTTTTTATTTGATTATGCAGGCATTGAAGTGAGAATTAGAATTACCTTGTAGAAGAATGGCTCATAATGCAACAACTTTATGTCCACCTCCCATGAAGGCTACATCTAATGGCGTCTTTCAAGGGGATACTCCTATTGATTATGCACTTCCTCTTCTGATAGTGCAGATATGCCTTGTGGTCGTACTCACTCGCGTGCTTGCATATTTTCTGAGACCGCTAAGACAGCCCCGTGTCATTGCAGAGATCATTGTGAGCTTCACTTTCTACTTTCTAGTTTCTTTCAGTATAACTTTCACTTGATATTCTCTTGTTTACCTTTGTCATACTTCGCTTTTTTAGTTGATCTCTGGAAGAATAGTAGTGCATGCACTGTGGAGGTCAACTTGTGTCTTCAGTTTGCTATTTGGTGTTATTCAGTTTTCCTTTCCGCTGACCTATTTTCTTACCGTTCTGCTTCTCTGACCTAACTTAAAACCTTAGGAAGCTTTATTGACTTATTCTTATGCCTGACTTATTATATGAAATATTGTTCAGTCACTATTCCTCTGCAGAAGATCCTATTATATTGATCAATTCAACTTCATGTAATCCAAGTTTGATAAGTTGACTTATAATCTGTTCAATACAGGGTGGAGTTCTACTTGGTCCATCTGCTTTAGGCCGTAATCAGAAGTATCTCCATGCTATTTTTCCTCCTCGGAGCCTCACAGTATTGGATACGGTTGCGAACCTTGGCCTTCTATTCTTTATGTTCTTGGTTGGCCTTGAGCTGGATCCAAAATCCCTTCGCCAGACTGGGAAGAAAACATTAGGTATTGCTCTTGCAGGTATCTCAGTTCCATTTGTTATGGGAATTGGAACATCGTTTGTGCTCAGAGCAACTATCTCGGAAGGTGTTAGTCAAGGCCCTTTTCTAATATTCATGGGAGTGGCGATGTCCATCACTGCTTTTCCTGTCTTAGCTCGTATCTTGGCAGAGCTTAAACTTTTAACTACTGATGTTGGTCGGATAGCCATGTCTGCTGCTGCAGTCAACGATGTCGCCGCTTGGATTTTACTTGCTCTTGCAATTGCCTTGTCAGGCACTGGTCACTCTCCTCTTGTGTCCGTTTGGTCGTTCTTGAGTGGATCTGGTTTTGTAGGTTTATGCATACTTGTGGCCCCTCCAATTTTCAAATATATGGCCCGAAGATGTCCTCCAGGTGAACCGGTAGATGAAATGTACATCTGCGTCACATTGGCTGCTGTTTTGGCTGCTGGATTCGTTACTGATGCCATCGGGATCCATGCACTTTTCGGGGCTTTTGTGATTGGAATTCTTGTATCAAAGGAGGGAGCATTTTCTGGGGCACTGGTCGAAAAAGTGGAGGATCTTGTATCTGGTCTACTGCTTCCTTTGTATTTTGTTTCTAGTGGACTCAAGACAAATGTAGCCACCATTCAAGGAGCTCAGTCTTGGGGCCTTCTTGTGTTGGTTATATTTACAGCTTGTTTTGGGAAGGTTGTTGGCACCATTGTGGTTTCTATCTTATGTAAAGTACCTGTCAATGAAGCAGTAACCCTTGGTTTCCTCATGAACACTAAAGGTTTGGTGGAACTCATAGTTCTTAACATCGGCAAAGACCGCGGGGTATATAACGTAACAACCATCTAATTAGTTTGATTGATTGTTTCATTTCATCCTCAACTAATGTCTCTAATGTAATTTTGCAGGTCCTAAACGATCAAACGTTTGCAATCATGGTTTTGATGGCCTTAGTCACTACATTTATGACTACACCTATCGTTGTGCGCATATATAAGCCCGCTCGAGTAGCTATATCAGAATATAAGCGAAGAACTATTGAGACAAAGGAATCAAACTCTCAACTCAGGCTGCTGTTTTGCTTCCACAGTAACAGCAACATCCCCTCTTTTCTTAATCTCATGGAGGTCTCTCGTGGCACCGGATATATAGCCGGACTTCGTGTTTACGCCATGCACCTGATGGAGCTGTCTGAAAGATCTTCTGCAATACTGATGGTTCACAAGGCAAGGAAAAATGGGGTCCCCTTTTGGAACAGGCGGAGAAACGTATCTGATGCTAATGAAGTTGTGGTTGCTTTCGAGGCCTTCCAGCATCTCAGCCATGTGTCGATCCAACCTACGACTGCAATATCATCGATGCACAGCATGCACGAGGACATCTGCAACAGTGCTGCCGCGAAGAACGTGGCAATGATAATCCTCCCTTTCCACAAGCACCAAACAATCGAAGGCACCTTGGAGACCACACGAGATGGTTTCAGGCACGTCAACCGGAAGGTTCTTGAGCACGCCCCATGCTCTGTTGGCATTTTAGTCGACCGCGGCCTCGGTGGAACGTCCCATGTAGCCTCAAGCAATGTTGACTACACAATCACAGCCTTCTTCTTCGGTGGCCACGACGATCGCGAAGCTCTGTCTTATGGAGCGCTGATGGCTGAGCACCCTGGCATCAGTTTGAACGTTGTTCAGTTCATAGTCGACCCGGAGCTCGCCGGAGGTACTGTCCATGTAGATGTGGACGATGATCAGTACAGCGCAGAAGTCAGCTCAAGCGACGAAGCCTTCCTTGCCGATTTCAAAGAGAAAGCTTCCAAGGAGAGATCCATTAGATATAAAGAAAGCGTGGTGAAGAGCAGTGCAGCAGAAGCAGTGGAGGTGATGCGTGAATACAAACGCAGCAATCTGTTCGTCGTTGGAAGAATTCCTCAGGGGCAATTAGCTACAGCTCTGAAGAACAGCCACCACCACGGCGAAGACGACGACTGCCCGGAGCTGGGACCGGTGGCGAACTTGCTGATCTCCCCAGAGTTCTCAATGGCGTCTGTTTTGGTGGTGCAGCAATTTTGCACCCAGCTGCCTCCGGAATCTGTGAATACACTCAAGGCAGTAGACCACGCTGCTGACGACGATACATCATCCTAACTTTGTTCATTGCCTTGTTTGTTTGTATGTATAAATATAAATATAAATGTATACATAGACACGCCATATGCATGCATGCATGTGGGTGGACAACTCTTTTCCCATTATATAAATATAAATAAATAATTCGCCTCAGGTCAGCTACACATGGTTCGCAATGCCACTTTTTGGAGCGGCTACAGATTTCACGTCATAAAGAAAATAAATAAATAAATGATTGGCAAATTAATATTGAGGGCTATTTAGGGGCAATTATTTGGGGTTGGGTTAATAGTGGATTTACTTATAATAGTCAGTCCTCAAATATTATTGTCTCCCGTTCCGTTCCGTCCGCCCGTCAACCGTGTTTCAACAGACGGTCCCGTTCGGGTTGTTCAGGGAGGACGCATGGATTTCGCGAACTCCGCCAGCCGCGACGTCGTTCAAGGGGTATTGCGTTGCTCGCCTCTCAACCTGCATTCTCAATTCATGTTTTTATTCATTTGCAACTCTGGAAAACCGCTGTCTTATAAACCTATATTTAATTAATTATCTGTTTTTTGGACGATTGGAAATGGATAGCTGTGGGATGATTCATTTGTCGCGGACAATATCTTCAGTTTTTGCTTGAATTTTTATCCATGACAGCGCTTTTTTTTGACTTGTTTGAGATATTTTACATGAATATTGAATACCTCTGGTTTTCTGGGTAGTTAGATGTACCGAGTAAGTTTCGTTTCACATGAACTGCCAAACATGATTATTTTTAGCCTCGTAATCGTGTCAAATCTCATGTTAATACCTGAACAAGCTTAGAAAAAACTGTTTTCATTTTGTCTTTCGAATTTTTGTTTACAATTCGGATGAGAATGCTTTCTCATTGAAAATCGTAAAATTGTCATGATATTTTGATTTTCAACCTCAAAATGGACTCTTTCTCTCTCCTTTTTTTTTTTTTTTAATTTTTTAATTTTATTATTTTACTACACTAAATATTATCGTTAAAATCGTAAACTCGTCATTATCTTTTTCATATTCTACTGCAGGGGAATAATCACTCAGAATCTGTTAAAGAGGATCATGAGACAACTTGTTGGGGTTGTGGACTTCGTGTCCTTGTTTCTCCTTTTGCATCTGCTTTTAAATGCGGCTGGTGCGGAGCTATAACAAGACAAAATGCTGTAAAAATTGAGAGCAATGACTGGTGGTGGAGACGGTTACGCGATCGTTGTTTTGTCGGCATTGTTATTATATTTATGGCTTTTTTTATATGTAAGCATCAATTGAGTACTGCTTCAACCCTTATCTCCTGTGGTATCTATATCTCATGTGCTCAAAGGTTACTTCTGTTTAGTTGCTTATAAATCAAAACAAGTAAACTCAAAATTTGACTTCATATGCATTAAGTAACGCACACCATCTGTTGTTATACTTTTTGTTAGCTCAATGTTGTTCTGATTTTGTTCTACTGATTTGCTTAAAAAAGCTGGGACAACTTGCTTAACCTATGTTTAATAATTTGTTATTTTAGCTCATGCTTCATGGACCCCTCTGATAAGGCCTACATTTTAGGACTGATAATATTATTGTTAATTTTAGCAACAGTGCTCAGGTTTCTGTTGGATGAGAGCTTCGATATGATAATCGTACTTAATGGTTCTATGTGAAATTGATTCTTGATGTTTCATCAACATTATTTTCTTCTAAATTTCTCGGAATTTGTCTTGGTGGTTCGATACTGCTACTTTACAATGCATTTTATGGTGATTTTTGTCATACAGGTGCTGGCATCATTGCTATTTATCCTGTAGCCTTTTCAATTAGTTTCTTTTGTGGCGTTTTCCACTTGACTGTAGCGGTGATGTTATCTATTTCTTCTTTATCTTTATTTTCCCTTTCTGCATTTCGGCCTGCTGGTTCTCCTCCAATGATCCTTTGGGGTAGCTATCCAACCGTGGGAAGAGGTGGACTGGTGAATTATACCTTCTGCCACTATTGCTCTAGGCCAAAACCACCAAGGACACACCACTGTCGTACATGCGGGATGTGCATATTGAATATGGATCACCACTGCCCTTTTGTAAGTCCCAAACTTTCATTACTGAAATGGCCACAATTATGCATTACAACTTTTTCCATGGATGGGAAAATTTTATAATCATGGTACTCTATGTTATGATAAGCCGTTGATTGTGATTGTGCATATAAAGCCTTGTAAAAAAACACATAATCGACTCTGCTATTTTCCGAGCCATTTACTTTACCTATGGTTTTCATTCTTAGTATTTTTTTTAAGGAACATATAAGGCTTTCCATCTCATAAGTAAGAATCACCTTACCATATTAATTTTACCGCTGTAGAAGCTGATCATGATATATTTTCTGGCCCTTTTCATATACTAATCTGCTGGTTACAATTTATACAGATTGGGAACTGCGTAGGTGCTGCAAACCACCGAGTTTTTATTCTCTTTCTCATCTCTTCTGTCAGCAGTATGCTTTATGTTGCCATTTGGACTTCTTATACTGCACTATATATCTGGCCATCTCTTGACCATAGGTCTGTCAATCTGTTGAACGGCTTTGTTGATAGAGAATTGGTTGTAGGAGTCTTAAAAGAAGAGATTATTGCTCTACTGAGATCAACAATGTTCCTATCCATGAGAGGACTTGTTCTTGTTTACCTACTAATTGCTAGTATTTCAGTGGGCTTTGGTTTGAGTGTTCTCTTGTGGCAGCAGCTTGGATACATATATGTTGGAAAGACCTACTTAAGCCATCTAAGTGCAGTGAATAATGAAGAAACGGTTGAAAAGGATTGCCGAAATCTTATAAAGTTCTTTAGTTATCACCAAAGTGCAGCAACATATTTTCCAACTGATTGGAAATCAAGCAAAAGTCATAAGAAGTAGACATTTCAAGGGTGGATGAATCACTTTGAAATCAACTCCATGAACTCGCATGGTCTACTCTCATCTTATCCAGCATTTCATAAGAGAAGCCGCAACTGAATGCGCAGGTGCCTATTTATATGGTTGTGAATTGTTCATATTCAGGAAGATTTGGTTCTTGCAATTTAACATAATTCCCTTTTTGTATACTTTTTCTAGGTTGGAGGTATATGGTAGCTTAAATTCTTTGTCTCGACAGTCTGCCTTAATTGGCAATGTCTTAAAACACCATACCAGAAAGGTTAACAGTTGCAGAAGAAAGTAGGGGAAGATGATATTGTGCTTAGAAATGTATCACAAAGGTACCCCATGCCTTTGTCCATATTCTTGTATATATCTGATTGTTTTTATGGCAAAATGATCTACGATTCCAACTATTAACAAACTGCTGTGGAGACACTATTCTAACTGGTATGCCTGACTTTTTTCTAGACTTCGTCCCACTTTTTGTGTGTGTATGTGCTTAAAGATATGAATCCATTTTCTTTTTCAACATGATGAATGAGTTTTTGTGGATCGATAGGTTAGATATCTAGCTAGTAAAAGAGCATGTTGTGCTGTACAAAAACTTGTATACTGCATAGATAGTAAATATAGAAATCTTTCTCAACTCTTCATGGTTTTCCTTTTGGCAATCAAAGAAACTTGTAGCAGTAAGTGTAATTACATTGTTTAACATTCTGGGAAATTCTTAGACTACTTACACATCATTGCCACACATATCATCACACACATTAAGCATACCAAGATAACTTAGGATTGGGAAGAGATGTACTCTCCAACACAGGTTGAGTTCTCGTCACTTCCGCCAGAGGCATCTTAGTGCTTGCAATCCAGTACGTCTGCAGGCATTCTCCCGCATCCGCCTCCTTCTCCATTTCCTGAGTTCTCTTCCCCATGAACAATTTGACTGCCGCGACCCCTGCCCCTGCTCCTGCCAATGCCACCAGTACCAGCCCCATGCATCCTGCGAGCAACGGCCATATCTTCTGCGTCTTCTTCTTGACAGGAACCACGATGGAGAAATGCCCCTGACTTCTGCTATGGCACACATCAGGTAACCTCATGTCACTTATTTGAACTTCACCAGTAACACCAAAATAAGCGCACTTTGTCTTCCAATTGCTGCTCAGTCCTGAGTCAGGGAATCTGATTGATATGTTGTTCCCCATGGTGTTGAGCTCAATCTTTGACAGGTTTCTGCTCCTCAAATGTGTTGCATCATACACTGAAAAGCCAACTACAGAGGTTGCCAACGAGTACCCCGGTAAGCTGTAGTAGGAAGATGACCAGTTGCTGAGATTGTGGTAAACTATGAGGAGGCGTTTGACATGAGGCACAGGAAGTGTTCTTGCTGGGATGGCAACATTGCTGAAATTAGCTCCTTTCCTCCACAGAGTGGCGCTTCTGAGCCCCACGACGGAGACCTTCAGCCCCGCCAAATTGGGCGGGAGGGTGGCGTTGTAGAGCGCGCCGGTGTGGGGGCGCCGATGGATCATCACTCTGAAAGCCCGGTCGTGAAGAATGGCGTCTAAGGATTCGTCGAAGACGTCGTCGGAGCATTGGATGAGAGAAGAGATGTGCAAGAAGAGGAATAACAGCCTGCTGGCCAAGTAAGAACATCTAGTGTTGGATTCCATGCAATCTCTCCTTTGTGTTGTGTTTGTCAAAAGATTAGGATTTTATCATTAGTAAGTGTTGGTATTAGTTTTATGTGGTGCAACGGTTAGTGTTTGAGGCTTTTTTGTGTAATGATGGAACATGAAAGAAAGGACTGAATTCTTTTGGTAGAAATTTGCAATGACTAATGAATGAATTAATTGAATTGTGATTAGGAGGCCGGATGAGCCGTGGAAAAGTGACTACCTAATAAAATCATTGATGTGGTCTGTGGCCAAATAATGATGAGTGGGAACAGTGGGTGCACTCCCCCTCCCCCTCCCTCTCCCCCACGCTAAGCACATGATTTCTTTAGGATGCTTTTTTCATGCTTCCTAATTTTGCTTTAGTCCTTAATCATCATGGACATGGGGATGGACCAATAATCATGCTAAATCATTGTTATTTATAAATAAATTAATTTAACAACTATCACGACCTTTTTTTAATGGCAAGCCCATGAACTATTCTGGGCGGCCCAATAAGTTATCAAGTTTTAGCCCAATTGACGTATAAATAAAATGCAACTTGGTCGTCATCACAAAAGGTTTTCCCTTTATTGTGCTTAAACAAGAATCGAAATTTAACAGTACACTAACTCATGTTCAGGTACACATGAATATGCATGACTTGAAAGTGCAACGCTCTTTAACATATAGATAGATATATATATATTCACAAAATTAATCTAAAACAAGTTACAACAGAACAAGCTCACGAGCTGCGCTGATGGAAAAAACACCAAACCTTCATTCATTTCTGGAATGGATTATCGCAGTCTTTAGTCGCGACCGGGATCGATGCTGCTGGCCTCTTGTTCGCGCCTCGAACAGCTTCGCTTTCAGAGTGTTCTCTTTCAAGTCTGGAGGAAGTTTCGAAGATGACTCGGATTTATTCGCATCATGATGGGACGGTAGCTTTTCTGTCCACCGGCGCACCGGGCTCGGTTGGCTCCTCCACGCAGCTGAAGAAGCTGCTGCGCCGTACTCTTTATCAGCTTGCTTGCTCGTGTTCATGCTCTCTGATAACAGATAATGGTTCCTGATCAAATTTTCAATCATGTAGTTAGAATTCACCCCGACGATTCCCTCGAGCTCTTGCTTCCTCTCAGAGCTCTGTTCCTTCGAAGCAGATGCTTCGGCTGTCTTCGAATTCTGCTCTTCGACTGTGTTTGATGCGCCCTCAGTGTCGTCAATGTGGCTTGTCATTTCACCGAGCGAAACTGCTTGAGCCATCTGTTTCTCAAACTTTACCTGGAGACTGGACGGACTTTTTCCAGCTGAGACCCTGTCGGAAGATCCTAGTTTTTTCTTTTCAGGCTTCTGCCTTGCGGATTCATCCTTCGTATCCCTTTTCTGTTCATGTCCTTGAGGTCTCGGGATGGTTTCGTTCATTTTTTCCAGCTCGAAGCAGTTGGAATCGCTCCCTGCAGAGTCATCATCCTCGTCATCTTCGTCTCGAGGAGCGCTGACAGCCATATTTAGATGGATTGATTCCAGGGAACTTCTTAAGAATGCAGGATCCCGCTTACTGATAGTCTTTGCAGAACTGTTTCTTTTAGCGTGGACGAATGCTTCAAGTTCCGAGCCTAATTTGTCCACTGCAGATTTCTGTGTTCCATGTCCCGATTGCAACTTCATCTGCATCCGCTCGTCGAGCCATGATTCGGAGACGTGAAGAATCAATTGGTCCCGGTCAGCTCTCTCCGCCCAATCCTTGTCGGATTTTTGTCTGAAGGCGTGTACTTCCTTCTCATAATCCCTTATTCCGAGTGCAAACTCGTCGCAGAGGTCTTCCAACAGATTACGCGACTTCTTTTCATTCTCGAGCTCTTTAGAGACACTAGCAAGAGTTGTTTTGATGTCGTAAAGCTCCTTGGCTAACTTTCTATGCAAACTCTCCGAACGCTTCCTCAACTTCCTCTCGTCCTCCAGTTCGTCCCTCATCGATTGAATAGCTGCACCGATTCTATCGTGCTCCTTGTTCTTCCTTGCTAGTTTGTCCTCTGTAATCTGCTTCATCAATTCATCCATTTCATGGCGATCCGCTTGCTGTTCTCTCAGTAGCAACTTGACTTGTGACCGCGCGTGATCCAGCTCCTTCTTCAACGATTTAACCAGAGACATGTTCGATACATGCTGCTCTTCAAGGCTCCAGATACGGTTTAAAACCTTAAGCAGTTCGGTCGATGTTCGCAGGCTATAACTCGTCTCCCCAGGTCTTCCTTTATACTCCACAGAGCTCGTGGGTGTAACTGCCGGATTATACGGCGCAAGCTGCAATACAGAAGTGGTTGATAGAAACATAATCTAAAGGCAATTGCAGATAAGAACAATGGAAATCAGCTTAGGAGAGACACATTTAAGGATTTGGATTTCAGATATTTATTTCTTGCAGCATTGGTAAGAATATATTATTGAAATTTCCAGAAGTACAGAGCAGAGCTCTACCTCCATGGAACTGCCGTAGCTTGCAGGGGACACCGGCTGTATAGCATGATTATTATTCCTCTCAGATGATCTATGATGATGTTGCATTAGCGACGCAGCGACAAGTCTCCGCAAACTGCTTGAACTTCCTGGCTGGTTGTGCAATAAACACATTATAACATAATCAACAGAAGACCAATACCAGAGACTTTAGATGCCTACAATTCATTATCCCAATATGTTATCATGGACCATTTGAGGATCAATTTAGCTTTGGCTACTCGAAGATCATAGTCAGGCTAGAACAAGTCATTTGCAAATTCAAGTTCTTGTCAATGTCCGATGATGAGCTTTAGATCAGGCTCCAGTAATGATAAGGTTGAGAAACAACAAACTAAAGCAGGACAAATCATATTTATTCCCTACCAAATGCTACAGTGAATCATTAATTAACTGCACATATTCAAGAACCCTCGATTACCATCAATCGATTCATACAAAAATTAAGTCGAACCTTGTGGAAAGACCAATCAGGTTTAAGCCAAGGGAGATCATAAGCAAACAAGAAAAGAAATGAAAGCTTAAGCAGCTTACCAGGTCAGGCGATGGATCAAGGTGCTGCTGGTGGTTGAGGCGGCGGAGGCGGGGAGGAGGGCCGGCGGCGTGGTGCATTTTATGAAGGGAGATTCTGTAGTGGTAGAGCTCCCAAAGGGCGGCGGCGAGCTTTCTTGCAGAAACACGAGAGCCCTGAAAATGGGCGTCTTCAACAACAACTAATGACTGAGATTGATCTTTAGGTCTCCAAAAAGAGGCTACTGGAGTGGCGTGTCCCCCTCTTTTCCCCACTCTCCTCAACTTTTCCCCCAGAATTTCGCCCTTTTCTGCTGCCCCTTCCCCACTTTTCATCTCTCTCTCTCTCTCTCTCGCATAAAAAAATACGTCAAGTTTTCTTTTCTCTCATTCCCACTTTTAATTAACTTGCTGCTGCTTTCTCTGTTCACCCACTGTTACTGCACACAGAAAATTGTACTTTGTACTCGGAGTCGAAGCCGTCCCGGAATTACCGAATAATTAGGGTTTTAAAAAAAAAAAAATCACTCGTACCTGCGTTTTTTCTGTTTTCAGTTGCTGGTGAATCGTGGTTGCGTAGAGTGTCTTCCTCCATGGTCGGACTCAGACTCCATTAATTTAATCAATGGAGGAAGGCGAGCTGTTAAATGAGCTAGGTGAGTGATTGAAATGATACAGTCACTGTTGCAGAGGGCCCCGATCCTTCGTCCACACGGCAACTACCCACACTGACACACACTGACTAGTATTGTATGTATGTATGTTTGTAGTATTGCATGGGATTCGTTTTCCAATGGAGCCCCTCCCCTCCCCTCCCCTCCGCAAATTTGCTCTCAGTTTCAGTCTTTCTTTCTCGTTGGCGATCTGTGTGTTTGGCTGTACTGTAAAAATATTTATTACTTTACTTACCTTCCTCCTATCTTGCCCTTTTTAACTTACTTCTTATAGTAAGTAATAAATATCTTTGCATTTTTGTATTGTATTTGTAGATACTATTATTTATTTTTATAGTATTTACATATATATATATATATATATATATAATGACATTTCCATAGGATTGTTATTATTTGATTTGCTATATAAGAGGCCATGCTCACTACCTGTTAAAGATAGACTATATATTGATTTTATGTTCTTAATATAATTTGTTTTGCTTGTAACGTTTATTAATCTTAGTGTGGTGAGCTCACAATGAAAGGTAAGCCCAAATTGATTTTAATTGGGCCCAATATAATGGGGCAGATACAGTCCAGGAAAGTATGAGGTTAATTGATGGGTAGATTTAGGCTTAATTATGGGCCTATCACTACGTTGGGCCTTATCGAAATATATCCACAAATCCGGAGCCCATTCCATTCTACGTCAGCATCAGCATCACCATCATCACTATAGTATTATTTATTATCTTTTTTAAAACAAAAAACCGAAAGTTAGAAAGATAAGGTAAAATAAAAGGAAATGGTTGCTTATTAATCCGATAGTTGAAAATCATCAATAGGTAAATGCATGGAACAAGTATCTGAATGGATGCAATTGTAATGGTAATGGTAATGGTAATGCATGACTTATGAAAATAACTGTCACAATCGTATTATGATTTGACTGTGATTATGAATATAAGATTTTAATAAAAATTAAAAATAAAAATTGGAATATTAGTCTATAGCACTAGAGATATGCAAGTGCAATTAATCATTGTGAGTATTCTACAGTGTTAAAAAAATTGAAAGCAGATTGTGGTACGTACGTTTCTTTGCATTATATTCTGTCGGGATTGAATTGGCTATCTCGTTTGTTGTGTCACATGGATTTCATCCACAAGTTATTCTGCATTCATTTAGATATCGATCGTGTGTTCAATTATTATTGCAAATTCAAGTTAAAAAATTAGAAATGATAATAACTTTCTCTAAATTGGGACTTGCAAATCTCCACAGCACTAGTGGATCGTCCAATGCTTTTGAAAGTAAGTGTTACAATATAAAACTGAGTTTCTCACTTTCAATCATAAGAATCGTATATTTTATAGTGTTATACAAATCATCTAAACAAGAAAAGAATCCTACGAATATCTTAAATAAGACAAGTACCATAAATATAATATATTGCTTTTAAGTATATTTTAAAACTCCTCTTTAAACTCAAGATATGATGGAACAAACCTGAGTTCGTCAGAAGTGACCGAAAAATATATAGCCGAGATATTCCACATATGAATTTGAATTCGCCAAGATTGACTAAAAATAGTGTAGCCGTCCACTGGATTAGAGTCAGAAGCAGAACTCTCAACACTGTTAGAGTTGAAAACAAGACTCGCTCGCTCACAATATAATTAGAGCCGAAAATAGGACTCGCTCACTCTAATAGAGCTAGAGTCGGAAACAAGACTTGCTTGCTCATAACAGAGTTAGAGTCGAAAACAGAACTCTCTCGCTTTCAATAGAATTAGAGTCGAAAACAGAACTCTCAACGGCGTTAGAGTCGAAAGTAGACTCTGTAAGTGGAGTAGTAGAAACGGAGACAACATGCAAATAACAACATAATTATGGATAAAAGCAAATACATTAATAAAATATAAAAATATATATGAGATATAACGGATTATGGAGGTAGCCGAAGAGAATTTGACTCTAATACCATGTTAATATATGAAACTAAAATTCTCTATTTCAATAATAAATACGTACATATTTATAGTGATATAAAAATCGTCTAAATAAGACAAGAATCCTACGAATCTCTTAAATAAGATAACTATTATAAATATAATATATTACTTTTAAATATATTTTAACGTGAGCAATAAATATAATTTATTAATATGAGTAGTCGTTGGTATATATACAAGTCAATTAGAATGAATTTTTGCTAGAAGAGTGCATTTTGTCGTCATACTTAATTATTAAACCTTTTTTTTTTCTTAAGACATGATGTATAATGAAATGTCATGACATGGGACCGAATCCTGATGAGTCCCCCTGAAACCCATTCATTACTACATTGACCTGTATATAAGTCATCCTTTCATTTCCACGAAAGGGTGCAGTGCACGTGCCACTTTTTATTAATATATGCATGTATCTCGACTTATTGGTTTTCCATATCAATCTGCAGTATTCATCCATGGATACGACTAGCTAGAATATTCTTTTTTCTTTGGGATTCTAAACACGATATGAATTTGAGGAATATAATTCAATGATGCCCCATATATATTTTATTCCTGCCACACGTCGAACACATACACCACAAACTTCATTAATAATAATAATAATAATAATAATAATAGCACATTAGCACCCACTCTCCCCAGAAATCTATCTTTAGTTTGCATGGATTTCAGCCAAGAAATCGAACCCATGTTATTTTCAACGACGACGTCTAATTGTTTTTAAGTTAATTTGTCAAATTGTTAAGTAATTAATTAATTAATTAATTTCATATTAGCAATGTAGGTATAATGGCATATGCTGCTGACATTATTATATATTGTTACACTAATTAATTTAATTGGATCAAATCTTACACTCACTGTCTAGTCTTGTTCCCTCGTACATTTTTTGGTACAATTAATCTTGCCACCTGGAACGTCATCTCGTTGTTCATCGTCCTCCCAATGTCTTCTTCCAAGCTTCCAGTCTCTATCTGCACATCATCGCCATGCATGCACTCTTGAGAAATATTTACATATCATCAGATTCAGACATGACAGAACAGGTTTCAATGATATTCTGGAAGATTCTTCAAATCTTGGAGACCATTGAATTCTCCACCTTTTCCATCGGCTCAGGTTAATCAATTAGGGTTCGCTCATTCTTTAATTTATCTATTTATAATGCAGATCCTGTTGTGTTAATTAACGAAATAATTTTGGGGGAAATAGACAATCAAAGGGGAAGATAAACAAACTCGATCAAACAATACACACACACATATATATATCTTCTGTTCTTGTCAAGTTTCTGGTGATCTGATGCATATTAATTAAAATTGGAATCAAGAAATTGATTGCCTCAGAAGCTATAATATATTGTGTGGCTTGAAATGACTACAACGACTGAATTTTCTATTGCTCATTCAGTTTGGAAGAGCACATCACGAAATATTTTCCAAGTCGTTCATGGAAATCATTACAAGACCCACATTTGGCCTTGACTTAATTCGAAAAACTCACTGGAAAGCTCAGCTTAATTTATGACCACAGAATAAGAGTAGCTATGATTTCATCATTGAGCCATGGCTAATTTCTTGCTGCTGCTGATTGATTTATTTGAAGCTCAACTAATTAATTTGTAATGCTGGATTTTCTCCAATAATTAACATGCAATATGGCCACTACTTTTTCAAGCACTCAAACCTACACCTCTGTATCCATGGCTTATAAATACACAGTGCCCTCACCATTCTTTCTTGTGCTCCGAAGCTCCATCCTACTCTCCTGTGAGCTACTCTTTTGCGAGTTAATTAATGCTAATATTGTTCTCTTTGATTTTGTAGTTCTAGAATCAGTACAATACTTCATATACACTTGTGTGTCACACTGTCAGTCATGCTTAACCATATCATACATATATATATATATATATTTATTCAAGTTTTTGTTTTTGGTTTCACTGTTATTGCTCTGAGATCTTTCCTTACTGTGATTAATTATAATATTCATTAATAAATTCATGTACTGCTTAATCTAAAATTGATTTGAATGATTGCATCAAGAGAAACTGTTATTCATGGAGTGAAAGAAATTAATCGACACGTTTATAACATGCAGGTATTACACTGAACTAACCTTCTGCAACTTGTCGAAACAATGGCCGAACCATTCGAATGCGCAAAAGCTCCAATGAAGGCGGCCTCCAATGGCGTCTTCCAGGGAGACAATCCTCTTCATTTTGCACTACCTCTGCTGATAATACAGATATGTTTGGTGTGGATGGTGACCAGAGCACTCGCATATTTTCTGAGGCCTCTACGACAGCCGCGAGTCATTGCTGAAATGATTGTGAGTTGCCTTCTCCACAGCCGCCATTATTTCTGTTGTCTGAAGCTTTTTGGTTTAACATAGCATTGTCTTTTGTGGACAGGGCGGAATTCTGCTCGGTCCATCGGCTTTTGGCCGGAGTAGTAAGTTTCTAAACGTTATATTTCCGTCAGAAAGCCTTACAGTTCTGGACACCATTGCAAACCTTGGTCTGCTATTCTTTCTATTTCTTGTCGGCCTTGAGCTGGATCCAAAAGCTCTTACACGAACTGGGCGGAAAGCGTTGAGCATTGCCCTGGCAGGGATAACTCTCCCGTTCTGTTTAGGAATCGGGACATCATATGTACTCAGGGCTACTATAGCCAAAGATGCAGGGCAGGGCCTGTTTCTTGTGTTCATGGGGGTGGCTATGTCGATTACTGCTTTCCCTGTCTTGGCTCGTATTTTGGCTGAACTCAAGCTTCTTACCACTGATGTTGGGAGGATGGCTATGGCGGCTGCAGCTGTTAACGACATAGCCGCGTGGGTTCTGCTTGCGCTGGCCATCGCCCTGTCGGGGGCGAAGCATTCGCCATTAGTATCACTGTGGGTGCTCTTGAGTGGGATTGGTTTTCTGACATTGTGTATGTTAATAGGCCCTTACATTTTCGGGTGGGTGGCGCGGCACTGTCCGGAGGGGGAGCCGGTGGACGAGACATACATATGCGCGACGTTGGTTGCTGTCTTGGCGGCTGGACTTGTGACGGATACAATTGGGATCCATGCACTTTTTGGGGCGTTTGTTGTCGGGATTCTTGTTCCTAAGGAGGGAGCTTTTGCAGCAGCCATTGTTGAGAAAGTTGAGGATCTTGTGTCGGGTCTTCTTCTTCCTCTGTATTTTGTGTCAAGTGGGCTGAAAACTAATATTGGCTCCATTGAAGGTGCAGTGTCTTGGGGCCTTCTTGTTTTGGTCATATTCACAGCCTGTTTTGGGAAGATTTTTGGCACTTTTGTTGTGTCCGTTTTGTGCAAGATCCCTCCTAAGGAAGCTCTCACGCTTGGATTCCTTATGAACACAAAAGGCTTGGTGGAGCTTATCGTCCTCAACATTGGGAAAGACAGAGGGGTCAGTACAGTACTATATATAATTCATTATTACCAATAAGTAAATTTAAATTGTGTCTGAATCTTCTGTGTTGTGAATCTGTAGGTTCTGAACGACCAGACATTTGCCATACTGATTCTAATGGCGTTGGCGACTACGTTTCTTACAACGCCTGTAGTGATAGCAATGTACAAGCCGGCGAGAGTGGCGACGACGGAGTACAGGTACAGGACGATTCAGAGGAAGGATAGGAGCACTCAGCTGAGGCTGTTGGCTTGCTTCCATACTACAAAATCGATTCCCACTTTGATCAATTTAATGGAGATTTCTCGTGGCACCGGGAAGAAGGGAGGACTGCGTGTCTACGCAATGCACCTTATGGAGCTGTCCGAGAGGTCATCTGCTATTTTAATGGCGCACAAGGCTCGGAAGAATGGCAGGCCGTTTTGGGACAAAGATCAGGATCGGCACGACCCGAACCAGATTGTCGTGGCGTTCGAGGCCTTCCAGCATCTTTGCCACGTGTCGATCCGACCGGCAACGGCTATATCGAGGATGGCGGCGATGCACGAGGACATATGCTCCGGCGCGGAGGCGAAGAGGGCGGCGATGATAATCGTGCCGTTCCACAAGCACCAGACGGTGGCCGGAGATCTCGAGGCTGCGCGGGAAGATTTCAGGCACGTGAACAGGAGGGTGCTGAAGAACGCGCCGTGTTCGGTCGCCGTTTTGGTTGACCGCGGCCTCGGCGGCGCGGCCCATGTCTCCGCCAGCAACGTTGACTACATGATCACGGCGGTTTTCTTCGGCGGCGCCGACGACCGTGAGGCGGTGTCGTACGGAGCATTAATGGCCGAGCATCCAGGCGTTAGATTAAACGTCGTCCGTTTCGTCGTTGACCCGAAGGTCGCCGGAAAAAGCCTGCGCCTGGACGTGCACGGTACCGGCGGGGGGAATTCACAGTCCAAATCGGAGAACGAGGAGTTCATTTCGGAATTCATAGAAAGAGCGTCGAAGGATGGTTCGATTAGGTACGAGGAGAGTGTGGTCGGCGATGAAAACGAAACAGTTGACGTCATCAAAGGACATAGTCGCCTCTGCAACCTATTTGTCGTGGGACGAATCCCAGAGGGACAGCTGGCAGCTGCCCTTAAGAAGAAGTACTACGAGTGCCCGGAATTAGGACCGATTGGCAACCTGCTGATATCTCCGGCCATGTCGACGGCCGCATCGGTGTTGGTGGTGCAGCAGTACAGAAGGCGCCTGACCGGAGACGCGCTCAAGTCTTTGAATTCCGATGAGGACGTCAACACGTCACCTTGACTTTCTATTTTCGGACACATACATAAATGTAATGCTGTTAGAACTATTACTATTACTATATATGTACTTGTTTGCCTGTAACATGTGTGTATATGTATGTATGTGTTTTATGTATTTTACATACCGATAGTTTAAAGGCTTGTTGTAACATGTATGGGCCTAACAATGTCTCTCCGTTATATTCCAGTGGGCTTTCGATTTTCTGAGATTCTATAAACTTGCTAGAAACCTAGACAACATTCATTTGAAAGTTTAAGCTAATCCAATTAAACAAGGCCAATACACATGGGGGAGTGGAATATTCTCTCAGCACCGAGGAATATTCCTCCCATTCTTTTACGCACAAACAAAACCAATAACAAAACTCTTAGTACCTAATCATAGCCGTTCATTAATCTCACTCCAAAATTAGGATCATAGTCAAATTCACCTGCATATGCACTCAGAGTCAGACACACTGGTGTTGTTTAGACGGTTTTTTTAATTTTAAAATTTTTTGTAAAAAAATAAAAATTAGTATTTGATTTTGATATTATATGAAAAAAAATATATTTATGAATTTTTTAAAAAATGAATAGTGTGCAGATAAACAAAATCATAAATTCGATATTAATTAATTAATTAATTAAAACAATGAATGAGGTCCAGCCTGTAATTACACCAGGCACGTGTGGGCTCCACCTTCCGCACCACGAGCGGTGACGAGACGCCGTGAAACCAACCAACAAACCCACCATTCATTCAATTGCAAATTTCCACACGCACATTAATTAATTAATCGAGGTGGCTGATCCGACGTCGTACCGCCACAATTACACCGAACCCTTTTTTGCCAATCGGGTCAAATTATATGACCTTTCAGGTTTCTGAAGAATCCAACCAAAATTTGTTTAATCTAAGCAATCCATTTGCTGATGTGATCCATGCCGCTGCTTGCTACTATTTACTGTAATTTTATAAGGATTTCTTATTGCTGTTGTAATAAACGACTGATTCTCGAGCGTTCCAAGATAAATTGTAAGTTATTGGTTGGGTTTTCCTATGAATAATAACCTTGCCCGAACAGTATCTGGTCTGCGCTGTGGAGCCGGTAACCCGTTAATTTATAAGCTTCCCTATCCAATCCGACGGTGAATACGAGACCCGTCCGTGATCCATCTCTGAACCAAACAAAATACGCACATCTGTATCTTTTGCTAGCATCCCGCTGCCGCCGCCGCTCGCTATAGACTCTAGGTTTGTGATACCAATCTGTATCCGTGCGTCGTCGAGGATAATTTGAAGTCATGATTGGGAGGTGAGGATTGATTGATTTCGTCGTTGATGATTTTGTTTCTTTTTTGTGGTTCCAATTTCCGAAGGAAGTTTGAGTACAGCGTTTTGTTAATTGCTTTTACTTATTTGATACTTTTTCATTGCGCCGAGGCCGAGTTTTGAACTTAAATTTGCTTCCGTGAGTTTCGAATTCAGATCAAGGACTTCCGTAACGTGTTTTTTTTTTTGCCATCTGTGTAAGAATTTCTGTAAGATTAGCACCTGTTTGATGTGGCGTGGTTTATTGAGTGGTTTTCTTCTCGTTCTGTTGCATCTCCTGGATGATTTCTGCAAGTATCTAGAAACTGCTGCAACTAATTTATTAATAATAGGTAGGTTGATTGGTTTTGAATGCAGTCTTTCGTGAGTAGTTTGATTTTTACTAAGAGATTACTCAAAATATTCTTTAACTGATTTTCTCGAGCGGAAGTTGACAGAGTAGTAAGAAAGGAGTCTTTATATATATATATATATATATATTTATTTTTTTTTATGACGACCTTTATTTATAATTGTTTCTATGTAGGCTTGATTTGATGTCATCTTGAGATTAAATCATGATTATAATTGTTATTTTACCTCTGGTTTGTTGGACGAGGTAGCATTTCATTGAACAAACAAGAATTGTGTGTAATGTTTTTCTAAAGGGATTCACTCTGCTTTACATATTATGATGCTGTTTTGTTAATGCTTAATTTCTTGTGAGTCTAACTGAGAAGCAGCGGTTAAGTAGTCAGCACTTTGTTCTTATCATTTGAAGATAATCAAACTCATTGTTTCCAGTGATTTTGAATAGAGATGTTTCCCATATATACCGGAGCATTCCTATTCCCTTCTATCATAATCCATTCTTTACCTTAAAATAAATAAGTAAATAACAATCATAGGATATATCCATCTGCATATATTGTTGATCAATTGCGTGCATGCAACCATTGATGGAAATATGTGAAATGACTAAATGTTGTTAGTTTATTACCTTCAATTTCCATAGTGTTGGTGATGATTGTCTGTACATGAATAATGGTTCACATGCTAGAAGGAACTCTAAATTATGACAATCCCTTTACATTTTTTCATGTGTACAAGGTGAAATATCAACTGGTTTTCACAGAAGAACCATACCAAGATTGCTCACCATTTCTATATAAGATTAATTACTTATGGTCAAATGGGTGCATAATGTGAAGTTTTAACAAAATTTAATGGATTGAGAATTTAATATTTCAAATTTCAGAATAGACGTGTCAAACACATGCAAAATTTGTCATTGTCCCTATGATAGTAGATTACTCAACAAACATGCCAATTGAAATTGCTCTTATCTTGTTTGCAATTGTATATCTGGTCACTGATGTCGTTTCTTTTTATAACAGAACTACCTGCAGCCATTTTGTGGTGGGAAACCTGATTCATATGAAGTTAATGTGAGCAACCTCTTGAAACCAGCGAGACTTAGGTCTAGCTTTTACAGACAATGGATCGCCGTGATACTTCTGGATTTGTGAGTGGGGGTTAGGTTGTGCTCTTTCAGAGACTTCTAACCCTAACATTGTAGCTAAATCTTTTATAACCGGAAGCCAGGCAGACTGTAGCTACAGATACTTGATTCTAGTAAGGGTGTTGTCTGATGGATGAGAGATTGCACAACCTGGTATTTTCTGCAAGCCCACAATCAAATGCATTCGAAAACATGTGCAATTCCATCCAAGTTGGTGGAACTGGAGATGTAGTAGTGTACTCTGCTGCTGACACAACTTTACGACTCAATTCACCTGGATTTGTAGCCTCCTTCCCATCTGCACCAAAGGGAGTCAAAAGAAAGTGGAACTTTGTAAATGATCTGGCAAATCAGAATGTTAAATCTTCATTAGGCCTTGGCCTTGGTCACTCATCAAGTTCATCAGACAGTAAAGGGAGTTTACGAACTGCGTGTGCTTCAGTATCCTCCTCCAAGGAGACTGAAGAAAAATCCTCAATGGATATAGAGTTGGACTTCACACTTCATCTTGGCAGTGATAAATCATCAGACACCGAGAAGTCCGCCAGCTCTAAGTTGAAAGTATTGAATAAGTGGCCTAAGGTTGATTTGCAATTGAGCCTTTCCAGCGGGCCTACCTTGTCTGATGTTTCATCTGTCCATCCAGGTACCACTCCGCCAAAAAGCTTGACCACTTTGGTTCACTGTGGTGGTTTAAGCTTGAGTGAAGGATCAGCTGGAAATCCCCTTGTGCCATTTCAGACTGCATCCTATACAGAAAACATTTACTTTCTAAACCAATCCATTGGTCAAGCAAAGCCAACATCTCCAGGTCTCATCCCAAGCATTACAACAACACCAAAAAGCTCAGTCACCTGTACTTCCGGGGTAACACAGTTGAAGCAGCAGCGGAGTAACTGTACCAAACAATGTCAATTTCAAGGATGTTTGAAGGGGGCTAGGGGGGCATCTGGTTTTTGCATTGGTCATGGAGGTGGTCGAAGGTGTCTTCGCTCTGGCTGTGACAAAGGGGCTGAGGGTCGAACTGCATTCTGCAAGGCTCATGGTGGCGGCCGAAGATGTGAATTTTTGGGATGTACAAAAAGTGCTGAAGGGCGTACAGATTTCTGCATTGCCCATGGTGGTGGTCGGCGTTGTAGTAACAAGTTATGCACCCGTGCTGCCAGAGGGAAATCTGGATTGTGCATCCGGCACGGCGGAGGCAAGAGATGCAAGAGAGAACACTGTAAAAAGAGTGCAGAGGGCGTTTCTGGTCTCTGCATTGCACATGGAGGTGGTCGTCGATGTCAGTATCTTGAATGCAACAAGGGGGCTCAAGGAAGCACAATGTTTTGCAAGGCACATGGTGGTGGAAAACGTTGCTCATATCCAGATTGCAAGAAAGGTGCAGAAGGAAGCACCCCCTTCTGCAAAGGGCATGGAGGCGGGAAACGATGCTCATTTCAAGAAGGTGGTGTTTGCCCAAAGAGTGTGCATGGTGGAACCCTTTTCTGTGTGGCACATGGGGGTGGTAAAAGGTGTGCAGTTCCAGGGTGTACAAAGAGTGCCAGGGGGCGAACGAACTTCTGTGTTCGTCATGGTGGGGGCAAGAGATGCAAATTTGAAGGGTGTGGAAAAAGTGCTCAGGGAAGCACTGATTTTTGTAAGGCTCATGGTGGAGGGAAGAGATGTTTATGGGGTAACCCTGGTTCTGGATTTGGTCAAGGTGACATTCCTTGCAGCATATTTTCTAGAGGTAAAATGGGACTATGTGCATTACATGGTGCCCTTGTTCAGGATAAAAGAGTTCATGGTGGTGAAACTATGGGAATTGCCACCCTGGATTCTAAATCCCAAAACCAAATCTTTTCTGCTGAAGACCTGAATGTGGATACTCCGACGTTTGAGAGTAACATTGTGAGTTCAATCAGCAATTATCATGGTCAAAATCTTACTTCGTTGCCAATTGGAAGCAACCCTTCATCTAGTAAGGTCCCAGAAGGTAGGGTGCATGGAGCTAATCTTATGGCAAGGTTTGCATGCAATTCTGGCTACAACTTTTCTAGCAGCAGAGTCATTTTTGGTTCGTCCATGCCAGAGAAGACTATGGAAGCTCCACAGAACTGGATGTAAGGCAGAACCCCTAGTTTGCCTTGGTCTTTTCTCAGATGCACTGTGATTGGGCATGTAACTTCTATTGTTCCATTTGATGTTGTCTGGTATTTTGCATTTTAGACTTGTTCTATTTTTAACATTATGGATTTGTAGATGTAGTGTGGCAATAAGGGGAAGTTATTTCTGCTTGAATGTGCTCCCATTCCATGTAGATAGTCACAGTGCATGATATTGCTTCTTGTGCTGTTTTGTTGGGTCGAAATGATATTTTGTTGTAGAAAGATAAACTTGCATCTCTTCTTGTATCTCCTATAGTTTTGAATAAGTTTCTCTTCATCTTATTATTATTATTATTATTTGATTCAGCATTGATCTGGAAGCTACGCTGAAGTTGCAGGTAATGTGAGTGAGTTTATTGCTGTAGTTCTTGAATAATGTTTGTAACTTGAATTTATTTGCTTTAGCTAAGCTACTCTTTAAAGTACTAGGTTGTGATAGCAGTGATATATTCCTGACAAGTAAGAAAGTCTAAACACTTATTCTCTGTTTCTCTTCATATCTAAAACATGAATTTGATCGCCCCCAATGAAATAAGTCCATGGAGGTTCGTTACTAGAATCATTGTTAGCTGTCATAACGAGTGAAACATATAGTTTGAATGGCTTAGGCTCTGGATAAAATAAAAGTAGATTCTTAAGACCTTGTTGAAAAAGCAAGTGAAAGATATGAAAAGGGAAATAAACAATTAACAGATCAAACTGGAAACATCAGGTAATATTCTGTATGGGAAGACTTACTTTCCTTTACTTTATTGTTTTCTTTAGTTCTAGGGTATGATTCAAAAGGCAACTATATTCAACACAGTTAGGCCTTTTAATTAGCTACAGCATCTGACACCTTTCATGATGATCACTATAGAGATGGAACTCTAAGGAATCTCTGTTGGAGACAAAAATGCTCTTCTGTTGTAGAAAAAAATTTGAAACCATCTTAAGACCTTAGAATCCTACCAATCATATTGTACTGTATAACATCTATGCGATCTTCATGATCAGATTTAATGGTTCCGGTCTAGAGAGCTTCCTCTTTGAATTTGGCCATCTTAGACAGTTCTTCAACTGCTTCAACCAAGTGGTCAAGCCGAGCCACAAATTCAATGAGCAGGGAGGTAAAAGTTGCGAGTGACAACGTTGTCGTGCTCTCTAGTGCCTGCATTCGGGGAATGTTGTCTGAACTGAACCCCCCCTCTTCTTCATAAGCATCAACCTCTCTTGATGGCCAGGAATGGAGCCGTCTTGACTGCCTCCTCATTGTGTCATGATAGGACTCTGCCTGTAATGGTTGGGGTAGATCTAATGGCTGAGATATAGGTTCAAAATCTTGTTCAGTTCTACTATCAATTTCAGCCATTTGGGTTGAGAGATTAGAAAGCATTGGTGACAATGCATGGGAGAGCCGTGTCAGTGGCTTAGATGAGTTATCCGGTGGCTCATGAATTGATGTGAGGAGGTATGAGTGCAGGTCTATGGCATGTTGGAGTCTCTCAGTCGAGCTATGAACCCTTTTAAGGAGACCAGTTTTGAAGCTTCTTTCCATATTTTGCATGTCTTTTCCCAGGCACCGGACGAGTTCAGCAGCATCGCTCGTTGTCTCTTGTATCTCTTTCTGGAATATGATTTTAAGTTTGTATGGAGCCTGAATACCGAAAACAGGTAAAACATCAGCTACAGGTGGGAAGTTGCATTTACCCCTTCGACATATATTGCTTGTTTTACCGAATTAACTTATAAAATTGATGTGCTATTTATCTGATATTTAAGTGCAGGTTTGGGCTAGTTCCGAGCCAATCCACTGGAATACATCTTTCTTCACAGTTTGATGAGATCCACTTCAACAAAACAGAAAAGTCAAGTTCTCTCATCTCTATGGAATATATTCATCTTGATGAGATTTCCATGGTGTTTAAGTTGATGCTTTTTTTTTTTCATAGAATAAATGGAAGGTATCCTTAAATTCCTTCTTTAAGCATGAAACCGCATTATGGTAGATGAAGTATACTTCTATGCTGATAATATGTCTTTGAAGGTTATTCAAATTTGTTAACATTTGAAATCCATGAATGGTTCTTTCATGTTGAAGTATACTGACAATGAATGATTTGTTTGGGTTAACAACTCATAGTATAAGCCACAGACCTGGATTTCTGAGTGGAGCACACCATGAATTGCCATGACTTCATATGCACAGTACCGGAGGACTGCACTAACTTTGACATATTCTGACCAAGGATAAAAGAAATGTTGAAACCTACCATGGGGTGGTTCCCATTTAGCTGAAATGGCCTGTGGTAATCAAACAAAATAAATGTTAGTTCTTGCTTTTGGTTAAATGGCTTCCAGAATTTTATCCATCTGCATAAGAATAATTGATTACCATGGATTCAAGTTTAGCTGAGGAGTTTAATATAGATCGGCATTTTTTGTATGCAGGTTCATCCAGGGAGTCCTCCATGACAGTCTTTGTGAACTTAGGATGTTCTGATCCATCATCGTGTAAGTACTTCTTAACGCATTCTGTGTATCATGGAACAGTGTCAAAATTAGTGCTATGAAAATGATAGGCATTATTGTAAAGTGGACAGGAATTGAAGTTCTTAGTATCAAATACCCTCAAGAGCATCAGCTACTGAAGCAAAGTTGCTTGAAAGCTCCTTGTGCAATTGTTCCCCAGCCCATATTGGATAAACTAGTACATTCACTATTACTGCTACAATGCCTCCTATAGCAATAGAATAGAGCCTATCCATGGCTGTTCTGATTGGGTTCCCCATTCGATATCCAGAAACAATGATAAGACAGTAGGTGAAAAGTATAACTCGAAATCCATATTCATATGGCACTAGGGGTGGCAATAATTTCATGAATGATGTTACAGTTCCTGAAACATAATAGACAAGGTAATTAGTGTGTACACAAGTCAGGTAAGGGGGTGAGCATGGTGATTGAGTCATTCTTAGCTTGCTTACCAACAATGAAAATGCTTAATCCAATTATAATAGGCTCAGCTATTCGCCCTGTTCGCAAAGCTAACTGTTCTACAGCTATGGCCAGGATTCCTGCTAGCAAGCTTCCCAGTGCTCTGTTGAATCCTCTATTAAATGTGGCACCTCCACAGACATAATTCAGAAGTTTGTTACATGAGGTAATTCCTCTCTTTATTTGTTGCTCAGCATTTTTTCATATTATACCATTTGTGATCACAATATGACATGCATTCTACAAACAATTAACAATCATATAAATTTGTATATAAATGCATAGTAATTTGCATGACACTTACCAACAGTATATTCAAACATGATGGCGACGGTGATGATTGACCAGATAATATTGGTGCCAAAAATTCGATATGGTGTCTGGCATAGTATCAGTAAAGATACAAGAAGAACTGTGAACCCCACTTTAAGTGAAAATATTACTCTGTTCTTGTCTTCTTTGCAAAATTCCCATACACTCATGAGGCAGCTCTTAACATCTTCGCATATCTTGGTAGTTTCTGAAATGTTTTTGCTAATGACAGGCATGTTGATCTCAAAACTACCTTTTTTCCCATTCATTCTCTGATGATTGTAAGAACTCCTGTTGTACCTTTGCAAGAAAGAAAAGACAAAAATCAAGTGAACTGAGTGAGAATTAAGGTGGAATAAATGAGAAATGACTAGTGTGATTTAAAGAAGGGGATTTTTGTTTAAGTGCTTAATGCAACTAGGCGAAGAAAGTATGTCTAGTCAGGATATAATATATACAAAATAAAAGAAAAGAACAATACAGCAATAATAGAAGGAAAGATGGAGCTAAAACTTGGATAAAAGATGCTTAACCTCAATAATGTAGCATTGGATAGAGAATTAGAATCTGAAAAATAAAATTTGCATGACTATTCAGCTGACATTGCTTGCGTTCCTTATAATATCTGCTACTTTTTTATGCCGTATTACTACAAATTTAGTGGAGGCAATGTAATTCCTATCCATGAATATTATTACATCATGTAGTGCTCACCACATGCTATCAAAAATTTCTACTCCATAGGATCTCTATCAAGTTGCACAATGCCAGCAGATGGAATATGTTTCATTCCTCCAACAGTTATTTCTTTTACACAAGGGTATGGCCTTCTCCCTTTCTTCCAACATAAATCATACGAGTTTTGTGTCTATGCGCTCTATTTTCACTATATTAATTTTGTGTATCTTCATGTAAAGCAACTCTTCTTTCCATAATGTTCTGTTTCTTTGTTGGTGTTCATTATTGATACATGCTTCAAAAAATCCAGTAATTATTGGAGTAGAGCACATATTCAGCAATACTTTGATAATGAAGTCGGTTATTTGTTTAAGCCTGCTGCGATCATGGTGATGGAACCACTGAGGTAGAAATGATTTTGACAAGAGGGACAAAAATAATAAGAACATAGCTTGCACTTCACTACTTATGGAGGTATTGGTCACTGTTTATGATTCTGCATTTTATTTTGTTGATTGACAAATAAATGTCAACATATGAGGGTATCAAATATATTTGATGAGGTTAAATATACCTTCTTTTTATTGTTTGTGACTAACCACATGGAACATTATATACTGCTTTGTTAAGGGTCACCCCGGGTGCAGTCTGCATCAGTTTCTTGATTCAGATTTAGCTAAAATGATGCACCTTATACGCGGTTTGGGAGAATGGGTACTTGTTCCTCATGTTGGCCACTTTTTTTTGACTGAGAATCATTGCATTATTAGGCTTGCTAAGCCACATCTTCGAATGAACTGAATTCCTTTGTTTAGAGATAATCAATGTGCGAATCTGAATATTTGTAGGGAATTTGATTTCCATCGATGATTTTTAGTCGACTACTGATTGAAGAAATTCAAATGCAACCTTGCTGATCATCATCCACAGGTTTTAAGTATGTAGATTACACAACTTTGTGTGTTTAGAGTGCGTAAACCTAATTCGATAACAACGCCCTCCATCGGGTATATGCCAGAATTGGATGCTGGGAAGCATCAAATCTGCTGCAATGTTGCATGTTTTGAAGATGCTAGATTCCATGCACATTTTTTTTTTTTTTTTCAGCCTTACACCTGTAGGATACTCTGTTCTTGCTTCTTCTGTATTTGTAACTGTATCTGTAGTTTCCATTTTCATTTCTATCTTCTTCCATTATTCCCTTCTGGGCTTCCATGGAAATTTGTGGGTATGATCAAACATTGCAATACTGTTTTAAGTTTCATTGTGTGAATTTTTTAGTAATATTGCATATGTTGGAAGCCAATGGGGCAATGGGCTATGTTGCTTGGGTTGGTATTAAAATATGAGCTCATTGTAACTTATATAAAAATATTGGAGAAAAATCAATACTAGTCCTAATATATAATAATTGTTAATGCAATTTTTCAACGATAAAAAAGTAAAATTTGAAAATAGGAAATTATTTTCGAATTTGATATAATTAGTGTCTCAGATGAGATTAGGAATCTCTAAACAGTATAGAAAAATAAACTGGAAAATAAAAGACTGAAAATTTATCACTGACTTTGCCGTCGTTTGAAGATGATTGAAGATTCTTTGTCAGTTGTAAATCACAATCCTTAAATATTCTTCAGAAACGGTACTTGGAACTGTCGCCCGAACGGTTACCACGCCTTCTCTCAACCGTTCGCTAACTCCTCTTTTGCTGACACGTGTTCTCAGTCGACCAAGCTATTATTCTCACTTGCTTTCCGCAGTATCTGACCTCCACGACAACCAACAATTCGCTCATCCAACTGTGGATCAACCGACTTGTTGGTCCGACCGCAGAATTTCCGACTTATTGGTCCGACCGCAAACTTTCCGTCTTGCAGACCATCCGACTCGTTAGCCCGACCGCAGACCTTCCGACTTGTCGACTATCTGACCTGCGGACCGTCCGACCTGTAAACTGTCCGACCTGTGGACTTTCCGAACTGTGAACCTTCCGACCTGTGGATCGTTCAGACCTGTAGACTGTCCGATTCGCAGACTATCCAAAAAAATGTCCAGTTTACCAAATTGTCTTGAAATATTCCCTTAAAGATTCTAAAAGATCCAATTACAAGCCCACATCTTCTTCTGACTTGAGCTTTTTAACCTGATTAAAAATTTCATACGTAATAATAATTAAATGTATTAATTTTGGTCTAAATATAAATACTTTATTTATTTTAGTTCTATTATTAAAAAATTTAGTCAATTTTTTTTTTTTTTTAATATTAATTTTGAATATCACTATTATATTGGGTTGTAATGTAAAGATAAAAATACCACCTATTAGTCTGTGACACATATATCTTTTTATATTTAGTAAATTTTATTAATTTAATATATATTTTACAAATATAAATCAACATAATTAACATAGTGTATGAATTTACTCAAAACCTTTTTTATTTCTTTATCTACATCTAAAATTCATTATTTTTTATAAATTAATTTATGTTAATCATAAATAAATAAATATATTTTTTATTTATTGTATTATATAAAATTTTATTTTTTACAAAATGATATTATATTGTGTATATTTCATAAAATATTTAAATACATATTTTAAATTTTTTTAAATTATATATATTATTTCTTATTTTAAAATTACTATAATATCATTAACATAAAATAATGATAATAATAATAAAATAATATCATAACCTCTTTACCTTAAAAATCATGTGTCTAATCAAAGATATCATTTAAGATGGGACAAAACGAGTATTATTTACTTCATATTAAGAAAATTCAAATAAAAACATTAAGGAAACAAACATCAAAACTTCAAAGAAACACATACTTAATTTAATTTCAAAATAAATTTAAATTAATATTACATAATTCTAAAATAGTCTATAAAAAATTATGTAAATATATTCTTGAGAATTACTTCTATTGAATCAATCTACATAATATGAATCAACCAGCATAAATAAGCAGAGACTCCTTGTAAAATTAAATTATTTATATTATTTTTATAGTGCAATAAGTACTTTTTGAAATAATGACGTATGAAATATTGGAGAAATAAAAACACGTACCTTGTTTCGTTTGTGTTTTTTTTTTTTTTTTAAAAATATATATTTTTTTATTAAAATATATTTTTTAAAATTAAATTAGGGTTTTGAATTTCTGCAAGTGATTTGTACTGCTTTATCCATCACTAAATTCAGGGCTTTTGCTCACCTATATCGATTTTATGCTTCATACTAATTGCGTCCACTCGCTGCCTCTGCGTCCTTATCCCACGAGATCAAGCTCTCGATTTTGGCCTTTGGTGCTCTCATCGAAATTGCAGTTTGCTCCCACCCTGTGCTTTCAGGTTGCTGTAACTCATTATAGTTTCTTAACGAAAGTAAATATTTTTGTATTGAGACAAAGGTTACTATAACTTTGTAGTGAGGACGAGGACGGTGTCTTGTATTGTTTATTGTTTGCCCACCATGGAATTGTGTATGTATGGACTATCTTATTGTAAATTCTAATTCTAAGAAATCTATGAAATGATCATTTTCCTCTGTGCAATGATTATGTTTTGAAAAGTAATTCTGTTTGTAAATTTGAACCTTGAACGTCGTGTGTGCTTGTACGGTGACTTTTCGAGCACCGTATGATGTTGTGCCTGTGGTCAGGGTACACCAGTAGATGTCGGGTACATTTACATTTATTTGAATTCAATTTTAAGATTTGTATTTCAGAAATGGAAGATTTCATGCTTTCGTCATGAAGATCTTTCATCTGGCACTCCTAATCAAGAGCCTGCTGAGGAGTTGGAAGACTCAGGGAAGACAGAAAGTGATAAACTGAACGATGAAAGAAGAAACAATCCTACAAGTCTTGGAGAGGTGAGGTTTTCTTATCTTTGGTTGTTCTTAAAACCGATTGCCTTGTTTCTGTTGATCAATCCTGCTGTCTTCCTGCTGATATTGCAAATGTGAGATTCCAATTCTCTTGTAAAGGATAGTTGTTACATGAGATAAATAGTTTACTGAACCCGATAGTACTATTACCACTGATACATTCGTAGACAGCTAGCATGTTTTCCGTGCTTGGGAAGACCATTTTGACTGAGGCAATATATAAGCATGTAAGGGAAGTTTCATTCTTCATTTAATGGTTTCTATCTGGTTCTTAATTTGCACGTCAACTGCTTGCAGATGCATGTTTCATTTATTTATTGGCAGAGTACCTTTGTTTGATCGACACTGAAAGAGAACGTGTTACACGTATAGGACAAGAATCAGTTTCTAGAACTCTTGATCTTGCATTGTGTTTCTTTATTATGAAATAGATAACAACTCTTACAGACAGTCAAATAGGAGAATACAGTGGAAGATATAACAAAGAACTGAAAAATTGTGGTAACAGTATTTATGATTATTTTTCAGGCCATAAAGGCATGGTCTGGAGTAATCGGGAGACCATGGACTGTGCCATGGACAGCAGAGACCATATTAAAGGTGAGGTTCTTCATTTATAATTATAAATGCACAAATGTTTGCGGTGAAAACTGAAAAGCAGGACATTAACATTCTAATCTTGTCTTATGTCAAAGAGTAACAATTCTGATATCAAAAGGTGTTCTTATTTTTAACATCATGATGCTGTAGGTAACTCTTCTTTGGATTATGTCATTATGGTTCATAGGGTCATGGATGATGCCCCTCGGCGCAGATATTGTTGGCGTCAACAGAGAATCACTAACATTCAGGGGGCAGGCCTTGTTTAGCCTTCTGACAGATGTAAGCGAAGGCTTTGCTGGAATATTCATACTTCAGAGGTGCTTGTCTCGATTTCGCCCCCTTCCATCAGATTGGTTCAAATTTAGCCTACGGGGGAATTGGTTCATTGACGTTTTACTCGGATGCTTCATGTTTCCATTGGTCAATCGGCTCTCACAAATCAACCTGGATTTGTTACCTGTCCTGCCTTCCACTCCCGTCACTCACTCTAGCTTAGAGCAGTCAATAATATCACGTGATCCCGTCACAATGGCTCTATATGCAGCGGTACTCGTTGTGTGTGCTCCTTTATGGGAGGAAATGGTATTCCGAGGCTTCCTTCTCCCGTCTCTGACTAGATACATGCCTGTTTGGTGCTCGATCTTGGTGAGTTCTTTCGCCTTTGCATTGGCGCATTTTGATGTACAGAGGATGTTGCCGCTAATTTCCCTCGGCATCATGATGGGCTTGACGTATGCGAGGACTAGGAATCTGCTTCCGTCGATACTCCTTCACAGTCTCTGGAATGGATTCGTTTTCTTAGATTTGGTGAAATGTATGCATATTCTTCCCTTACTAATCCATATAAGGTAGGTAGTATATTCGAACAGGCCACTTTCATTCTTAACGTAAGTATGGGAAAAATCCATGTAAGTTGCAATGTTTGAACATACCCATATTTGTCTGATAGAAATGAATAAATTTTCTTGAAATTCCAGTGAGTGCACTCACTAGCACTGTTGTTGTTGTCTTTATTTGGTACATGTTTTTTATTTTTTTTTAACTAATAATTGTTTTAGATAGATTATGATAGATCATGCCTCTAGTAAATGATTATGTTTTTCATAGAAATATCTACGGAACATATACACTTTCCAAATATAGAATACAAGATGAGGCGTATAAATGGAAACTGTCTGTTACTCGTTGCGCCTGACAGTTGCCACGTCATGCAACGAAGAAGCGCCACGTGTGTTTGACACCAGAAATCGAGGCGAGAGGAAGAAGAAGAAGAAAACCAAAGCAATTGTAAAGAAAACGAAATCTCAAATAGTTTCATAGCTGACTGAACTAACTATCTTACGTAAGAGTCGCTGAAGATGGAATGCAGTGCGGAGCAGAAGCTACCGGTCTACACTGAAGTAGTTGTTCAAAGTTGAGAGTTCCCCGATATCAAACAGTCAAATCGTTTCACAGTTGGAAGGTGTGTTTGAGATTTGAGAAGAAATGGAATCGAAGCACATGTTGATGTCAGCGTTGGGCGTGGGAATCGGAGTCGGAGTGGGGCTTGGATTGGCGTCTGGATCGCAAGCCCTCAGCAAATGGACCGGCGGATTATCCACTTCCTCCGGCGTTACTCGGCAAGTGATGGAGGAGGAGCTGTTCAGTCTTATTTCCGACGGTAGGGATAGCAAAGTCACCTTCGATCAATTTCCCTACTACCTAAGGTAACAATTCCTCTCTCGTCTCATCTCTGCTCCATAGCTTCCTTGCTTCATTAACCTAACTTATACTCAACTGAATAAATGTCAGTGAACAAACCAGAGTGCTGTTAACGAGCGCAGCCTTTGTTCATTTGAAAAGAGCTGATTTTACCAAGCACACTAGAAATCTTTCTCCTGCAAGTCGAACAATTTTGCTTTCTGGCCCTGCTGGTGAGTTCCTTACTCAATATTTATGTTTGATCCATCGTGCATATGCTAATATCAATTAATCTGTTGGTGCTCATCTTCTAGAGATGTATCAGCAAATGCTTGCTAAGGCATTAGCTCATTATTTTGAGGCAAAATTGTTGCTGTTAGATGTAACTGACTTTTCTCTCAAGGTGAGTGGACCTTATACAATATATCTACTTCTGGTTATTTGCTCGATGGAGATACTGTTCTAATGATTTTTAAGTGGTTTTCTTATGATCAGATTCAGAGCAAATATGGGAGTCCGAATAAAGAATCTGTAAGTTAACCAGATTTTTCGGCTTTTTGCTTTGGCTTTTTGAGTTCTTTAGCTAATATGTTTGTCCCAGTCTCTTAAAAGATCCACATCTGAAGCAACTTTGGGCCGGATTTCTGAATTGCTTGGATCATTCTCCTTGCTCCAATCAAAGGATGAAACTACAGGCAAGAGTTTACATATAATCTTTTTTCTTGTGAAGATCCCCGGCCTTTGCAAGATGTTTCTTTGATATGATGATATCAACATTTAGTCATCAGTTTGTTCTGTTCCAGGTGCATTGCCTAGACAAAGAAGTGGAGCTGATCTTGCATCCATGTTCGTAATGGATTCTTATTTCTTGTTACCCCAACCCTCTGAACGTTTTGAATTGTTGCATACAATCCATCCTGATTAAAAATTGCTTTCATGAGTGCAGCGGGCCAGAAACTCCTAAACAGTGTGGGCTCCGGAGGAATGCTTCTGCCTCGTCAAGCATCGACAGCCTTGGATCTACCGGTGCACTTCCAATATCAGGTTTTGAATGTCACCATTCAGAAAAAATGTAGAACTGTTCTGAAACATGTCTAATCATGATCTTCATTTTTTAGCTAATGTTAAGAGAACCAGCAGTTGGTGTTTCGATGAGAAGCTTTTTATGCAGACACTTGCCAAGGTATGAACTCACACCCTTCTCTCACTCATTCAAATCAATTTATGAAGTCTGTCTGTCTGTCTCTCCACTTACAGTTAAATAATGCAGGTTCTCGTCAAAGTATCGAAGATATACCCTGTGGTCCTATACATTAGGGATGTTGAGAAACTACTCTGCAGATCACAGAGAGTTCACATCTTGTTCCAGATGATGTTGAAGAAACTGTCTGGATACATACTAATCCTCGGTTCTAGATTTGTTTGCCCAGAAAACGATTACAGAGAAGTAGATGAGAGAATCTCTTCAGTGTTCCCATACAATATAGAGATAAAACCCCCGGACGATGTAAATCACCTTGTGAGCTGGAAGTCTCAGCTGGAGGAGGACATGAGGGTAATCCAATTCCAGGATAATAAGAATCACATCAGTGAGGTGCTTGCTGCAAATGATCTTGACTGTGACGATCTGGACTCTCTCTGTTTGGCGGACACGCTGGTTCTTAGCAAATATATTGAGGAAATGGTGTTATCTGCCATTTCATACCATCTGATGAACACCACAGAGCCTTGTTATAGAAATGGGAAGCTTGTTATATCATCAGCAAGGTCTGTCTATAGCTTCGCTTCTTCCTTAAACAGCCAATATAGATAGTTAATTGATTAACTCGTTTGACTTGTTATATCTGCCTTGCATCAGTTTGTCACATGGATTGAGCATATTTGAGGAAGGTAAATCTACAACGAATGACACTTTAAGACTTGAAGCACAAGCTGAAATGAAAATCGAAACCTCTGGACCAGCAAGCAAGAATGTAGATCCAACATCATCAAGAACTCCAGTATGGCTTTCTCGATGTTCATTTTTTCCCTTAGCGTCATGTGAGATTGCTTCCTTTTATTGCTGCAGGAAACCCCTCCAGACAATGAATTCGAAAAACGAATAAGGCCAGAAGTCATTCCAGCTGGTGAAATCAATGTGACATTTGCAGATATAGGTGCTCTGGACGATATTAAGCAATCTCTGCAGGAGTTGGTTATGTTACCGTTGAGAAGACCCGACCTTTTCGGCGGTGGCTTATTGAAGCCATGTAGAGGAATACTGCTTTTCGGGCCACCTGGTACGGGGAAAACAATGCTAGCCAAAGCCATAGCTAAAGAAGCTGGAGCAAGCTTTATCAACGTGTCGATGTCCACCATCACTTCAAAGTGGTTTGGCGAAGATGAGAAGAACGTTAGAGCTTTGTTCACCCTTGCATCCAAGGTTTCACCAACCATAATATTTGTAGACGAAGTCGATAGCATGTTGGGACAGAGAAATCGAGCCGGGGAGCACGAGGCGATGCGGAAGATAAAGAATGAGTTTATGGCACACTGGGACGGATTGTTGACAAAAACTGGGGAAAGAATATTAGTTCTTGCTGCAACCAATAGGCCATTTGATCTTGATGAAGCCATCATCAGACGCTTTGAGAGAAGGTACTGATTCAGGATTTCATCCAAATATTGGCAATTTAATGGCTTTGGTAGATAACATATGAAAGAGTTGATTGCTTTTGTGACTGCAGAATCATGGTTGGATTGCCATCCATGGCAAACAGGGAAAGGATCTTAAGGGTGCTACTGTCAAAGGAGAAAACCCATCAAGAATTGGATTATGCAGAGCTTGCAAGAATGACAGAAGGATACAGTGGGAGTGATCTAAAGGTTTCAACCTCAGCAATACACATTGCAGCTTATTACATTATTACACAGCTAATGTTGATTGCCTTTGACACAGAACCTGTGCATCACTGCTGCCTATCGTCCAGTCCGGGAAGTGATAAAGCAGGAGAGGCTAAACAATGAAGCAAGCATGGATAGAACAAAGAAAGGACAGAAGCATGGAGACAATTCTGGGAGAGAGGGTAAGAAGGAAAGGGCAATCACCGTCAGGCCACTGGACATGAAAGATTTTAAGGAAGCAAAAAATCAGGTATTCTGTGTTCTAAAGGCTTCAAAAAGTTTACTCACCTGTGGAGTTCTAATTTACATATGTTGACAGATCGCCGCTAGCTTCGCTGCTGGAGGGTCTGTAATGGCAGAATTGAAGCAATGGAATGAACTGTACGGAGAAGGCGGTTCGAGGAAGAAGGAACAACTATCCTACTTCTTGTAAGAAAGTAACCCCATGTTTAGATTTAGCTATCACTAAGGTACAATGCGAGTTCTTGCATAAACATAATTTGAATAAAATTTTAGCCAAGGCAAAGCAACAAAGCAACAGTAGTTATACTTACCATACTCAGGTTGGAACCTCACCACACCAACACCATCACCAGATATAGATATGAACAGTAGCAAATGAGTCTGGATGTGCAAAGATATGGACACTAAATGAGACTAAAAAAACAAGTGAGAACTGCATCGACGCGGGCACACCGTATGCTCAATCACTCTTCTTATCCTTCAACGGGCCTCTCGGGATTTTGCTCAAGACTTTAGCATCAAACACTGCATACTGTTTCTTGAGCTCAACCATTGCCTTCTCCGCGTAGAAGTCCACTTTGTCTTGATATTTCTCATAAAAGATGGGAACAGTGAATAGCAGAACAGTAGCTGTTAAGAGAATCAAAATCAGGGTTACGACCGCCAAGACGCAAATAATGGTTACAACATTATGACAAGGTTAGACATTACTTGTATACAGCAGTGTCAAGAAGTCGAAGCAACTGCCCACAAACGACACGGCCCACAACCCAGCAATAGCCTAATTGAAAGCAAACAGAGCCATGTCAGATAAGCAAAACCAAAACATAGCTAATACCTCTAGGATCAAGAAACTACACTATAAGCTTATTAAACTCCGAATGAAGACATTGCCAATAGAACTACAATCTCAGGCGTATCTATAATCAGGATACGGAAATAGCAACTGTGGACTTCAAAGATGAGCAGCAATGTAGCATAAGAAATGTTCAATATAGAGATTAAGCTACTGCTAACTAAATGAAAAGACATACAGCAAGGAACTTTTTCAAATCCTTTCCAGAGGCAATATCCCTCAGAACTGCAAAGCCACGGTTGATCTCAACCCTCAGACAAGATGCAAACTTTCGTACAGGTTCTTCAGGAATAATTACTTGTGGGATTTGAGGAGGTGATCTATAGAGAAGGATACACACATTAGTCAGTCCACATTACATCTAGCTTTCAGATGCTAAAACAATAAACTTAATGACAAAAAGGACAGCTCACTTTTTGATGAAGGTGGATGCAGTTGACCACAAGAACACAATAACCAACCCAAGCATCAATCCATGACAAACAAATGCAAGCAAATGATATTCCAGGACAACAAACAAAACCCAGATAGCAGTAGCCACACTCAGCACCCCAGCAGAGACCTTCTTATCCTTCCATAGAAACACATCAGCCACTGGCCATCCAGAAACTCAAATTATTTTTGTATTCCATCTTTTCATTAAATAAACAAACCCAATTGCTTAATTCCATTCTATTCATCTTTCTTGATGTAAAAAGTATCATTGTTCAACAAAAGTTGAGCACACAACATGTTAAAAAAAAAAAAGTTGAAATCAATCAAAGCCCGGACCATCTGCATCCTTTGTCCCACCAACAGCAAAATCAACTTGCTATAAAGATTAATAAAATAGTTACCAAATCAAAGAGAGAGAATCAAGTCTTATTCAACTGAAAACAAAGCCAGGTAAAAAGTTTTGTATAATAAAGTGCTTACGTACATATAATTCCATTATTTCAACCTACCAAAGGGAAAATGTCAATGCCCCTAACTTAATTCTGGACTATCCTGATCTTGCTCCTAATCCCAGTGGCAAGAAGTAATAAGAATTTTTTTTTTTTTTTTTTTTTTTTTTTTTTTTTTATGCAATGACAAAAGGGGTGAGAAAATGAAGGGGACAATTTGGCTATTTTCTTAGAACCAGCAAAAGAGCAGTAAGGCACAATATCGAACTTCTTCACAAAAAAAAAAAAAAAAAAATTAAAAAATGAAGATCAGGCTGTTTGGAAAAATCCAATCCCCCAAACACACACACCCTAAAGAAAACAAGGGATCATCCTCAACTTGCCAACTTGCCATACATGGCGTTAAAATTCTCGATAAACTCCAAAACTTGAGTAACCACAAAAGTTGAGATCCCAAAATGGAAAAATGAAAATTAATATTTGAGTATGCATATAAACACAATAACAAAATAACTCCGGAAATAACCCTTTCCATCTCCTCGCCCAATCAGAGAAAATAGCTCACTACCCAATTATAAAAACATTAACGAATTTTTTACAGCTTAGTAAAGCAAAACTTCTGTCAAACAAGAAAAACAAGACGGCTGCGGGGAAAAACAACGAGAATCACAATTTGACACAAAATAAAGGCTTTACTTAAATCAGACATCGAAAGATAGCTGAAAAAGTAAGAAAATAAATAGTAAATCACAGTTGAAACTGTTGATTCAAGGTTTTCTTTTCGTATTAATTTTTTAACGTACGTTTGCCACCTCCGAGAAGTTCGTGAACCGACTTCTCCTTGCCGAAGAAGCGATTCACCTTAGCCTTCAACGACGGCTTCTTCTTCTCATCCTCTGAGTCCGATGAGGACGAGGACGAAGAGGAGTCGTGAGAATTGATTTTCTCCGATACTTTTTCCATCAAACTATCGTCCTTGTGCTGATCTGCCATCCTGAACAAGAAATCAAAACCAAAAATTCAACCACAGAGATCCTCGCAGATTCCGTGCGCGCGTGAGAATGCAAAAAATGAAAAGGAACGAACTTTGGAAGTGTAAAGCATCCAGTGTGTGTATTTTATAACATAAACAGAAAATAAATCTGCACCGTCGAAGTTAAGAGGGCCCTGATTTAACGGCCACGATTTAACGGCTACTTTGTTCGCAATTTATCGGCTCCGTGGTTAAGTTAACTTAGTGAGGCTGTCTTCCTCATCTGGGAAACTTCTGGAAGATTTATTTATAAAAAATAAAATAAAAAATACGACACTTTGCAGTCGACAAAATATTTAATCGGTTCTGAATTTAATAAAAAAATACATCAAAAAATACCCTCCAGCCACGTATTCCCTCCACAATAATTAATTTAGTGAATATTGTTCAGCGTGACATGACCTGGTGAAGGAGGTGAGGTCACGTGGCACCAATTTGAGCATTTGGGCTTGTTAGTATTGGGCCTCGGCTTTATTAAACAAACGGCCCAATATTAAAGTTAATTACTTAGGAGTATAATTCTCTTTTTTTTTTTTTTTTTTTTTTTTTTTTTTTTTTAAACACTCTCTATATATAGACAGGAAGAAGTCAAGACTGCAACTGCAACTGCAACCGCAATCCTCCAATGGATCATCCTAAATGTCCTAAATGTCAGCTCTTAGTTTACGAAGTTTTGTGCTTATCCGATCATCAAACATAGGTAGGATTTGGATAGAATTTTGATCAAATGTTGTTATAAAAACCATCGAATTAACAACAACTTAGACTTTGAATATTCTATTTTCCAGTAGCCATTAGTGCCCACGCAATGCAGAAGAAGATTATAGTCCATTTCTTGTTAACCCTCCTTTCCCTTGCAAATCTTTGCCACTGCCTACCTCTTTCGACAAAGTCGAGGTGGATCATCGACGAGGCGAATGGAAACCGCGTGAAGCTGGTCTGTGCCAACTGGGCAGCCCACCTCGACGCCATGGTGGCCGAAGGTCTTAACAGAAGACCTGTCGGAGAAATAGCAAAGGACGTGAAGCGTATGGGGTTCAATTGCGTGAGGTTCACCTGGGCCACGTATATGTTCACTCGATTCTCCAACGTAACCGTGTCGGAATCTTTGGGTAAACTCGGGCTTCACGACGCCATTGAAGGGATCAAGAAGCAAAACCCTAATTTTCTGAAACTCAAATTAATCGACGCCCATAGACGCGTGGTCGATGCTCTGGCGGAGAATGGCGTCATGGCGGTGCTCGATAATCAAGTCAGCAAGCCGTCGTGGTGCTGCAGCAACGACGACGACAATGGCTTCTTCGGCGACAAGTATTTCGACACCATCGAATGGCTCCGAGGTCTGTCCATGGCGGCCAAGCACTACAACAACACTCCCACGGTACTGTCCCAATTCCCAATTCCCAACTTCAATCAATTCACTACACATTTCTACATCTCAATCGATTTAATTAATTCGATGAAAAAATTTGCAGCTTGTGGCGATGAGCCTGAGGAACGAGCTTCGAGGGCCACGTCAGAATCCGAAAGATTGGTACAAATACGTGAAGAAAGGAACAAATGCAATCCACAAATACAATCCCAACCTTCTGGTCCTCGTCTCGGGGCTGGATTTTGACCTCAGCTTCTCCTTCTTGAAGAAGACGCCATTGAAACTGAGCTTGAGGAACAAACTGGTCTACGAGTTTCATCGATACGCATTTTCTGCAGGGCAGAAAGGAATGTGGTTGAAGAAGCGTTTCACCAAAGCCTGTGAAGGGCTCAACGACGAAATCGAGAGATTAGTAGGGTTCTTGGGAGAGGGCCAAAATGCTGCCCCTCTCTTCGTCACTGAATTTGGGGCAGATCTTGAAGATTTGGGCACTGCTGAATCCCTTTTCTTGGACTGTTTCATGGGCTATTTGGCTGAACACGACCTCGATTGGGGGATCTGGGCTTTGCAGGGAGGTTACTATTTCAAGAAAGGAATTCGTAATCCTAACGAAACCTTCGGATTACTCAATAACGATTGGTCCGCCATTAGAAACCCCAGCTTTTCCCAGAAACTTGAATTTATTCAGCAACAGCTACGAGGTAAGTACGAGGTTACCCTATCCTATCATTAATTATTGCCATTCTTTTCATTAATCGATCATATGTTGTTTGGTAGATCCTAAATCGAAGGGCCGGCCGTACCGAATCCTGCATCATCCCTCGAGCGGGCAGTGCGTCCAGGTCGGCGACAAGCAAGTCTACGTCGGCGACTGCCGGAGTTTCAGCCGGTGGGATTTCCGGGGGAATGGGAATCCGATCAAGCTGGTGGGCACCGGAAAGTGCCTGTCGGCCGGCGGGGATGGCGTGGCGGTGACGGTTTCCGATGATTGCAGCAGCAAGTGGGAATGGATGCCCGGGACAAATTATCAGCTGACGACGAAGGACAGCAATGGGAAGTATTTGTGCCTGGAATGGAATCTTGAATACGAAACAACGGTTTTTACGAATGAGTGCAAGTGCTTCGCCGGAGACGACGATTACGCCATGGATTGCCGTGAAACCCCACTCACACAGTGGTTTAAATTTATTCCGGCCAATGTTTATTGATTAATTTTAGTTCTTGTCATTATCGATCTTGTAATAACCTTCAGGGAATTCTTTGTTGATATTTTTCCCTGAAAATGCTAAAAAGCTGTTTCTTCTTCTTCTTCTTTTTTAAAAATGTGTTTATATGTCGTATAAAAAATCACGTTGAGATTTTAAATTTTGGAGTTATGAGTTTTAGTAAAAATATTTTACTATTGTTTATATGTGAAAATGATCCAAAGAGGATACAAATTATATAAAAATACTATTATTTAAATTCAAACTGAAATTTTAAATTAAAATCAAACAAACTCTAAGATTATGTTTATTTGTATATTTCAAACTTTAAAATTCTATTATTCATTATTTTTTATGGCAAAATTTTTAAATCAATAATTACTTTTTATTTGGTTATATTAGACTTAAATATATATATATATATATATATTTAAACTATCACATAAATATATATATATTTATATTAGAAAAAAATCAATTTTGGTTGCAGTATAAAATTTTAGTCCAATATAAAAAAACTATCAATTTTGGTAATAATATAAACTATTTCAATCAATTTTAGTTCCATAATTTAAAAATAAATCTAAATCGATGATGGGGATCTAACTGAAGTGATGATTTGAACAAAACAAGACTGACACTATGGGATCACCTGTCCTAAAAATAAATCCTATCCCCCTATTCTCACGTGCATGATGTATATATATACACATGTATGTATATAAAATGTTACTTTATACACCTAAACAAGTCTATGTCCATGTCAATGTTTACATCACTTCTGTTAGATCCACGTCATTAAATTAGATTTACTTTAAAATTGTGCGACTAAAATTGATTAAAATAATTTATATTGACATCAAAATTGATTAATTTTTTTATTTGGACCAAAATTGAAGAATCTGATTATATTAGTACCAAAATTGATTTTTTTTCCATTTATATTATATCAATTAATGACTCTAAATAAAAATTCTACTATTTTCAATCTCAAATTAACTCAACTCCCTTACTTCAACCAAATACATCCTAAATGAATGAATATGGCCATCGTGATAATAGACCCATCACCTATAATTTGTTAAATAAATATATAATAGCATAACAATAGTCGTATTATATGTGCCCATGTTATGTTTCACACCAAATTTGAATAGAGTATCTAACCATATGGTATGTTTGATTTCATTAATTAAAAAAAAGAAATTATAAAAAATTGTAAATCGGACGAATTTTCCACTAGTTAATTGTAATACTAACTCATCCATGTAGATCACTCCCGTTAATACCACAAATAATCTTCATTTCCCGCACCGGGAGCTAGTGCTTGCTATCTAAGAGTCTGCAATGTCAAATAATAAAAACTTCTTTTATTAATAAGGAAATTAATTCATAGTGAAAGTGTAGCATGAAATAAAATTTAAGATTCTTTAAATTTTATTATTATTATTATTGTTTTACAAAATCTTGGATGAATTTTGTATAATTTGCAACAATAATGAAATTATAATAAGAGGAAAATATGTTGACTATAGAAAGCGTCGGGGTTAGCTACATCTATCCCCTCCCCCTTTAAATTAAATTTTTTAAAATAAAATTAAAATATATAATTTTCTTAAGAAAAAGCAAAAGTAAAATTAAAATATATAATTTTCTTAAGAAAAAGCAAAAGTAAAATTAAAATATATAATTTTCTTAAGAAAAAGCAAAAGTAACAAAATAAATTGGCATACCAAAATGAAAAATGAACACCACACTTAGGTAATCATATATATATATATATATTTAAGAAAGTAATACTTCCTCCTTCCACTAAGTATATATTTACTTTTGGCGCGGAGATTAAGGAATAATAGTATTTTAATTATAGTGGGTAGTTAAAAGTAGTAAAATGACATTTTTGCCCTTACTTTTTTGGTATAAAAGTAATGATGTAATGTAAAGTAGGGGTATTTGTGGAAAAAATAGAGTATTTAATGAAATGATTACTTTGTAATTGGACGTCCCAAAATAGAAACATGTATACTTTCTAGTTGGACGGAGGGAGTATATTTTTATTAAAAATAATAAGCTCAAAATTGTACTATGTTTCTGTGTCTCAAATTGTCGTATTAAGCAATTGTCATTGTATTGATTGTCAACGAAGGGACCCCACAACCAAATCGCAGAGAAACTGACATTACCAAGTTCATTTTAATAAATTTAAAAGAAAATAATTAAATAAGGAAAAAGAAAATCATTTTTGTTATATTACAGTAAATCATAATAATCAATTTTGATCTATTAAAAACTTTCGGTCAATTTTAATTTTATTTAAAATAAAATTAAACACAACTATATTGATAATAATAATAATAATAATAATAATAATAATAATATATTATATATATTCAAGAAATTTGTCCCGTAAGAATGACATAGTGGTGTAGTGGTTGAACTTATGGCCATGAGATCATGGTTCAAACCTCCGACATCTCAGGTTCATCTGCCACACATGATTCAATGTGTCTTTCCGTCATCAAAAAAGAAATTCGTTTAAATTTATCTTTTATTATAAAAAAATATTTTAGTTTTTTATTAGTAAAAAAATCTCTATTTTACATATTTTTGTAAAACCCATATCAAGTCAATGGACATAAATTTTTTATAATGAAACAACAACAACAATTTATATTCTAAATAGATTATTATAAATTTTTTTAGTTAGAATGTACTACATATTTTTTTAATATAAATAATTTATATTTTAATTGATGATTATAATTTTTGTTAAAAGATTATAAAAGCAATATTTATATTTTTTAATTTTCAAATTATAAGTTATGAATTAAAATTACTTTTAGTATTTTACTAAAATTCTTTAAAAATAAATGCATATACAATTGTAATTATTAAATATATATTGATTTATTATTTTTGTTATTGGGTCAGTTCGCTCATCAAATTTTTTAGACATATTTTATTATTATTATTATTAAGAAGGATATATATATATATACTACATCCTACTTTTTTTTATTTTTATATTTGAATATTAATTATTATATAAAAAATATAATATAAATTAAAAAAAAATTACAAAAAATATTTCCATTAGTATCTTATAATATTAATAAAATGATATTAGTACAAAAAATTATACAATTATAAAAATATTTAATTCATTAAAATTAATAATTAAATAAAAATTACTTTTATATTATCGATACATTTAATTTATTTTGCAATTATTTTTAATTTATTAAACTCGTGGAGGGAGGAAGTACAAATTATAGATAGAATAATTTGTAAGAAAATTGTGTTTTTAGGATCCATGATTTTTGTTCTTGCAATTAAATAATACTCATTAAAGATATTAGTAAATTAGCACCAATTAATCAGAATAATAATAAGGAACTAAAATTAATGTTATAATATAACAAAATCTTCCAACATAACCACCAAACAAGGAACAACACAAAGAACACATAGAATCGCACCAAGCGATCAATCTTCTCACTCCCGCTCGGCTCCTACACCCTACAAAATCCACTAATAACCATCGATGTATATATGTATATATATATATATATAGCAGCAGGGAGTAATGGATAAACCTAAAAAAAAGAGGTAACAATCTTACCTTATCAAGCAAAAAATTGGAAACGAAGTTGAACGAGATAAGTATCGAGAAAGATGGAATCAATAGAGACTAGTTTCAAGATCGCGAACGGAGCTAAGGAGAAGATTGTACAGACCTGTTTAACTATGAAAAAAAGTAAGATTCAATTTTAATCGCATTTTCAAACCGGATTAGGTAATATTTCGATCGGTCAATTAGAAACAGAAAACTCAACATATTTTTAAGTTTTTATGATGTTAAAGTATTTTTTATTACTTTATAATCAAAATATATACTTTAATGATTTATATTTTAAATTACATATATACATTTTATTTTTAATTATAAGTAATAACATAATATGAGTTAAATTTATCGTGTTATTAGTGAAATACTATTATATATATATATACACACATCATTAACATTATAATTTTTTTTATATATATTAGTGAAATACTATTATAATATTAACATTATAATTTTCTTTTTATGCAAGTGCGTTGAGGCTTTGTTTAATTGAAATTCACAATAATTATTATTATTATTATTATTATTATTATTAAGAATTTGAATCTATCACGTCACCTATTCACCCATACCATTAATCCGTATTCTTACACGACACTATTATTATTATTATTATTATTATTATTTGGAATATATACCATTTTAGACAAGTTTTGGGTGATTGACTCATTAGTTGACTTCTGACTAACAATTAATACACCACACCGTACTATTTAGTCCTCAATACAATAATTTTATTTATTATTTTTGTCTGTTTAAAAACAACAACAACAGTTTCATTTTTATAAATAATTATATCATTGTAAAATTATTTTTACATTTTTATTATTATTATACAGTTGTATTATTTTTTACACTGGTACACTCATAAAGGCAAAAAAAATATTTTATCCGTACTTTTTACTCACTATCAATATAATATCAATATTTTTTAAATTACGTGTAAAACACAATCCAAACTATAGTTATAAAATGAAAAAAGTAGATAAAATATGAATATTTGCTTAAAAATAATGAAACTGTAAAATAATAAAAAAATATAAGGTCAAAATATTGTCATTTAATGATCCAGCTCACGAAAAATCATCCATCGTTCTTAAGCAAAATAGTACGTTGACTTTCGTTGGCAATGTATCTGACATTTTTGGAAATTGTATTATATTTTGATACTCTACATTATAGGATTAAAATTAATGACTTGCTTAATTGTATATATATATATATATTTTTTTTATTTAATTTACGAATATGTAATATGTTAATAATATATACTTATATGTATGCAATGTAATTTAATGTAATGATATTAGTAAAATTGGAAATATTGTTATTGCAATAAATTGCGATACAAGTCATAATGACATAATTTAATTTCCAAGATTGCATTGCAGTCGTTAATTACAAATTTGACCAATTCAGCAACAATTCTGAATTTGGGGGAGTCCTGTAAATGTCACCCGTTAGGCGATGATGGCGTGAGATCCATATCCTGAATGGTTTGGATCGACTCTGGACTACGGATCCAGACCACTATATAATAACTGCTTTCCAATTCCTTCAATCCACTTCAGTTCCGCCTTGAATTGATCTTTCGTCCTCCCGAAGAACGATCTCGCGGCTTCTCCAATCATATAGTTTGCCAAAGGCCGTCTGCCGTCGTACAGGATGTGTTGAGCTGTTCCATGGGAGAATCTGATCAGCGATTGTAGAGCATTTTAAGGTTTGTGTATTTTGTATTTATCGATATCATACCTGTGCGCAGATTTATGCAGGTTATACATGCGATCGTGTTATCTAACGATTGAACAACGGAATCGGTACGGGATCGATTGACGAGTGAGTTAGCTGTTGATTGATGGCTTAAGGGCGTCAGTGTGGTTTGATTTGAACTTAGTCTAACTTTTATGGTTCCGTGGAAGAGTTCGCTCTGAGTATGGTGGTGTTTTCCTCTGTTTCGTTTGTGTATTTTGGATTCTGTTGAAGGTAATTGACCTGATAGTCCGCGCCTGGTAGTGCTATTCGCTGTGGAAACAATGTCGGTTGCGCGTCGAGTTTTGGTTCTGTCGATTTCTTCCACATAGTATAGAATCATTGGTTCTCCCCACTCGGTTTGCTTTTGTTGACGAACGGATGCAGTTTAAATAAAATATTAGTTGCCCGGTGATTAGATGACATCAGTCGGCTTTCAAGGGGATCTTGAATGACCACCGATCGCAGTGATACGATAATCATTGTCTGCCTTAGAACGGCCCTACTCCCTACCACACCGCCTGTTTTAATAAAATATTTCGTGCTTTTCTTTATTCTTTGTTCTACAAAGGTTTTAATTCCATTGATCTGTTTATTTTTTATACACAGTTGTTTGGTTTGATTGCTTTTTGAAATGTATATAATGGATTCGAGAATTATAAAATAAAAAATATAGGTGATGCCAAACTTTTGGCCTTTTGGGATTCCTGAATAAGTAGTTGGTTGTATGGTCTTGTCAATTCTTGAACACATGTCACTCTCTAATATCATCCTTTCGTATGTAGTTCGAATTTTTGAATTATGTGTGTTACTTTAAGTTGTAAAGCGGTCAATACTCGTGTATTTCTTGAGAAAGACTATTTTATACTCCACTAATTTTGTGATCTGTAGTATTTATTAATACAACTCATCATAGTTTTATAAAGCAATGCCATCTCATGTTTATTTCGAAGAATTCTTTGGAAGTAAGCTATCTCTTCATGCCAGTCGCTCTTTTTATACTTGCACTAGTTGAATTTAGTTTTGATGGCGAATCTTTGTGAGGCAAAGAGTTCTTATTTGATTCTCTGAACTGTGGGATGATAGTTTGCTAGTTGGCAATTCTGGGTTTGAATTCTGCAACAGAGGATATTATAGCCTTTGGAAAATGAGATATTGTTTCCTTATATTTACTTATCTGTTTATGCAGGCGTTGAAGTGAGAATCAGAAATTACTTGTTCACTTGCTATCGTCTTGTAAAAGAATGGCTCTTAATGCAACAGCTTCATGTCCGCCGCCCATGAAAGCTGTATCTAATGGCGTCTTTCAAGGGGATATTCCTATTAACTTTTCACTTCCTCTCTTGATAATACAGATATGCCTTGTAGTTGTCCTTACTCGTGTGCTCGCATATTTTCTCAGACCGCTAAGACAGCCGCGTGTCATTGCAGAGATCATTGTGAGCTTATCTTTCACTTGTCTTGTTTCTTTCATAATGCCACTTGATAATCTTTTGTTTACCTTTGCCGTACTTTGCTTTCTTAGTTGATCCCTTGAATATTCGCAGCATACATTGTGTTCAATTTGTGTCTTCCGTTTGCAATAAGGTGCTATTCATTTCTCCTTCTGCCTTTTGTGCTGACGCCATTCTCCTTTCTTACGACGCAACTTTTTACTTTAAGAGGGTTTGTTGGCTATTTCTTATACCAACTCTTAATTTGAAACATTGTTCTATGATTCTATTTCTATCGAGAATATTTTCTTTATCTCTATGCAGAAGATCCTGTGGTATTGATCGAACCAACTTCATGTAATGCAAGTTTGATTAAGATCTCTTCTATGCAGGGTGGAATTATACTAGGTCCATCTGCTTTAGGCCGTAACAAGAAGTATCTTCATGCTATTTTTCCAGCTCGGAGCCTCACAGTTTTGGATACAGTTGCAAACCTTGGACTTCTATTCTTTATGTTTCTGGTTGGCCTTGAGCTGGATCCAAAATCCCTTCGCCAGACTGGAAAGAAAACCTTAGGTATTGCTCTTGCAGGTATCTCAGTCCCATTTGTTATGGGAATTGGGACATCATTTTTGCTCAGAGCAACTATATCCAAAGGTGTGAGTCAAGGCCCTTTCCTAATATTCATGGGAGTGGCAATGTCCATCACTGCTTTTCCTGTCTTAGCTCGTATCTTGGCAGAGCTTAAACTTTTAACTACTGATGTTGGTCGGATAGCCATGTCTGCTGCTGCAGTCAACGATGTCGCCGCTTGGATTCTACTTGCACTTGCAATTGCCTTATCAGGCTCTGGCCATTCTCCCCTTGTTTCAGTCTGGTCATTCTTGAGTGGATCTAGTTTTGTAGGTTTGTGCATATTAGTAGCCCCGCCAGTTTTCAAATATATGGCTCGAAGATGTCCTGTAGGTGAGCCAGTAGATGAAATGTACATCTGCATTACATTGGCTGCTGTTTTGGCTGCTGGATTCGTTACTGATGCCATCGGTATCCATGCACTTTTCGGGGCTTTTGTGATTGGAATTCTTGTATCAAAGGAGGGAGCATTTTCTGGAGCATTGGTTGAAAAAGTGGAGGATCTTGTATCTGGTCTTCTGCTTCCTTTGTATTTTGTTTCTAGTGGACTCAAGACAAATGTAGCCACCATTCAAGGAGCTCAGTCATGGGGCCTTCTTGTGTTGGTTATATGTACAGCTTGTTTTGGGAAGGTTGTGGGCACAATTGCAGTTTCTCTCTTATGTAAAATACCTGTCAATGAAGCAGTAACTCTTGGTATCCTCATGAACACCAAAGGTTTAGTGGAGCTCATAGTTCTTAACATCGGGAAAGACCGCGGGGTATGTAACTATACGACCATCTAATTAGTTCGATCGATTGTTTCATTTCATCATCAGCTGATGTCTCTAATGTAATTTTGCAGGTCCTGAATGATCAAACGTTTGCGATCATGGTTTTGATGGCTCTAGTCACTACATTTATGACTACGCCCATCGTCGTGCGCATATACAAGCCGGCTCGACTCGCTATTTCGGAATACAAGCGAAGAACTATTCAGACAAAGGAATCAAACTCTCAACTCAAATTGCTGTTTTGTTTCCACAGTAGCAGCAATATCCCCTCTTTGCTTAATCTCATGGAGGCCTCTCGTGGCACCGGATATAGCGCCGGAGTTTGTGTCTATGCCATGCATCTGATGGAGCTGTCTGAAAGATCGTCCGCGATATCGATGGTTCACAAGGCAAGGAAAAACGGGATGCCATTTTGGAACAAGCGGAAGAACGGATCCGACGCAACTGAGGTTGTTGTTGCCTTTGAAGCCTTCCAGCATCTCAGCCGCGTGTCAATCCAACCTACGACAGCGATCTCGTCAATGTCCAGCATGCACGAGGACATCTGCAACAGCGCTGCCGCGAAGAATGTGGCGATGATAGTCCTCCCTTTCCACAAGCACCAAACAATTGACGGCACCTTGGAGACCACGCGAGTCGGTTTCAGGCAGGTGAACAGTAAGGTTCTCGAGCACGCTCCGTGCTCCGTCGGGATTTTAGTTGACCGTGGCCTCGGCGGGGCATCCCACATCGCCGCGAGCAATGTCGACTACAAGATCACAGCCCTCTTCTTCGGAGGCCACGACGATCGCGAAGCTCTGTCGTATGGAGCTCTTATGGCTGAGCACCCTGGCATTAGTTTAAACGTGGTTCGATTCATGGTCGACCCGGAGCTAGCCGGAGGCATTATCCAGGTCGATATCCACGACGCGGAAGAAGTTAGCTCGAGCGACGAAGCGTTCATCGCCGAGTTCAAAGCAAAAGCGTCGAAGGACAAGTCGATCGTTTATAAAGAAAGTGTCGTGAGAAGCAGCGCGGCAGAAGCCGTGGAGACGATGCGCGAATACAAACGCAGCAATCTGTTTGTTGTAGGAAGAATGCCGCAGGGGCAATTAGCTGCCGCGTTGAAGAACAACGGCAACGGTGGCAGCCTCAGCGGCGACGGATACTGCCCAGAACTGGGGGCGGTGGCGAACTTGCTGGTATCCCCGGAGTTCTCAATGGCATCTGTTTTGATAGTGCAGCAGTATCGTCCGCAACTGCCACCGGAATCTGTGGATTCACTGAAGGCAGTAGACGAGATCGGTGAGAATACATACTGAGTTTATATATACATTTATGTATGTAGGTATATCATATGTACATGTATTTATGTACGTGGAAGTAGCAGTGCTCATATTGTGCGCACCCGTTATATAAATAATATTTACTGCTGCTGCTCTGCAAAAGTATTGAAATTGTGATATTTTGAAATATTGGTCAAAAAATTAGAGTATGGATTCTCAGCCAACCCCAATGACAGGTTTTAAGGCCGACAATCAAATTTTCATACAATCTACGTCATATAAAAATGCTCTACAAAACCGACGAAAAATGAAATAAAATTATATTTTGTTTTATTTTTCATATGTAATAATATATTTGAAATTTATATAAAAATTAAAATAATAATAATAATGAAAAAAAATAACACTTTTCACTTGGAATGGGAAGAGTTATTTTGATAGTAAGTGTGAAGGTTGTCAACTCAAATGAAATTCCCAAGTGTTCCATCAGGGATGGCGTCGAGGTACACTCCTTGTTTTGTCGATTTAATTTGCAGGATAATATTTATTTAAACTATTTTTGCTTTACAGCTTCTTTTTTTTTTTTCAATATAAAAATCATACTTCCTCCTTTCCATATACCGTATCTGCAATATAAAAATCATACTCCCTCCGTCTCTATCTATCTGCTACACTGTAGACACAGTATTTTAGGAGTTAAAAAGTTTAAAATGAGATTAAAATGTGTAATCATTTTCAAAAAAGGAAAGTGACATGGTACGTGGGACGGATAGAAACGACGATGTGGACATGCTATGTGGTATGTGGGACGGAGGGAGTATTATATTTTTGTGCAACGCATCATTCAATAACTCTCTCTCTCTCTCTCTATATATATATATATATATATATTTTAAAAAGAGTTGAAAAAACCAAAATGCAAATTAAACCAAACCACGTAAATGAATTATAAACATGTGAATTTAATTACTCTGTATAGTTGTGCACAACAAATTACGAGCTGTAAACTTGCTAATTATCGAGCGTTGCTATATATGTTGTCAAGAATGATTCAACACGAAACTTTCACACAATAGAAATCAATATTTCAGATTTCAAATTTCTAAATATAATTTATTATACTCTCTTTCTGAAGAAGTCATTTTATATATCTTAATTTTGAGGCGGACAATAGTGTCTAATAAAATCAAATCACCTTATCCCAATTCGATATCAGTCACTACGATTTAGGGTATTAACAAATCTTGTATTGTAATAACAACCACAGGTAAATAATCTTTAAAAATAATTTTATATATAGTAAGTATATAATATACAGCAGTCATATTATTATTGCCTTCACAAGAAATAGGCAGTCACTTGTACATATCTTTAACCCATGTGACATATTGTTTCCTTCTTTATACAAAATGACATCATTACATGTTCATTCCATTAGGCACCAAATTTAACACAACCCATATGTAACGTTTTATATGAACTCATTTTGATTTCAAATCAATAACGAAATCAAGTTTTAAAAAATATCTTAGTAAATAAAACAGTCACTTATATATATATATATATATATATATATTCATACCCTAAATTAGAATTCCAACTGTGAGTCAATAAAAACAACCAAAAACTTGGAAATAAAATTGGGGTGTGTTTGAATTTGTTTTATGTAATCGTATTTCAGGACACATACGACCTTTTCAACCTCACACGTGATTCTTTACCCCCAACCTGACATGATTTTCGATGAGTTCTTCAATTTTTTTTACAGTTACAAATACCAGAGAGATGATGAATTAATCCCAAGACAAGATTAAAATTAAAACAAGCTCAAAAAAGATGAAATTATCCGAAAGAAGAAACGAATCAGGAGCAGCCATTGTTGCATTTTTGTTTCTGTATCTACAAACACTCAGCAATTCCCTTCCTCTCTCGACGAAATCCCGATGGATAATCGACGACGAAGGAGGGCAACGAGTGAAGCTAAGGTGCGTGAATTGGGTGTCGCATTTGGAGCCAATGGTTGCAGAAGGTTTGGAGAAGAAGCCCCTGAGGTTCATAGCGCGGCGGATTGCGGCGGCGGGGTTCAATTGCGTGAGGTTCACGTGGCCGACGTTCATGTTCACGAGATCGGAGTACAGTCGGCGGACAGTTTTGGAGTCGCTCAGTAAATACAATCTCACAGCTGCGAAAGAAGGAATTGTGAAGAACAATCCTCAGCTCTTGAACATGGCGGTAGTCGACGTTCATAAAGCTGTCGTGAATGAGCTGGGCAAGAATAAGGTGATGGTGGTGCTGGATAACCACGTCAGCTTTCCGACCTGGTGCTGCGCCGACGCCGACGGTAATGGCTTCTTCAACGATCGGTTCTTCGATCCCCATGAATGGCTCCAAGGCTTGTCTGCAGTGGCCACTTCTTACAAGAACAATCCTTGGGTAATTAAGCCATCATTACATACATAGTAAATATATATATATATATGTATGTATATGTTTGTGAAAGGTGTAGAGTTGCTGTATCTTATTTTATCCATTCGTATTACAATTTATACTGTCATATAGAAAGTTTTAGGATATTTAATTATTTGGGACAATGGAAAACTCACACTCATAAATTAACAATTTTAAATGACTCTTTAAAATGCATTAATTCTAACAGTTTGTTGATATGCTTTAAAACTAGTTTGTCACTGAGTTTTTACGGAGTCTCGCTGCCGGGTTAGCGAGTCGGGGGTCAAGGGGGCGAAGTCCCCTTGCCTGGGTCCGGGGGAGTGGAGTGGCCCCGGCCCGACCGAATATATATTATTGAACTTTTGTGTTCGTATTGGGTTGTGTTCTGATTTATTTTCTTAGTCTGTTCTCCTTTTTTGCTCGCGGATGTAGCCAACACTGTTGATGAACCACGTAAATCTTTGTTTTATTTTTGTGTCTTATTTGATCATTAATCCGTTACAACAGTATGTTTGTGTGACATTTTGATTTTTTCCAGGTGGTCGGAATCAGCTTGAGGAATGAACTAAGAGGGCCTAATCAAAACGAGAGTGATTGGTACAAGTACATGGAGGAAGGTGCTGAAACAATTCATGTAATAAGCAGAAATCTTCTTGTGATCATCTCAGGACTATCTTACGCCAAGAACCTTAGCTTCTTGAAGAAGAGACCAATCAGCTCAACCTACGACAACAAACTAGTGTTCGAAGCACATTGGTACTCATTCGGGACATCATCCGAGGATTGGAGTCTCCGAACAAACCAATTATGCGCAAGCGAATCCGCCAGCTCCTTCGACAACTATCTTTTCTTGATGTCAGGAGACAACCCATTCCCTCTTCTCCTCAGCGAATTTGGAGCCGACCAAAGAGGCAGCAATGAGGCCGACAACATGTACATAGGTTGCTTGATGGCAACAATGGCCGAATACGATCTTGATTGGGCTCTATGGACTTTTCAAGGAAGCTACATCCTTCGACAAGGAACGGTTAATTTAGAAGAAGTTTACGGCGTCATGAATCTCAATTGGGATTCTCTTCGAAGCGCCAATTTTCTTCAAAGATTGCAATATTTAATGCAGATCAATCAACAAGGTATGCACCAGTACCTACATATGAAAGTTATTACAGTACTGATTAGCCCTACTCAACACATAAAATATATTTATCATATGGTGTAGATCATGTGTTGACCCAATTAAATTAAATCAGCGTGACAATAATTTGATGGGGTCAGCATATGACAAGAACATACATCATATAGTATTGTAATATAACATATATTGTATCATAAATATATTATGATAATATATAATATATGCTGATTATCTTTATACGATATATTGACTTGATCAAATCAACACTATACTGATTTGATTGGATGAATGCCGGATCCGCAACCTTGTCATATACACACTCCATCCCATATCTATCTATCAATTTTCTTTTTTTCATGGAGTTTTAAAAATATTAGTATTATATTGGAATGTATAAAAATAAAAGTAAAAAAACTAAACTAATTTTATTAGTATTGTATGATATAAATGTAACGATATTTGTGTAATGTATTATAAATTAAAAGGGTATTTATAATGTTAGATAGATAGTACAACTACTAAAAAAAAATTTGATACTTTGTTATAGTACGGACCAAAATGAAAAAATAGATAGATTATCAAGGGACGGAGAGAGTATATAATTTTAGAGCTAAATTATTGCATTTTCATTAACTCTCGATATATTTCATATATTTTTTAATATTTTGCCGTATAGGGATGGGAAACTTGCCCTTCAACTACGTATTGTTCCATCCCCAAAGCGGTCTATGCGTGCAATATGAACATGGCGATAAAATTACTCTAGGAAGCTGCAAGTTCGCGGCGCAATGGAAAAAACGACATGCCAATGCAGGGCCGATCTTTCTTGCGCGGAGCGAGCGATGCTTGGCGGCGATGGGGGATGGAGAGGCTGTGATTCTTTTGAAGGAGTGCTCGACGGATCAAAGCTTGTGGAGGTCAATTTCTGCTTCGGGACTTCATTTAGCTGCCAAAAGTATCGACGGGAAGAACTTGTGCCTGGAAATGGATGATCGCGACGCTACTTTGGTGGCTCGAAGATGTCGTTGCGTCGACGATGATCTTCGAGATGTTCCTTCTTGCAATGACAATCCGCAGGTGCAATGGTTTAAGTTTGCACCGACGAATGTTGTGTGACTTTCACTTGTGAAAATAGTGAAGCCGGAATTATTAAGTTGCAGTGTTCTTTATTATCTTAATATAATATAAATATATATATATATATATATAATACTAATTTAACTCGATGATAAATTTGTTTTCTCATCTGATTATGTTTACTAGTTTTGATTTTTACATGAATTTTTTTATTTGGTATTATTTTATTTTATTTTTAGTTTTTTACTAATTTTTTATAACATAAGAATATGTAGTCACTATTTGAAAAGTGAACTTTAATTTGAGTAAATTTCGATTAAATTTAATAAATTATAAATTAAATCTGACAAGGCAAATCATACCCGACAAAATATGAATGGCAGACAAGACTTCAATGCGTCGGGAATTTGAACCCCTATTTTGTCTTATTATTATTTACTCCATCCATCTCAAAAGAACAAATATCATTTTCTATGTTTATTAGTCTCAAAACAATCTATTATTTTCTAGTTTAAGTAATTGTACTACTTATATGATATAATAAATACTTATATGAGTTATTACTTTTATATTACTAAATATTAATTAAGGTATTTTTTTTTAATTACAAATTAGTATTTCTTCTATTTCAAATATGGTGCAAGATTTGTATTTGAGATGAGAATTTAAGTGAATAATATTGAATATAATAATTTAAAAATTAAGTGATATGATGAGAAAAATATATATATATATATATTATCATGCTATAGAATAATGTATGAAGTAAAAATTAAATATATTTAATTATTTTTTATTTTAGAAATATCTCATAATATTCGGGACAAACAAAAAATATTGTAGAATATTTGGGAGGAAAATATAATAGAAATATTTATAAATTTAAAGCAAACTATATTATTCTTATGGGACCAGGTGGAGTATAAATGTGATCTTTTTGCAAAACAAACTTACAGTTGTTTTTTTTTTGTAAAAAAATAAATTATAATATTGTACATTCAATATTGCATACACAAATTTTTATACTTTACCTAAAATAATCATTTTTTCTTTTTTATCTGTGCATAAAATATGATCAATTTTTTTATTTTTTTTAAATTTATTTATCTTCAATATATTTAATAAATAGAAATAAATTTAATTAAATTTAAATAAATTTTTAACATTTTACGTTTACAAAAAATCCAATTATATTTCTATTCATTCGATAAACAATTATTTTTTTTTAAATTATATTTAAAACTCCTCATTTTTATAAAATTAGTTTTAATTTAATTATTAATTAATAAATAAATATTGTATATATATATATTTTTATGTATTTGTAATACATAAATTTTATTATTTTATAAAATATTATATATTTCATTGAGAGATAATAATAAAAATATTTAAAATATCAATTATATTACTTATATAAAAATAATATCATAATTTATTATAAAAAAAACTTACATGCACTATATAAAATATTATATCCTTAATAAAAAAAATTATTTGAAAGAATATTTTGTATTTAATTATTAATATTTTCTGAGTAACTAGAATAGTTATATTCCCAAGATATAATATATACATTCTATTATTTCACAAAAACTTTACGTTAACATAGATTGACATGTTTTAAATTTAATTTGCTATTTTTTTGAGTTTTTACAAGAGCGTCGATGCCCGGACAACAAATCAGGGGTCAAGGGGAAGTCCCCCTTGCTTGGGGTCTAGGGGTTTGGAGTAACCCGGCTCGAATATTGGGCTTTAGAGTTGGTATAGAGTTGAGTCTATCGATATATTCTTTTAGTTTATTTTTAGAAGTATGCAATTCATAACGCAACTGTTCTCGATAAAATCAGTTCTTTGTTTCTACCCGTGAACATAGCCAACACGTTGTTGGTAAATCACGTGAATTTGTGTTTTCTTTACATTTCTGTTTGTTATTGGATCATTAATTTTAATCCGTCACAACAATATAAAATATTCTCTATCCCAAAAGAAGAGTATTATATGATATAAATGACTGCGCATCATTTATTTATCTACAAATGACACGTCGAGACCTAAAACTCTAATATCATATTAGACGATATGAATGGTAGTCTCACCTAAAAGTTTAAGTTGTTAGAGATACGCATAATTTATTTATTTATTTATCTACAAACGAGAATCCGCCAACAGAAAAAAAAAGTGGTAACAGTAATATTATTTTTTTATATTATCGATACAAGTTTTTTTTACCTTAATAAAAAATATAACACTGAACAACCAAACCGTATAAGAATATATATATATATATATATTTATATATGCTCCCCCGTCCCGATTCAAAATATCATTTATACCATTTTCTTCTGTCTCATTTTAAATTATACATTTTCTATTCTAGATGAAGTTATTATACACTAATACCATAATAAATTTAATTTTTAATTAAATTACAAATATACCATTACACATACAATTATTTTTATAAAAAATAAAAATAAAAATAAAAAATTAAAAGGACAATAGGTCAAAATAAGATCACAAGTTTACTCCCCTAAGTACTCAAATTGATATCCTCTTTGATATTTAAAACAGTGCCTGGGCAATCGGTATAAATTAACTTTGCTCTGAATTTTATTTTCCACCTATAAAATAGATGTACTCATCAATTTTATTTTCCTCCTGTATAAAAATATGACTTTGATTAAATGTACACTCATCACTTACATCATATCATCATATGTTCATAAGTAAGATTTGCTTCTTTTTTCTTTTTTTTTTTTTTTTTTTTTTTTTAACTTTCCTTTTTTTTTTATTAATATATTTTTTAAGTGGGGTTGTCGAGTTCAAGTATTTAAATATTTAATGACTTTTCATTACTTACTGATTTTCATCTTATTAAATAAATGATAATCGGTAATTAGGTAATAAGATTAATGGGATCTTGAATTTCATTTTTAAAATGCTATTATTAATTATTGTATTTAAAATTTTCCTAATATAGTTTACGTAATCAAATGCATGAAAATAGATTCCTACTATAAAATTACAATTTAAAACTTTAATACTACTAAATAAAAGATAAAATTACAATTTAAGACTTTAATATAAATACAAGATAAAATTACAATTTTTTAATTGTGCTACTAATTATCAAATTTTAACAAATATTACATCAAAATACCAATTTTACCCAAAATTTTATCAATAACAAAACAATCCAAAACAACAGGTGTTTTAAAAAATATATATTTAATCAAACCTTAAACTTTAATCTATCATTTATTAATAAGCACTCACCCTTAAAATTAATCTAGTCAAAAAATTTATGAAATCAGTACCGAAAGATAAAGACTAAAAAATAGAAGTATTTTAATATAAAAATAAAATAAGTGAAAAAAAATAAAAATAGGAGTATTATAAAAATTTATTTAAAAAAATAATAAAATTAAAAAATAAAATTAATTATTATTTATTAAAATAAAAGTAAGAAAATTGTACTCTTTTGGCAAAGATGAACTTTTTTGTTATTAGTAACTTATTAATAATATGATATTATTTAATTATTATTTATATGAAAAATTTTAAATATAAATAAAAATAGTTATTTATTGAAAGATATATAAATAAATTTACTAAAAAAAATAATTATCTTTTATGATACATACCAAAAAAAAATAAAAAATCATCCGTAGCTGGAACAGAAGTAATATTAAACATAAATTTAATGGATAAGTGTATCTAGAATAAACAGTACTTATTTGTTTTGCATTTACATTATATATTTATATAATAATTATATATATATATATATATATTCATAGTAAGAGAAATATTTTGTTACATGAAATTGGGAAAATAAAAATTCCTAGCCCACCATAGCTTCAAAATTCTTAATAATTATGTAAATAAAATTCATTAAATGTCCACAAAAACACACACAGAGATATATGCCGTATATATATATATACCCCTTGGGTATGCCATCAAAATCCAACAAATTAAAACCAGTCATTTCAAGGTCCAACAATGGCGGACGAGACGAGTAGCGCAGCCATTCTCCTCCTGCTTCTTCTGCTACAAATGGTTGCATACTCTGTCTCGGCTCCCCTCTCCACCAGTTCCAGGTGGATCATCGATCAAAATTCGGGTAATCGGGTCAAGCTCCGGTGCGTCAATTGGGTTTCCCACCTGCAACCCATGCTTGCCGAAGGGATCGACAAAAAACCGGTCTCCACAATCGCCCAAAAGATCGGCCGGACCGGGTTCAACTGCGTCCGATTCACCTGGCCGACGTTCATGTTCACCAGGCCCGATTACGGCACCCTCACAGTTGCCCAGTCGCTCGACAGATTCAATCTGACCAGCGCCATAATCGGCATTGGTAAGAACAATCCCCAATTCCTGACCATGAAAGTCATCGAAGTCCACAAAGCTGTCGTCGATGAGCTCGGTAAGAACAACCTGATGGTGGTCCTCGACAACCATGTCAGCCTCCCGAATTGGTGCTGCGGCCCCGACGACAGCAACGGATTCTTCGGCGACTCCAATTTCAACCCCGACGAATGGATTCAAGGCCTCACCGCCGTCGCAAGAGCTTACAAAGGCAGTCCTGCGGTAATCCCGATTCAATCCCAATCCAATTTCTTTCAAATTTTGTTCTTCCAATGTAATGATTCTTACAGGTGGTGGGGATGAGCCTGAGAAACGAGCTACGTGGCAAAAATCAAAACGAAGCCGATTGGTACAAATATATGCAGCAAGGAGCCGAAGCAGTTCATAAAGAAAACCCTGATTTTCTTGTCATCGTCTCGGGGCTTTCTTTCGACACCAATTTAAGGTTCTTGAAGGACACCCCGTTTCGTGCGAATGTGGACAACAAGTTAGTGTTCGAAGCCCATTGGTATGCATTCGGGTCGGCTGCAGACCAATGGGTCACCAGGGCTAACTACATGTGTGGAAATGCGATCCAAAATGTCCAAAATAATTTCCTGTTCTTGACGACGGGTAACAGTCCGTTCCCCCTCTTCCTCAGCGAATTCGGCATAGATCAAAGAGGAAGTAATCAGGCCGATAACGGCTATATTACCTGCTTGCTGGCGACGGCGGCGGAGGCCGACATTGATTGGGCCTTATGGGCTTTTCAAGGCAGTTATATTCTCAGAGAAGGACAGGCTAACTTGGAAGAATTCTATGGCGTCATGGACATCAATTGGGCTCGTCCCAGAAACCGTTCTTTCCTCCGGCGCCTGCAGATCCTCGGACAAGTCAATCAAGGTACGATAATGTCGGAAAGATCAGATCTTTATAAATTATTTTTTTAAAAAAAGGATCTCTAATTTTTTTTATTTTTTCTTAAAAAACTTTGCAGTGCCCAAATCTTCGAAAGGAACGACGTATTTAATGTACCATCCACAAAGTGGGAAATGCACGCAGCTTCGGAGGGGCAAAATTGCCCTACGAAGCTGCAGGACTGGGAGCCGATGGGAGCAGCACGACGACGGCGGGCCGATAAAGTTCGCCGGCGGCGGCCGGGCCCGGTGCCTGTCGGTGGCCGGAGAAGGTCAGCCGGCACGTGTTTCGAATGATTGCACGAGTAATGGGAGTAAGTGGAAGTTTGCATCTGCGTCAGGTCTTCATCTAGCTGGTGCAGATGGGGGAGGGAAGTTTCTGTGCCTGGAGATTAATGGCAATGACTCCATGCTTGTTACCAGAAAATGTCTGTGTTTAGGAGACGATCTTGGCGATGTTCCTAAGTGTGATGTCGATCCTCAAGTGCAGTGGTTCAAATTTGTTCCTACAAATGTTTGAAAAATAATTGAGATCCGATCCTCTGATTTGTTATTTTGTGTATTTAATTTGCAAATAATTGAACTGCATTGGATAAGTTTCAATGTATCTTTTCAGTCTATATATATATATGATAAAACCAGTTAATACTTTCGAAAATTATGCTATGCATTTTTTATTTATTTACTTTAATTTTTTCTAGGAAAGAAGTATTATGTTCAGTACAATCTATTTTATTTCCAGAGTTTTGAAATCTAAACCAATTAAAAACATCAAATTTAGAAAAAGAAATGTAAATTAACACATCAAAATTCTAGTAGGGAAAATGATTTATTTATTTATTAAGTTCTGTCTAGTTACCACATCCAAAAAATATTATCTGTTAGGTTCGATATATATTGCTATCAGTTCCTTCATTTGCAAACTATATTTAGTTCTTTTGACTAACATATATATATGTTATTGTATATTTGTATTGAGGTATTATTGTAGCTTTTTTAAAAATTTTCAACCACAATAATTATATTACTCTCTTATTAAATATAGGATAATGTAAATTTATCATATATATTAAACATTGATTTAATCCTAATAAATTAAATGTCACAGAAAATAATTTCAAGACTCAAGTTAGGCAAGTCTTTATATGATACGAGGATTAAGAAGGCCATCATCACCATTATTATTATTATTATGACAAATGGAGAATTTATTTGAGCTGATTTTAAAATAATAATAGTTTAACGTAAAAATAGAATAAATAAAAGAAATATAAAGTGATGAGTATCTTTACCAAAAAAAAAAAAAGAAAAGAAAAAGAAATTATTAAAAATATAATTTTAGTTAAAGCAGAGATGATAAGTTTGGTGTAAGAAGGAAGTATATTTTTACCTACAACTACACGTTGCATGATTAGAAAAAAAAAAAAAAAAAAAAAAAGGGGAATTCATATCTACATACGCATTTATATATATTGGTAAAGAAGCATATATGATCTATAATAAAATTACATTGGCAGAACATAAAATTTTACTAAATGTTATTTGCTACTTATCATCATAGATAATGTAAAGTCATGTTTTCAATATCAACATTTCTCAAAGGTCCTTTTTATGTACGTACATATATATATATATATATTATCCACAACATTACATCCATATAGATTGTCAACGAAATCAAGATCAAGGAGAACATAATGAAAGAGGGAAGAAAGAAAGCCATTTTCTTGTTTCTTCTGCTCCAAATCCACACACTTTGTAATTCAACTTCCCTGTCAACAAAGACCAGATGGATCATCGACGAAAAATCAAGAAAACGGGTGAAGCTCACCTGTGTCAATTGGATCTCACATATGGAGCCAATGATTGCAGAGGGGCTCGAGAAGAAGCCCGTGAGCTACATAGCGAGTCAGATAGCTGCAAATGGCTTCAACTGCGTGAGGTTCACATGGCCGACTTTTATGTTCACAAGATCCAATTACAGTGCCCTCACAGTTTCCCAATCCCTGGATAAGTTTAACCTGGCAGCTGCGAAATCAGGCATCGGGAAAAACAATCCCCAGTTCCTGAACATGACTGTTGTCGACGTTCATGAGGCTGTTGTCGATGAGCTTAGAAAGCGTAAAACCATGGTGGTTTTGGATAATCATGTCAGCATGCCGAGTTGGTGTTGTTCCAGCGGTGATGGCAATGGATTCTTTGGGGATTCCCATTTTGACCCTAATGAATGGCTTCAAGGTCTCTCTATCGTTGCCAGGAAATACAAGAATAATGCTGCGGTGTGATTATACTCTCTCTCTCTCTCTCCCCGTTCTCTCTCTCTATAAATATGTTTGAATTTCGATTTTTACAGGTGATAGGTATGAGCTTGAGAAATGAGCTTCGTGGGAGGAAGCAAAAGATGGAAGATTGGTACAAATACATGAAAAGGGGTGCTGAGGCAGTTCACAAAGAAAACCCTAAAGTTCTTGTAATAGTGTCGGGGCTAAGCAGTGATACCAAGCTCGATTTCTTGAAGAACAAACCCTTAGGAGCAAATGTGGGGAACAAATTGGTTTACGAATCACACTGGTACGGATTCCAGACGCCGGCCGAGAAATGGGTCGGACAGACTAACAGACAATGTGCAGTGGAGATCCAAAGAGCTCGGAATAATTACCTGTTCCTGACGACGACAGGTCCCGGACCTTTCCCTGTCATGATGACTGAATTCGGGATTGATCAGAGAAGCACCAATGAAGTAGACAATCGGTTCGTTAGCTGCTTCTTGGCGGTTGCTGCAGAGTACGATCTGGATTGGGCACTTTGGAGTTTCCAGGGCAGCTACATTTTGAGACAGGGGAGAGTTGGGATCGAAGAATTTTATGGTGTCATGAACTTCAATTGGGATGCTCCCAGAAATCCTTCCTTCCTAAACAGGCTCAAATTCGTCAGACAAATCAATCAAGGTGCATATATATTAATATATATATATGTATATATATATTCTTGAACGATGAACATCCTAATTATTCTCAATTTCCTCAATTTGAAATATATATATACAAATCAGTGCCGAAGCGGTCGATCCCGTCGTACAGACTGTTCCATCCCCAAAGCGGCGAATGCGTGGGAATTGGGAAGAAGAAGAGGGTCCGTTTAGGTAGCTGCAAAACTGCGAGCAGATGGGAGAAACACGAGGAAGGGGGGCCGATCAAGCTGTGGGGGAAGGGGTTGTGCGTCGGCGTAGTTGGGGAGGGCGCCGGCGCCGGCGTGGCTGAGGATTGCGGGTGTGACGACATTGGGAGCAGATGGAAGTCGGTGTCGGCGTCGGGGCTGCATTTGGGTGCGCAACACGGGCGTGTTGGTGGGGGATACCTATGCTTGGAGAGGAATGGTTCCGACGCGGCGCTGGTTACGCGGAAGTGCCTTTGCGTCGGAGATGACCTTCGAGACTTTCCTCAATGTGCCGACGATCCGCAACTTCAGTGGTTTAAATTTGTCCCTGTAAATGCATGAAGGCAGGCATAAATAAATAAATTAAATAATTAATTCCATTCAATTTGTTTTTTAAATTATCTTTATAAATAAATTAATTTATGGACGGTAATGGACTACTACTATGACTTTTCCAATTTCAAAAAACCCCTATCTGCTTAAATATCCATTAATTTGGTGCGGACCGCAACCAGCCATTGCACCGCCGTCAAGAGTTACCGACGCTCCCGCTCAATTTGTGCCGGCGACGACGGTTCTTTGAGAATATTTGGGGAAGAACTGGGAGGAGAACAATGGGAAACAGGGAGCTTATATTAAGGGCTGAGGAGTTGGTGGAGTCAGCCATGAGAGGTAACGATGCGTCTCACGACGCTGCCCATGCCTTTAGAGTGCGAGACCTCGCGCTTTCGCTCGCCCGTGAAGAGGATATCTCTGATTCTCCCGAATCCATGCTCATTGTACGCCGACGGAACTAAACCCTAAACTCTGCTTTCAATTTAATTTGATTTTTTTTTTCGCCTGATCATAGCCAGATGGATACGCATTGCAATCGTCTTGATAGAGGTGCTATGTTGGCGATCTTTACTGGAGATAGGGTTTTATTTTTCTTGTCTAGTTTCCTGTTTCTAGTGAGCCGTCGTTACAATTTCCATCTCCTAATCTCGTTATGTTGTGATCTGGCAAACAATTGTATATGTAGATTTAGGTTGTCTGGATAAAAACTCAATCTTTTGTTGAAGTTCCTGTAAATGTTCATCACCGTCTTTTAATTGGCGTTTTATTGTGCCAAATTGTGCTCGAACTGTTCTTCCAAGTGTGAAAGTTGAACTTTGTATTCTTCCTTTGCAGGTCGAGTTGGCTGCACTTCTACATGACATTGGTAATGATTCTTAGTTTTCTCTAACCTACAATTGTTTTTTGGTTGTGGTCATAGAAGGTATGAGAGCTCTGTTGTCTACCATTGCTTTGCTTTCTTGAACTGATTAGTTATCTTGTCCTACAAAATTTATTAGTTTTTTCATCCCGTCCTTTCAACACTCTTTTGAGTTATGCTCAGGGCTAACCTGTATGTACAATCGATATGAAGACCCTGAGACATATTTCTGATCTCAGCTCTTGAAAATTTCAATGTAGAATGACTTTCACTAGTTTTTCTATATGTTCTAATGTTCTATAAACAACTTAGTTGAATTTAATGGTTTGATTAATAAATTGTGGTCTGAAGTTTGGCAGAAGTGTAGAGCAAACTCTTTTCCACTAAAGATCCGTATATGTGTATTTGTATATATATATATATACACGGCTTCCTTTTTCGCATGCTATCCTATAAATAAACTTTACCATATGATTTACTTCCATCGTGTCTTCATCTGTGATGTACTCATAATGTTCCATTGGATGATGAATTGCAGGGGACTACAAATACATGAGGTTGGTGTTGCTCTCGTTTTTATTTATGATCAACTCTTGTTAGTTCTTTGCTGCCAATTCATTCCATATGTTAACTGGTCAGACTGCAAGCAACAATTTGTAAATTTTATCAAATACAACATTGGAGCTAATAGTAAAGATCAACATAATGCGGAAATTACCTTTTGTTTTTGGTTAGCTATTTGTCACTATTAAAGTATGCAGTACTAAGACAGCTTAATATGTATCAGCATCTCCAATTTTTTTTTTAGCTGGAATAAGTTGCTTGGAAATTATAAAAGTAATGTACTTATGTTCACAAGGGTGATAATATTTGCCAAGTTTTAAGACATTTGCGTACATTCTATTGATCTGTTGCTCATTATTTACATGCTTCAGATGCTATCTGCTTAACATTGTTCATTTTTCCTAACATTGTGGTATACAGAGATCCATCAGATGGGAAGATTGTTGAGGAGTTTCTTGTCAAAGAAGGATTAGATGCAAACATTAGCACAAAGATCTTAAGCATCATAAAGGGAATGGGTAAGCTTCCAAAAGCATTTGTTTTACATTGATTTAGTTGGTGAGTTTTGTTTTAGTTTTTTAGTATTGGTCTTAGTTTTCTGTTTAAATAGTAGGTTGGATGTAATGTTATGGTGTATTTTTTTAAGGTCAAAGTAAGCAAGAACATCTATTAGCTATAGGTTTCTGCAGAAATTTTCTTATCCTTGCCTAATTGTTTTTCTTTTTGGTATTAACCACCGACGTCTGTTGATTATTTCACATGCCACCTATTTCGTTTTGCAATATTTTGCTTCCTTTTCACACTTCCATGGAATATCAAGAATGTTATGAATGTAATATCAGCAAGGTGATGATGATATAATAATTCAGACAGGCATCCCAATTTTCATCACTTCAAACATGATCTGTGTCTCAATTTTCAGGTTTCAAAGAGGAGGTTAGCGGACTTACAGGGACTAATCATGGTCCCGAATTCGGAGTGGTGCAAGATGCTGATCGCCTCGATGCTATTGGTGCTATAGGTAATCTTCCCTACACATTGCAGTGTTAACAATATGCACAGATATGCCGAAATTTTGTGCATCAACGTAGCTTTTCCCCTGTCATCTTATCAGGTATCGCAATGTTTACGATTTGCCTACTGAATTTCCCTCATGATCATACATCCATTAACACTTTCCAGGAATTGCTCGTTGTTTAACATTCGGAGGAAGCAGGAATAGCATCCTCCATGATCCCAAAATTAAGCCTCGAACCGATCTGTCAAAGGAGAATTACATGAGCAAGGATCAGCAGACAACAATTAACCATTTTCACGAGAAGCTTCTCAAGCTCAAAGAGCTGATGAAAACCAAGGTTTGCATGAATCAACTGCATCTCAACTTCTCCCCTTCCATGTCCAATGTTGCATTATTTTTCATTCTCGAAAATTATAAATCCCAGGCTGGCAAGAGAAGGGCAGAAAAACGACACAAATTCATGGAGGAGTTCCTCGAAGAATTCTACGAAGAATGGGACGGAAGGGCTTGAAGACAGGTATCTCCTCCATTGATTACCACAGCACATTTTGGATGAATTGGCTTCTCTAAGATAAACATTGTCTTGTTTAATACTACACCAGTTTGTGCTTTTAGATAGCATTTACCTCCATTGAAATATCTATCTCATATTATATATATATATATATGCTGATTTTGATCCAATTTTGTCATCCCCACAAACAAGTACAGCTCTTACTCTGAGGCAATTAGTTTGCATATCATAATTTGAGAAGCGTAGATCGTAGAGTATAGCAATGTTGGGTTCAAAATATCAAGCAGAAAGACTGAGTGGCATCACATGGGCATACTGACATGGCTGCAGAGGCTGAGGCAGAAGCAGAGACAGAGCACATAAACAATACTTACAATGCGATGCATACACGGACAAATATACAAAAAGGCCAGCTTTCTTTCTCTCTCTCTCTCTCTCTCTCTCTCTCTATCTTTCAATTCTATTTGAAAAGTACACTTTGCTTCACTGTTCACGTAGCTTTGGTTGGTGTAATTAATTGTTGCAAAATCTTACCGATGGGACAATGCTGTAATTCTCGTGAAATTCTATTTTCAGCATAAGTGAAAACTTAACTAGTTTTACCCTGTCTCTCCTCGAATTCTTGCTTCTGTTAATATCTTTTAGTGTTGATGTTTTTTCAAATATTAAAATGCACATTGCACAGTGCTTGGCTGTTAACTATTTATTTATTATCCTTGTCTTGTTTGACAAACCATTCTCTACGGTATTCTACAGTTGTCTTGTACATTTACTGGTGTGTTGTGTGTCTGTCTCTGTCTATATCACTGTATCTCTTTTCTCTCTCTATATATCCTCTGGAACAAAAAACGTTTCAATTTAGTCTCCACTTTCCCCACATTAAAGAGACTGGCTTTACCAACCATGGAAGCTTTCAGTCTGCTTAAATACTGGCGCAACAGCGGCGGTGCCGGCGATGTCACCGCCACCGCCGCTGACACGCGAGCCGCCACTAAGACTATTGTGGCGGGGCCTGCCGCCGTTAGTCCGTACTCCTCCGACGGAGAAGACGGGCCTTACTTTGACCTCGAGTTCGCCCTTCCTGACCAAGAAAGCGACGCCGACGAAGACCCGACTGAGGAGAACGGCGAGAAAGTCGAGAAATTGGAAAATGGAGACGAAACTGAAAGTGGGTCCGACGGGGAGGTTATATCGCTGCAGGAAGACGACGACGACGACGACGATAATGATGATGATGAAGAAGGAGAGGGGCTGAAATTCGCCGTCGCCGGCGGCGACGATTGTACGGATCAACATGCGGCGGTCTCCCTCTCCCCTTCCGATGAGCTTTTTTTCAAAGGGGATTTGGTATCTATCGAGCCTTCGAGTATTTTGCTGAATGGGTCTGAAGAGAACTCGAAGATTCCTGTGTTTCTGCTAAAATCGGCCACTAAATTCCGAGTGCTTTTGCTGAAGCTCAAGAAATCGAAACCCGCCGGCAATGGAGAGAAGGCTGAGGAAGGAGGGAAAGAAACTCAGGGCAGTAAAGTGAATGGAAAGCTTTTTGCCGTCAAATTCAAGGTGGAGGAAGTGCCGATAGTGTCGCTGTTCACCAGAGATTCGAGCTCGAAAGAAAGCCATGGCAAAGCGCAGAAGCACAATGTCCATGTCAGTGTCGATGTCGAATCTGATTCGGCATTGGAGGAGAAGAAGCTGACCAAAGAAGTGGTGCAAAAATACTTAAAAATGGTGAAACCTTTCTACGTCCGCGTTTCCAAGCGTTACGTCGAGAAGCTCAAGTTTTCCGCCGTCACCAAGCCCATGCCGCCGGCGCCGGCGCCGTCACCGAAATCCGGCGAACCAGCGCCGGTGAAAAATGTGAAGACTCAGCCGAAGCAGGTGGGGAACAACCTCCAGGCGGGGCTGAAGGTGGTCCGCAAGCGCCTCGGCAAAAGCCGGTCCGCCTCCTGCGCCGCCGTGGCGGCGCCCCCGCCCCCGCCTCCGACGGCGTCGAACCGGCGCGACGACTCGCTGCTGCAGGTCCAGGATGGGATTCAGAGCGCCATTCTCCACTGCAAGAGATCATTCAATGCCACCAGAGGTAACCCGACCCGACCCGACCCATCTATCAATTTTCGTCCCTTTCTCTCTCTATCCATTGTTATCACTTCTTCTTCACCAAATTTCAAAAAATTTTAAAATTAATTTCCGGCAGATGGAGGAGAGCCCTCGTCGTCGTCATCAATCCTCTGCCGCTCGGTCAGCGATCCATCGTATCAAAAATCAAAAGCAGCAGCAGCTCCATCATCGTCTTCAGCGGCCATGGGAGCACCACCAGCAGCAGCATATTAGATTCTCTCTCGTCCTATCATAATTTTTAAGGTAATTAATGTAAATACTAGTAGTATATTAAAAAATTACTCCATTATATATATATATATAAAAATAAATTGAAAAGCAGATGATTAGGTCAAAGTGCTAGAACTAGCTAAAGGGAAAAAAGCACCTCCGGTGAGAGATAGGGTAAGAGAGAGAGAGAGTAGTAATAGTGTATTAGTATTAGTATGATCATGGTACTGCAACTGCAAAAATCAAGACTGTCTTTTTCTATTATTTCGATTTGCGTGCCGGAATGGAATCACTTGAATGAGTATTGAATTATTACTTCCTCTTTCCAAACTCACCATCCATCCTCCATTGTCATCGTCTATACACACATTATCACACCATTGTTGTACTGCTCTGTTCTAATTTATCATCTTTATACACACGCATATCATCAAGAACAAACAATTTTATTTCAAAGAAAATAAAATAAGAAAAGGTGTAATGATTTCCTACTCCGTATGTACATACGAACACAGTCAAAAATGACAAGACGAGGGATGGGCCCCACCTTCTGTAATTTCCAATTACTTACAGCCAATTCCCTTATTAATTAATTCACACCCGTAACATTCACTGTAAAAAGCAGTAAGCTTTGAACGCTGAATTAGCAGATTTTTTGTCTATAGGTATGGAAAAGTGGTGACATGAAGCAGCCCCTAAACCCCAGTAAAAATCATTGCTTTACCCTGTTTCTTTTTGGACTCTTCTTAACCTAATTGATCATCTAATGCTATCAATTTTTGTGCACAGTAGAAATTAAAGCGGGAACAGAGTGATGAATGGTTTCTTTTTGGGCTTATATACATCTCTCCATATCTGTGTTTTTGGCATTTATGTCACTCTCCCAACTCCCCTATCTTTTATTTATTTTTTCAAGTATGAAGGAATTGCAGGTGATGTTGATTTTGATTTGACGATGATATGTTAATTAATAAATTATTTTATATTTGTGGATTAATTTGGATTATATGATCTGAGTCTATAATGGTGGGTGATGAGATTTTTTATTTGTCTGCTGGTGGGATAGTTTTCCCTCAAAAAGCAAACCCCTTTTTATTCTTTTCTTATTTTCATTGCATGCTTAATCCCCTTTCCTCCTCTCTTCTTTGACCATTGTTTCCACTCTTTTTAACCAAATATATAATAATAATAATAATAATAATATTAGTAATTAAAGAATAATAAAATTGAAACAAAAAAGTTTGACTGAGGCTGGGTATGTGGTCCATTTTTTCATTTTCAGAATATGTACGATGAGTAAATGAGAGGGCGTAATATACGTAAATATTTAAATAATGCATGGGCATGTGAAATTATTTGTTTGGTCTAATTGGGATGGTGCAGGGCCATTTAATTATCCCCACATGCCCCATCTCTTCGATTTTGCTTTGCTGTCCTTATACTCATTCTTCTTATTAATTATTATCATATTATCATTCATTTTTAATTTTTTAATTTATTTATTTATTTTTGCCTTGCCCTAATATGTCCCCAGTTTTTATGTATAATTACAACATATTGTATTGCTGTTACGGTCCACGGCCTGTTATTGGGCTGAATATTAGGCCCAATTAAAGGCACCAAGGTCTACCGCCTTTTTGTTGGGCTGAATCTTTGATCCAATTAAGATGTATGTGGAATTAGTTTAACAAATAAGGCCCAATAATTTTACTGGGCTGTAGCCTAATGGTCTATTCTTGTTGGATATCAAAAGTTTTATTTATTTTTATTAATTGTGTCCAAAAAGAATTCGCTAAAATAAAAGTAGAATGTTAGCTGTCAAAGAATTTGCCATTTCTCTCTTGTACATTTTTTGCTCTGCAAAAATATTCGGGAATTTCCGCACGTGCCGCACTCGGATTTCTGTGCTGTTCATCACGTGACGTGATTACTAAGATCTTTTGATTATTTTTTAATTTATTAAAAGAGAATTAAATATTATTTCTCCCCACTCTCCCTTTCAGTTTCTTTTTGTTTCTTTTGCTTTATTACCTTCAAATACACACACACACATATATATATATATGCATCAAATTACAGTAAATATGTAAGCTAATTGTAACATATAAATTAAATTTATGTATATTGATATAGTTTATATATATATATATGTGTGTGTGTGAATTTATGTGTGCATGCATGGAATTGGACCTAAAAAAATATTCACGTGGAGCACTTTTATGTTGTCTCCCTCACGTCGTGCCACCACACTGTCTCATCATTACATTACACCATATATTTTCATTTTTATTTTTGGGTTAAAATAATTGTTATTAATTCCATCATTTTTATTTTATTATATTCTTTTTTCCTTTCTTTGTTTCTTTTTCTTTTGGCAAAGAGAAAAGAAAATACTTAGCCCCTCGCAGAAGCCAATTAAATGAGTTGGGGCATATATTGGGTAACACATCTTATCATGGTCTGATCATGTGATTTAAAGTTCTAGTTAAGGTCCTGTCCCTCATCACCCAATACTCATCATTTAATCTACTTTAATTTAATTTCCTCGTGATCTATAGAAATACATACTCTTTCCGTCCCAAAATATTCATTTGCTTTTTGCACGTAGTTTTAAAAATATTAGTATTATATTGAGATATAGTATGAATAAAATAGAAATGACTAAAATAACCTTATTAGTATATGTGATATAAAAGTAACGACATTTGTGTAATATATTGTAAATTGTAAGGGTATTTGTAATGTTATGTAATAGTACATATTGAGATATTTTAGATATTCAGTTTTAGATTTAGTAGATTTATATCTAGATTTGATCTTATTCATAGATTAGATTACTTATATTTGAGTCTATCGAGTCTATTTAGTATTGTCTATATATAGACTCTTTATTTTGATGATCAAAAATACAATCTTATTATTTTTCCCCAAAATTTCTAACAGGACAGTTACTAAAAAAGAAAATAGATACTTTGTTATGAGATAGACTAAAATGGAAAAATAGATACTTTGTTATAGAACAGACTGAGTATAATTTATATATATAGTCATCTTCACATGTTTATGATCAACATACACGGAGGGTGTGTTCGTTTGATGGTTTTGGACAAAATTTCACTATTCATCCAAAATTTTTCCCCCCTAAAACATCAAATCAAACACCTAATTTTTCATTTTTTATATTATACTAAAAATCAATTTTACATTCAAAACATCACATCATAATCTATTTATATCACATCATACGACTATTCAAATTTAAAATTTTTACTATTCAAATCTCAACTCAAAATCCAAACCCCCAAACAAACACACATGTAGTACATTTATCATAAATCAAATTTCTACGTAACGTGCATGGGAGTATTAATATAAATTAACATTGACTAATCAAATAATTAAGGCCTGTCTAGATAGAGATTTTAGAAATTTGAAATTAATCAAAATTAATTGAGTATTTGTTTGATATATGTGATATTTTATATACATAATACATATTTGATCTTATATATATATATATATATATTTTTAAAAAAATCCCATTGAATAATTATAATGTAAAAAACTTAGAAAAGTATATATATAGATGTAAAAAAATATAGTTCAAGTGGTTATCACTAATTTAGCTGTAATAATTACCTTCTTTTCAGAAGTGATTCATCCTACTATATGTAATCATTATTAATTAATTAATGATTAATTAGGTGTGTTGATCAATTTAATTGTGTGGCTTAAAATGGTTGCTTAATGTTTCAGAATTTTTAGTGAAATTTTCAAGGTGTGAAAATGAAATAAAATCAGTTGATGGAGTAAAATAATCTAATAATAATTACAATGTCCAATTGAGGGTTAATTACTACAAATACACATATAGTCTATTTTGGTTAAACTGCTAACCATCCACTTAAGTAATCCATCTATTCACCACCTATTACAAGTACTACATACATACATACATACATATATATATATATATGTTTCTTCTCCAAAAAAAAAAAAAAAAAAATTATATTTCATTAAACTAAACAAAAAGAAACAAACAATTAAACCCATTATTATTATTGTATGAAATGAGTGATAAATTTATAATGCACTTTTATACCGTGTGCACTTTTTTGTTGCATTATTTTGGGTCGGTCCCATTAATACCAATTTAAGCAGTGGTCTTTGAATATTAATTATTAAATCAAAATATATTACAAATTAAAAAAAAAATAACAAAAATAATTCTATAAGTATCTTATAATAATATATATAATAATACAGTGACCGTAAAAGTGTGGTCTCCTCTCACATGAATTGTTTTCAATTCCTATCTAATACATATATATATATGTATGTATATTTATTTATTCAGTCATACATACAGAAAACATAATAATAATTATAATTATAGATATGGTGGTCCGACCATGTGGCATTTAGTTGGTTCAATCCATATATATACACATTCATATATAATTAAAAATATATATATATATATATATATTTATTATGAATAATTTAAAATAATGACATAAATGTATTGATTAATGATTATGGAGTAGAGAGAATAATATATTTGATAAATTAAATAAATTAAATTACATTACAGTACAGTACACAACATATATACAACGACACCGTGCCTACCAATTACCATACGCTCCTCGCCATGTCACCTCCTTTTCACGTGCCTGCTCGATTCATAACTAACAATGTTACAGACACGCCTGTATCTATATCTATATGTATATGCATATAGACACAGACAGTTAAGACCCCACCTCACGAACAATCCATGACCACTCTTCAACGCCAACCTTTCCTTTTCTAATATCCTATCCATCCCTAGCTACCCTATGTACTATAGCTTCTTATATACTAAGTCTCACATAGATTTTTATTATTTTTTTTTTCCGTAATAAATAACAAAAAATTATAATATTCCCTCCGTCCAACAAGAGCACCGTTTGTTTTTTTAACGTAAATTTTTTAATATTAGTATTATATTAGTTTGTAGTAAAAAAGACGAAAATGCACTTACTAGTATGGCGTGTTATAATATATTGTAAGTTGTAAAAGTATTTATTATGTTAGATATACAGTACATCTAATTAGAAAATGATACCCTTTATTTTAGGATAGACAAAAATAAAAAATAGTATTCTTAGAGAGAGGGAGTATATTTTTTTTTAGTAAAAATATTCAAATTGATGATTCGCTTTATCTATAGAATATAAATCTGTGCGGCTTAATTTAGCTAATCAATATTATATACTATTTTTAGTTAAGAGGTCATTGTCGGAAAATAAAATATTAAGGTTGTTCTGTATTTAAAAATAAAAAAAAAAAAAAAAAAAAAAAAACTACCTACTCGTATCTGCCCTTCCCATTCAATATTCATATGTATGTATATATATATACCTCTATTTGACTGTTATATCCCTAACTCAAAATTATTTGTTTTGGACCAATCACTATTTTTATTTATTTTATTTTTGGGTCCAAAAATGCATAGTAATGACACTGTTATTCAATACTCTTTTTAATTTTGGACAATGAAATAATTTTTGTGCCAAAGTGTAATATATATATATATATATATATATATGCACTTTTACAATTTCGATGCTGATTTTGGAAAGAGTTTGTTCTAATCAATAGTTACAAAATGTGGGCTCACCATATCCACTATAAGACTTGAGGGTAACTATTTTTCAATAAATACTTTCAGAAAGATATAAATTATTGTGAGATTTTATTTTACTTTTTTTTATTTTTTATTTTTCCCATCAAATTAGTGGTTGTTTGGTGAACAAGTGGAAAAAGTTGTCTAACATGTCCCACCATAAAAAAAATAAAAAAATAACAATCATCAAATCCCAATTGTGGAATCCAATAATAATTTGGTTTGGACTATTTTATTCGGGTTTCTTAAGGAATTTTTTTTTTTTTTTATCGAATATATTTATATATATAGAATTAGCACATGCTAAATTAAAATAATAGCCAGAGTGACATCAATTTATCAAATGTATATATGGAATATCGATGATGATGATGTTGTAATGAATCATTATTATATTATTTAAATAAAAGAGAATTAACCTAAATTTATTTTGGGGAATAAATAAAATATAGTACATAAATTAGCAGTCCCCCGCTTCCCTGGAAAACGAAGAAGGGCATTTTTGACATTTTAACTTAGAGCACTTTTATCTGCCATTTTTATTATTTTTTAAATAAAAGTTTTCACCTAATATCTGATCTACGGTATCAACGCATCGTAATTAAAAAATAATTATAAATATTATAATACTAGTAGTATAATTTTTTTTTAGTATTATATATGGGTCATCGTCTACCTCTCTATTTCCAAAAAAAGAATACTGTTACGTACACAAAATTTAGAGAGAGAAAGGGACATAGCCGATGCATATACAGAGAGAGAAAGAGCTACCGTTGTAGAAAACTGGAAATCGAACACAGCTAGCAAAGAGAAGATCAAACAAGGAAAAGATCATCTCTAGATCTGGTTGTCCATTTCCATTTCCTCTCATTTCGGTTAAGAGAAATTTTTATCCACATCAAGCTTCTGCAGTTCAAATTTCAGTGAATGATCGTTTGATCCGCTGCATTCACTGGTTGCCTAGAAATTTTGACAATTACCCGTTGTTTCTGTCTCTGTTTAGCCTTTTCGAAACTCCTAGTGAGCATTTGCAAAGTTGCTTGCATTGGCGGTGCGCCGATTGAGCGATGGTTTTCTGCGGTGGTCGCCGGAGCTCCTCTGAGTTCCCTGGCCGAGCTCCGGCGGTTCTGTGAGGACTAAATTAATAACTGATGTTGGATTGAAGGTGAAGCAGTAAAAATGTTCAGGTCGGCGCTATGGCGGAGCGAGAAGCACAAGTTCAAAGTTGAATTCAAGTTGCAGTTTCGCGCCGCTAAGGTAGTATCGTTCTCCCACAATATACACGCAAATACATTATTACGATATATGTTTGTCTGTGCATTTAATCACTGTATTTTTACATATTTCAAAGTTTGAATTTGATGATGTCTGGTATCTTTAATTAATCCACTAGTAGTGGAGCTTTTATGAAAAAGTTTAAACACATAAAAGAGCTAAACAGAAGGGCTACTGTTGTTGATTTTCTTCCTCATTGTTTGGCGGAATTTTCTTTAAATGAAAGTGTAGAATGTGAATTTTGAATTTCTCAAACTCATATAGTCAAGACTGAATTGAGTGATTGTGATTGTGAAACTTTAGGTGCCCCATGTTGGAGAGGATGCATTGGTGATCTCTGTAGTTCCTGCAGATTATGGGAAGGCCACAGTAAAATCAGACAAGGCGGCACCTCGAGAAGGGAATTGTTTCTGGGAGAATCCAGTGTATGAAACGGTGAAGTTCAGTAGAGATCCAAAATCAGGGAAGATTCAAGAAAGAATATACCATTTTGTTGTCGGGACGGTATGAAACTGAAGATGGCCATAAGATTTGTGGTTTGCTTTACTTCCAAGTAGTAGATCATATAAAGCTAACATATGCTCGATGGTGCTTTTCCAGGGCTTGTCGTCTAAAGCTGGTGTCATTGGAGAAGCTTCAATTGATTTGTCAAGTTATGCAGAGGCAACTAAGGCCTCATTGGTGTCTCTTCCCCTCAAGAACACAAAAACAGAAGCTGTTTTACATGTAAGTCCCTCTAGCTATGATCCTTTTTCTGACCCTTTTGTTCTTGGATGCGTTCATTCATTGTTTGTTAATTTATTTCTACAGGTATCAATTCAGAGGATGCAAGAGACTCATGATCAGAGGTACTGATGAATTCAGGATAAGTAATGTTTTCTTTCACATAAGATGCATTATAAAATCAATGGTGATGGATTTAAATTGTTGGATCTGACAGAGGGGCTGAAGAAATTGTGGATACCAAGTTGGATTATAAAGATCACAGCTTGAAAGCTCACTTGGATGATGGCGGAATCGATGGAATCATGAGAAGCAACTCTGAAGTAATCTCATGTCCTTTAAACTAATGGTAATCTTATCACTAACAATATGAAAGCTAAGAGGCTAACCTGTGGAGGCTATGTGGGCATTCTTTGTTTTTATAACAGGATATGCCACTGAAGAATGAGGATCCCCAAATTGCTGAGGTAAATGGGAATAGAAGAAGATCGAGTGGATCTGATGTCACGATGTCAAGCTCCGAGAGCAGCTCTGGAGTTGAGATACCCTGGCAGCATCAGATGCACAATGATGGTGTTCATCAGGAGCCCAGCGAACTCCTATCACCTCAGAAGCCTCAGGTGCTGAAAACAAATGCTCAAACACCAATATACAAAGATAACCAGAGATCTCAGTGGGAGTGGCTGCAAAGATCTACCATTGAAGCTAGCACTGATGATTCTTCAAGCACGCCGAGTGGAAACTCTCCCAGGCAGGATTTGGTAGAGGCTTCCGATGTTGTCATAGATAAGCTGAAGTCTGATGTTGCTGTATTATCCAGGCAAGTGGAGATGTCTGAGCTAGAACTGCAGACACTGCGTAGGCAGATCGTGAAAGAAAGCCGAACCAGCCAAGATTTGATGAGAGAACTTGTTAGCTTAAAAGAGGAAAGAGATGCTCTCAATGGAGAATGTGAAAGACTCAGATCCTCGCAGAGACGACTTGATGATACGAAGACTAAACCCAGCTTGCAGTTTGAGGGAGGGGATTCTAAGGCGATTATCCAAGAGCTCAGGCAGGAACTACACCACGCCAAAGAACTCAATTCCAATCTTCGACTACAACTACAAAAGACTCAAGAATCAAACTCGGAACTACTTCTTGCTGTCCGAGACCTTGATGAGCTGTTGGAGGAGAAAAATAAGGAAATATTGAGCATCTCCAGTGGATCATCAGCAAAGTACATCCCTGGAAAGCTGCACGAAGAAGGTTTCACACGTCAACCTGATGATGTAAGCGATGATAATGAACAGAAGGCTCTAGAGGAGCTCGTGAAGGTGCATGGTGTACCCAAGGAAGTCTGTCATTTGGAAAAGCAGATAAGAGATATGCACAGTGAAATAGAAATTTACAAGAGAGATAAAGATGATCTTGAGATGCAATTGGAGCAGCTTGCCCTTGATTACGAGATCTTGAAGCAACAAAACCATGAGATGGTGTATAAGCTGGAGCAGAGCGAGCTGCAGGAGCAATTGAAACTGCAGTATGAATGTTCATACTCATATGAAGCTGCCTGTGAACTCGAATCTCAGATAGAGAACTTGGAGAATGAATTGAAGACGCAATCGAAAGAATCTGCAGGCGCATTGGTCAAAATAAGTGAACTCGAAGCTCATGTCTGCAGTTTAGAGGAGGAACTGGAGAGGCAGTCAAAAGCATTTGAAGCTGATCTTGATGATCTCATGCGTTCCAAAGTCGAGCAGGAGCAGAGAGCTATAAAAGCTGAGGAAACATTGAGAAAGACACGATGGCAAAATGCTAACACAGCAGAGAGGATTCAAGATGAATTCAAAAGGCTTTCTGTGCAGATGGCATCTACATTGGCAGCTAATGAAAAAGTGGCCCATAAAGCTCTAGCAGAAGCAAACGAGCTTCGTCTACATAAAATCTGTTTGGAAGAAATGATTCATAAAGCTGCTGAAGAACACCAGTCAGTCAAAGAGAGTTACGAGGCTAGATTGCATCAACTTGAGAATCAAGTGATGTTAATGACTAATCAAATAAAACTGATGCAGTCAGAAATTGATGATAAAGTGCTGCTGCTGGAAAATCAGAAAAAGCAAGGTGAAGAAACTCAGAAACTCCTCTCAGTTGAGATTTCAAAGCTCAAGAATGAGATCGAAATGTGCATGGCTAAGAATAAAATTCTGTTAGAGGAAATAGAGGGAAAGGATACTTTGATGCATCAGCTGGATCAAATGAGAGCATCCTTTAAGGAAATGGAATTTCTTTGGCAGCAAGGAAATGGTGAAAGAACCAAACTTGAAAACAGGATTAGATTGACGAAAAGTGAAGCAGAAGAGTTGCAGGAGGAGTTAAATAAAATGAGATGTCTAATGGAAGAAAAAGAATCAATTGCTGTGAGTCTGAAGGCGGAGCTGGACACTCTCCATTCACAGTTTACAAAGTTGCAGAAATCGGCTTCAGATGGTGAGCTAGAGAAAGAAAAACTTCGGGGACAAGTGCTTTCACTAGAAACCGAACTGAAGAAAATGGAGAGTGCGATCAACCACATGGAGAAGATAATAAAGGATGCCGATGATCAAGACACAGCTCATTGCTCTGATGAGGTGAATTTGTACACTATTATATCATCTGTTATGCAGCATATGCATTTGAGTGGAACTAAAGAATGTAAGCCCATAATTTCATTTCATTGATAACAGGGTCAGATCAAGTTGAAAGAAAGTGCTCTGGAAGCTTCAAGTAAAGCTTTTCTCGAGAAGGAAATGGAGCTTCAAAGCAAAATTGCAGAGTTAGAAGGGAGATTGGAAGTGCTAAATGAGAGCAACAATCATTCTTGTGAAAAGGTTGGTAAATTCATAGTTCATTACTTTGGTGATAAATTGTAGTAATGGTTTTAAGGAACGCATGACACAATAAAAGCCTAAATTAATCTTCTTGCAGGCTACCGAACTTGTCGAGGACCAGAATCAAAATGTACAAGTGACTGTAGAAACATGTTCTATAAACAAATTCCCCAATACAACCAACTGTGGAGCACATTCAAGACAGAGGTGTGCTACAATGTGATTCATAAGCTCATTTTCTTTGTCATGGTACATATCATTGTCTCATCCAACCTCGACTGTCCTTTTTATTGCAGCAGTGCGCACGATACTCATTACATTGATGAATTAAAACAAGAAGTGGCATTACTGAAGGAGAGGAATGAATCAATGGAGGAAGAACTAAAGGAAATGCAGGGGAGATATTCAGAAATAAGCCTCAAGTTTGCCGAGGTAGAAGGTGAACGGCAACAACTCGTGATGAAAGTGCGCAAGCTTAAAAATGCAAAGAAAAGATCATAGCACGGCATCCATCCCTTCCACTTGTATCGTCGCGTACATAGGTAAATTAAATTTTGTGCCATATTTTTCGATAATAATGTTATTGTAAATTACTAAATGTGTTCACGCTCACAAGACTACACCAAAGAATCATATTCTTTAGTTCATTTTCTGTAATATATATACCAAAATGGTCTATATATGTATATTTGTGTGTTATCCCTCTATGTGTTAGGTAGGATTGTAGGCTCAATATATGTGATGTTTGTGGTAAAATCTATCAATTAACAATAATTAAACCAATACATGTGTTGTTTTTTGTTATTTTCGTCGATTGATTATTTCTTTTTTCTTTTTTTTTTACTATGTGACAAGTGAATTTTATATAAAATATTTCATTCAACAATTATTTAACTTATAAACTATCAAAATACAGGACCCCACAGACACAAAAAGAATACGAACATACTTTTTTTAAAGTTTTAACATCATCAATCACTAATCATCATTGTCTTAAATAATGCCCAACTAAGCCGTACTTATAGATAACTAATACAACTGCAAATGGGGATCGATGCATGCATGCATTTGTATTAATTAATTAATTAATTATATTAATAATAATAACAAGAAGTGGTTCATGAATTTGTGTCCATCTGCAGGAATTAATTGTATAAACAATGAAATTCCTATCACTGTCACTTAAGTAAATGCCTTATCTTGTTGATTCCTGAGTGAGTTTTTCTTTTTTTTTTTTTTTTATATATATATTGTGACGTGAGAACCCGCAGTCGAAAGTTTGCACTGGATAAACTCCCGATCGAATCTAATATTCTGCACCCGATAAATAAATTACACTAGACTAACTATGTATGGCAGGTCACCCGATGCTGATGTTTCCATGGTGAAATAGGGTTTTTATTATAACTATATTAATTATTATATACCAACTAGGGTTATGGATTATATTTTCTGTAATTATGATCATTATTTTTCATTATTCACGTCACGTTCAAACGCATCCTGAGGGTTAGGAACAGACCAATGCAGTAATTAAAAACTCACCTAAGCATTACTTGTATTATTTAAAAAAAAAAAAAAAAAAAGTAATACATGCATCACTCATATATATATATATATATATAATATAGTGGAAAAGGAACACTTTATCTGCACTTTGTTCATCTCTTCGTGCAGACAGCAAAAGGAACAGGACATATTTTGAATTTCTGTTCCAAAATTTTAAATTAATTTAATGACCATACGTATGTATGTTATGTACTTTAGAGCTGTTAAAATCCAACTTTACAATGGAATGATTGGTTTAATCCATTTTCACATTTCTAAAATTTACAATAAAAGAATAATTAATAGAGGATGAGCTCTGGTGACAGTGAGATAATGGGTTTAAATCTGCGATGCTTCTAGTCATTTGCTGCATTCGTCCAACTAGTTTGTAGGATATTAAGTTCGATTGAAAAATTACCAAATATATTCTTTCGGGTAACGGCAGTGGATTCCATGGTAAAAAATAAATAAATAATAAAAAAAAAATCTCTTCACAAATTAAGGATTCAAATCAACATAGCATCACAAAATTTTCCTATAACATAATTAGGGCTCATATAGAGCACAAAACTGTCATACTTTTCAGTCAAAAAAATAAAAAATAAAAACAAAAACGAGGATATAATACATACATATATATACACAGAAGGAAGACATGAATCTGGAATTAAATCTTCTTGTTGATGAGGCCATAGACTGTAACAAGCGCCATAACCAGTGACTGATCAGCCTGTGGTTCCACCATTAATGTCAGCACATCTTCTCCCAAAGAAACCCCCTCTGCTGACTGCTTCTGCACTGCCTACATTCATTCATTCAACACACCAATTTACAGTTACATCTCATCATCAATCATCAATCGATCAACAATAATGTTTATCACCAAAAAAAAAAGAAGAGAATCGACAAACCTCTGCTACAAGATGATCTTCGAAATCCATAATCTTCAGTGCAGACTTCCCTTCCAATCCTACAATTCTGTAACATCTCTTGTACCTAATTCCATCTTCGCCGTGTTTCGCGAAATCAACTCTCAAAGAAATGCCTCTGCTCAAGAATGTGTTGCAATTTCTTGACACTCGAAAGCACGCCTTCTTGGCCGATGAGTTTTCAGCCCATTCGAAGCCTTCCCAGCACCCACAAATCCTCATTTTCTGCACAAAGTTAAAAATTCAGCTTCTTGACACTAGTTTCTATTAGTCCATCGAATAATATAGGCCGCGAGCGGTATAAATGTATATATATATATATATATATACATACCTTTCTATTTATAGAGAAGAGAATTTTTCCATTGGAATCCATGAGAATGACTCTTCTGCTGCATCTTTTCTGGTAATTATCCACTCGGAAAACCACGGCGCCTCTTGAATTAAAGACAGTGCAACCATTTCCATGGAAGACTAGAGATTTCATCCACAAAGTGTATACTTCTTTTTCCGAGAAAGTACTACTAGTGTTACTACTGCTGCTGCATTTCTTTAAAGGATTCGGATGTATTTTCGCCATAGTCATTAGCTCAAAAGTTCGATCTTTTGTTTTGTTTTTTTGGTACTAATATAATTAAGATGTGTGGATGATCAAAACCCTCACAAGAAAGACTCATGAATATATATAACTTGTGAATTATATTACTTAATTTCATTCATGGTGATGGAAAGAGAAGTGGAGGTTTTGACTAAATCCATAAAAGGTTGTTTGGAATTATATTAGATTATTGCAGTTTGTTATTATTAAAATTCACAAGTTTTGCTTTATTAGGTGACCTTTTTTGGCCCTTTATTAAATTTAGTCGAAAACCAGCAGTTATGTCTGCAATTCCACATTTTATCATTCAATTCGAAACATAATTAAAATAATCTGATGTCATGTGTTCAATAATAGTTGTGAGAATTAGAGCAATTGTATCTGCAACTTGTGGTTGCCTTATTCTTATCATGTCTATGTTCATTTTTATTTTATTCTTTTTTAATTAATCTTTTGTTTCTAATCCGAGCCAATGTTGACTAAAACTGTTATTTTAATTCATTCTTGCTTAATGTAATTACATGATTTATTTGGATGAGAGTTTACCACTCCCAATCCCGACAAAAATAATTAAATAATTTAATTGCATAATACACACATATGTTTTATTTTAAATGAATAAATACTTGTATATTAAAAAGTTCACAGAATACCTCTATGTATATTTATTTTATTCAAATAACTTATTTAAGATATTTTATCCTCTTTATTTGTATAATTAGGTGCGTGTTACAACCAATCTTAATTTTGAACAAAAAAATATATATATTTTATGCATATTTTAATATAAACACAAAAGAATTCACACAATAGATAAAAAATTAGATATTTATTTTATTAATAATAAAATACAGGTGATTATTATGCAATTTATTCAAAATAAAATAAAATTTACAATTAACGTGTATAAATGAATTTCAATTAATCTGCATGATCATATTCGTCGTCGTCATCTTCATGTGTGAATACAGCGAACCCACCCACGACGTGTGTTTTAACATAAATGTAATGATAATAATGCATCCTTTTTGTGGAATTATCGAAACAAAAGAGACAAATTAAGACACGATGGATCTCTTAATTAATTGTCATTTTTAAGGAATTCTTATCGCGGCGATTATATTTAATTAATAAATTGGTGGCATTATCTTGAGATTAGTAGTGAGTTGCTGATAGTGAGTCCACAGACAGATTAATATATTAATGGTGATGCTTTGCATGTGATTAAGTAGGTCATATTGGATTATTAATTATATTATATTAATAAACTTAATTCAAATTAATTAGGTGGTGACCTAATCTGTTTGCTGTTCTTGCATGAATTAGATACCCTTAAAAAATCTCATTCTTGTATTTCTATATACTACTAAACTATTCAAATTAATGTCCCATTGTTTGATAATTCCAAAGGGCAACCTTAGGAGATCGTATCAATGTCGGGTTTGTAATGAATATCATAATATCGATTTAGTGTACTATTTCAGTGTACTGTAAAGCCTATTCTTTTTTAGATATTTTAAAGTGTCGAATATATATATTGTTTTGTGAAAAAAAAAAAAAAAACACTTATAGGTGTTTTGGTTTATTTTATACTTGACTTTATTTTAATTTATTACATATCTATTTTTCAACATGATTTAATAAAGTCTTAATGAATATAAGTTTTAAAATGTCGTAAAACTTCAAAATCCATTGTGATGTATGATAGCAAATAAAATCCACTCATCTGATCAAACTTTGCCATTCTTAAAAATGGGACATCAAACAAATAATCAGGTAAACTTAAATCCATATCGTAATTTTTGGATAAAAACATTATTGGATATATATATACACGATATTTTGTAAAAAAATAAAAATAAAAATAAATAAATAATAGCCTTCCATTATGTTCTCCTATGTAAAATTATAGAATCAAATACTCATCTTTTTATTTAAAATGTTAAATAAATAAAAGCTCAATTTTTATTTCAAAACATCACTTTAATTAAATACTCCATGTTTGCATAAAATCAAAATTCTTTTTCAATTAAAACTGTGACTATTATATTATCAAACTACATCCAAACAAATTACAAATTCCCTACACCCAAAGTGGAAATATACCCTTAACCCTTCAACAGCAATGGATTAGTTGACTCTTTTAAGTAGAAATTTTTTCTATATGCACCTCTGGAGATTAGGTAGGCAACTATTTAAATTTTATTGATTAGATTAATCATGAAGCATTAATGTAAACATTGATAATTAGTATATATACATATAATTTTTAAACTTTGATAATACATTCATATATCCATGTTGAGCAGTGTTGGTAATGTATTGCAGTTGGCGACATGGCGCAAAAAGTGACGGCTAAACGATGCGAAGAAGGTATTGGCGTATGCAGTCTACAAAGTTGCGACGAGGAATGTTGCAAAAGAAACTGCGGTATAAAGCACGAATTCGAAGATCCAGAGGGATGTTGTAATAGTATTGGAGCAATTAGATTGTGTGTATGCAACCACGTCTGTATTTAAATTTACTAGCTCAAGAAATCAATAATTTCAGAAAATAATAGATAGATGGAAGAAGAATTGGAATTTGATGACAAAAAATTGTATGTTAAATTTTAATATATTGAAGGAAATAAATATGTTTGATTAGCTAATTAGTGCTTCATGTATGGTGTGTTCAGTCTGTGTTTGCATAGCAATTTAATGATGTAATATTTTTTGTGACGGTAAATTATATATATATTTTTAAAGAATTAGAATTGCGTATTATTGAAGCCTTAAAAAATAAGTTAAAAGAAAGAGAATTTACAAAAAGCGATTCCCCAATAGTCAAAATAAACTATGAACCTAACTTATACACGTGAGATCAAGCAAAATGGCAACAAACTAAATCATAATATCTTCTTAATTCCAACTTGAGCTTCCCATCAGTGGCGGAGCTAAACTTGTTCCGCCGAATGGGCTAATTAAAGGCTTCATTGAGGTTGAAAAATAAGTAATTTTTATTATTTTGAACGAAATTGATGGTAGAAATATTTATTTTAAACGGACAAATGATCTATGAGTGTGTTTCTTCAGTGTAGTTTTGGTCAAAACTACTGTATGACCACTGTTGACCGGGTTTAGGCGCCAAACCGAGCCTCTTTTACTGCACATGTTTTATTTATTTATTGAAATTATAAATGTAAATTTAAATTTTTATAATATGTATAATTTAATAAAATATATACAATATATATGTAATTTTATAGTGAATAATTTTATTTTTTTTTATAATACAGATATATAAAAATTATAAATGTATATATGTACATATAATATAAATTTATAATTAAATTATACAAATTAATACATATTTATATTATTATATTTATTACTTGTCGAATCAATCGTATCAAAACTTTCCAAACTTTTAACCAAACCTAAATACAAAAGAAACATCAATATTCAAATTCAACTCAAAATTCTCAAAACCTCTCTAAATAAACACACCATATATAACAAATAATATAGTCAACGTAACGGCGGGGACGACGGCTTGGGACCCCCCGAGCCCCTGCGTGGCTCCGCCACTGTTCACAACGCATCAGTTTGTTCTTGTGTGATATTCTCATATATTGAGTATTGCATTGTTGATTAAGTTGTAGCAATATTGCACCTTAGAGACAATTGAGTAAGCAATGGTTAATTTGTTTGGCTGTTTGAAAATTTGTTAAGTTATTTTTGGAATCTTCTTTTGATTAGTAAAATTTTTGTTATGGTAGACATAGAAGTTTATTCCTTACGATATACCATTTAAATTTTTGGCATTACTTTGAATTAAAAAATTATATATTTTTTTCGGTATATTTTACAAAACGTCTTATTCAATAAATAAGTCATTCTCAAATACTTGTTCCGTCCCACATAATTTGTTCCTATTTTTTATTTTCGTTCGTTCCACATGATTTGTCTTTTCTTTTTTGGAAATATAATTGTACATTTTAATCTCATTTTAAATTTTATAATTTTTTTAATTTTAATTTTAATTTTAAATTCTCGTATCTACATTGACATGCTCATATTACATGGGACGGAGAAAGTATTAAACTAAATATCTATTCTAATCTATTAATTTGTATGGACAACAACGAAATAAGAAAATTAACATTTAGATAAAGAATTACATAAAGTAATCAAATATGTATAAATATAAATTTGAAACTATAATTTTTCAGTAATATAAATAGAAAATTAAATTGATATATTACTTAATTAAAAAATAATAATAATAATTAAGTTAAACATTGTATCTCTGTACAAATCTTTTACCTATAAATATATTCTCAGCAATGGAGAATTGCAACATCAAACTATAATTCAATTTGAAAAACTATTGTACAAAAGATAAATAAATAAAATGGATACAATCAAACCATCTCATATACTTATGTTCATACTCATTCTTGCCTCAGCAGGTAAGTTTTTAATTTGTTTTCCTAATCAGAATTTTTTAATTTTTTATGATAATAAATATGTATTGATTTTTTTTTTATGTTTCGATAATGTGTGGTTTGTAGTATTAGATATAGCGCAAATGGCGGAAAATGACGATTTAGCGGCACCGGATAATTGGTCTTCCAAGCGGGATCAACAGTGTACAGAAAATTTAGGTGTTTGTGGCGAAAAAATATGCGACCAAACATGTTGCGAAAATAAATGTGCGACGAGGCATGCATTCGACAATCCACACGCAGTTTGTGAAAATTTATTTCCTATTAGACTATGCACTTGTTACTATGATTGTAATCGTAAAAATAAAATGAAAGACACGGAAAAGAAATAATGTATTATGCTCATTTGTAGAGCAAATAATCTTTACTTTGATTGAATCAAAATTGTTTTCGAAGAAACTGTTATTTTATTTTTAATCTACTCGATGAATATTGTCATACATTTAAATGACTTATTCCTAAAATATAAAATATATTTATATTTCTAATATATATCGAATTATCGATAAAGTTATTAAAAATAGTTAAAAAAAATAATTAAAATAATCAAAAAATATTAATTAAATTGGGAAATTATTTTTGCAGATCTAATTAACACAATTTTCATGATTACTTACAATATGTGCAAATTCTGTAATACATTCGTATATTTACATGATTTAATGTAATTACATATGTAATCATACCTAAATTAAGGACTATTACATATAAATTATGCATAAAATATAAGGGTGCATTCAGGTTATATAGATCTTAGCAACATTTATTATATAAAAATGTACAATTTTATTTATAAAATGATAAGCAATCCATAAATATATTGCAAGTATTAGTTTTGATTTTATTTGATTTTATTTATTTAGTAACTTCTTCATTATTTTTTGTTCAGTAAGTAGAATTTGGTCCCAAATATATTACTATATAATGCTCGTATCATTCAAAATAAAAATAAAAATAAAAAATAAATAAAAATAAAAATAAAAATGAATGCAATGAAACCAGTTTGCATTATGTTCATCCTAATTCTTGTATGAGGTGAATTAATTTCATTCTTTTAAGCCTTTCATTTTATTTTTTTTAATTAATAGAATTTTGATATAAAGCCATATTGATTTTAAGTTTTTTTTTTATTTTTTTATTTTTTTTCCCGAATTTGCAGTTAACAACATGGTACAAGCAATCGAAAATTTCGATACGGCTCAATTAAATTCAACAATCCCAAAAGTCGATGGCGTATGTCAAGAAGGTTTCGGTCGATGCAGCGATTCGTGCGATTTAAAATGTTGCATAAACAAATGCACTACAAAACATTTAGGCAAAAATCCAGTAGCATTTTGCCAGACTCTTTTTCCAGAAAGATTGTGTGTTTGTACCTACAATTGTTAGACATAGAAATGTAATTTATTTGCATTTAATGAAATAATATATGCAATTTTTATGTTTTTTTTTTCACATTTTCTTACTTTTTTTAATTTATTTTATTTTTTTGTGAAGTGCTTACAAAGGTTGATGCTCAATATGTAATGATTAAGGGAGAAATTAATTAAATTAGAAAAATAATTATGTTAACTTATTATTTATGATATAATGGAGAAATTAATTAAATTAGAAATAAACATTAATTCTATAATGGAGAAATGAATTAAATCAAATTTTCCAATCATACAAATTAGGGATTAATTTTATAATCCAAAAAAGGAATTAATCAAATCATGTAAGATTTGCTACATAAATGACACGAGAATTCTATAAAGATTATGGATTTCATTAATTTGAAAATAAATCAAATCAAATCAAATATGACACCTATATATATACACTCAAACTCTACACAATATCCACCTTAATTTTTCAGAACATTTTCTCTGCTAATTAAAAAGTGAAGATGGAAATGATCAAACACACTTGCTCAATCCTCGTATTATTTTTTCTTGCCTCAGGTAAATATATATATATATATATATAATTGTAATATTTTCTTAAAATTTATTTCCATTATAATGAATAACTTTTTATTTTTTATTTTGTTAGCGGATTTGAACATGGGTGAAAGATCTACGAGAATTTTAGCAGGGGCAGGGACGTGTACAGAAATTTTAGGTCCATGCGGCACAGGAGTTTGCAATGAACAATGTTGTCAAACAAAATGTACAGACAGACATCCAAATGCCGATCCGCAATCTTATTGCGACAACGGCAACATTGGTCCGCTTCGTATGTGTATATGTACTTACATTTGCTAACTAAGTTAAATTGATTTATATTGATTTGCGATAGAAAGAAATGATATTTTCAATTGAATGTTAATTCTTTTTCTTTTAAAAAAAATATATATTGAAAATTGTAATTCTAAAAATTTGTTTGGACAAACAAATTCAATATCAACTATTATAACTATTATTATACCTTAAAATAGCAAAATAAAAAATGCAATGCATTAAAAAAAAATGAGATTACGTTATTGATTATAAAAAAAAATAAGAAACTATATACAGGCAATACATAGACTCAAATTTAAATATAAATCTATTAAATTTAAAACTGAATATGTAAAATATCTCAATATTAATATTTAATTAATGCAAATCCCTATAAAAATATAATGATATTTTATTTTTACAAATATCACATGTAACAACTATTTACATATAAAATACAAACGAAAATAAAGATTGTATATATTTTATTTTTTACTATTTAAAACTAATATTTTTCATGCAAATTATATATATATATATATATATATAAAAGAAAAAACATATTGCAAGTTAGGTTTAGAAAATAAGAATTGGTTTGTTTTCTTTCTAAAATTCAATTTTTACATTATTCAATCCGTATATTTTGCAATAAAAGAACATATTATTTTCTTGTTTCATGTTTTATGTCCAATGTATTGGATTTAGATTAAGATTAAATTAAATATAAGCCTAATTAAAAGGACAATATGAACAAAGATGTGTGATATAAAAAGTATTTTTCTAGCAAAATATTATATCAAAATATAATCAACTTTCAAAATCAAATCAAAAATCAAACACACTCTAATATTTTATTTAAAAGATTTTACATTTTTATATCATGTAAGTGAATAATCACAGTGATAATAATAATAATGATAATGATGATGATGATGGAGTGAATGGGCTTGATCCATTACATATGACAACCCAACTCAATTTTTTTTATATAACTATATAATTCCTAAAATTAAATTGTGAATATGTTGGTTTTTTTTTTTTTTGTTAATTTTGTATCTATTATATAATATCTATAAAAAAAATTTAATAAAAAATATATTAATTTTTTATATAAAATTAAATACAAATCAAGCACATCCCATTTTCTAATTTGTTTTTACTCACTAAAAAATATTACTATAATCCTATAAATATACACTAAATTAAAACACTAAACCAACAAACGTCAATAATACAAAATAAATAAAAAAATATTGTTATTTATTTATAATTAATATAAACTAATTTTACAAAAGATGTGAGCTTTTTTTTTATCCAAAATTTTCAAATATATTTTTTAAAAAAATTAATATAGTATATTCTTATTATTTTTATATTATCTATACAATTCTTTATAATTCATATAAAAAATAATTTTTTAAACCATAACACAAAACAAACATATCCGTAGAGTTTTAAAAATAGATAAAATATATTTATATATTTAAATATATAAAAATAAATTTTTTTTGAATAGGTCATACATTATTTATAAAGTTAAATGTTACCTACTTAATTAAGTTGATTTATATTGATTAAATATGCTATGATTTATTATGTTGTACTTAAAATAAAAATGTATAAATTGTTATATAGCATTAAAAATAGAAAATATATCATTGTTATGTAACTCATGATATGATTATAATACTTCATGAGAAGAGTCGATTGCATTCATAATTATATATTATTTATTAATATTAAATTTTATTTTATAAAAGTATAATAATAATAATAATTTTAAGAATTCATTAAAATTTCTGTGGGAATTTTATTCTATACAAAATTTTCATAATTTTTCATTAAAATTCATCGACTTTATATAGATTGTTAAATAGCTCAAAATTTTAAAAAAAATTTAAAAATCTATACTGAATACCTCTAAATTTTAAAATAATTTACACACTCCTTAGGAAAGTAATGTTGAAAATATATAATCAGAACTTAAATAAATATTGTCAAAAAATAAAAGAAAAAAATTGATGCTCTAGATACATTTTAAAATTTTGATAATATTAAATAATTAAAAAAATTATTTTTAAACTTTTTATACTTACATAAAATACCATATAAAATATTAATTTTTTTAAAAAATTCTAGATATTCCAAAATTTGAAAGTATTAATTCAATAAAAAAAATTCAATAAACTTTTAATTAATACTATAAAAAAAAATATAATATTATAGTTATATAATACATAGGGTTTGTTCCTATCATATTTTTAAATGATTCTGCATAAATATTATTACAAAAATATCATATTTTATTATGTTAATAATTCGAAAAAAATATTATTTTTTTATATTATCAATATAATTTTTTTATCTAACATAAATAAATATATTTATCTAAAATAAAAAAATAAATTCATACTTTAAATTTAAAAATAATAATTTTATTATAAAATATTATTATTTTTATATGATTGATATTGTAAAAATATTTTAAATTAAAAATAAAAAGCAAATACGCCCTAAAAAAGATCTTTATCCAAACAGGTCACAAGCAGAAAAGGAACAACCCGACCCTGGTTTGGATCCAAAACAGTGTACGGTCTTTCGGCAGGCGGCAGCTCCATATAATACCCACCTCCTCCTGAACCATTTCTTCCATTCACTGCACCGCCAACACAAAAAAAAATCTCTGTGAATTTCTATTTATTCCTTCAATCAAGCCCTAGATGGGAATCATCGCTTGATCGGTAAGTCCCGTTCTCTACTTTCTTTGCATATGTCCATGCTTGTTTATGTGTAGCTTCATTGATCGTTTTGATTTTCGGTGGTTTGATAGTGTTCCTGTTCTCGGTTGATTTTATCGATCGAATTGGGAAATCTCGTGAGATGGCGGGTTCTGCTAGAGAGAAGCATATCCGAGCTAATCGGAGGAGCCGGGCGGTGAAACCGGAATCCGATCGATCCTCAAGTGCAAACAACAATGTTAATCTGGAAAATTCCGGGAGTACTAAAATTGGAAACAACACTAAAAATCCCCAGCCTTCTCTTAGTTTGTTCTCTCAGAACCCAGCGTCAGTGTCTGATACGGACCCGAATGCCGTGTTTGATGATAATGGGTGGGGTTACTGCACCGAGGAACAGTTAGAGGAGATATTGCTGAAGAACTTGGAATTTTTATATACTGAGGCTATAAATAAGCTTATTGGACTAGGTTACAGTGAGGAGGTGGCCTTGAAGGCCATTTTGAGGAATGGGCATTGTTATGGTGGAATGGATGTCTTGACTAATATCTTGCATAATTCTTTGGCTTATCTGAATAGCAGTGGCGATGGTGGAGGGAGTAATGAGGAACCCAATCCATCATTTTCCGACTTGAAGCAGCTGGAGGAGTACTCACTTCAAGGAATGGTATGCTTGTTGCAACAAGTTAAGCCTCATTTGAGCAGGGGGGATGCTATGTGGTGCCTGCTTATGAGTGATCTACATGTTGGCCGTGCGAGTGTCATGGAAATTCCTGTTCTTCCATCCCCAAATGGTGGTGGGAGTGGGAGTGGGTCTGGGGGTGCCTCTACAAGTGATTCCGGGAGCCAGGAGGGCGGTATTACTAGTGGGGGGCCTGTTGGTGTTGCTCCATCAATGTGTCGGTTTCATGGTGGCTGGGGGTTTGGTAACAGTGGGACATCTGAGTTCCCAATGAGTGGGGCGAATGGATTCCTCTCATATGCATCGGAAATGACTCTACAGAGGGAGATTGAATGTCCGAAGAGATTTAACATTAGTCCATCAATGAAGGATCTATTAAAGAGGAATGTTGCCATGTTTGCGGCAGGATTTAAGGCGAATTCAAAGAAGTTTAACAGCCAATCACAGGCTTGTCCGAGTTCCTTGTCTGTTGGGAATTCACCTGATCAGCATGGAACACCTGCTGCTGTTTCAGTGGGGCATGGAAAGGAATCCCATAATGTGAAGAAGCAAGATGTAGTAAATTCAGTGATGAGTAAGTTTCGGGAATTGAATCTTGATGAGAATCTAGAACAAGCATCTGCAGATCAGAAAGATGAAATGATTTTGACTTTGATCCATCAGTTAAGGGAATTAGATAAACAGGTTAAAGAACGTAAAGAATGGGCCCATCAGAAGGCAATGCAAGCTGCAAGAAAACTTAGTCATGATTTGACCGAACTTAAGACGTTGAGAATGGAGAGAGAGGAGACGCAGCGACTTAGAAAAGGGAAACAAGCCCTTGAAGAGACTTCTGCAAAGAGGATTGCTGAGATGGAAAATGCGCTGAGGATTGCAAATACTCGAGTAGACCGAGCTAATGCTGCTGTTAGGAAGCTTGAGATTGAGAATGCTGAAATTCGAGCGGAAATGGAGGCATCTAAATTAAGTGCATCTGAGTCAGTTGCTACCTGTTTGGAAGTGGCAAAGAGGGAGAAAAAATGTCTTAAGAAGCTTTTGGCATGGGAAAAGCAGAAAAGTAAAATGCAGGAAGACATTGCAAGTGAGAAACAGAAGCTTGCAGAGTTGCAGCGGGAGTTAGCTCAAACTGAGGCGGCCACTAAGAAAATGGAGGTATGTGATTTTTTAGTTGAGTTGCTTTCTGCTTATTATTCTACTTTGCTATATTTCGCCTACTTTGTCATTCAATCCGTAAATGCTTTATATGTCTTATATGCTTTATTAAATTCTTTATATGTCTTATTGTGAATATCTGATCTATGAGAATAGGTTTTGGTTTGTTCCGTTATCAATACGACCAATTCTGCCTTTGCTTTCTGCTGATTATTCTACTTTGCCATATTTCGCCTACTTTATCATTCCATCCATAAATGCAATCACATAAATTCTTTGTCTTATTGTGAATGTCTGATCTTTGAGAATAAGTTTCGGTGTGTTCTGTTATCAATATGACCAAATCTGCCGGAGATCACATAAATTCTTTATGTCTTATTTGAATATCTACTTGAGTTGCTTTCTGCTTATTATTATACTTTGCCATATTTCGCCTACTTTATCAGTGCATCCATAAATGCGATCGGATAAATTCTTTATATGTCTTATTGTGAATATCTGATCTTTAAGAATAGGTTTCTGTTGTTGTTATGTTATCAATACGACCAAATCCGCATGACATCAGGTATCCGGTGTATAGTTAATGAATCTTCATTTATTATTACGTCTGTGTGGCGCGTGGCCAATAAAACATGTAGCACACGTGTACTCTCTGCGCCGACACGTTCTATATGCAGTATGTACAGGTTCTAGATTTTATGTTTGCTAGTTAAGACAGTAAGACTTGATCAAAGAACAGTTCCCCTTCCCATAAAACATTTATTTAGCTCAGTGGCATACAGCTCATCAAGATCATTTTTGAAAATGGTGTGCGACGTGGTGCATGATTGTATGCGACAATAAGCATTAATATATAACTAATATGCGGATATATGTAGAATCAATACATATATGCTTTGCAAAATCCTCCCATAAAACATTTGAATCTTGTGAGGTCTCATTTTAAAGTCTTATTATAATATTTACACTGTACATTGTTATTAGATACTCGGCAGTATAGTATAGTTCCACTGTAAATCTTTTCCATTTGATGTCATACTACTTAGTTCAATGCTAGAAATACCCTAGGGGGAAACACACACAATTTTAATACAAAAAACACATTAAAAATCATAATATTTATTTACTAAAACTATATATTTAAAGTGTTTTTAGAAATACAAGGAAAAAAAAAACATAAAACTATAAGGTTTGGTGCATGCCTCGCCATACACAATGGCACTACAGCCGAATCATTGCACACCTTTTATAACTATGATCGAACATGACTATGATCAACACTTTGTTTACACATACGCTTTTGGAACTTTTGACAATATCTATTTATAGTAAAATTTCAAAAAAATATAACATTAAATATATTTTTTCTCTCACAAAATATGACATCAAATACTAATCTTTTGTTATTCTTAAATTTTTTCAGTACTCCAAAACTCTCGGTCTAAACTTAGCCAAATATTCTGAGAGATTTATTTAACTGGTCTTAATGCATTTTTGACAAAAATGAACCTTATTCTCTTAAGAATTAAATCATTTTGTATAGTGGCATATAGATGAAACCTTTTGAACTTTTTGAAACTCCCTTTTAATTTAATTAATTATTCTCAATTACTTGAAGTTGAAAGTGTACTTAGGGCTTTATTTGTTGACTTCCTTTCCATAGTGGATCGGAGCATAGTTAGAAATGACGAACGGCCCAACAGCGTAAGTATTAATATACAAATATAAATGCAATTAATACATATATATATATATGTGTGTGTGTGTGTGTGTATTGTGATATCCTCCCACAAGATGTTTGAATTGCATGTTTTGATTTTATTTGTTAATTTACTTTCCTTGTATAGTGGACCTGAGCATAGTTGTAAATGACAAATGGCCAACACCATAAGTTTTAATATGAAATTAACACACATATTTATATATATATGTGCAATTAATATATATTTGTGATATTCTTCCACAAGATGTTTGAATTGCATATTTTGAAAACAATAACATTTTGGAAGTGGGAAAACAATTATAAGCTAAAAAAAAGTCATTGCATGTGCCTTTGAGTTTGGGGCAAAAGTGCAGAGGTTCTTTGGCGCGCCTCTTGATTTGACCCTCGCCATACATAACACCTCAATGGCTTTCCTTTTTATAACTATAGACCTGAGATTACTTTTAATGACCTCATAGGGAGATCTTAGAAAGAACACTTAGCTGATTATTAATGGTTATGTTTTCTGAGTTAAATTATTTCCAATTATGGTGTTTTCTACATTTGACCAGTTGCCTACCTTTTTCCTTAATTCTCAGAGAGTCGATATTGTTCATGCAGATCATTTCAAATCATTGCCATCTTTATTCTCACTCGGTTCATCTGTGTACTATATATATATTTTTTTTGTTTCTGGATGAGCAGACTATGCAATACTTAATGATTAGTATTCGTAATTCTAGCCGGTGAGAATTGCGCAACATGTGGAAGTGCATACTTTTGGTTCTTTATTTTTATCCTGTATTATTGCAAGCTTAGTCTTGAACCATGTTAAAACTGTTGTCACTTTCTGTTAGCCGTTAAACTCTAGTTAACTATGCATTTACTTTTTAACTACTGTTTTCTTATTGCCAGTTCCTGTTCTAATGTACAATTGCAGCAACTCTTCAGCAGCAAAGACTGCATTAATATGTTACTTGTAACTGTTATTATCTTGTGCCAATGTCTTTTTCATCTGCCATTGCAACATTGACTTGTTATTGTTCCCTTATTCCTATCTTTCATTTATGCTCCTGCACAATTTTCGTTTTTTACTTTATCATTCTAAATATGAAGCTAGAAAATAATTGTGTTTCTGAACTTCCAATGAAAAGGCAAAGTACAGGCAAGAACAGAAGAATAAAGAACAGGCTCTTGCACAGTTGGAGGAGGAACAACGCCTTAAAGAAGCTTCTGAAGTCAATAACAAAAGAAGGCTCGAGGCGGTGCGCCTGAAGATAGAAATAAATTTCCAGCGCCACAAAGATGATCTCCAGCGTCTTGAACAAGAATATGCTCGCCTCAAAGAATCCGCACAGGCACAGGCGGAAAACCAATCCGATCAAGTCTGGACTGCAAATGCCAATGGCATACCCCAGCAAGGAGAAAGCATTGCGAGGCTGCTACATGAACTTGATCAGTTGGAGAACTCTCAAGAAAAGAAGGTCAGCAGTGACAGGGATTGCATTCTTTGCAGGAAAGATGAAGTCTCAGTGGTGTTCCTTCCTTGTACCCATCAAGTCATATGCGCAAACTGTAATGACAACTATGGCAAAAAAGGTAAAGCAGCATGTCCATACTGCCGGGTTCCAATTGAACAAAGGATTCGAGTCTATGGCGCCTCCTCTTAGGCATATATCCAGAAATGAACAAAAAGGTATGTCCCAGAACCCCCCCTCTTTGCTGGAAGATACATGAACTTCCTTTATTTTAGAGACTTCATGTTTGTTAGTATATAAATAAAACCTACAAACGGGCTTCCAGCTTCCCCGTTTGCTCCGTATAGGACATACTTTCCCATATGTTATGTACCCCGATGTTGTGTGTATGCCGAAGAGAAACTACCTTTATTTTGAGAAGCTGACTGCTATTTCAGACATTATAGTATGGATATCCTATGGGGTTACCTGGATTTAGAACATCTATATGATTTATTACCTTATGAAGCATTCATATATTGTCTTTTTTAGTCATTAGCTTACATAGCAAAGTGCATCAACATACATTCTATCGGATCACAGGCGATGGACAAAAGGAGGAAATCTAACTGCCCGTTGTTCGTGCCATCCGAGCATGTATTGTCTATATATATATGTCATATGATTGCTGTGACATCCTCCCCTACTTCCCCAACTGAGCTTTCAGTCCCTGCAGCTTCTCTCTGATTGGTGCTATTACTGCGTGAACTTCGTCGAAATAAGGCGCAGTTGCCGTCTTTGTGTCCTCGATCCACTTCAAGATTCTTTTGTGAGGCCCCAGTAAGCGCTCGCGCTCGCTCTCTTCGGCAAACTACAAGAAGAAATAGGCACTTTAAGTTTGCGGCAACATAATGCAGAGTCGGTTGCTGGTGTTGGTTTTACCTCGAGCTGCATGATTTCGCAGACTAGGGAGAGATCAGCTATGGATGGTTGAGCACTCCCATGCAAGAAAGGCTTGTCTTCCTCAAGCCAGAAGGATTCGATAGTTGTGAATGATGCCAACATCAGCTTTTCGCCTTTAGCTGCCGCGCTGAGGTTGATGGGCGCACCGACAGCTAGCGCGATAAGCGTGTTAAAGATGTAACTGACTGAAAAGAACAGAACTTTCAGTAAGATACAACGATCAATCTTCAGACAAAGAACTTCATGGTGTAATGACCTGAACCACGGCGAAGATTCGAGTGGTGCCAATCCAGCACCAATTGGACCTTGGCCCTTTTCCGAATGTCGGATGGATACCTACAGAACAGGGAGTTGTTACAAAACTGATTCAGAAGAATCTAAATTGGAAAAAAGCATGAAAATCGAATTACCAGTGATCCGCAACCGGAAATGCAGAAGCAAGGTAGCCGAGTATTGTATGACTGCAGGCAAGAAAACGTTCATTAGGACATGTAGAAGAAACTAACTACAGATTAAGAAAAAATGGGCATTCAGTGATCTGATCTGTCTGCAGATCAGAACAGAATATAGAACCTCTCAAATAGCTTCAGGTCATCGTGCACAATGGCTGGAACTTGTTTCATAGGGTTTATTTCTGACGACAGTAAAAATGGAAAGCATCTCAGGACAGGACAAGGTCAAACATGAATCGATAAAATACGATGCAACAAACTCGAACCTGCATATTCAGGGCTGTGATGCTGCTTCTTGGTGAGATCAATTTTTACCTCCTCAAACTCGATCCCATTCACCCTTCAAACCCATCATCGATTCTAAATAAATCGAAGATGTTAACATGGTAAAGATAAAACAAGATTCGAACTTACTTGCAGAAGATGACAAGTGCACGGGAAGGCTGAGAAATCCGATCAACGTACAGCTTGAGGGACATTTTTAGCTTCCTTCAGTTCTCCAGACCAGCAGAAGGTTTTTGTTTAGATCTAAGTGATAAGGATCGCTGACCTACTAATGGCTGCCAATAAATTATTAATATCTCAATTATGCCGTCGGCGTAAGAACCAGATCCTAAAAGTGGCAAAAGTCCACATACGATTGATAATCATGTTTTTTAATCATTATTAAATTCCATATTCGATTATTTAACCCTTAATTGGAGACTTAATCACTAGATTTTCGACATCATCAGTCCCGTTGACCCAATCCCTTTCATTATGCAATGAACAGACAAATGTATTCGACTCTCAGTTGTCAACTACTTTTTTTTTGTACCGATTCAGCTGTGAACAGGAAGAAATCTCATTTGTAGACCAGTTTCTCCACAACGTGCTCCCATGTCGTTCGAACCAAATCTACGCCTCTATAAAAAGCTTCTCATTACATATCGTTTTTCGATCGAAAATGGCTGTTTCTGTGTACAGAAAGAGGTCCAAGAAAATCAAGGGCGGCTTCTTCCCGGCAAGAATTCTGTTCCGAATTCCGGCAGCAGTCTTCGTGCTGACTGTGATCTACATATGGTCTTCTTCCACCACTGTCATTTCCGGCAACGTCGTCCATGTCTGCGTGTCTTCCAGAAAGCTCACAAACCTCTACTGCCTCTCCGCCGGAACTCAGCCCAGTTTCCAGCTCCCCGTTTCGTCTTCTTCTTCCACATCAGCTCCCGGCATTCTCCGAGGTTCAGCTGAATCAGCTCCTACAGCCGCCAATGGCGACGAAGAAATGGAAACTGCGTTCAGGGATGTGGAGGCGCAGCTGGAAGTGCAACTCTCGTGGGCCCGGGCCCGAGTCATGCAATGAAGGAAAAATCTAAGTGTACGACCTGCCGGAAAAGTTCAACAAAGAGCTGCTGGCTCAGTGCGGGGAGATGATTCCATGGCTGGACTTATGCAAGTTCCTGAGCAACGAAGCTATGGGGAAGACGATAGAGGATAAGAAGCTCGGCAGAGGCTGGTACAACACGCACCAGTACGCCCTCGAGCCCATCTTCCACGAACGTGCCCTGAGGCATCCTTGTCGGGTCCACGACCAGGCCGAAGCCCAGCTTTTCTACGTGCCGTACTACGGCGGGCTCGATGCCCTGAGATGGAACTTCAAGAACGTCTCCAACACTGTCAGGGACTCCATGGGCCTGGACCTCCTCGGATGGCTCCGATCGCAGCCCTCCTGGTACAGAAACCTCGGGAAGGACCATGCCTTTGTACTGGGGAAGATTTCGTGGGATTTCAGGAGGCCCGACGGGTCGTCTTGGGGAAACAGGCTGTTGGAGCTGAGGGAGATGCAGAATCCCGTCAAGCTTTTAATCGAACGCCAGCCTTTAAGCAACATAACATCAAAATTTATTTTTTATATTTATCATCAGTTTATTTATTATCGGTATTGTGTCAGTTTCGAATTTGTTTCTATTTTTTTTTTGTATTAATTCTCTCTACCGGGTATATTTGGTACATCGTATCTTCAAAGAGTTCAATTGCATAATTCAACACAAAAATCTCTCAGCATTTATTTGTCTTTATGTGTTTTTAATCTAGTGTGTAAGCTTCGCATTTTAATGTTTAACATTGGCACATGAACGACGTCGGGGTTCCTCATCCCACCTTCTTCCATCCTCGGACGGACGAGGATGTTGTCGCGTGGCAGGTTCAGGTCATGAAATCGGAGAGGAGAAGCCTGGTGAGCTTCGCCGTGGCGAGGCCTGGTTCTCCGGGCAGCATCAGATCGGGGCTGATCGAGCAGTGCACCTCGCCGGAAAATGCGGAATGCAAGTTTCTGAACTGCACGGCAGGAGAATGCGATCCGCCGGAATCGATTGTCGGGACGTTCCTGGAATCTGATTTCTGCCTGCAGACGCCGGGCGACAGCCCCACCCGGAAATCGGTTTTCGATTCGCTGATTTCTGGGTGCATTCCGGTGATCTTTGATCCCTTCACAGCTTACTATCAGTATCCGCGGTACCTCCCGAAGGAACACGACAGGTATTCAGTTTTCGTGGATAAAGAGGAGGTAAGAAGCGGGAATGTCTACATTGTTGACAGGCTGTCGAAAATCTCGGACAGGGAGAGGGAGAACATGAGAAGATACGTTGTTTATGAATTGCTGCCTGGATTGTTGTATGGAGATTTGAATTCCAAGTTGGACAAGTTTCACGATGCATTTTCAATAGCCATCAACAGCTTGCTTCAAAGAGTCAGCAGATTGAATCAAATGTAAACTTAAACATTATTGATAATTTGTGATTTACAAGATTAGAGCTCTTTCTATATCTAGAATTTATTGCAGCCTCAGATATCCCACAGTGCCACGTAGGATGTAAAAAAAAATTAAATAAAAGAACAGGGGGGAAGGAGAAGACCGGGCATGGCGGTTGTAGTCCCGCCACGTATACAATCAATAACGATGACTTCTTTCGTTTTCTGTCACAATCGTTATCTTTCTCTGCACTCTAAAGAATATATATATATATAGATGTGTGGCAACCGGAATTCCATCTGATCCGTAGCTTACTTCTAAAGCGAATCCATCTCCTCTGATCAAAGCTGCAATTTTTCTGCGTTTGAAGGAAGCCTCTGGTGATTTTTGGTTTACAGGATGGCCAGCGAATCCAGCAAACCTCAATCGATTCACGAATTTACGGTTAAGGTATTCCTTCTTTTAGGTTTTCTCAAATGTCGGTCAACGCTTTCTTCTTCATACGCGTGGTTTGCTTGTGCACTAGGCCTTCTGTTTGTTGAATTGAATCGTTTTTTGTGCTTAATTCATCGTTGCTTCGAACCAGTGTTTGTCGTGGATTATAATCAGGCTAAAGCTGAAAAATGGAACCTATATCATAAAGGGGGGGATTTTTGTCGGTGTAAACTAGGGCATATTTTTTGGTACTCCATGCCTCCGATGGTGTTCTTTTTACTGTAAAACTTGTTTATTGCAGGATGCTAAGGGGAATGATGTTAATCTGGGGACTTACAAGGGCAAGGTCCTGCTGATTGTCAACGTTGCGTCGCAGTGGTTTGTTTTTCCTTGTCCTCCATGAAAATAGCACTTGTTCTTGTTGCTTCATGCTTCCTTGTCCATTGATGATCTTGTAGTGAAATCTAAGATCAAATTTTCAATCCATGGCATCTTTGTTGATGAGAAGAACTGTTTGTGGCTGTGAAAAAATGGCAAGCTGTAAAAATGAAGATGGTTTTATCTTCGGCTTCCTATGTTATATCACAGTTTTATTTGTCTCATTCTCAACTTGAGTTTGCTAATTGGAAGCCCTGTTTGTGGTTTATGCTACCTAATTCTCATTGTCGACTCTTTTTGTTAGCTCTAATGTTAATTATGTTTTCATACTTTATGCTGCAGTGGCCTCACCAATTCAAATTACACTGAGCTGACACAATTGTATCAGAAATACAAGGATCAAGGTATGAATGCCTCAGATTTAGTTTATGTTAGTTTGTTTTATCTCCAAGGTAAACCCAGAAAATCAAATTAGCTAGATTGTTTGGTAGACCAAACAATGATCATTTCTATGTTTCTAATCGCACAGGATTGGAGATATTGGCATTCCCCTGCAATCAGTTCGGCTCGCAAGAGCCGGGCACTAATGAAGAAATACAGAACTTCGTGTGTACCAGGTTTAAGGCCGAGTATCCGGTATTTGACAAGGTGGGATTTGTTAAGCTTATTGCCTATTCTTCTGCTTACCTTTTTACTAGCAACTTTGAATGGTTTTTCTTAGCAGTGGATCATGTTTTTACAAAGCAGGTTGATGTGAACGGCTCCAATGCTGCGCCTATATACAAATACATGAAGTCAGTCAAAGGTGGCCTTTTTGGAGACAACATAAAATGGAACTTCTCCAAATTTCTTGTTGATAAAGAGGGTCAGGTCGTGGATCGATATGCGCCCACAACGAGTCCCCTAAGCATCGAGGTAAAACAGCCAATCGATAACATATATTAACTCAGTTCTACAAGGAAGCTAAGATTTCTCCATTTCACTCTTTTGCAGAAGGATATTAAGAAGCTAATGGAGAAGGCATGAAAATGAGAAACTTTCAGAGGTTTTCTGTTTGTTGTCAATCTTGAAATAACCATCCCTCCAAGGGATGGAAGATCTGTCTAGTTTCATCGCACCCATGTTTAATGATGTCGATGTCTTGACTTGTGCACACACTGTAACTCATGGTTGCCCCGATGATGATGATGATGATGATTCAGTGTTTATTGTATTGAATGACTGCTACCTATTTCGCACACAGCATTTGCTCATCCATATGAAAAGTCACCAACATGTTTGTAATAGATAAATCCATGTTCAAATTCATGTCAATAGGATCTGCACTTTCGAACAAGTTAATGGTTACATCAGGAACGAAGACAACGCTACTAAAGATCGATACCTTACCACCATAAATTCTCCTACAACCTAACACAACAGGCTTCTTTTAGTCGCGCAACCATCATCTACATCATTGCAGGGTCAGCGAGTTCTGAGTCAAGAGTTGATCGACCAAATGTACAACCCCGCATATGTACAATGGCAGCGAAAGGTGCAGCAAAGATCACCGGAATCTCATCCACTGGTCAGGTCAATGTCTTCCGGCCGGTGTCCGGGTGGCCACATACTTGCTCCAGAATTAGGATTATAACCATGTGTAGAAGCTACAGTAATAGGATTTGGAGACTTCTCATCTTTTATTTCCGATCCGGCTTTAGTCTTTCCCTTTGTTCCGCCATACACAAAACTGCAGCCCACAACCTGCGGAATCAATCACGGATTTTAGAAATAGTAAAAGATCAAATACTATTGATGAACAGTGCTAGAAGTTCAAAAAATATCGATATAAACAAAGCCTGAGTTTCCCGGTTGGCGAAACAATAGGTGAATATGAACCTGCACGGGATTTGCTGCAATGAGCCTCCCGCCTATTGCGCCGCCAATTATATGTCCATCAGGGCTACAGACTGAAATGCTTATACCACCAGTCCGGTCGCGAGGACTGCCTGTTTCAGCAACTAAGTAAGAGCCCGACAAGCACAGTATCTCAAAACGCCCCTAAAAGAGAAAACAAGCCAAATCAGTTGGAACGCTAAGCGAGTTTATAAGAGTTTCCGAACACAAAACACCATTTACATCAACTCAACAAAATTCCAACTTTGTCGTGAAAGGCGATATAAGATATTCAGAAATATGTAATCTTGGTTAAATTGCAGAACTCACTTCAACAGGATTAATGGTAAGAAAAATCATAACCTCGTATGTGACAATGCTACCGGAAGCTGTTGGATGGCGTAGCGTCACTGCAGAAACCGATCCATTACCCGACATGATACACAGAGCTCTTGGCCTCTGTCGCGCAAATGCAAGTATCTTTGCAGCAACATCCTGCGTAGAATAACAATTAGATATTCTTGGCACCCTATGTGTAAACTATTTATTGCATCCAAACATCACCTAGGAATTTCTTCATAAAACTGGTTTCTCGGTAACACAGTGATGGAAAATACCTCTCCAACTCCAATGTGCAGAACATGAGGCGCAAAGGCTACTCCAGCAGAGCTGTTCATCCATTCACCTTGTAAATAATGTAAGAAACAAATAGTCAGGTGGGCACAAAACTTGTGGAAAACTTAATATGCTGCATGTAATCAAATATGAAATCCAGAAAAGTGAAAGAAAGAAAAGAAATACTTCTCCTTTTAGGTAACTAAAAAGAAACCCAAAAATGCACAAATCAAAACTATTGTAGAATAATAAACCACTAAAGCAGATAGTTCCATAAACCATAGCAAGAAAAATCCAACAAACAGATCCATTTGAGAAACTGGATTTAACCTTCCTGAGGGTTGAATCATATCAAGCAACAAACACATAACACCAAAGGAAAGAAGCATGTAATAAGATTCCACTACCAAACAAGAAAAATATATATATATATTTTCTTTTAATTACCAAGTGGAGCGAGCTTCTGCTTCCAGCCAGTCCCCGGCGGGCGGCCTCTCCGAGCCCTTTCGCCGGGGGTCACCACGACGGCGCTGGATGGCTTGGAGGGAGGCGTGGGGGACAGCCCCAAGGACATGTTGGATCCATCAGGGCCATATTTTCGAGGTCTGCCTCTCTTCTTCTTTACTGGCTGCTCTGCGCTCTGTGCTGCACTGGAGACGACGGCCATGCTCATGCCGTGTGGAAAATTGGGGGATGGATCCTCGACATGGAAAGATCCGCTTGCAGCACCTACGCTGGATTGAACTGGGATGTTAGGGTTCGAGAGCGTCTTGAAAACAGGGGATGTGTGGATCATGCCGGAAGGACCAGAGGCTGAGCTTCCGCCCGCGCCGTGGATGTTGTGGCCAGGTCCTGGACCTCCGGACCCGCCAATCCCTCCCCTGTGGAGGTAGTATGAACTTGGCATTGCCATTCCCTCTCTCCCATCCATTAATTTACTAGCTGAAATCGAAGAGTAGAGAGATCAACAGTTTCTGAGTATTTTAGAGTGAAAGCACAACGCTTTCTGTCCAAAATTCGATGTAGGGTAGTAATCTGAAACGCCGAAGAAGTTCCAATAAAACCCTAACGAAACAGCCAAATGATTTCTAACTCAGAACTAGAAACGCCGGGAGGAAAATCGCAACTGGTGAAGTGTCACGATTTTTTATTTCTTTTTTCTGAAAAAAAAAAAAAGTTTTCTTGACACCACTCCGAAACTCGAGCAAGAACGGAGGAAGCTAAAAAGTACCGAAATTCTACAGAAACGAACTCCCAAGAACACACGTCAAAGTTTAAATTGAAAATGCGGAGAATCCATAGCTACAAAATCACCCAGAATTCCAGTGCAAATCACCCCCAACTTCAACAACAATCAAGAAAACCAAAACGGGGTACGGAGCTGCAATGGTGCAAAACCCTAGATTCAGAGAATGCGAAAGAAAAATGGAGGAGGGAACAGAAAGACGAGGAGGAAGAGGAGGAGATTGGGAAAAAGAGGAGAGAAGACTCGGGAAGAGGGCAAAGACAAAAGTGAATGAAATAGGAAAAATTTAAAAGCTTTTGAATTAAAGCAGCAGAGGAGGAATACCCTTTTCTTCGACGCAATTATTTATTAGGGTTTGAAGGGTTTTAGTCAGGAAGAGAGATCGATGAGGTGTTCCCTTCCCTGCTGCTGTAAGGATTCTTGATCCGATCCGAACCATCGATCACCTTTAAAGACATTGGGGTACAGTTGGGTGCACCCCAGTAAGTACCAACACGTCCCTTTCAACCGCCATAGCTGTTCTTAGCAGCATATTTCCTACACCACTGATCCTCATCTTAAACAATCACACACTTCCATTACATCTAGCTCAAGCTTTCCCTGTAATAAATTTTTTAATTAAGAGGTTTCTGGGGTTTCCTTTGAATTAACGATTCGTTCAAAATATGAATGAGATTAATTGAAATTGAAATTGAAGTTGAAATTGAAGTACACCTTGAATTAAAAACCAGCAAAATAAAAGCTGTACTGTATAGTCTTGTGATCGGTTTTGCTTTTGAAAGTAGTCACTGGGAATGCATTAAAGAAGCCTGCAGGAAGTCACAGAGTCAAAAAGTGTCGCTGATTCTGGCGTCATATATATACATACACAGAGAGTACTATACATACAAGTAGCTATCATCTTTCTATTGCTCCAGTATTTTGATCGTTGTAAAAATTCAAACATCAAAGATTGGATTTTTATTTTTCCGAATCTGCGTGCAATAATTTATATGGGCTGTTTGTTACTAAGCAAATATTTGGGCCTTATTTTAAAATGGATTTAAATAAAACCGGCCCAATATAGAGACCCGGCCCAAAACCAATTGTATGACGCACGCAACCATCGTTTGCATCGCAGGCTGATCTGACCGTTGATTTAGATCGGCGTAGATCACGAAGAATACGTTCGCGTAGGTGTAGGAATAATCTGCCACGTGTATCTGACGTGTCAAGAAACCACCCGATCCGTTGAAGATCAACGGCCCAGATCTAGCATATTTTTTTATTTTATTTCACCATCGGTTGAGGGGTCAGGGATGATGAGAAAATTATATTTTCTTTTCACATTTTTTATTTCTTTTATAGATTGAAAGATTTGTTTGATTGTGACAATCGGGGCTTTGGATTAGGAGGTAATGACGAAAACAGATTAAGTTTAAACGACATTTGATAATCCCACTTTTGAAAATGACTTAACAACATTACTACTGTCATTATTTCTATTTCTTGAATCCCAAAAAGGATGTTGCAATTAATTAATTCTCAATCATGATCACCAAATTGTTTAGATCATGGGAGATTATTATCATACATTATTAATTAAACATCGGATATGTCGAAAATATGTCAAATTTTATCATATAACTTAGTCTACTTATCGAAATGTAGCCATGATGCTATTGATATTAATGCAACTGTTTTCGATCGTAAATTGCGTAAAAAGTAAGGAGAAAAAGATACAATAGTGCGTTACATGTCGGTGGAAATAACAAACCAAAAATACTCCTATTACATTAACACTAAAATGCATCTTTAGTTTATTATTACTATTATTATTATTATTTATTTTATTTTATTTTATTGATTATGTATATACATACGTATGCACATTCAGTGACTTCGCTCGCTACTCACCCACTGAAATAATTTCGTGGTTGATCCTGGAAGCCAAACCTACACATGCATATGCAAAAATAAATAGACACACAATGCAATCGATAGCATCAAGAACTCTCCATCCAACCGTGCTTTGAACCAAATCGAGCTCGCCTGAAACCTTCTTTAAGGTTCTTTTCTCCTGCTGCTACATATTTACCAAATTTCCTGATATCGTTCTTTTTGCCGTTTTTTATTTGGCTATTTTTCGTAGGGAATTAGTTTTCTCTGTGTGTGGTCTGAAATGGGCATCTTTTGGTTTATTTTGGGGAATTAGGGTATTGTAAGATTTTCGTGTTTCCGAGGTTCGGATATTGTTGTTTCGTTTTGATGAGCTGAAGTTACTGAACCGAGTTCATGTTGCAGTGGCGGAAAGGGAAAGTTTGCCGGAAAACTTTGAAGCTTGGAACGTGGATTCGCAGTTGACCTGGATTTGAATCTTTGGTGAAGGTAGCTTTCTCCATGTCCAAATTCTGGCTTCGAATCGAATAATCATTCATTAGTTTATGAATTTGGGATGTTTGTAGAGGAGAACTATTATTGTCTGAATGTGTTGCTATTTTTAGTTTAAGTGTGGGTTTGTCGTCTGACTAACTAACCTTTTTTTGTCTAATCTTGCTTAGTTAAGATATTTGCATTACCTGTTTTGTCTTTTTTTGCTTCTTTTAAGGAGCTGCAGAGTAAGCTATTTTTTTGCAGCAACTTTGATGCTTCTTCATCCATTTTTGCAAGTGTTTGATGTTAATTGGAAAACTTCTGATGCTGGATTTGATGCATCATATGATATTTTTGATGTTGTCTTTCTTTTTCCGGAGATTTTAATGTTGGTTTAAAGTTTACTATATTCTGTTTGTCCGCGTTAAGGATCGACAAAGAATCGAAGTTTCCATATTTAGTTACATACATAAGAGTTTAACTAATGCATTTTTCGGGATGACAGGTAGATCGCTTTCGAGTAACGGTAAGCTACCGAGGCGCGCGGGGATCGTGGGAGTTTGTCGTTTAGATTCCGTTATAATTAAATGTTGTTTGTTGACGTATAGTTTGTGACGTCGGTTGGATAGTTTTTGAGCAGGGGAAGTCGTGGTTCCGACATTCTAGAAGTTTAAAGCCGCGTGTCTTTTAGTGACTAGTCGTCGTTTCGCAATGGGTTGCCGAAGTTCCAAGTTCACAGGGTGTTGCTCTACTGTCGCCGAGGACAACGGACCGACTCAACAAGTCGAAACCCCAGGTAGGTTGAATAATCATCTGTATTTTAGATCGCCTTTTTCTCGATGAAATGCTAACATTAAAACTTAACTTTGTAGCGTTCGAAGCAGAACAGGACGACAAAAGCGAAGTCATTGATTTGCCAGCGTTTCGTGAATTTTCTCTCGAGCAACTCAGCGTTGCTACATGTGGCTTTTCTGAGGAGAACATAATCTCCGAACATGGGGAGAAAGCGCCAAACATCGTTTATAAGGGAAAACTGGATGATCAAGAGTTGATTGCCGTGAAACGCTTCAACATATCTGCCTGGCCCGATGGCCGCCAGTTCATGGTGCATTTTTTTGTCGTATAGTCCATTAATATCGTAACTCTTTTACATTACGTAACTCGTAATCGATTTCAGGAGGAAGCCAAAGCTGTCGGCCAGCTCAGGAGCTACAAACTGGCGAATTTACTTGGCGGCTGCAGCGAAGGCGAGGAAAGGCTACTGGTTGCTGAATTTATGCCGAATGATACTCTCGCGAAACATCTCTTTCACTGTGAGTTATCCGCACGTTTGCAATCATGGCTACGTGATAAGCTTTTCGCTTTATGTGATCTGTATTTGTCGTTTCGATTTAGGGGATTCGCACGAGATGAAGTGGTCGATGAGGCTAAGGGTTGCTTATTATGTCGCGCAAGCTTTAGACTTTTGCACAAGCAAGGGGCGCGCGCTTTATCATGATCTGCATTCATACAGAATCGTCTTTGATGCTGTAAGTGGCTAAGCGTCGAGAGCATTTTAACCTTAGCGACTTGTCGTATCAATTTCCGAAACATCGTGTGAACACTGATGATATTGCAGGAAGGCAACCCCCGACTGTCGTGCTTTGGATTGATGAAGAACAGTAGGGACGGAAAGAGCTACAGCACCAACCTAGCATTCACTCCTCCTGAATATCTTCGAACTGGTATCGTTTTATTTACGCGCCGTGGATCTGTTTATCTTCATTTCCTGAGATTGTCGACTTATTTTTTCAACTTCGGGTTTTTGCAGGAAGAGTTACTCCGGAAAGTGTTATATACAGCTTTGGCACTCTTCTACTTGATCTCTTCAGTGGAAAACACATTCCACCAAGTCATGTAATTTCGCCGAAACTCTTTTCGAAAGTGTTTGTAGTAACTTGTCGATGTAAATTTTAAGCCTTTTTTTCGTGTAGATGTGATCTAACCGTATGTGTTTGTATGGTTCGTGCAGGCTCTTGATCTGATAAGAAGCCGGAAAATTCAAATGCTCGTGGATTCCGGGTTGGAAGGTCAATTTACCAACGACGATGACACTGAGTTTGTGCGCCTCGCTTCGAGGTGTTTGCAGTATGAACCGCGCGAGAGGCCGAGTCCTAAATCATTAGTTACTGCATTAATCCCTATTCAAAGGGAAACCGAGGTTTGCTTGCGTCGATATAGAGTTGTGATTAATTTTCATTAGTCGTTAAAATCACAGTTTGCATTTTCATTTTCAGATTTCGTCTCGTGAACTGATGGGCTTTCCCTGCGGTGGAGATGCCATGGCTCTCTCGCCCCTCGGCGAAGCTTTTTTAACTATGGATTTAACTGCCATACATGAAATGCTGGAAGAACTCGGGTACAAAGATGACGAGGGGACTGTAACTGAGGTTTGTTTCGGATCAATATCTGTTAAAAATGATCGATCCCCTACAGCTTCCTTTTCAAATATGTGCGAATCGAACGCAGGCAACACTGAGCTCGAAGAAAAGGGGCGACTTGGCCTTCCGGCACAAAGATTTCGAAGCTGCAATCAAATGTTATACACAGGTAAGATCGAAACGCGACTCTTCCTATAAAAACATTCATAATTATCGCAGCTTTCTGACGAAGCAATGTTTCCATGGCAGTTTATCAATGTTGGCACTGTGGACTCTGCGACTGTATTTGCTCGGCGCAGTTTCTCGTATCTGATAAGTGACATGCCGCAGCAGGCGCTCAACGATGCAGTTCAAGCACAGGTTGTATCCCCCGTCTGGCACATAGCTTCGTACTTACAAGCCGTGGCGCTTTTTGCTTTAGGAAGGGAGAATGAGGCTCATGTCGCTCTTAAAGAAGGCTACATACTCGAGGAAAAGAGGCGCCCGATTCCTTGAGGTCTGAGATCTCGCGAGCCGGGATTTCAGTATAGAAAAAGTTACAGCGAAAGTATAGATATATATATATCCCGATCATATAGACATCAAAAACTTCGATACCTGCATGCATTCCAGCGAATAATTGTGGTTGATTTCTCTTACGATCTTGAGCGTTACAACCGGCGCCATTGCGCTCGGTTGCTCTCGATCAATCCGGTGGCTCGTCGCGATGGTGATGGGAAGCTGGAGGAGATCTGCCATGTTCTTATGAATAATGTACAGTGATGTTTTATTGCTTTGCTCATCGACTCTTTTCCAGTTCTTGGTTGCTGTGTGGATAATTTATTTTCTTCCATTGCTGAAATTGCTTGTGATCGATTTCATAGTCTGCAGGGGGATAAGTTAGAGACAAGTTTGAATAAATTGCTCAAATTGTGAATTTTTATTTAGTCAGCCATCGCTTAACCTGCTCCCGTTTACTTCTTCAGCTTTGTAAATTTCTTGAATTAATCATTTTTCTTACATATATTGGAGGTGTTTGTTTCTCAATTCGAGGTCCATCCATGGAGATTCCGGCGTGGCTGTACTTGTCGTTCTGGGCCATTACAGGCTTCTCATTTCTACACCTCGGATTCAACGCTTTGGACAACACAGGACTGTCCGATTCCGTTCCCCCTCGAGCCATGTCTTTCGTCAAGCTTTCGCTAGCCATTTCCGTCTGCCATTCTTCCGGCTACGCTCTGATATTCCGGCAGCGCGTGAAGCTCACCACCCAGGTGCGATACACGTGGGTGATGTTCGGAACTGTGGCGTGTCTTGTCCACAAACCCTATATTAATTTTACGTTTCTCTGGGGAACCGCCGCTTTCTTCTTCCTCCTGCTCTGTACATGGCTGCTCGATTTTCTTCCATGGCTGACCGATTTATGCAACAGATGCGCCGCTGTTGTGATTTTTGCATTCATCTCCAGTGAGGTATTTGCTTGGTTTTGCCCTATCTACGCTTTGATTAACTTCATCGCCATTTCCCCCAAATTTTATCGGAATCGCGAGCAGAGGATCTGCGCGGGGATCCACACCGCCATGGAAGCGTCCCTGTTCATGGTCAGTGGGGAAAACTCCGATTTCTACCCTATTTTGGTGCTCCTTGTTTCGTTTTTGACTTCTTCCTGTTGGGCGGGGCTTTACGGGCTGGAACCGTGCACTCGTCTCTCCGGGGATCCTCTGTCGCCGGACCGGAGCTTCCAGAAGTTGCTGCCGGCGGTGGCGAGAGGGAAGAAGATTTTCCTGGAGCTGAAGGAGAAGAGGACGGGGAAATTGGTTGAATTTGGGGTGGGGATGCTGGGGACTGTTCTGTTTCAGAGTTTTTTCAGATTGACGTCGTTCGATCACGTGGTGGCGTTTCTGTATCTGGCGGTGGCGTGGATGGCGAACATGGCGATGCACGGCGGCGCCGGCGGTGGTGATACGGGTGATCTCGGCGTCTTCAATTTCCTGCTGGGTAACGCTGTGGTGGGTTGTACGGTGAGTCAGTTTGGACTCCGAGGTGCAACTTGGATAGCGTACGGTACTGCAGTGTTTCTGTACGGCTTGCGGCTCAGTCTGAACCGAATCACATTTGTGCACGTGGACCGTGGGACAGAGCAGGTTGTTTTGTGGTAACAAAAATTAATTTTAGAAATTCTCGAATGTTCGAAAATAAATATATTTAAAATTATTCCCATTTTCAATGTTAATTATTACCTTTTGTGGGCCTTCTGAAGTGGGCTTTGTGGAGTGTAGATTTGGATAAATTTCCGGCCCATTTTCGAAGCAGCCCTGTCCACTCTGTAATTAAATATTTAATTTTGAAATAATATTTAAAGCATATTGGTAAGTGATTTGTGACACATCTTGATATACGAAACTTTCGAGATTCACTTAATGAAATTATTGAACCCTGAGACTAATGAGTTATGAGTGACCATAAAGGGTAGGGCAGCATGCAATTAATAATAACGTTCATTATTATATTTGCCTATGGGGAATAAAAATACTTAATTTAGATACTTTAGTGGTAAGTGGCATGTACATTGGAGAATATAAATAAATATTAATATGAAATAACAAAAAATATCTTCACCATTAAGGACAAATTGTTGTACAAGATCGAGTTGGATACACAAAGTGGAATTTGTGTGGGATCAAATAATATAATTAATTAATTATATGAAGGTGGTGGAGTTAACTTACAATTATGTAGATATATTATAAATATCAACCATTAATTTCTTAATGTGCTTTCTGATCATATATACGTAGTAGTTACCAAATAAAAGACAACAGGTGACTCAACGTTAGAGTTTGCAATGGGTCGATTCGTATCGAGTTCGTGTCGGGTTGAATATTTTAAACGGGTTAAATTACTCAACCCTAATCCGACCCATTTATTATCGTATCGGGTTCGGGTTGACTCGTGTTGACTCGTATACATAATTAAGTCGAATTTCTTGATTTAAATTAAATAATTTTTTGTTGTATTGTCGTGTTATGTTAGTTTTTATTGGTTTGAGCGTAAATTAGGTTGAATTATTTAAAATTGAACTTAGTTTAAATTAATTTATGAGAAATTATTAAATTATGATTATTTTACATATATAATGAATATATTAATCAATATTAATTTATTATAATCGGGTTGTCGTGTCGGGTTCGAGTTGAGAGCCTCAACCCTAACTTGACCTGTTTGCTATCGCGTCGGGTTCGTGTCAACCCGTATACATAATCGGGTTGAAACATTTGACCCAAACCCAATTATTTCGTGTCGGGTCCGTTTTTGCCAACTCTACTCATTATGTAAGGGTTTTTTTTTTCTCTTTTTTTTTTTCCAAAATATAGTATTAAAAAAAAAATTCATCTTAAAATATCAAAATAATAATAATAATAAAATTCAAAATAAACCCAAAAGTATGGTAAATAAAATTAATTACAAACAAAAGGGGACTCTCAAATAAGGAAAATTTCATAGGTGCATGTATTGATCTTTATATATATATATATATATATATATTAAACTCATATAGTAATATTTTCTTCTACCCAATCCTCTTTATATAATACTAAATTCTATATTAAAGTTAACTTTATTTCTAAAAGAATTGCCATACCTAAATATAAAAATGAACATAATTAAACATATATATATATCACATTTACTACAAAAAAGTGTAAGCAACACTATAAATATCGACGCATATATGTATGTATATATACTAGAGCTCAAAGCTAAGACATCAATATTATCCCAACAAAGATTGTCTCCACTCAGGTGGGATATATAAGTGTCTTTCTTTATAGATTATTTTTATATTTTTATTATTTGAATTCTACAATTTTGGCAAAATATATTTACAAATTAAATATTACATAAAATATTGTTAAAATAAAAAATTTAAATCTTCAAATCTCGAAAGAAACATTTTGGTTTAGTTTGAGAAGATTTTATTTAAATTTTGTATTGATATGATATTTTGTAAATATATATATATATTTTTTAAACACAAAATTCAAATAGTAAAATCCGAAAAAAATTATATCAAAGAAATACACCCATACTCTCCCGCCCCACATGCATGGTCTCAAAGAAATTGTAATAGATTGGTAAAAAAAAAAATAATAATAATAATATTATTATTATTATTATTATTATTATTATATTTGTGAATGAGTCCATGTAAGATGGAAAAGTGTAACATTTATTTGGATTTAGTGGAATCAAAAGTAAAATGTCTAGTAATCTTTGGGTAAACAAAAATAAATTAATTAAAGTGATGATTTTTGAGATATTTTAAATTTAGATTTTTGTTAGAGTAGTTTTGACTGATTTATATTAGGTTTAGTTAATTTGGATTATAATATGATCCTATCAATACAATGCAATTTTTTGAATTTTCGTAAAAATTAATTATAACAATGATAAATTGATGGTGGAGTTTTTTTAATGCATATAAATATGCTTGTTTATTTAGATGTGATAAAAATAAAAATTACTAATAAATAGATTTCACCTTAAAAATATATTTCAGTAAAAAATATTGCGAGTATAGAGCCGACCATAAATGGAAATAGAAAGACAACAAAACAAACCCTGGTTCTTTGTGTGAATAATAATAATAAATTTTAAGCTGATGTAACAAAAAATGAACTATGGAAGAATGTAAATTGAATTCATTTACTATTATTTGTGTGGGGTGGGTCACTTGAAAATTGAAATGGATGCATGCAGCATGCCATGCACGTGAGGTTTGATGAATAGTGTTATTAGTGGGTATTTATTTTATATACTTATATATTTATTAGGGCCGACAAAGGGATCAGGTCGAGTTTAGGTTCGGGTCAGGTTAAATGGGTTACAAAATTTTTTATTTGAACTTGACTCGTTTAATTAAATGAGTTGATATTTGCAACTTTAACCTGACCTTTTATTAATCGAGTCAACCTGAATTTTATCTATATAACCTGTTTAAGTCTAAAATTTTTAAATTTTAATTTAAGATTATAATTTCTACTAACAAAATTTTCAAATGCATAATATATGCTTCCTCCGTCCCATAACAAAGTCTCTATTTTTCTATTTTAGTATGTCCTGTAGTAAAGTATCAATTTTTTTTAGTAACTGTATTATCTACCTAACATTATAAATACCTTTACAACTTACAATATATTATACGAATATCATTATCTTTATATCACACAATACTAATAAGGTTATTTTAGTTATTTCTATTTTATTTTCACTACATCCCAATATAATATTAATATTTATAAAACTTTATGCAAAAAGCAAACGGATACCTAATTATAGGACGGATGGAGTATACATATTAAAGCAAAAAATTATTTATTCATATTATAAAACCGATATTCAAGAATCGAATTAACAAACACTATATAATAGTAAACAACACAATTTTTTATTTATTATTGTTTATTTTTTATAAAATTTGCCATAAATATTAAATTGTATTGATAAAATTTAGAAAATATATTCAAATTTAAAATAATATTAATTAAATATGTTAGACGGTTGTTTTCAGGTAAAAGATATAGACTTAACCTAACCCATTTAATTAAATTGGTTAAATAGATTTGACTCAATTATTAATTTGGTCAAAAATCTTAACACAAACCCAACTATTTCAGCTCAGATTTGTTAATTTTTGTCCGCGCTAAATTTTATATATATATATAGGTATTGAAATAAAATAACCTGTGTTTAACTGATTTCAATATAGAGATGATACGATCATCTAATATAAACTGGACAGCATCGCATGCCTACCTGTGTATATGTCGAAAATTTATTGAATTAAAAAAATAATATTTCATCCGTCATTCAAATCTATTC